ACAAGACCCATGAAAAGAGTCGCACTCTATTGTGCTTTTATCGCAGGTTATGCCTTGGCAGCCCTGCCCGACCTTCCCAATTTCAGGGCTATGCTCGGTCCAAGCATTGATTGGCGAAGTTAGGAATCACTGGCCGAAATCACTGGCGGACACCACCTCTTGTACTGGTGAAAACTGAACTGATACGAGTGAGGTCGGCGATATTGACGCACACTCTATAGCAAAATTGGTATGTAAGGCATCGAGCATCAGACTCGGGTTCGAAAAACCGTAGTGCTATCCAGCGAGGAGTCAGGAATTGGAAGCGAGGCAGAGACAATTCGTTGTCTGCATCGTGTCCTGTCTTAACCATATGATGGGAGCCATCCAGTTGCAACGGGTTGAAATGCGCGTTTTATCGGGTGTGGAAAATCTTCCCTGCGGAGGAGTTGATTGTTCAAGAGAGAGCTTGAGTTCTTGATGTCTTCCTTTTCCATATCTTAAACTCACTCAGCGGTCAATGCTGCCTGGTGCATTGTTCTCCTGTGTGCTTTGAGCATTGGACTCGAGCGAGAAAAATGTCTAGATTATATTGGCTGTTTTCTGCGGTACACCGTCGATAATGAAAGACCGGATATTCGGTGCAGGCAGATGGGAGGAACTTGAAGCACAAGGGAGGAAGATTAGTGCAAGAACGAAGGATAAAAAGGTCAGAGTGATAGAGCGCCATGTGGCCCAGTCTCCGCTTCTCATGAGCAGAAAGTTTGATATAGTCCCTGTTTCGAGGTGTTCGGCAAATGATGTGGTGCTCAAAGCCTTTTCCGTGGGTGTTCCATATATATAGGGAGTCAAAGGAGCATATGTAGAACTCGAGCTTGCATTTTGCAAGATGCTTCTCGCGGAACCACATAGCAGGTTGAGTCGACAATCACAGTAAAGATGACTCCAGCAGCTGGTTACATGTGTAACTGTCGTACTCTCGAAGATGTAGTGACAATGAGGGCAGATCCAGATTTGGCAGATATCGATGTTCAAGCTTGGAAAGTGGACGTCGCATGAACTGAGCCCAAATTCTCCTGGAAGCTGGCTTGTCCATGCTATGTTGATACATAAGGCTGCGAATATATATGAATATATAGGAGGGTAGACGGTGGAGGGAGAAGGAGACCTGGAGGGGAAGGGAATGGGAGAAGAGAAGTTGAAAGAGTTGGGGATGGGAAGTGGAGGGCCTATGTGGTTGTTTGCTATCAGCGCTAAATATGTTAGAAGGAGCTCCTTTGACGACCTACGTTTATATTTTAACAGCATAAGTTCGGTAGATCAATTGATTTTTTTTAAAAAAATTGTATATATGATCTCATCCAGCATGTAGGAAGATAGACATCAGTCGTTTCAGGGCTCATCCAGAAGCCCTGAGATATTATAGGCAGTGCATAGTAGGGAACAAATAGTAGGCAATACGAAGCACCGAGAAAAGGAACAGAAGAACAGTAACGAGAAAAAGAATCTATATGATAGATGGGGGCCCAGACAAATCATTTTTTTCCAACCATATATAAAACATCAAACATCAACATCGCCATCGCCATCAATATCAAATTATAACATCAAGATCGTAGAGATCACGCAGACCAAGACTCAAGTCCAGACAACACGCAGCCTTCTTCACCCTCGGCGCGAGCACGCAGCTCACCAACGCGGTAAACAGACTCACCAGCCGCCTCGAAGGTCTGGCGAATAGCGGCCTCGGAGGCAGGGTCGACGGCAATGATCATACCCACACCACAGTTGAAGGCGCGAGCCATCTCAGCGGAGGAGACATTGCCCGCACGCTGGAGCCAAGAGAAGACGGAAGGCTGAGCCCAAGTGCTAACATCAACCTGAGCAGTGAGGCTATCGGGGAGCATACGGGGGATGTTCTCAACGAGACCACCGCCGGTGATGTGGGCCAGACCCTTGATGGCGGCGCCGTGGGTGTTCAGAGCGCTGAGGATAGACTTGACGTAGATGCGGGTGGGGGTGAGGAGAGCACGGCCGACGGAGACGCCAGCGTCAAGACCGGGCATGGTGAAAGGTGCGGGATCGGCGAAGTCCAGGCCGGCACGCTCAACGATCTTACGGACAAGAGAGTAGCCGTTCGAGTGGGGACCGGACGAGCCGAGGGCAAGAAGGACATCGCCGGAGCGCATGTTCTCAGTGTGGGGGAGGATAGCGCGGGCATTCTCACCCACGGTGTTGATAGCGCCGACAGCGGCACCGACGGCATCATAGGAGTCGTCGATGAAGAGGCCGGGCATCTCGGCGGTCTCACCACCGATCAGAGCACAGCCAGCCTGGACACAGCCCTCTGCGACACCGGTGACGAAGGCGGCGGCGGTGGCCACGTCAAGGTGGCCGCAAGAGTAGCAGTCAAGGAAGAAAAGGGGCTCGGCACCCTGGACGACGAGATCGTTGACGTTCATGGCCACGAGATCGATACCCACGGTGTCGTGGATGCCGACCGAGTGGGCGATCTTGAGCTTGGTGCCGACTCCATCGATGGCTCCAATCAGGGTTGGCGAGAGAGGGTGGTAGGAGGATCCGGCAGCAGGGAGAGAGAAGAGACCACCGAAGCCACCGATGACAGCGTCGGTACCGGGGCGCTTGGTGCGGCGGACGGAGCTCTTGATCTGGTTGACGAGCTCGTTGCCGGCGTCGATGGAAACACCAGCCTGGGCGTAGGTGAGCGAGGTGTCGGCGGTCTGGCGGAAGGCGCGGTGGGCAATGTCCTTGCGATAGAACATGTCCTCGAAGCTGATGGTCTTAATGCCTTCGTAGCTCTTAGCGACGGCCTCCTCGAGGGTGGCGGCAGTGGCTGTGGAGGCAATCACGCGGCCTCCAGCGGTCTGCAGCTCGTTGCCAGACAGAGTTGTGCCAGCGTGGAAGATGAGGGTGCCAGCGGGCGCAGGGGCGAGAGTGATGGTCTTTCCCTTGGCGTAGGCGTTAGGGTAACCGCCAGCAACAGCAATGACGGTGGTGGAGAAGTTGGGCTCGATCTTGATGGAGACGCCATCCAACCAGTGGTCGGCGCAAGCCACCATGATCTGTGCAAGATCGGTGTCCTTGCTGAGCAAAGGCAGCAGAGTTTGGGTCTCTGGGTCTCCGCCACGGACATTGTACTCCAGGACCTTGGGTCCGTTCTTGGTCATCATGAGACCGGTGAACAAGATACCAACGAAGGGGAAACCTGTATGCAGTGTTAGTGACAGGCTGTGGAGAGGTGTAAAGCTAGGTGATCATACCGTCCTTTCGCATTCCATCAATGGAAGGCTGGATGATGGTGCGGTCAATCTCATCCACGACCTCCTTGGGTGCGATGCGTGTAGGGGCATAGCAGCCCATGCCACCAGTGTTGGGACCCAGGTCACCATCAAAGATACGCTTGTGGTCTTGTGCCGGGGGAAGGGAGCGGATAGTGTATCCGTCACTGAAAGTGAGGATGCTCAGCTCATCACCCTCCAAGTACTCCTCGATCACGACCTCATCGCCGGCCTTGCCGAACTGGTGATCCAGCATCATTTCCTTCAGGGCCTTGTGGGCCTCCTCTTTGGTAGTGGGGATGATCACACCCTTACCACCAGCCAGACCATCAGCCTTGATCACCACATCGTGCGAGACCGAGTCGAGGTAGCGGCGTGCAGACTCGTAGTCAGAGAAGTTCCCGAACTCAGCGGTGGGGATCTGGTGGCGCTGCATGAAGTCCTTGGAGAAGGTCTTGGAGCCCTCCATGCGGGCAGCAGCCTTAGAGGGACCGAAGCATCGAATGCCGACTAATTTACGACAGACATGTTAGAGTCATTCTAACCAATTGGTCTTGAGGGTGTCAAGGCACGAGTGGGCATGTGACTCACCAGCTTGGAAATAACCCTGGATACCATCGACGAGAGGTGCCTCAGGGCCAGGAACGACAAGGTTCACCTGGTTCTTCTGAGCAAATGCCACAAGGCCTGGGTAGTCGTCACCCTTGACATTGGCGTTGGTGATCTTGCTGTTGGTACCCAGACCAGTGCCACCGTTTCCGGGTGCAACGTAAACGATGTCGACGAGGGGAGACTCGCTCAGCTTCCAGGCGAAGGCATGCTCACGGCCACCATTGCCGATAACGAGAATGCGCAATTGTTCGGAAGCCATGGTTGGAGCAAGATCTCGACTATGGTGATGTTAGCAAGGAGAACGCCCGCGGGGTATAGAATGCCCCTCCACAAGCTCCACACGGGGAGTGAGTCAGAGAGCAATGGAAGGATAGCGAAAGTGATGGGACAATTTTTAAAAAAAGAAACATTTTACTCACCTCGCAGAGATCTGAGAAGCAAATTAGCAACTTGTATAAGGGGGATCAAAAGGTCGAAGAGGTTTAAACTTTGCAACTTTTTTTCTTTTCCGCGGGCGTTTCTCCGACCCCAGAATTCCCGATGCGATCTCGGCCGGGCATATCTTTTTGCTTTTGGTTATTAGTTTGCTTATTAGTCGTTTGTAAACAAAAATGAAAATTTATAGACTGAATTTTTATTTGACAGATGAGGATTGTTTGGGTAGAAATATCTTCGTGTATACTCTTGTGTGTTTCTAATCTTATAATAGAACCAGGATGGCTAGCTTATATAGCCTCTATAAGGGGAGAACCAGTCCAATTTGGGCATCCGAGTTAGTTAGTCATCTACCTATGTTCCCAATGACAGCAAATAGAAGAATGCAGTCTATCGACATGTACGGAGGAATCATACATCATAAACGCGTCTAATGGAATAACTATGAACGTAGGTACGAACAAAGCCATTTCTCTGGTATTCGGGCATCGACGCCTCAGGCAACAAGATAAGAAAGCGGTGACGCTAATCTGGCGGCAGAAAAAAAACGGAGTCGCCATTTGTCGCCATTTGGCCGGCTTATTGACGGGTTGCGTGCATTGAATTCTTCATTTTCATTTTTGTGGACTTATGCACTCGACGTTTCTCCCAATTATCTCCCCAACAGCGGTCTGAATGCTTCGGACCTCGTTGCGGTCTGTCACAGGCCCTGTGCGCCGACATGTTTGTCTCTCCTGTTTAGCTCGCCCCGGGGCGCCCAGTCTGCGCCAGTTTCACCACGTATCTACGCTCCGGACCGAACTCAGCGAGAGCAAGCCGGAAGTCCAGTCGGTTGACGCGTCGATTGAGCCTTCGGTACAAGCGTCGAAAAATGTACGACAACGGTCCAAAAAGAAGAAATATGTTTCTCCAATGGATATTCCCACGTGGGACGCGCTGAGCAAAACGCAACGATCCAATTACAAACAAAGACACAAGGGGGCATACGAGAGATTCAAACCGATATTACTCGCGGAAAGGCCTCATCTTTTGGTTCATATTCAACGTCGCCTGGAGCTTCAGCAACTACGGTCAGAGGCAACACCGTCGGAAGCATCACAGGGGGAAGCGCCACAGGGGAAAGCGCCACAGTCAGAAGCACAACAGGTGGAAACTAAAAAAATCAAAGCCTTGCAAGAGAAAAGGGCCAAAATAACGCCCGAGGAGGCGGTTATAATAATGAAAAAAGCCAAGGTGGTGGAGGCCGAGCTGCTGGCAGCCAAACTAAAGGAAGAAGATGGCCCCAAATCACAAAAGATTAGCCAGTGGGTTCAGCGAGAAGAAGCCCGGATAGCCAAGCTTGAGGCTGAAGTCTCTGGACAAAAAGAGCAACCCAAATCCGAGACTCCAAATGATGCCGCAACAAAAACACCCGCGGGGAAGCCAGTTAATGGGATGAAGAAGACCAGTGCGCTCAATTTGAAGTCAAATAGCAATATCGTGGCTCAAATACTGGAAAGCACCTCTAAGAACAATGTTCCAAGCCCGGAAAAGTCACCCAAGCAAGCCCCGGCCAAGCAGAAGAAAGCTGTGTCGCACCTCGCCAAGCATATCGAGTCTCAAGAGCACGCGTCTCTCTCTTCAGACGAGCTTTCATTGAAAGGTGAGTCTTCAGCTATACCACATTGATTTGAATGTACACTAATTTTCGACTCCAGCGGTGGATGCCCCCATGCCTCCGGTCCCAGGAGTCTCCTTTGGTCTCGACCGAGTCCTCTTTAAGTAAGTTTTTTTTTCCTCTTCAATATTTCACCCAGTCTGTGATCGGTATGCTAAGATAAAACAGTCCTGGTGTCTACCAACTGCGTGATCCCCGGTCCCGTGTCTACAATTTCGACCCATACCTGGGCCAGATTATGCCCGTGACGGAATTCGACTTTGATTCCTTGAAGCCGTATATCACCTCATCTAAAGATGTGGTAGCCTGCGAAATGGCCGCGCAAGAGAAGAAGAAATACTACGGCTCGTCGTCAAGTATGACCTCAGCCCTGTCTCACTTCCATTATCTGCTATCCGCTTGGCGACCTATCGATACTCGCCGCATCTCCCAGGGCTTCTCAGACAATCTGCGCACCTTCACTCGCCTCCTTCGAGCACCGACTGCCATGTTCCTCCACTACAAGGAGAAAGAAGATGTCTACGCTATCGACGCCGACAAGGAATACGACAGTGCTAATATCCTCATGAACCTGGGCAAGTCAATGGAGAAGCTCCTCACTCTCCCAAAGGAAGAGTTCGAGCGCTACCGCCGCACTAGCGAGAACAAGATCACACCCGAAGAAGAAGAAACCGTCCCTGAATCCTACCACTACACCGGCATTGGCAAATTCCTCATGCGCTCGCAGCTCGACGCCTACGATCCCAGACTCCCAGGAACCGGCATGTTCGATTTGAAAACCCGCGCCGTAGTCTCCATCCGTATGGATGCCGCAAACCACGAGCGCGGAATGGGCTACGAGATCAAGAACCGTTTCGGCATGTACGAGTCCTACGAACGCGAATACTTCGACATGATCCGCGCCGCCTTCCTCAAGTATTCCCTGCAAGTGCGCGTCGGCCGCATGGACGGCATCTTTGTCGCTTACCATAACATCGAGCGCATCTTCGGATTCCAATACATCAGTCTCCCGGAAATGGATCAGTCGCTGCACGGTCAGAGTAACACCGCTCTCGGAGACAAGGAGTTCATCCTGAGTCTCGGTCTGTGGGAGAAGGTTCTCGACAAAGCCACGAAGAAATTCCCCAAGCAATCTCTTCGCTTCCACTTCGAAACCCGCGATGCCCAAACTCCCTTCATGTACATCTTCGCCCAGCCCGTGACTTCGGATGAAATCCACGCCATCCAGACCAAGAACCACGCCGAGATCGAAGCCTTCCAAGAAAAGCTCTTCAATCCCGAGAAGTTCGCCAAGCAACAAGCCGAACTCGAGTCTTCCATCTCGGATAAGCCACTCGTTGAAGAAATCACGGAACCCGGCAGCCAACCCAAAATCCAACCCCAGACTTCAACCGAACCCGAGACCTCAACCGAAGAAACCGACGCCTCAACCGAATCCAACACCCTCGATTCCAGCGAGCCCGTCGACCCAACTCTCGTCTCCGGCGAACAACCCGCCGAAACAGAAGCCGAAGCCGACGCCGACACCTTCGCCATTCCCGAACCAACCAAGTCCGAAGCCGAGAAACCCGATGACTATGTCGAGGATCTCCTCGCCATGACGCTGGTCATCCGGAGCAAGATCAACGGCGAACCCGTGGAACGACCAACACACATCAACCGCAACGACAAGTGGACTGTGGACTACGAGCTGGACGAAGTCAGCGTCGAGCGAGGCAATGAGCTGCTGCGGATGTGCAAGCGCCGTCGTAAGCTCGTACTGGAGAAGACGGCCGAGGAGGACGTCAGTGATCGCAATAATGAGTATCTGACGCGGTTGCGCAAGCTCAGCGAGCAAGGACGGATTTTCCGGAAGAGGGAGAACAAGAAGGATCGGGAGCGGGGGATTGTGATTTATGAGGATTTGAGTAGGAAGGATGTGAAGGCTTAGATTGGGTGTTTGGATGTGGGATGGGATGTCCCTTGTAAAGTATGAGATCATTCTTCTCTTGCATTTTGTACTGTACTTTTTGAGTCTGTTTATATATTCGTGGTGTTGAATTGCAATGCGTTTTGAGTATATGCTTCTATCTTAGTATTAATGTCGAGTATTAGTATTTCCTTGCATTGTATGTCTGAAATTACACCGAGTTACCGAAAAGCCTGGCAGATGTGAAATATTAACGATATGTGATTCGAACGTCCGCTGCCAAAAGAAAGGACTCGGAATCGTCAAGAGAACGACTCCGACACTGGTTTGACTACCGATATACTACCTAGTAAACTCCCTTTGAAGAGTTCCCGCTGCAACTTTTTCTCACTCCGTGGTATCTAATAGATAATTGACTTGGTCTAGCTAGCTCGGTCTTTTTAATTTACACGATATACGAAACAATCCTCCGTGGATATCATCTGGCATAGTGTACGACCATGTGATGATCACCCGGGCAGTGTCAATAGCAGCCCCAAGACAGACATATTCAGGCAGTAAATCTGATTTGCATTGAAACCTATCCTTAAGGACTATACACCTTCGCAATGAACGCCATGTCAAAGTACGGAATGGATAGGAAACAGGGAAACAGGGATATTGATTGCTTGGAGCTTCGATACGATGTATGGAGGCATGGATGTATTGGGTTGATTGGAATGAACAAAGGTTGAAAATGAGTATGAAAACGCCTGGAGAAGTGGTCTCCGTGAAAAGAAATTGGAACGCCAGGGTATCAATGCCGACTGGCCGGTTTCGAGAAACGGTAATTGGTAATAGGGCTTGTAGGGCTAATGAGTTAATGAGTAGGATGTAATAAGATTCACAGGAAGAAAGAAAAAGGGAAGGGAAAGGATGTGCAGAAGCCTGGTTCGTCGTATGTATGTATTGCAAGAGCCAGGCTTCGGTTCGGTTTGTGGTGGGAGGTATGCGGAGGGTGCTGTACAAGGGAAGGGAAATGGTTTGGTGGATGTGACAGAGGCTACTGGAGCTCCTGCAGGTTGAGTTTTGGGGGTGCCCAGTCTAGCTGGGGTGGTTTGTCATTGTCCACGCAGAGAGGTGAAGGACGCACTGCGTCCGCTCGGCGACGTTCTCTCAAGGCGGTGCCACTGAGGAAGCCCCTTAGGGTTGATGAGGCCATGCCATAGGCGCTGCGCGCGCTGCCGGCGCCTATTGAGGCACTGCTGTGAGAACTGCGTGCACTGCGGACACTTTCCGCCTTTCGGACCACTGGAGGCACAGCTGGAACGGGCAACGCTAGGCGGGAACCGGGATTGGAAGAACCATAATCGGATGGAAGAATTTGTGCAGCACGGGCGGTATGTGGGCGGCGAGAATTGGATCGAAGACGTTTTGGCTGAAGAAGGCCGGCCTCAATGGTCGGTGAGGGTGGAGATGGACTGCTAGAAGTCTCTGACAATCGGATGGAAGCAGGTCCATCTGACGGAGATGTTGATGTGCGGATTTCATCTGCCGATACGGACACATCGAATTTAAGATTGTCAAGCATTGTGCTAAGGCTGGCTGCTGTTCCGGGTCGTCCATCGCTGGCAGAATCTTCATTGATAGTCTCAACCCCATGGGCGAGGTTGTAGTTGCGTTGGAGATATCGATCAAGCCGGGCAACTTCGGTGTCCCATCTCTGGTTCAGAGACTGCAAGACTAATTCAACGTTGTGGTTGGCGAATGGGGAGTGCTCCAAGGATGAAACAACACTTGCTGGGGGCACCTTGCTTAGCCTGTGCCCTTGACCCCCCTGACCCACAGTCATCGCTGCATACAAGGAGCGCCGAATGGAATTTCCAGTGGAAGAGTGGTTGCTGTTGCTAGCCTCCCATCGAATCTTATCAACCTCTCGGCGTACTTTGTCGAGAGACATGATTCGATCTTGGTTCATACAAGAGAGTGTAAGCAGGGTGCGATTGCACTGAAGGCCGTTGACCAATACTGTAAACGACTGGAGGTTGATGTCGTTGTTCTCACAGTGTACTTCACGTAGCGAACTATTCTCTTCCAAGACAGAGGCCAGCGTGTTCGCACCTTGAAGGCCGAGTTTCTGATGCTCAATCCTCAAGACTTTTAGGGACGTATTTTTCTTCAGACCAGTCAACGCAAGATTGAGACCGATGCCGAATCGTGCAACATCGAGGTGCGCATTATCTCCACTGATGTCCAATGCCTCGAGAGAGTTATTATCCTCAAGCATCAATTGCAAAGATCGACAAGTCTCAGGCCCCGCATCGTATGGGAGAGATGCTTTCGAAATATCCAGGAACTTCAGGGTACTGTTCTTCCGAAGCGAGTCAACCAACTGACGGAAATGATCCTCTCTCTTGAAATCGATCATGCGCATCGACAGGTGCGAGGGCGTTTTGTCCTTTGCGATAGCATTGAAAATGTGAGAGCATCCATTGTCGAGGCGGTTCTCGTTGACATGAAGATGGAGACTGCGCGGGGAATCAGATTCGATAGACATCGAATGCATAAACATAGCGACATCTTCTCCAGTCAGACCACACTGGTCAAGTCGGAGCACACGAAGGTTTCGAGAGCGATCGCTAGCAAGGTAAGTTGCAATAGCATCCACGGTCTCGCGGTTGACAGCTGTTCGACTGAGAGCCAGCTCTTCAAGTCGCCAGTTGAACAACATTTCGGCCGTGATAAGCGGGTCTGTGCCAGAAGTGCGCGAGATGCGAGATAAGTTGATTTTGCGGATCTGCCCGAAGTAGCCGATGTATTGCTGGAGTACATCGGGATTTAGTCGGCCCTGCACGCCTGAAATGTTGATTGCTTCGAGTGTTGATTCTTGGGCGACGATAGTGGATAGAAGAAGGTCCAGGTCATGGACAGACAATCCACAGTCTCCGACCTCCAGAGCTCGCAGATGACTCCGCCTCTGCGATGCTGCATCAACAAGATAGTCCAGATCAGACTCACCCAGTTTGATGCCATTGAGCACAACCCAATCCACACTAGTCAATTCCCGGCGACACACAGGGAAAATCGCCTCTGGAATTCCACAACCTGGGTCACGAGTGCCCTTTTCTAAAGTCGGCGTCGGTATCCGTGTAAGGCAGTATGAGAAATCGAGTCGGCGCAGCCATTTACTCTTCAAAGCCAAAGCGCGCACCTCTTGCGAGAGAACCGTCAGATTTGCCTGGCCCGGAATGTGCACGAAGCAGCCTCCTCTGTCGAGATGGGCATCGGAATCAGCTCCATGAACATCACGCAGGCCCTGCAATGCATCAAGATTGACACCGCGGAATGAGATTGACCGGAAGGACTCGTTGTAACGAAGTGTGCGCATCACCGCAATGAGTTCCAAAGCAGTATACCTAGAAGTCTTTGGCGAAGCAGGCTTGAGAAGACGGAAGCATGGAGCATCCTCGCATTCCAGATCGATGGTGTATCGGATGTTCGAGGTGTCGATATCATAACTGGCGGAATAGGCGACCAGTGTCCGATCGAGACATCCATAATCCTCATCTAGAGCAACGGGTGGGAAATTGTCGTCATTTTGCAGTTCTTTCGGAACAACGAATTCGTACGGCTGTCTCGTCCACAATGGACGCAGGTATTCAGTGTGTTGGCGAATCCAGCAAGCTACTTCAACAGAATGAACAGAGGCCAGGAACATGTTGAATGACTTCTTGAGAGGAACCCGGAAAGTCAAATGCAGGCTGTCGTCACCGTACTCCATGGATAATCCAGTCAGATTCATCAGGCCAAATGAAGTACCGGCATCCCAGTCTGACAGGGATACCACCGATGATCGATTGGTGGTCTTCTGCATGGGAAGCAGGTGAAGTTTGTGTGCGCCAATGGCAAGATAGCAACCGGTAGGCGATAATTTAGTGAGATCGTCAGAGGAAGAGCGGGTGATTGACTTGCTGGACGCAATCTGAATGACTCGGAACATGCGGAATGATTCCGGGTCATAGTCTCGTTCGTGTTCCAGCATACGAGTTACATACTCGACCGATCCCATGCTAAATGGCATTGGAGAATTTGCTCTAGCCATCTGTGCAGCTTGACGAATACCCACCATCCAGAGGTTCAATTCTTGCAGATCCGATGTCTGCATTTGGACCAATGTGGCTTTGTGCGTGCGCTCATCGAGATAGGCCACTTCGACCGATGGAGACAATCGTGCATCCTCCAGCATGTACACTGCGATGATACTGTTTAGTGGAATCCCAGCCGATGAATCTCCCGATGCCATCACCTGCATATCCTGCAGAGAACTGATTGACGCCACCGATTGGCGATGGGCTGCCGGAGCCCGGGTGTAGGAAGCGGGGATCGAAGCAAAGACATCGGCGGCTTTTCCTTGGTTTTTGAAGCGAACGATATGTGTATCCGTGAGGACCAAATATTGACTCTTTTTCCTCCACATGCCTCCAGTCATTTGAACTGCCCCATGGTGCAGGAGTGCAGAGGACCAAATTCCGTTCCGGGGGTTGTTTGTAGTTTGCTCGTCCCCCACCGAACCGACAGAGCCACTCAGAGGCTCGTCATCCTCCCAGGAGTGCAATGACCTCAGGGATCCAAAAACCGAAGTTCGCTTTTTCTGGAACGACTTCCGCCGCGGACGAGGGGTTTCGTTAAGGGATGCAGATGTCGACCCGCCGGCTGTATCGGAGCCTGCCGTTCCAGGGCGACGGTGATTTGACCCATCGGATCCTCTGCTGGGACTGTGAGATCGTCCGAAAAATCCGGAATTGCGGCGGGCTTTCTTGTCTCGGGTCAGGGTGTCATCCGAGGGTGTTCGATTATGAAGTGGAGGCCGGGAGGGGTTCGGTATTGTGAGGGAGGGAGCGAACACACTCAGGCTCTTTCTTCGTTCGCGTTTGCCGATAATTTCAGCCATGTCGGGGTTTCGATGTGTGCTGGTGATACAAAAGCAGGGAGGGGGAAGCGCAAGATACTGGGAGACCAGTGACACGAGTGAACTGAGAAAGGAAGCTTTAAGTCATCGACGACGTCAACGTCGTTTGTACTGGAGATCAATTAGCACCCAAGAGACAAATCATGGCGATATAGACAGCGTCAGAGGGTGAGGCCCATAGTATCGAGCGGAGAAAGAATGAGGGGAAGGTAGCACATACTGTCGACCGTCACAACGCCATGGGAAGCAATCAGTATGCAATTGCTAACAATCAGCGAGAAAAAAAAAAGAAAAAGAAAAAGAAAAAGATAGCACCGCCTAAAGCGGGACTAGTGGATATATCTAGGACAGCTTCCCAATTGTGTCAGGCACCTGTCAACAATGTGGCGATGGACTGATGGTTGCACCCAGACTGGCCGGAAGGGGAACCCCGGGGCAAATTGTATGATATCAGGGCCAAAGGCGGAGAATCCTTGGGCTAATAGGCGATGATCAATCGGATTGATAGGTCTTTTTTTTTCCTTTTCCCACAATGTCAGTTTGAGCCAGTCAGAGATCAGGACTGCCGATCTTAGAGCTGGAGAGCTGGGGAAAATGCAGAACGTGGGAGGAAGCTTGAATCGAAGCCCGAATGCAGACAGAAGATGGAAACAGCCTAGACGTACAGGGGATACGTAAGTTATGACCCTCCACGGGGAAAAACTGGAGAGGGAGAGAGAGAGAGATGAGGTAGGGGAAAAAGGAGGAATGGACGGATGCACCCAAATGGCCCCAACTGTAACTGTCCGATCACCAACTTTTGTATGTTTCAGGTGGAGATCTCTTGGTTTTTTTTTTTTTTTTCTTCTTTTTTTCCTTCTCGTCGTCTCTTTTTTGGTCTCTTCTTTGGATTTTAATTTAATTTAATTTATCTTTGCCAATAGGTACAAGTACAGTGGACATGCTCTCATTTGAAGGCAAACCGGGGGGGAACCTTCAAACTGGTCAGCATCGCTTATTTATACCAACGTTAAAAAAGACCTAAGACATGTGTTCGCGACATATCGAATTGCATATTCGATCTCTACAGCCACGTCAGAGGCGTACTCCACCGCCACCAGCTAGAGCTGATAGTGCCCTATAGCAGGGGTTATTTTCCGTAGTAGGTTGGAGCTACTCCTCTTTGGTTAGCATGCTCGGCATCCTGCCAGGGATGACGATCCTGGCCCTTTTCCGCATCCGAGTTAGGAATCAAGCTATACTCATGGTTCATCTCCAAGGCTTGTCCGATCTACAAGATGAACACAACATTATAGGATGATGGGGATCCACCATCGAAACAACGATCGGCAATTAATGCACTCCACGATGTTGCTGCTTCTAGGGGCAACTGACGTCTCAGGCCCGCGCAATTGGAGATCACAATCGATCAGCATGACAATCAGGGGGAGGAGCACCTCGGAAACCTGGCGTCATCGGTGACGGAGTGCAATTCGAGACCATCGGATGGTGGAAGGAGGCAGCCATTCACACTTCATTTCTGTAAGGCCTTGCAGGGCTGGGTGACTGGGAAATGAACCATCCGGATATCCCGGGGAAGCGCCAGGGGTAATGGCTTGAATCCATTGACGAAGAGAGAGGTCCAGGCTCAGATCACTCAAATACCATGTGATTATCGAACCATACGGTTAAGACTCCTTATTATCGACGACTGCCCTCCGCTCTTTCGGCCTCATATCGCTCAGCCCGTTTGATCCGCCTAACCAGCTCAATGTATTCCGTGACACGTTTCTCCTGCCAGATACAACCGCCCAGAGTCATAGCCGCAACCTGCAAAAAGACCTTGAACTGCGGGGTGAGACCGCGGTAAACACGGGAACCCGGAGAGATCCAACTAGAGAAGCCCTCGAGCGGGCGGTGGAAAAGTCGTGACCGGAGGTAGTCACGGGAGAAGATGGACGGGCGTGGACGGGGTTGAGTCGCGGGGTGTGCCGGCGGACCTGGTGCCGAGAAGACGAATGGATGGGGGAGAGCGAGAATCATATGAGCCAGGATGGAGACAGAGCCAAACTTGGAAACATGAGCAATTGGATATGAACAACTTCAAGGCCGATTGCTTACGCGGAAGACCCCGGTCATGAAACCTTGGGCGGCAATCCAAGAGATTTCATCCGGGGGATCAATTTCACTTCTTTGAGTCGATGGTGACGGCATTGTAGCGGTATATCTACGGAGTATTTGAAGGTGCAAATGCGATAGCTTGGGAAAGGAAGTAGGGCGGATGTCTCCGATCCTTATCGACGCCCGAGTTCGGGAGATAAAAACGAAAGTCCAGACACAATCCTCGACGGGGTTCAAAGCCGAAGATCAGTATCAAAGACAAATCATAGAAGAATCAAAGCCCGGACCAGCCAGTGTCTCGAAATCGTGAAACATGCCAGCTCTCTACCCCAGTCGAGCCAGTAGTGAACCTCCCGAGTCAAACAAAACGGATCAACGATTCTCCACGCGGGCGACTCAGATAAAAAAAGAAATCCGATGATCAACCCGCATTTACTCCAGACCAACCCCAATCCTTAATCCCTAATACACCAATCTCACAAACACATCTCAAAAATGCCTCTTCCCGCCCGCACCGCGACCATCTCGCGGGCCACCAACGAGACCAAAATCCAGATCTCGCTCTCCCTCGACGGCGGCGTCCTCCCACCCTACGAACCCTCAACCCACTTCCCCGCCCCAACAGACCCCCAAGAAGCCGAAGCCGCCAAAAAGGGCATCGTACCTTCCAAGGAAGCCGCCCATGCCACCCAATTCACCCCCACCCAGCAGATCACCATCAGCACCGGTATCGGCTTCCTGGACCACATGCTGCACGCACTGGCGAAGCACGGCGGCATGAGTCTGGCAGTTCGCGCAAAGGGCGATTTATACAGTGAGTCATCCAAGCATCCAATCAACGCTCCAATGAAGAAAATATATATACTAACACGTCCCCGCAGTCGACGACCACCACACAACAGAAGATACCTTCCTCGCACTGGGCGAAGCCTTCACCGCAGCGCTGGGCGCACGGCAATCCCTCGAGCGATTCGGACGCGGCGACGCACCCCTCGACGAGGCACTGTCGTGGGCTGTGATTGATCTCTCCAGCCGGCCGTGGGCGGTCATCGATCTGGGCTTTAAGCGCGAGAAGATCGGTGATTTGAGCACGGAGATGATCACGCACGGTCTGCAGAGCTTCGCGCAGGCAGCGGGTGTGACTCTGCATGTCGGATGCACTTATGGTGATAACGACCACCACCGTGCGGAGAGTGCGTTCAAGGCTCTTGCAGTTGCCATTCGCAACGCTTGTAAGCGTAGGGTTGCGGGTGATGTTGGTGCTGGAGATGTTGTCAGCACCAAGGGTGTTTTGTAATGTGCCCAGGTGATTAGATGGAGATTGTAGATAAAAGCGAGATTACCTTATGAATGAGATGAGATGAGCATGTTAGACCGGGTCTAGATTGGTGTTAATATGAAATGAAACGCGAACAAGTTTTGTATATCAACTTCATTTCTATTTTTCTATATGCCTATTCCCCATATATAACCCATCAATTCATCAGATAACCATATGCATATCAGACCCAAATCCAACAAAACACTTCCAAAACCAACGCCGGAGCAAGCCAAAAAACATCTTATCCAACTCAATGCCTATCCAACTCAAAGGTACCAGGTATTCATCTCAATACCTATCCACCCCAACACCCACCCCAACATCTAAACCCCCAACGCCTTAACAGCCCTCTCCCAATACGCCTTCCGGTCCTCAGTAACCGAAGTCCCCACACAGTCAGAGATATACCGCTGCCACCCAGTCTCCGATCCATCAGCAAGCGCCGCACGCACCTCCTTCGAGCACTGCGTAGTAAGGAACCAAGCCCCCGAGCCGAAATCAATAGCCCCGTCGCTGCGCAGCAGATCAAGAAGATCAGCAGGACTGTCGCTCACACCAGCAAGCTGGTCCTCCAACGCAGGCAGCGAAGAAGCATATTTCTTATTAAACGAAGGAGATTGCATATTGCGTGCTGGGATGGTTAGCATCCATTGTACTTAGTACTTACTCCGTATACGATACAGAGATCTGTGGGAGGAGTTGCTTACTGCCTTGTCCGGCAACGCCGGGGAAATGGTTCTTGTTGTATTTGAAATCGCCGCTTTCGAAGGCCATGAGACTGATTATGGCGGCCTGTTCAGCTTTTGAGGTTACTTTGTAGGTTTCGAAGGACTCGGATGTGAACGCGGCGGCTTGTTTGGCGGTGGCGCATTCGCCTTTGGCGGGGGCGTCGTCGCAGGTGGTGGATTTTGGGGGAGATGGTTGTGATTTGGGATTCTGTTAGGGCGGCATCGCGGGTGAAGAGGGAGAGGGGGAGTGGTGTTGCGGTTGTTTGGATGGTGAGGGTTAGGGTGAGGGAGAGGAGGAGGGTTTGGAGATGCATTTTTTTTTGTAGATAGTTGAGATGTAGGTATAACAGGATACTGGGTTATGAGGGACTACCAGTATTCAGATCCTATGAGAGGAATTCGTATAGATCTCTAGGCAGGGAAGAGACTTTGTTCTGGGATGAAGTTATAGTGCGGCATACAACACTGTCTTTATAAGACTGCCTACATGTCTGGCAGAGGCAGACGGCGACCAAAACAGGGGGTGGCATTTGTACAATGTAGCTGGGACATACACAGGGGAGTCGGGAGATATCTTCCTGGTCTAGTATGTATTGTGTACATTGTAGGCTAGACGCGGAGAATGCTGGTGGTGTCAAGTATGTCGGATGACGGCAGCCGATATCAAGGCAGAACACCAACGTCATAACATGACTTGTCTGGATGTGTAACTGACTGGAACATGCTTTGAAGAAGAAACATCAAAGCCCCCGATTTGATAGGACGGTCAAAAAGCTTAGCTGTGATGGATTAGCCATGCAAGGCACCCGCGCGGTGTCATTGGAGAGGAGTTAGGGTTTCGTGGTTCTTGAAACACAGCTTGAGAGAGTCGACGACGGCAGTCTAGGAGGGGTTAATCGGTTCGATCTCGTTGGTTATGGTAGGCTCTATGGGTAGAAGGTGATAAAGTATATAAATATACCTGAAACACTACCCTGGAGTGACAGAGTGATACGTCGAATTATCAGCATGAGGGTAGATTTTTCGAAACATGGCTTACTTCGGAAATGACTTTACTTCTGGTTCATCATAGAGTACTCTGTACTGTCAATTCATGAACAGGGAAATATTTGAGGCATTGATTATTGTTTCATCATGCTCGGAGATATATCCGAGTGCAAATAGCCATGCCCATCCCCCACCGTCTCTCAAGAAGCGAAATCTAACGTGTTTACAAATCAATAGACAAAAAAAAATAATAATAGGAGAAGACAGCGAAGCAAGGCCAAGACACAAGGCATTGGGGAGAGCCATCTGCGCACATGTTCAAAAGCAAACCCAATTGCTCCAGGTGAGCTATCAATCCAGGATCCCGCCACAGGATTGAGACACCATGCATAATGCGCTCCTAAACACAGAAAGAAAGGGCAAAAAAGTTGTACAATAAATGCTGATGCAGAAATTCATGTCCAAGGGTGTATCGATACAGACAAAATACACTTGGGAAGGAAAAATGGCGAAGTTTGCGAGTCGAGAAGTCAATCTCTAGATCTCTTAGTCATCACGCCGCCCGAGTTCGTAGGAAGTCTCTGTGACCCCGCCGAGCTCTTCGTCTTCTTTGAAGCTGACGCGGCGCAGGAGTGTAGGGACACTCAGTCGCGAACGTCGTGTTGGCGACGTCGAGAGTCGGGATGGGTTGATGGATGGCACTTTGGTGTAGCGGTAACGGTACTTGGCTCCCAGGAGCATAATGCGCCCGTAGCTCCACCAGAGGCAGAATCCAACGACTCCAGCGAGAAGGAAGCCGCAGATGGTCAGGAAGACCCAGTGTTGACCCATCTGCCGAAATGTTAGCATTCTGAAATGTCAATCCGACCAGTTTGTGAGATCACTTACCCAGAAGATCAAGTGCGCATCCTTGCCATGCCAACTGTTACCCCGATGGTGGGTGAAGAAGCTCCATGAGAACTTGTTATACTCGTCCTGCATGAGGATGCGCACGCGCCCTGCCTCGCTCGGTCCATCGCGCATATACTCCTTCCAGATGACAGACAAGAACAGCGGTCCCGTCGAGTACATGACCGTGATGTAAGGAAGGAGCCAGTGGCGATCGTACTGCTGCAGAACCTCGATCGTTCGAAGGAAGAATGGGTGTTGTGGTACGGAACCCATTGCATCGTTCGAAATGCCGGTGGGCGCAGTGCGGCGAACCCACGCGGGATAAGCCAGAAGGGGATCCAAACGACGATTGCAGCCCTATTTGATTGTTAGAACTGCACCAATGAAATGTCAAGACCTCGCCAATTGTACTCACATCGTCCAGATCAATGTATGTTCCACCATAGTGCGCCAGCACGAAGTACCGAATTGAATCTGCGCGTTGGATAGGGTAGCTGTAGCCATCGAAGGTGGCTAGGAACCAAGGATATTCGGCGGCGATAAACTCGCGCGACTTCTCGTTTGTCCAGAGCTAGACGGCGCATGTTAGAAGCCTGCATCGCAAGCTGAGTTCTGGGGAATGGTGACGTACAATGTAATCGTAATCGGGATGTAAGTCGATGCAACTCTGTTGAGCCTCTTGCCAGACCTCTGGAATGGTCTCGTTCTTGTATGTTTGGTGGATAATCTTGGGGATAATCTGAGGGCGATTTTCGATCAGACTCGAATTGGGTGATGGCAGTTCAGCGCGGTGTATAGCGTCGGCGGCGGCATCTTCGACTAGTAGCGATAGAAGGGTCGAGACGCTGCGCACGAGGAATGAAAGAATGAGGAGGTTGATGAGGAGGAAGATCAAAAGACCGCGCCGCATGGTGAAAGTTGGGCGACAGACGTCGAGTAGGAGAAGCGTAAGAACCAATTGAGTATAAGCAAATCGGTGGTTTTTTTTCGTTAAGTCGTATCAAAGTTGTGTTAGACCCTCAGGCCGTTAAAGGTATTGTTGAGGAGATGCGGTGGACATAGAACCGATAAGTACTCCGTAGAAAGCGATAAACAGGGATAGGGGGAAGGTATTAAAAGGGGAGGCTAGTTCACGACAATAAGGAGAGTGGGGAGACTAAATCTAAAGAAGGAAAGGAGAGTGTTTAAAAAATGAGAAATCCTGAGGCCAAAAAAAAGATGGGGAGTTGACATAGGGGAAGTAATACAATACAGGGGCCCTAACGAGGCTGAGCCAGGGTGGCTGAAGTTGCCAGATTAACCTGGGCAGTTGGATCTGATCATTGGTGCGCAAGACCGGTGGGGCGAATAAGGGGAGTTTTTTTTTAACCTTTTCTTTTTTTACCTGCTGGCTGCCTACAAAGGTGACGCGTGTATACATCGTTCTCTCGTTGCGGTCCCTACTTTCGCCCACCCAATCTGGGAGTTGTACGGAGTACTCCGTAGCCGCCTGCTACCTCTCTCGCGATGTACCTCGGCACCTAATCGTCGCTAAAATAAGCCTAAGTCTGGCGCAAGGACTCGTCAGCGTATGGTAAACCGCTGTGGGGAAAGAACCTTGGGAATCCCCACGCCAACGCTAAGACACCGTATTGACCTAAACCTGTTTAGGCCTCTGGTCTGCCCGTTCCTTAAATGAAGCCGAGGCTATTTCACGCCTCATTGGTTTAGTAGGCCATTGGCGACTTGGCTAGTCTAACGCACAATTAATCTACAGAGTAGCATAAGCATGTTTGAGCTCCGCAATACGGAGTCCAGATAGACAGCTCCGCGCCTTTTTTCATTACATTGTAGGACTCCGTACTCCGTACTCCGTACTCCGTACAATTCTATACATAAAACTGTGCACAAACAGGTATTACCCACCCTTTCACTGTGGCGGAGGTGGGCTGGCCACGTAGGCCTTTGATAAGAACAAGGACTGGAGCATCTCAAACCCACGCGTGAGAAATAAGAACCAAGCCATGGATCCCTTGGCTACAGGCTCGGCCAAAGTGATTCCAGCACGAGAGGTAGGAATTGGCACCGATTCGCCAAGCGAACCGCCACTGCCACAGGTCCCGTGCACGGGGCAGAAGGCGATCTTTGTTGGCCACGTTGGGGGCCGTATTCGTATGTAGATGGGTATTCTTTGGGTATTCTTTGGGTATTCTGTGGAAGGATTCCTAGTCCACTCCGTACCTAGGTACTATTGTGTACTAGACGGTACACGGGGTACTCCGTCTGGAATGAGTTGGCAATATCAACATGACCCCCAGGAACGGAGCAAAGGGTACCCTGGATCAAGGCTCCATTTCCATGGGAAACCCCCAATCTGCACTTTCACCCCCCCACTGGCCCCATAATCGCCAGGCTCTGGTCCGTTGGCAACCCCATCGCCCCCAGAATCGTCAATCGTCGCCACAAAGCCCATCACCGTTCGCCCGTTTGCAATTCTTGAAACCTTCTACGGGGTATGTCATTGCCACATCGAACAAGATCGGCAATCTCTTTTCAATCTTCTCCACGTTCATTCAAACCTTGGAAGAAATCCCACAGGTGTGACGTGGTTACTTTAATTTTTTTTTATTTCGTTGGATACTCTTAATCAATTTTGAGTCGATGGAGAACACCACCTAACCCACTAACGTTGTAATACGGCCCTTGTACGGAGTACGGAGTACAAGCGTCGTGCAGATCGCCTGCCGTGTCATGTCTATCAGCGGGAATTACCCCAATCGTCCCGTAGGCGAAATGGATTCCACCAGATGTCCCATGAACGATCCTCCGTACAACACACGGAGGATGGAGTATACTGTGCGAGTCGGATATTCGCACCCTACGGAGTGCGGAGATGAGGATGTAGGTACGGACCATTCCGTAGGGCCTCCGTGCTCCGTATGGTGTCCTCCGTACAATCAACCCATCTCCCTGCTCTACTCCGTACTCCATACTCCGTATACGAAGTAGCCATAGTGGAGACGGAAGATGCATCAAGTCCCAATCCAATTCTCTGTTTGAGCCAGGCTTAGACCCCTCCATACCAGGATCGACATGGCTTTCAGGTCGCTGCATATCTCCACAGTGTACGGAGTAAGAGGGTAAGACGGGGCCAATACATGGAAAATGCACGGGGCGCGAGACGAGAATGGCCGGGTAGATTAATCTGACGTCCACACATACCTGGTAAAATATGAGGACCGTGACGGCGGAACTACTGCGAACTCAGCATGATGTGGGATGACTGGGCTGACTAGATGGTGTCATGCCAGATTCTCTGTCGACCGGGTGAGATGTGCCACCGATCATACATGTACCTAGCCGCGCTACAGCTGTGCGGTTCGTCCGTACGGAGTACTCGAATTGCAAACGTATGACTGTGCGCCACAGTTGCGCTAAGGAGGTTGGATGGAGGTAATATGCATGCAGTCGCCATATTGTTGTAGTACTCTATTTTACTTTAAAACATGTGAAAGGATGGAGTAAACAAAAGCGTGGTGGCAGGAGAGTTTGCTAGGTGGAGAGGTCGGTGGTCGGTGGTCGGTGGTCGGGCGAAGTCAAATTCCATGACACTTCGCGAGGCTCTAGTATTGTAACGCATGTCATCTTCTTAAGGTCTGCCACTGCATGCGGCTGAAAGCGGCCATGATGAAAAGACACTAATTGGAAGAAAAAAAGAATAAATCGGGTATCTGTGGCTATTTCAAAGGAAAACAAGACAAAAACAAAAATATATGCATGCACTTGCTAAACGCACACACAAGAGACAACCGAGTGTTGGCCCTTGCTTTGAGACAGATCACATTGTGCCTGGGCCAAGGGGAAACGTCCCACGCCATCAGATAAACCCTGGGAAGGGGAGCGAACTCCACCTCAAGGCTCGGTTGGTTTCATGCCTTCTCACTGACCGGAGTTCTGAACACAACCCCAACAGGGCTGCCAGTCTCCAGGTTCAGCTGGTATATCATACAATACTCGCCGAATAATGTCGAAAGCTCTCCTCCAGGATGATTTGCACGACAAGTGACTGGAAGATCGTCCAGAGCTAACTGTGTTCGCTATGAACTGACAGCGTTAATATCGATAGCCCAAAGCCAGCGTTGGGCAGCGGCCAAGGCCGACATCGGACCATGTTATATCCACGGCTCTAACCATACCATTGAGACCAGTACTTCATCGAACGAGGTCCATGGGCCTCGAAATTCCGATCCTGACTATGCATCAATTTTAATAATCTCGTTCATCGGACCTCAGGCGCCGCGGCAGCCGCAAACTCGCGATTTACATTCGCACCGGTCGCACGCTCACTGGAAGCAGGCACAGACTCAAACAAGCGCCGCCACCAGCGAGGCGGGTCAAACGGACGATGGCCGCCATGCAGCGGCGGGTAGACATCGTTGAAGAAGTACCAGATGTGGCCGACAACAACACCGAGCATCTCATCCTTCGGCACGATCCTGTGCACAATCACGCTGAATCCCATCAGTACCCAAGGCAGGTATGGGGCTGTGAAGACGAGCAATCCGAGGAAACTAAGACGGGTGTCCGGGTTGCGCCGGGCCCAGATGTACACCAGACTGGAGGAGAGTGCGCTGCCCAAGAAAGGTATTGAGAGGAAAGGCGAGATAACGAGGAGAGATGTCATGGCGTAGAAGATCAGCCATGCAAAGTGGGCTGGAGAGCGGCCGGATGATTCTTCCAGAAGACGGGAGTAGCGCTGCAGGAAGAAGACATGGAATAACAGGTCGAGGTTAAGGGGTCCGAAATAAAGGAATGTCGAGACGAGTCGCCAGTACTGCGATTTGACGTAGACAGATCGGAAGCTGTAGAATAGCTGGAATGGCGTCACGATGTGGCACTGTACCATCACTGAGGTTGCGACTGTGGCTACTGTCCACCACCGAGTAACGGGGGGCATCTCATAGAACCATTGTTCCAGAGGAAACTGGCCTAGTTGCCCATTGTTCTCCCAGAGCGCAGCCATGATCTGTGTTATGGCTTCTGGCGACGGATATCAGATAGAAATGGGAGGAAGGGTGATCACCACGAGCACAAAGAGAGCTCCAAGAGGTGTGTGCCCTCTGGGGTACTCGACGTATGACGGAGATAAGACCAGGTAGGCCACTTTATCGTCACGTGTCTGACACGAGACGCGTGTTACGTGAGAATCACGGGGGCTGGGACGCTAACGCCCGAATAGTTCATATTGGCAGCTCCCCCAGCCTCTCTCCCTTCGCAACAAAAGAAGAGTATCTAATTATGAGCGATCACGATTTTTGATCCCAACCTCTCCCTGATCAATTGAGCCTCGTGGGCAAGTCAAAAAAACTCTTCGAACCTCGGACCCAGTTCCCGCAAGGGCCCATCTCGAAAGCAAACGCGGCAATTTGCAGAACCCTCGTTGCTAGGCCAATAGCTCCCAATTGATCGATTTCCACCACCCCACCACCGAGGAAAAAAAATACCACACACCTTCCAACACCGCGTTTCCTCTCTACAATGCCGCCCAAGATGGCCCGCAAGACAGCAGGCAGCACACCGAAAGGCAAAGGGCGCAAGACAGTCGCCTCACCCGCCGATGGAGATGGAACACCACAAAAAGCCAAAGGAAAGCAATCAAAAGTCGCAAAGACCAGCACCAACATCCAACGTATGTTCCACCCGCCCAATTCACCCGCCCTGCTGTCGCGCATCCCCTCCATATCCTAACAATCCTCCAGCCGGAGACCCAACCCCCACAGGCCGCCGCCGCCGCTATAAACCCGGCACTGTCGCGCTGAAGGAAATCCGCCGCTACCAACGCTCCTACGATCTGCTTATTGCCAAACTCCCCTTTGCGCGCTTAGTCCGCGAAGTCGCGCTCGATCTCCTCCCCGCAGACGTCGGGTCCGAGCTGCGCTGGCAATCGCATGCCATCCAAGCCCTGCAGGAAGCTGCCGAGGCGTTCCTTGTTCATTTGTTTGAGGATACGAATCTCTGCGCCTTACATGCCAAACGTGTTACTATCATGCAGAAGGATATCCAGCTCGCGCGGAGAATTCGCGGAGTGTGGGGTGGGCTTGGTTGAGTTGTTTCGTCTGGTTTTTCTTTTCTTTTCGAGTTTAATATTAATCTTGCGGTGTCGTGATGGCTGTTTTTCTCCTTAGAGAGGAGATCTGCTTCAAGGGACCTTGGCGCATTGTGGGTATGGAGTTGACTTCGGCGATGTTTACTTTGCTTATTTGATGTTTCGTCCGGCTGAGGCTGGTTGAAGCTTGTGCCTGATGTGGGCTAGTTTATACCATGGTGTTTGTACATTACGCATGGATGTCGGGTACCTATGTTCTTCTTTATAGGAAGTGACGCAATTCATTATCTTCGGAGGGTGGTATGATATACATGCCCCGCGTTGAATTCAATCAATGTTATCATGTTGATGATTCTATACAACGGTCAACCTTTGAAATTGGGGCATTGAGGAATTATTTCTTGATTGGCTAGTAACCAACCCCCCCATGTACTCGGTCGAATGATGTCAGAAAAAAAAGATAATCACAGTAAATGTCCAACACCTTTCCTGGGAGCCATCAAATGGTATCGTAAACAAGCATCCCGCAAAAAGAGCTCTGAAAAAAGTAGACGGTGAAAAACCATCAAAAACAAAGGGTGGGTCGTATCATGTTTATAGAGATAAAGTCAATCAAGCTGAACGTCTTACACGAGGCGGAAGACCCGATATCAAGCGCTGGCCTTCCTCGCGGACGCTGTGCGCTTCTTCGCTCTTCCCCTGCCGCTCCAGAGTTTCAGCCAGCATGTCATCGGTAACGCTCGCCCACAGGCGGTCGTTGGCTCGTTTGGCCATTGCACGGCCCGCTCGGGCACTTTTCTCGGCTTGTTCGCCGACTACACCGCGGAAATATTTCCAGCTCATGAAGGTAAGGGTCATACAGGTGATTTGGCTGTTGCTGATTGCAGTAGCAGACTGCAGGGCTTGCTGGAGGTATTGCTTTGTTTGAATGGTTGACTCGGAGTGAACTGTTGCGCAGACCAGGTAGTAGGCTGCCTGTATATACTTGTTTGGGCTGCTTTGGCAAAAGGGCTCGAGAGTTGTGAGAACGGTGTTGAGGAGGGAGTGAGATGAGTGGCTTGGATCGCGGAGGATGAGGACTGTATTCAGGCCAGCGAGGATGCGCGTATCACGACAGGGGTCATTGCGAGCGGTTTTGCTGGTGGCTGGATCGAGGGACAGAAGTGGCGATTGGAAGACTTTCAACGCGGTATTGAGATCACCAGTCGCCTGTGCGATGGTACCGGCAGCATATTCCATCAGGCATTCGATGGTGTCCGGAAGATTGGACTCAAGTTCTTGGAAGACTTGTCGAAGGTCATTCAATGTCTGGCTAGCAAGGTCCCAATCGGTACGAGAACAAGCTAAGAAGACCCGCTGAAGAAGGAAGTTGCAGTAGAGGGACTGACGCCACTGAACTCGACGGTTGGCGTTGACCATAGATTCTGAAATTTGCTGAGGGGCTTTGAAATTGCCTTGCACCATTCGAAGTCCTTCCTCGAGGTATTTTTCAGCTTTCCGGCCATCGTATGAGTTCTTGGCACTCAACGTGATCGAGCTTAAGAAATAACAAAGTGCATAAAGATCGTGTTGAGGAAGCCAGTTAAAGCTCAAAAGCAATGTCCCATTATGAACCTGCAAGATATCACCCGTGTCAATCGACGACGGCCCGGCGGATTTACCGTTCAGAGGAACTGAGAAAGATCCATCAGGACGCCAGTTGCTATCAGTTAGTGTTTCATCCATCAAAGCTTGCATGACCTTCAATTTCTGCCCAGATTGATTGACATCGTACTCTAGAAGACTGCAACAGATATCGACCATTTGAATCAAAGTTGTAAGTTGAGGTATATGGCGGAGCTCATCATTCAGTTGATGGCTTCGAGCGGCCGCCACAGCACGCTGCGCTTGTTCGATAGAATCAGAGTTCGTCCCTAGCTGCAAGTGTGCGAGTGATTCAATGACAGCGGCCATTGCGGAGACGGCCTTGTCCCCGTTACGGCTAGCCATCGCCGTAATCTTGTGAAGATGCTGTAGAGCCTGTACAGAGTCTTGATGTGATGAGGATGACAGCGAAAGCGATACCCGGAGGAAGCGAAACGCATACTCCCATGCAGCATGGCGGTATCTATGGCTGTTAGTATTTTATGGCCAAAAAAAAAAGCTGTGGAATGGTACATACGCTTCTACATCCTGAATCATGCCATCGACTGCTTTCAAGGATGCTTTGGGGTTGCTCTTGTGTAGCATTCGTGCCAAGAGATGTTGCATGCTGTATTTCAAGTCAAGCATACGGTTCTATGAAAGTTAGTGACCGGAACGCATTGGATATCAAAGCTATTTTGACTAACTCGCTCACAAAGATCAATCTGTTCAGGTCAGTACCTATTTTCAAAGAGGAAGATGGAAGCAAGTACGTACTCCTTTACTCAGGGCTGTTTCCGCTTCGATGTCGTTATCGGTTTCCTCGAATAATGTACGCGCATAGCGAAGTCTGACAAGAGCTTCTTTGCGCGGTTGCAATCGCCAATTCTACAGCATTATTTGCTTAGCATAGACAGGATAGTTTTCTGATGAAGCAGTTCACTGACCTTCAAGACAGCTTCCAAGCAGCCCAATCCGGTAGCAACCAGCTTGTAATACTGCTCGATATCTGTCTCACGCGCAGCCAAAGATGTTGTCGTCCCACAAGAATGAGCAGCATTTAGATATTCATCGGCCAAGGACAAGAGTAGAACTTGATAGTCAACCGGAGGCTTCGTAGACTTGACAGGCGTGGGCCTCCCGGGCTTTTCGGCACTCGGTTGGATTGGCGGTCTCTTTTTCTCAATATGGTGTGGCTGAATTTGCTTCTTCGGGGTCTGGATTTGCATTTTTGGTTGAACAGCTGGAGACCGAGCCGGAATCATAACTTGCGGAGTAGCATGTGTCACCGGTGATGGAGCTGGATGGGGTCGCTTCGGGGTCGCAATAGGAGTAGAAGGCTTTTTCTGGAGTTCAACTTTGGGGGAAACTTTGTATGGCGTAGTTTCGGCTTTGATAATAGGATATGTTGGTGGAACTTTGAGATTGGTCTGTCCTTTGTTGATTTGGGTGCTTGGTTTAGGACTAATGTGAATTGGAGGAGGGGCAGGGGTTGAAGCTGGAGCAGCCTGAATAGGTAGAGCTGGCGGTGGAGCTGGCAAAATAGGCGGGGGTATCTGGGAAGGACTAGCAGTCGGGAGGAAAGGCGGTTCGCCATACTGAGAGGAGAGCTGGGTATATCGTGATCGCGGAGCAGTAGGCAGAGGTTGCTGTACAAACAATTGAGCTGGGTTGACAAATTGATGTTGCAGCTCTGCTTGAATTTGAGACGGGGGAGGAGCAGGAGGAGGTGGGGGGTGCCTGAGGTGGAGGAGGAGATTGTAACTGAGGAAGCTGTGGTCCTGGCTGCGGCCGTGGTTGGAGAGCTTGCGCTGGTAGTTGAAGCGCTTGCTGCGGGGGAGTTTGCGGAGGAGGACGTGACTGCTGTGGCTGTGGCTGCGGCTGCGGCTGTTGGATATATGTCGATGGATACGAAGGATATGGCATCATAGCCGAAGGATACATTCCTGGTTTGCCATAGCCATCGTACGAGGATGGTGGAGGACCGGCATTATTGTACAGTAACTGCGGCGGGATTTGCCCGGGCTGATACTGCGGCGGGGGTAAATAATGCGGGTATTGGCCGGGACCAGGTGGTGGGTAGCTCATCGCCCCGAAAGACAGTCAGAACTCATATAAATCACGTCGTCTGATAGTCGCGCGAGATGGTGAGCGTAGATTCTCGTGTCGGTCCGGAGAAACACCGGGGCGGTCAGCTGATAAGGGATGTTGCGATTACCGCTACGCCTTGGATGTCCAAGTAGATATTTCAACGCATCCAAGGCGATGCAATATATGAAACAGTCTTTCCGGGTAGTTTCTATCGTACCTCGGAGCTTCTCCTTGGTCAATTCGATAATTCAAGAACGGCGACAGGGATCAAAACGAGATGCGCGAAAGACATTACAAAGGATTCTAAGAGAGCCATCTCGAGGCTGTCACTCTTTGTCCAAATGATTATAATTATCTGAGATGATATGCTCAACTGCCTGATAGAGTCTAGAAACAATAAGAGAGAACAAATAACGTGCCGCGCTGAAACGATGCAAACTATACACTGACAAAGTCAGAAATAAGACAAGAAGAACCGAACGCCAATTGGGGTCATCAACTTTTATGCTCTAGCGAAAGCCCCCAAGCTTAGCTCGCAGCTGCATGAAATCCGTTAAATCATGCTGAGGTATGTATATAGTTGGTTGATGGGCTGATTACCTATTCCAGGGTCGATGATTTCTTGTTCTATACTCGGCGCGAAGGAGAGCGCTGGGTGCTCACGCACTGTCCAAGGACACAGCTCGTTGCAGTTTTCGACACCGACGGAAGGTTCGGCTGGATGGATTCTTTGTGCTCCCCAAGCAGGATCGGGAGCTGGGCCTGTTCCTCCGAGGCTTCTTTGAGTCCAGAATGAATATGTCGCCTTGCCAGATTTTTCAGAGTGGAAGGGGGATTTTCTTGGGCATCTCAATGTTGTATTGCACGCACTGCAGACCGATATGCGCTGGCATGATGAGCAGAAAGAGTCAAAGAGGCGGCATATCGTGGTTTGGTGGACGCCGGAGAGCCACAGATCGACTGATCGATGTGCACACCCGAAGCGTGGTGTCATGCAGTCTTCCTTGCCAACTTGACCGGACTCGGTGGTGAGTTGGTATTCGGTACGAATAATCAACTGATTATCTGAATTGAGTTCCGGAAACAAAGATATCTTCATCTCGCTTGGGCCATATTGCTCGGTGCATGTATGCCAACAATAGTTATCGTCAATGGCGTGTCCAAATTCCGATTTTAGGGCTTTCATGGTCACCTGCCGTACTCGGACATGATCTACCAGATCAAGTTTGTCGCGGAACGTTAATTTTTTGCATGGGCACAGGTCAACCACCCCTGCCAACTCCCCAACATTGCACGTCCGAGACTCCGGCTTCCGTCTCAACTCTTTAGATGAAAATGCAGCTCGGGGGTGAAGTTTCAAACATCTGGAGCATAATTTCCAGCGGCTGTTCTCTAACAAGGTGAGGAATGACCATCGGGGTGTGACAAAGTTATGTGTATTGCGATAATGGTGGAAAAGGGGCGCAAAGTCGCGACTGAATCGGAGGGATTTCGAGAGCAGGATTTCTCCCGAGATTGCAAACATGCGCTTGTTGGTGAGCGCAAGCGCAGCCTCCGGAAGCACTGTCAAATGGGATATGATTTCCAACAACAGCTCAGTGGGTAATTCCATCAGGTAGCAACGGCCGGGGCCATCCTCCTGTTGCTTTTTGGCTTGTTTCGGGGACCAGGGTCTCATTTTGATCATGGTCTTAAGCTTCTCTGTGACACGAGATAGACGATCGGGCATGTCGGACGGGAAGCCTTTTATCAAAGTCATGGGTATCAGGCTGGGCTTTATTTGAAACAAAGGTCGTTATAGATGTTTGATGACCAGGCCACATGAGATATTTATTCAATGAAATGCAAGACGTTTGGACAGTTGAAAGATCATGGTGTAGTAGAGATCAACCGCATCGCGTGACAAACAGCATCGCCTTCGCAGGGAAACGAGAAGTGAAAGAGGGATCTCTTGACCTTGAAGTAATCTGGAAGATAGAGTTGGATGGAAACGGACCATGGGACTAGGTCACAAATGCTGGGTGTCGATGCTATCAGCATTACATACTTCGTATAAGAGGAACTGATTGATGGCTCAGCCCGTTCTTTGTCCGATGATCCTCATGCAGGACACCGGATATCTCAACATTTTCACCCTACATTTGCTCGGATTTGAGATCTTACTGTTGTCGGAAAGCCTGAAGAGTTCTCCCTGCGCTCCACGCCGGAAGTAAGTATAGGGCGTCCGCATGCGGGTAGCAGATTGCCGGATTGAGCATCATCGCATCATCACTTCGATTTTCGGCGGAATACCCCTCAATTCTTCCTAGTTGCAGAAATGGTCCAGATAAGGTGGTTTCGGGTACCAACCCTGAGCTCAGGCCTTGCATGCGCCTTGACATTGTCAACTGACTTTTGGCATCTGACAAGGGCGCAGGTGCATGTGCCCATCTACCTAGGCCCAAAGCCGCAGCCCGGGCCCTCAACACGATGACTAAGCTACTATATAGTCACATGACTATATAAGCACTATACATCACGTGATCATGCATAGCCTCTGCTTACATCAGAACTCAAATTATGTACATAATGTTTTTGCCGAGGTCCAGATTGGTATCAAAATGTTGTCCAATTGAGTGGAACCTGGGATTTATTTTTGCGTTTTGCGATTCAAGTCTGTCCTATTTTCGTCACAAGAGCAGAAGGGAGGGTTGAACAATATCTGTGAGAAACACAAGCACTTAGTATTGTTTCATTTGAATATATGCCCTCATGCCCGACCTCACCGCAACACTCCTGGAATCATTCCCCATATCAGTTCTCTTATCAGGACTGATTGCCATGGGTTTGCTGACATGGCTTCGTCCTAAGGGCCGTATAGCCTTCCACCACGCCAAAGACAACAAGTTGACCCTGACCAAGATCTCTGGCGCCGCGGGAGCTCAAGAACAAACCACATTTGTGGATGTCTGTCGGTCTGCAACACCAGAAACATGCAACCTAAACCCTTTCTTGTTCAACGGTCATCTTCAGACCTGTTGGACTACTCTGAAACATGACAATGTTCCTGTTTATTATAAGCGGAAGATGTTCGAGTCCACTAGTCCTGGATTTGCGGGCCATTTCGCCATGGATTTTGTGGTTGCACCGTACGACCTCCCTCAAGACCCCGAACTTCTTGATGAAGCAAGAATCCACACCCAAGAGTCTGGTATGCCGCCACGCACGTCACTTTTCTCTCGGGATGAATTCTCCGCGCTTCCTTCAGATGATACCAAGCCCATGCTTGTGCTACTTCACGGCTTGAGTGGTGGCTCCCATGAAGTGTACTTGCGCCATATCTTGGCGCCCCTTATCAAAGATGGCTCTTGGGAAGCATGTGTTGTCAACTCGAGAGGATGTGCCCAGACAAAAATCAGTACCGGTGTTCTTTACAACGCTCGGGCTACCTGGGATGTTCGTCAGGCCGTGAAATGGCTCAGAGAGAAGTTCCCTAATCGCCCTCTTTTCGGAATTGGCTTCTCGCTTGGTGCCAATATCCTTACCAACGTATGATCCCCTACAAGACTCAATATCCACAGTCCTTACTGACAAATTGTGTAGTATCTGGGAGAGGAAGGTGATGCCTGTCAGTTGAAGGCTGCCGTAATTTGCGCGAGCCCGTGGAACCTAGAAATCAGCTCTCTGGTGTTGCAAAGTTCCTGGATCGGCAAGGAGGTATACAGCAAGACCATGGGAACAAGCATGAAAAAGCTGTTCGAAGCGTGGGTGCCCGTCTATCCAGTCGATGAGAAAGGTAGCAAACTAATCACACAAAATATAGACATGTTGGACAGGTTTCCAAAAACCCTCGCATCGATGTCGATGGAATCAGAAATATCACCTACCTCCATGAATTTGACCGGTAAGAACATGTCTTCCTGCATATTGAAAAGTCCAATTCTGACATTCAACAGAGCTCTGCAATGTCCAACTTGGGGTTATCCCACCGAGGGCGCCTATTACCGTGATTCCACTTCTACCGACTCTATGCTTGCTATCAGGATTCCTTTCCTTAGTATCCAAGCAGAGGATGATCCTGTGAGTTTACGTAGATTTTATCTCAACCGTGGATATACCGCTGACTTGACTAGATTGCTTGCCGAGAGGCTCTTCCTTACCAGGAAATGACTCAAACACCTTATGGAGTCATGTTGACTACATCCTGGGGTGGTCATCTGGGCTGGTTCGAGTTGGGAGGGGCCAGGTGGTTTGTCAAACCGGTACGTACACTGCAATCGACCACTGGCCTTGAAAGAGCCAGTGTGGACTTTATACTAATGCTTTATTTTCAGGTGACAAACTTCTTGAATACAATGGCTAGGGAGATCGATACGAATATTCCAGGTATTGTTGAGCACCCCGAGCGACTTCCTGGAAACATTGCCAGCCACGATGCCCCCAACAAAGATGCCGATGTGGCACCTAAGCCTGAGTTCAGCGCGATGCGACGCAAACTTGCGCTACCTTTGGGGCTGTAATTAATGCCCGCAAACTCCCATACTGCCTATTTTCGGCATTAAGCGCTACTTCATGCATGGTCTACAACCGGATGACCCTAGGATGATCGGCGCTTTGTATAATAGTGTTTCTGTTCCGATAGATATAGATTGATAAACCGGTGAGAACGCCGAACCCCGACATCTAGATACATAATCAAAGTATAGACACAAAATTTCAGACTTTTTAAGCAAATGCAACGGTCTTCTTCTTTCCTCTCCCGGGCTTCATACTGTCCTTGATACTCGTCGACTGTGCAGGCTTGTCACCGCCCTTCTTCTTTTTCCGAAGAGAATCCTTGACATCCTCAAGCTTGTTCTTCCTCTCCTTCATGCGAGCCTCGGCCTCAGCCTTCTTCGCCTCATGGATCTCTTCTAATTGGCGTGCCTTCATCATCTTCGACTCGATCTGGCCTTCCTTCTCGGCGTTGACGATGGCGAGAATTGTCATCATGCCCTCCTATATATCACAGCATTAGTATTGAAGTTCAAGATAGTGCAAAAGAAGAAGCGTAAGAGACATAACGTACAGCATCATCAACAAAAGTCTTGCCCTTCTTCTTTCCCTTGGGCTTGATGACTCCAACGGGTGTGATCTGGTTCAACTCGGGCAAATCCAGCTCCTTCTCGGTGTAGACTCTCTTCTTCTTTTTCTTCAAGTTTTCCTGGACAGTCCGGGGCTTGGTCTTCATCTCCTTAGGCGGGGGACGCTTGGCTCCATCTTTCTTGGACGATTTGCTAACGCGCGAGGCAGAGGTCATGGAAGTCTTAGCGCCCTTTGCGCCTCCCACAGAGGGACCTTTTGATGAGCCTTTGTTAGGTGCCATTTTGTAGCGCTCGAGGAATTGAAGAGTCAATTGGGTCGAGGTGAAGCGGACTGAGAATGGAAGGAATGCAGATATCGATAGAGTGGCGATAAATGAGTTGGAATTCCTTCGACAACTCAAGTAAAATCAGATATTCCCGCGATAGAATCAGAGATATAAAAAAATCCGACTGGAGAAAAAAAAACAAGAGCAAAGAAGCGCCGCGCAAGATGGTCCAATCCCCAAATTCGCAAAAGATTTTTTTTGAAAAGGCAGGCGGTGAGTCCGGCCCATTCCACCACCAACCTCAGATCGAAACCTCCACCTTCAATAGCTCAGGAAACCCACGTCCAATTCCCTCCTGTCTCTCTGCACCCAGTGATTGATCCGCGCTGGATTGAGTGGGCACTCAATTCTCTTTCAATATGACTATCAACCCTACCTACCTGGCGCAGCGCACGCGCTCCTGTATGTCCCTCCCACGCCCGTTGCGTTCCGCCGTCCACCCGGGATCGTCAATGGGGTCTCTTCTACTGGAGAAAAGCAGCTAACATACATGCTCAAATTCTAGCCGTCAACTGGGGCGATGCGAAATACCGAGTCCTCAAGTCCTACCGTGAATGGCTCCGCGCGGTCAGTCTATCCCGAGATCCCACCCGATATAGCTTCTCCCTTGATACGCTCTTCCCCTCCATTCAGGCTGCAATTGAAGGAGAAGAGCAACTTTATCTCTTCTTTTTAGCTCAAATATAACAATTTGACCCCTCAAAGGACCCAGCTAACGTGATATCATCGAATATAGTCCCCCGAGATTCAGACCATGTACTCTCTGGGTATGCCCGTCTCCGCCATCCGTACCAAGATCCGCCAGGAGTTCGAGAAGCACCGCTACGTCAGCCAATTGAGCGTTGTGGATGTGCTGTTGTACCAGAGCCACGCCGAGTTCCAGGTCAGTTCACCTCGCTCTTTTCTATATACCTATCCGACATGGATTCAGTCAACGAACGAATTACAAGAAGCACCTGTTGTTTTCTGTTCTTCTTTCTTTATATGCATCATCGCACGCACCCCGCAGTTTTAGACTCAATTACTGACATCATCTCACAGGAAACCCTTAACTACTGGAAGCAGCTTTCTCACGTTATGAAGTACTTCCGCCCAGAAGAGGACCCTGGCGCGCGGCTACCCCGCAACTTCGTCTCGGGTTTCCTCGAGGGTCGCAATTAAAACTCTCTTCCTACTCCTTATCTCATTTTCTACCCTCTTCATCTCGTTTCTGGTCCGCGATGTGGCAGTTACCGGAACTGCGCCATCGATAGACATGATGTGTATATATTGTCTGAATAAGCCATTCCATTATCTTATTTTTGTCCGGTCTAGGCTCTGTAATCTGCATGTGTAGGCTTGGTGCTTACTACCTGCCTTACTACCTGCTGAACCTATAGTAACAGGACCTTGGCGGTACGGTTCATATAACGCATGATACGGAGACGTTGTATCCTCAATTTTCGTCAATCCAGTCTCATATAAACTTATGTATATACTGAAGAAATCAAAAACAAGCATTCCTCATGCCTGAGATAGAAAATGTACTTTTCCCTCTAACCAAAACGCCGATTAAATAATACATATGCAATTTCAAGCTCATGCCTCCATGCGGTTACCACTCTCCGCGTTATATTGGTCACGCGCAGCAGTGAACTTCTCCGTTACTACATCACACAGATCCATCAGATCGTTGAAGCCCTTCTCCAGAGCCTCGAGCGCAGTAGTGGTATCTAAACGTAGATTAGTAAACACTCGCACATCCCAGAGGGTTTATAGCAAGACATACCGTTAGTCTGAATGCGGACGTTCATCTTCGGATCTGAAGGGTGGGGAATGGTGTAGCCGCAGAACTCGACAGCGGGGCTATTCCGAAGAGTCAGTGATGTTCTTCATAGCTTGATCGGGGAATTTCAATGTTTGGGAAACAGAGCCCGGTATGGAACTTCAGATTCCTCGCAACCATTGTGTTTCTCGAGGAACTCACTTCTTCATAATTGCGTATCGCAGCGCATTGCCCATGGTGTGGCCCTCGCCTTCGAACTGGAAGGAAGCGGCGGTATCTGTGGCACCGGGGAGCTGTGAAGATTTATCATTAGCTTATTGTTTCCAATATATTCAGAGACGTAGCTCGAGAGCTGGAGACTCGGGGTAGATCCAATACGCACCACGACAATCTGTCTCTCTTCGAGGATGGGGTCGTTGGACTGGGGCATCTCGGTGGCCTCTGCGTCGATCATGGACTGGTCCATATCTTGGGAGTGCACGGATCCAGGCATTGTGTGTGTTGAATTCGGTGAGAAGTGTGAGGTATAGGTGGGCAACGGTCGAGACAAGTTGGAGGCTTTGTCGGGTGCTGTTTGAGGGGATTCCGGAATTGGTTGCTGTGTCGGGAATCACCAAATAGGGAGTTGACTTTTTATGACTATGATCAAGAGCTTGGACTTATAGTTTAATAAATTTGCGCAATCTGGATCTCCAAGTTGAAGATTATCGCGAAGAAAAAAAAGGTGGGCTATCGATAGTCGGCGCTCACCGCCTGCTGTTTATGTCATCTATACAATGCCGAGATGATTTGGAGGGGGAATACATAGCACGATGGCTCTGTCTAGAGATATTTTGAATATTGGAGCTGGGAAAGATGTATTTGATTATTCTTATGGGGTGAGAATGTTTCCCAATCTGCGACGGTACAACGTGGGAGAATCATAGGCCTCTCGAGTGGCCCACTGGATAACAGTACATAAAAAGTAGTGTATTCACTACGTGACCGCTGCAGAGAGATGCCGTCTTTCATGTCATGTGAGACGCATAGCCCTCAACACGGAAGCATGGACAATCTCTACCCAACCTAGGATCTTGGAACTGACGGGGTTTGATGATCACTATGGTATGGAGGCTCACCCTTTACCTAGGCAGTTTCACATATATTAAGACCTGGGAAAGTCTGAGGGCTGTGAGTACCAGGTAGCAAGGCATATGAGACAATCCCAAAGGCAAGGAGAAGGATGGAGTACGGAATATATCTGTGCATGTTGTATAGGTATCGGGTGTCGAGGGTTGATCCGGAGTTGGATTTCAACCCAATCCTACATACGGAATACTTCGTACGGAATAGTGGCTCGTATATCAAATCTTGGCGAGATCTAAGCAATTTGTAATCCCACGGCAGCATTTCAGCACAGCACAGATGATATGCAAGTCCAAGGCACGCACCCCTGGTCTGTGCATGGCCATCGAGCTCGAAGATGACAGGAGAGAGGCCGGATCCAGTGTGGGCCAAACTGTGAATCATAGATCCATGGTAATTTCCAGTCGAGGGGGTCTATCAGGGACACTCAAAAGAGCGAGCGTTGATTACTTTGGATTTGGGTTGATTTTTATTTCGTATTTTTCGTACTTTCTTCTATCGGGTTTCAGTTTCAGTGTTGGTTGACCTGCAAGTGTTGGTGCAAGTGTTGGTGCAAGCTGTGTGGACGCCACAGACTAGTCTGCCTTATAAGCGCCTGCGGCGCTTTGTTTGACATATAACGCTGTGCGAGATGTGACTTGTCTCCTTCTGTGCCGAGTCCACGAATGTGTTGGAAGGGGTGGGGATGTGATTCGATAATTTGGATATCAGGAGGTGCTAGTAGGATTGGTTGTGATGCTACTGTCAGAGAAAGGGCGGGGATCCACTGGGCAGATGAAATAGGCGAATCATAGCGACCAGCAGGAGTTCCATGGGGCTGGAAATAATAACTATAATGATTATAGGCCGATGATGGGTTTCAGAGGCGTGTGCGGAACTATTGAACGGAGAGTTAATAGTGGGATTTCATCACACAACACGAAGCCGGGGGATCTATATAGGGCCCAACGGGTGTCTACGTTATAGAGTCAAGACTCTCGACTCTGTACTCTGTACTTCGTCCGCCACACTCCGTACACCTGTAAAGAAAAACAAACTCGAACACGAGAACGAAAAGAAATGAAATGAAAAAATACAAAACAAAAGAAAAGAAAAGATGAACGGTGGATCCTCTGGAACAGCCAGTGTCTCGTCCCAAAGAGAAACACATCGTGTCTCAGTTTCGGGGGGTCCACCGGGTATCTGGTACTTAGCTGGGGTGACCGCTTGTACCTCTTTCCCCTCTCTGGACTCCAGCTGGCAACGTACTGTGTACTTCTTCCCAAAAAAATATTACTCCCCCTGGATAGCTTGGTCTCTGATTCCTCTTCTCTGCCTCCAGGGCCCAGACCTCCTCTCACCTTCTCGTCCATTTCTCTCGCTTGTAACTCTGGACTTTCTTTGTCACACTGCCGCCTGCCGCCTAACCGCCTCATCGTGCTGGAGACCTTCTGGTACTCTCCGACTTGGATATCGACCGAGCTCGGCGATCCCACGTTTCGATCCGCTCCCCGGCCCTCGCCCGCATCGAACCGGATGCCCTTGCATCCAAAGGAGATTTACCCGAGTCAATTTACTGTGAACGAGGGCTTGCCCCATTCTTGTGATACCCAAACTTGAACCATCGTGGTGTCGACCATGTCTACCGCTGTTGCATCCGCAGCGGCCCCCTTGTCCTCCTCACACCCTACTCGCAACCCCAGCCCGAGAAATCTCCCGGCTTTGGCTCCTCCGAATAACGTACCATCCAATTCCTCTCCGCCCCGAATGTCCAAAAGTCCCCATGGATCCGCAGTACATGGTTCCCCGACCGAGAGAAGAGGTCCAGCGTCACCGTAAGTTGAGGTATTGTGGATTTTCGGGAGTTGCACATACTGACGGCCTATTTTCAGATCCCAAGGTGGCAGCGGAGGCCCCCAGATCACCGTCAAGAAGGAACCGGGATCATCCCCACGAATGCAGAGTCGACCCCGGCCTCGGAAATTGGACCTTTCGACTAGTCTTCCGTCCTCGAGTGGTTTGACAGTTCGACCTCCGGGAGGGCCGTTGACGGCTTCCATGCAAGATGTCGGTCTCGCATGTTTGTCGCCGGGTTTCCAGACTCATGATCCGATCATGCGAGAGCAGCTGCAGCGCAGCCTCTCCGTGCGGGATCAACAGCGGTCGATCATCGAACAGCGCATGCAAAGATCTGCCAAAGATGATGGCCCGGACGGTCTCAAGCTCTCCGAGTCGAATCTGATGGGTATGCCCAAAACCGGAAAGCGCAGACCGCCCGGCCTGTCTATCGTTCCTCCATCTGCCTCTCAATTCGCAAATGAGCGGGTCATTCAATCCGCACCGCTTCACCAGACATTCACTGGTCGATACCAGCCACAGCCATTGACCCGTCATGTCGTCAACCAGAGCCCGACCTTGGGCTCGACCTCCCATATGCATCAGCTACCGGCAACCCAAACAAACAACCGTCTTCCTCCTCTCTCTGACGTCTTCGGCTCCGATACATTGGGTCGCGACCGGGATCCCGCCTTGGCTAATATCCACCTGAACGCATCGAGCAACAATTCCTCTCAATCCAACAATCTGGCGCCGTTGCCATCCCCGGGTCTACCGGGTAGCGTGTCCCAGATCCCCAACCGACCGCGCGAATACCGCTCAGCCGAAGAGGCAGTGCAGGAGATGTCCGGTGGACGAGAGGAGCTGCTGCCCCGCATTGTGCACTACGGAGGTCACCAACCCCCCACCCCGCCATCGCCACAAATCCTCCACGCAGCCCCCAAGACGGCGCCTCTTGCCCCGGAACCTCAAGCGCCGCATGGTCCGCCCCCCTCCGTCCTTTGGTATGTTCGCTCCGTCGGATGCCACCGCGCGTCGGCGCCCCCGCAGCGAGTATGAACAAGACAACGGAAGTCCGCCTCTGGGCCATGGCCCCGACTCTCAACACCGACCCAACCCAGCTTCCATGCCCGGTCCACATGCTTCATTCCCCGGGCCCTTCGGTGCAGGAAGAGACTCACCGGAGACGCAGCGCAGAAAGAAGGACGAGTTCCTTGGTCTCTGCGCACGAGCTTGGGATCTGTTCCACTCGTAATACGACCTTGCTCTGTCAGTAGCGGAAGCAAAGCCTCTTGCAGAGCTCTGAGGTCGGCGTTGCCTGGCGAGTCTCAAGTAATGATGGAATTTGCTTGAACCTGCCTGCTAAGCACATGTCCGACCCAACCGGCCTATATCTATGAACTCATCTGAGGGATTTTTATTGGATTGCAAAGGTGTTGCTCCGAATATGAATCAAGTCCCAGGCATTATTTGATCTCATTGGCAAGCCCAATTGTGAACATTGCAATGCCTGGGCAACTGTGAATGTTTCCTATATCCCGACTCATCCTGGACGATCGAGTTGGGAAATCTTTTCTTATCACACTCAACCACGATGCTTGCATCAATATCATGTTATCTATGCTACGACAGTATCGACAGGGCATCTTGGCACCCTGTGAAACTTTTCTTCGGTTTCTTTTTCTTTTTCTTTTTCGCATGAAGTTTGCTTTGGGCGTTGGGGGTTCCGTGTTTCGCAATATACCTTTTGGACTTGTTTTTGGGAGATAAAGCATTATGGTAATGAGCTCTCTGTCTCTCATATATTCGCCTGTTTGAAATGTCTTTCTTTCTTCTCGCAATCTTTTGCTATTGCTGCTATATTCATCCCTTCAAGACATTGGTAATTCTAATATCTAACCATTGGGCACTTGACTTGAGATCCTGCACATATGCCGATGAGAATGTAGACAAATAATCCATATTCAATATGCATAACACTATATACTTTTCATTCCCAAATCAGCGCTATGATTTGATAAAGAAATCTACTCCAACCTCCGCCTCTTCCCTCCATTGGGCATGCCCCCATCATCACCACCACCACCCTCCACACCTCTCCTCTCCCAAGGCATCTCCTTTCGCTCTTTAGAAGTCATCTTCTTCCGTCTTCTCTCAAGCGCCTTTCCACGTTCCCGGGATCCCATCTCACTGAACTTCCGCTCAAGAACCTGCTTCTTCAGCTCCGAGTTCTTCAGGTAGTATGGATTGGCCTTCTTGCCCTCACGAATCAACTGCTTCTCGCGCTTCTTGTGCTCAGCCTGCACATCCGCCTCGCGCTTCTTATTCTGTGCAGAGCGCAGCTTATCCTGCGCCCGCCGAATCTCCCCCTTCAGCTTCTCCTTCTGCTGGGGATTCTTCGTCTTCGCCATCTGCTCCTTGAGATCCTTCAACTCAGACGCCCGGTACTCATCCAGGAAAGCATACGCAGTTCCACCATGCGGGTGCTTGCCCACTCCACTGTGACCCATAACCGCCGCATCAAAGCGCGGATCCCGAGACTTGGGCGCGGGTGGAAGTTCCACTGCGATGCGCTTGCGCGTCACGGCCCGTTTGGACGATTGTACCATCGGCGCATGCTTCGAAGTTCGGCTCTTCTCTTCCTTGCGTTTGGCCTTTTCGGCCGCCGCGAGCTTTTGCTCGCGAGCTTCGCGCAGCTTCGTACGGATCTCGTCTACTGTGGATGATGCTGTGTTGTTCTCTTCTTTCGCAGCATGTCTATCTTTGCGCTTCTTTTCGCGCATCGAGGCTTGTGCTTTTGCGAGGGCGCCGAAGGAAATCTCCGCTAGAGAGGCTTTGAAGTCGTCGCCGTTGTCGGATTCGGGTTCGGGTTCTTCTTCGATGTCTGAGTTGCTGGCTTCTGACTCGGAACCTGCGCCTGCGCTTTCAGCATCGGAGTCATCAGACTGCTGGATTGTTTGTTAGCTGTGGGTCTAGTACGGAAGGAGGGTTGTCTTACTGATTGGATGGAGCCGTTGGATTCGGCATCGGAGCCATCTTGTGAGGCATTGTCCGAGCCTGATGCCTCGGAGAAGTCTTCTTCCTCTTCTGGCCGAGCTCGCACTCGGCGATTGAGCATATCGGTAATAGCCATTTTGATGTTGTTGTGGTTGAAGGATTCCCCGCGGAAGAAGAACGATATTGAAAAGAAAAATACTGCCGTCTGGGGCGGTCAGCGCGATAAGAACTGATTAGATATTTTTCGCGATCGCCCGATGTCGCAAAGAAAGCTTATTAGCCAACCTGCTTGTGTCTTCTTCTAATGTGCTTGCGGTTTCTGCGTGGTAGAGACACACCTCACCTTCCTCGTCTCTCACTTCCAGATCTCTTATCGTGTCACTCTAGGTCTCTCCCCAGGGCAGCCAATCAGGTAATACCCATACTCCCATCCACCCATGTGCTACGTGGATAGCATATTAGCCATTTGAACAATCTGTCTAACTTGGAAATTGTGAACAGTTCCTGCCAGTATCGACCTCTGGTACATTTCAGTCTCGCTCGAGGTTCTCTACTTTCCTGTCATCGCATCCGCTATCTTTCAAACTGCCTCGCGCAAACAAACGCTCGAAGCGTGCGCTTGACGCCGCAGACTTCGATCACCAGTCGAACTCGAACCCTCAGTATGCTGGCTCAGCTTATCATGCAGCAGATATGAATCCAGCATCAAGGAAGAACAGAAAGAATGGTCGGGGGTCTGGTCAGCCGGCTCCCTCGTACGGTTCCTGGAATCCTAATGCCCCGCCTCGGGATGTACGTCAAAGTGTTGAATACGGGGTCAACTCCATGCAAGACAACTTTCAGCCGTCGCCATATTCTCATATGCCGAATATGAACCAAGCTTCTGGGTATCAGATACCGCAGGCCAATTCGACATCACAGGGTTATCAATCTCAGGGTTATGCTCCTCCCATGCAACAGCATGGCCTACCACAAATGCCTGGGATGCAAAATCAACCACCATTCGGCAATTTCAGTGGTCTGCCCCAGAATCAAATAGGCATGGACCCAGGCTTTTTCCAAATGATGCAGAATATGCCAATAATGTTCCCTGGCTTTGATAACACAATGGCGAACTTGCCCCCGCTTCCTTTCCCCCCTTTCGACATGAACATGAACATGAACATGAATTCTCCCCTGTCTTATGAAACCACCCGGCCCATGAGTACAATGGCGCATGGCTCAAGAGACCGGTTTACACCTGACCCCTCCCGAAAACGAAGATCGCCAACACCGCAAGTCAAGGTCCCTCTACCGACGCTGCAATACACAAACCAAGCATCATTGAAACCACAAAAGTCGGCAAAACGACCGCTGCTCATCATTCTCGATTTGAACGGCACTCTTATCTTCCGCAAGCAGCGCAAGTTTCCTCCGAAATTCGCCAGACGCGCCGGCCTCGATCATTTCCTAGCCACACTAATCAAAAACTACAAAGTCATGATCTGGTCCAGCTCCCAACCACCGACCGTAAACGCAGTCTGCGAGCAGTTGTTCCCGGAGCCAATGCTTGAAGCACTCGTTGCACGCTGGGGCCGTGACAGGTTCGGCCTCACCGCTGGTCAATACAACTCCAAGCTCCAAGTTTACAAAGAGCTACACAAAGTCTGGGCGGAGCCAGGGATTCAAGGCGCGTTCCCAGGCAATGAGCATCTGCAGGAGGCCGCCCTTCCAGCAGGGGTAAAGCCAAAACACAACACTCGCAAGATTGCAGAGGCTGCCAAGCTTCAACCGGGTCACCGCTGGGACCAGACGAATACCATCCTCATCGATGATAGCCGACTCAAAGCTTCCAGCGAGCCGTTCAACATCCTCGAGATTCCAGAGTTCAACGATGATCCGAACATCGATGAGTCCAGGCTCTTCGCCAAGGTCCTCGCCCGTCTTGATTACCTTGCCCAGTACGACGACGTGAGCAAGGTCCTCCGCGAATGGGACGAGCGCGTCGACAAGGGCGAGGGCAGTATCCTGGATCTGGATATTGGATTGCAAGAGGATTCCGCTGATAGCGAGGACGGTGGCATGAGTCTCTTTCCAGAGCAGTTGAATGGCACTTTCAACGCCAATCCCGTCACATCCGATTATCCGACTGGTCATACCCCCCTTACTACCAAAGCTGTACCGAAAGTCAAGAAAAATAAGAAAGCAAAGGCAAGAGCAAAAGCTGCCGCCGCTGCCGATGCCGCTGCCGCCAACGCTGATTCTGCAGCAATCGTTCTGACAACCGCACATATCCTATCCACCAGACCCCCAGCCGCAAATACCCCAGCCACCAACCCACCACAAATCCATCCAGACCAAGAGCAACAAAGAGGCCAGGTGAAACTCTCCCGAAACCAGCGCAAAAAGGCCAGGCAAGAAAGAGAAGCGCAAGCTAAACTTCTCGCTGCGGAAGCAGACCAACAACCCAACACCGACTCCGTACCAAGCAATCCCGCGGCAAGCGAACAAATCAAACCAACCGAACCCGAGATAATCGATCTCACAGACGACATCTTGTCAAGCCGCCAAAGCGTCCGCCGCAAGCAAAAGGCCAATAAACGGAAAGCCCTAGCTTTATCCGAGGAATTGGATCTCCCTACCTCCGCTCCCGAGTCTACCGAGGGAGAGTCTGCACCAAGATACAACTTCCGGAAGAGGAGTGTTGAGGACGACGCTGGTATTTCTCATGGTCTTCCCACCTCCGAGACTATTGCGGTGGACGTCGCAGATGTACCTGAGACTGAATCCACACCTGAGTACTTGCCTCCAGATGCCGATGCTGGGACGCGAATTAATCTGGCTCGTTCGCCGTCGCCGGCCTCGTCGGTTGCGTCGAGGAACTCGCTGCTTGATCGGCTTGAGGAGGGGCTTGGGATGTCCAGGCGATGAGGTTTATTTTCATAATGCATAGATAATGGAGTGAGGAGTTATCCCTGATGGCTCTTCTACAAAGACCTAGGAAATACAGTTCATATTTTCTCACTGGTTTGATATCACTCTTACAAGTCTTCACGAGAGGGCTCTGTATAAAAGTAACTTTGTTGTAGCGTACAAGAACTCGTTTTTACTTTGGTGTAAGACATATTGAGAAATGAAGAATCGAGGTAAAGAGCAAGATGGTGAGTACCTTCATCGATAGCACTCCGTATCCCGACTTCCCTACAGCCGCGTATGCCAACCACGCTGCTAGAGCACCAACAAAAAATATCTGGCTAGTCACTAGACAGCTTGCAAGATTCGTTCTCACATTATAGATCGATAATCAGAACAGAAGGCTATTCGCCAGACAGCTGAGATATACATATTTCCCCCCCTTCCTCTACACCCGTCCCTTTTATATACGTTCTTGCTACTAGCCCTAAGCCCGTGACCCCATCTTAACCAATTGATTTCATACCAACCTCTCCCTATACATGGCTATTCATCTATACACATCGATCAAATTCCTCGAAGCAGGAATATCGCAAGAAATAACCAATTGAGCATTAGCAATGAGGGTATGACAAAGAGAGATAAATCTAGATATCTCTTAATATTCACTAAGACGGGTATTCCCAATAGCCTAGTATACATTGTACAGCCCACGAATTTCCAGAACCAATGCCTTTGGGAAACCGATCTTAGCTTCCGAGTGGAATAATCGAGGGTGATATAGACAGTCCACAGGCCGAGTAGAACCACGATGACTCGAGCGAGTTACCGTACCTTGTATGGCAGAGGCTGAATACATAACTAGAATCCTTACGTCTTTCTTGGGGTCTGATGGACTGTCATACTCCGAAAATCGAACCCAATCACCGTGATTGATTCGTCTATGTTGCTATCACCCTAATCCCAAGACAATTCGGCGATAATCTAGGTCACGGATATCCTACATCTAGCTTAGGGCTGTGACATCACTTGAAGAATAGAAGCAATGCACTATCTAGCGACATTGGAGCGGTGATGATTGGTATAGTCTGAGCAACTGTAACGCGGGCACCATTTAAATACGCATATAGAGACCGGAAATACACAGCTACTCGTAGATTGTGGGTTTCTGGGAATGGAGAGCTAGACCATATCACTTCTGATCCCCTGAATAGCGACTTTGGAATGTCAGGAAATGCTTTATACTGGGTTCGGTGCTTGGATTCCTTTATGATCAAAGACTCCTAGAAACCCGAAGTTTGTCTTCTACTGACGGCAATTATATTTCTCTAGTCTTGGTACACCGATAGTTTCTCTACTTTATAGATAATCTGTTTTGTCCAGGGTAAATGCTTGCTTGCTGGAAATGCGGTTTGGATATTGTTACAACCCAACGTACGGAGTACGAATACGGTGCGCATCTCTCGTAGCACATATCGGGTATTTAGGTTGGTAACCTGACATGACGACTAGTTAGTCGTCATAGTGGCTCTTTTGGTAAACGCTCTACCTTACCATTACTTCCTAGTTTTGCAAGTGGTGTCAGGCCCACTTGCGTTAACAGATATCTGGTTTCATCTAGAGCTCGTGCTTATGGTTTTAGGGTTTCGGGAGCAAACCTTGGAAGTATAGATACAAGCTCTATAACACTGTACCAACCCTCTCCTCTTGTAGTTAGGCTTAAATAAGGGATATGCAATGTAAATAGATATGCAATGTAGATACTCAGTCTCTTTCATAAAGAGATATAAATGGATAAGAGTTGGAGGGGGAGTGGATTCAAGAAATGAGAGAGGAACGAATGACTGGATGGCCTGCCAGTTAGTAGAATACATGTAGCGACTCAGATATATACAACGAGCACGTGCAAGAACACCAGAAATAGCTCATACAGCTTCTACACTACAATATACGTGATAATACAATCACAATGGAAAAAATATACACTCAAGAAATCAGAGAACTGTCTCTGTTCTTTTATTGCTAGAACTAAACTAGCAGCGACGTCGCCGGCAGGGATTTTAGAGCAAGACCCAGAACCAGCTTAGTCGATCATCATTCCGCGTCGCAACGTATTCGTAACCGTGATTCAACATCAACACGTAAGACCTTAGGTCAAGATATTTGGAGAAATCCCAAAGAGTTTCAGGAGGGAAAAAGAAAATAGACATGATGTGTAGGGTGTCTTTAAGTACAGCACGTCCATCGGGGTATTGGGGGATGAAATTTTAAAGGAGATGGGAGGGAGAGAGAGGATCGGGGGCGAACACGCTTATTTGAAGACGTGGCCATCGGTCCACTCCTGGACCTTGCCGTCGGTGGTGATAGGGACATCCTGGCACCACATGTCCTCGACGAGCTTGCGGTCAGCCTCAACAGAGGGGTCGAGCTTGACGAACTCGTAACCCTCCCAGTCGGGGCCGACAGTGAAAGCGGGCTCCCACTCCTGGCCGCGGACCATGAAGGCACCGTAGACGACACAGTCGTAGTTGACACCGTACACGGACTGGGCACCGAAGAGGTACTTGCGGGAAGCCTCAAGACGGGCCTGGAAGCCACCGATCAGGTTGTTGGCCATGAAGGTAAGCTTGAGCTCGTTGTTGTACTTGTAGTTGACCTTCCAGAGGGAGTACTCGTCGGTCTTGAGCTGTTCCCAGAACCAGGGCATGGCAACGGAGCGGGGGTCCTCGTTGGAGAACTTGCGCTTCCAGTCATCAAGGATGAGAGTGGGCTTGCCAAGAGCCTCAAGGGGGTGCTTGGCCTTGGGGGGCTCCTTCTCCTCAATGGGAGCGGCAGCGGCGGCAGCAGGAGCCTTGGGCTTCTCCTCCTTCTTGGGGGGAGTGTACTTGACGACCTCCTCAGCGAACTTGGGGCTGGGGTGGACAGCCTTGAAGGCATCCTGGTTGATGAGGGTGTTGTACCACCGGGTGGTGGCGGGGTTGGCCTGGCGCCAGGTGCTGTCGAGGACAGTGGCGAAGGCACGGGTGAGGAGGGAGGCGGCGAAGATATCAGCCAGGGTGATGCGCTCACCAACAAGGTAGGTGTTGGCAGTCAGGTGAGCCTCGAGGACAGAGATGACCTTGAGGGCAACCTTGGCGGCCTCATCGACGACCTTCTTGTTGTAGCCATCGAGGCCAAGGAGGGGACGGTACCAGGCACCGAACTTGGGCAGAACCTCGGCGTTAACGAAGGACATCCAGCGGAGGATGGAAGCGTAGTCCTGCTTGGTCTTGCCGAGGAGAGTGGTCTTCTCGTTCTGGGAAGTAACTATGAACAGGATATGTTAGTCAAGTTCATTTATAACTCGGTAGAACCGACGATGGAGCAATCAGAGGTGCCAATGGCACAATGTGTCCAAGATCAAACAGAGGGGGTGTTCGAGTCCAAAATTTCCCCCAAAGCGGGGTAGCCAAAATTTTTTCAGAGTTGTTTTTTCTCAACAGTTATAGTTCTGACAGGGATAACTAATGGTATCTCATCATATAAAGATAGAGGCGTAACAATGGACCGAGGGGGGCGTGGGCTTCAATGAGAAGAGGCAAAAAAGGAGCTTCACATACCATAGACAGCGATGGCAATAGCCTCGCTCAGGTTGAAGCCATTGGCACCCTCGAAGGCGGGGATCTTGCCAGTGGGGTTAACCTTGAGGTACTCAGCGCTGGCGTTGAACTCAGCAGCAGAGTTAGCCTGGGTGTTGACCAGCTCCAACTCCAGGTCGTTGTGCTTAGCAGCGACCAGGATGGAGAGGGTGCGACCGTTGTCCTAAAGGCAGAAACAAGTCAGAAAATGGGAAGGAGAGCGACTAAATAGACAGGAGAAACATACAGGCAGACCGTAAAGCTTTCCGAAGGCCATTTTGAATGTAAGGGGTGGGAATGTGAAGAGAAAGAAAGAAAGAAAAGAAGAGAGAGGGGCGAACAAGAATTTTGTGCTGGCGGGACGACTTCGGTGTCCGGAGGAACCGATTCTGCCGGTGGTCACATGACCCGACAAAAAACATGACAACTCCGGAGAGCATCAACGGGCGTCCCATCAAGGCCCTCAGACCCGATATCTAGTCAATTCCGCGCCAATTGCGCCCTCCTTCAACTATGGCGTGGCACAAACCCACCAGCCTGACCCAGGCGATGCAATCCCTCCGTCTATCATCTCTCTCAACCTCCCGAACAACTCTCAACACCCTCACACGCTCCTACGCAACACAAGCCCTAGAAGTCCCCGCAGCCGCAGCCCCGGAAATCAACTTCGACTCCTTCGTCCAAAAGCCCGCCCGCATCATCCCTTCCTCCCCATCCTACTTCTCCGGCAGCCCGCGGTTCATCGACCACGTCCTGCAACTGGAAGCCCTGCAAGCGAAGCATGCCGGACTCCCCACCGTCCCGACCACCGAGGCACCACGCATGGCCTGGTTCAAGCTCGCCCAGTTCCGCGATTACGTCGGCGAGCCCGTCCCCATGAAGAAATACAAATCCCTTCTCAAGATCCTGCAGCGTCTGAACCGCATCCAGCCCGAGATGGTTCCCGACGAGGTGCGCGAGACACTCGGCGCGTTCCTGCGTCCTGGTAACCCTTACGCGGTGGAGAATGTCCCGCAGACGGTTGACGAGCATGGACGTGCGCGCGGCAAGGGAAAGAGGAAGGAGTCGTCGGCGGTTGTGCAGCTTGTCGAGGGCGAGGGTGAGGTGTTGGTTAATGGCAAGAGTATTGTGGAGGTGTTTAAGCGGGTGCATGATCGAGAGAGTGCACTGTGGGCATTGCGGTCTACGCAACGTTTGGATAAGTATAATGCCTGGATTACGGTGCGGGGTGGTGGTGTTACTGGACAGGCTGAGGCTATTACGTTGGCTCTTGGCAGGGCCTTGCTGTTGCATGAGCCTGGGTTGAAGGCGGTTCTCCGGAAGGGTATGTCCTTGTTTCTACTTTTATATCATGGTATCCTTGTTGCAAATTGCTAACTTTATTTTCCTTACAGCCGGTGCTATCACAGTCGACGCCCGTCGTGTCGAGAGGAAGAAGCCTGGTCACGTCAAGGCCCGCAAGATGCCTACCTGGGTCAAGCGTTAAGGTGGCTAGCAAGTCCCAAGCATTTCCCTTTTCCCTTTTTGTTTCAATACTGTATTATTCCACGGCCCAAGTTCGCGACTTGTTTTATATCCTGTACTCTCAATGCATATGGGGCAATCAATTCCAAGGTTTACATTGAATTTGAACTGAATGGTTATATGAGTGTTTCGGGTGTCTTTGAGCATCTGATAGAAGCATAGCAAGTGTAGATCGAGATGAAGGCTAGTAGACCTTGTGTTGTTCATTATGTTGAGTCCTGGTGCTTTGCAGGAGAAAAGAAACATTGATGTGGATGCTAGCCAGAAACAGCTCTCAACGAAAGAGAGAACCATACTCCATAATCAAGATTCAATTGGAAAGCAGTTATGGTAGCCGAGCGATCTTCTCCGAATCACCGCCAATTAAAGGGCATCGAACTATGTTGTCTACAACCTACCATCCAAACCAATGACATTCATACCCCCGACATGCTCACCATATAAGACGCAAACCCTCAATCGTGAAAATAGTAGATATTTGATATCAGGTCATTCGACTCCATATGCTCAGATCCAAAAGATATGCCAACACGGCAAATTCCAGGAGCTAGGTAGAAATCCCACCATTTATATCGCATATCCATAGAGAAAGAAACCCCCAAAATCCAATTCCAATTCCAATCCCAAGCCCAATACCAGAACGGGAAACACTAAGGTCTCATTCCATTTTGCGCCCGATATCCATCCCTTTTTGTGTTTTGCGCACGCCCCAATGCAAAGCCGGTCCGGATTCAATACAAAGAATCAAGAAGAGAAAAAAAAAGGGAAATTAAGATAAAAAAAATTGACATAGGAAAATCATAACGGCCAATCAGAGAAAAACCACCCCGGAAAGAAAACGCGACTATATACAACTCGTCAGATTCATGATTAGGGTGCGATAAAGGGGGGAGACGGAAAATTGTGATAGTGGCTGCCACACCAGAGAGAAGATAGTTCGTAACGCCATGTCAAATAGGCGACAGGTATGTTTTGGAAAGAATCAAGCGCCGTGGGCTTCAATAACCCTTCTTAGTGAACAATGGCGTCGTGAGAAGAGGGGAAAAGACCGACGGCCGAAAGCGGAAGGAGGGGGCAAGTTGATCGCCCAGAGCGAATGCAAGATTGGTACCCAAAGGTCAAAGGTGACAGGTTACCTCTCTTGCGATGTCAAATATCACATCCGGATTGGCGCGGCGCTAGTAGGCAATAGCCTCTCCGTGGCGGCGGTTAGGCATATTTGGCTCAGTAGATTTTCCCGATCGTCACAGCCGTGTCTTTCTGTTTTGGGAACCCCAATTTGATGAGGTTGGGAGGTATCTGTATTTTTTTTTCGTCTTGCTTGGTTTTTTTCCCCTGTCTTCCCTGTATTTCATCTGTTTCCTCGTTTGGAACCTGGCTCATGGTCGAGCCACTGCGGTAGGTTCGGGGATAGCAGAGATATGGTGGAGATCGGGTCTACTGTCCATGAGATCAAGACACTGGCCCAAGACTGATTTGTTTGATTAGAACCGAGCATTCAACTGAGTCTTAGTGTGGAAACTCACTGGATAATATCTCTTCCTCCCATATACCCATTTGGTAATCCACTAACCCATGTGGTTCGAGTTGATCGCAAAGCTGAATCAGGTCTCGGCCCATGTTCTCCATGCGGTCTCGTCGAAGTAGACTGACATGCGCCGGCTGTTGACTTGTGGCAATGATCTCAAGTATCAGATCCTTTTGCTTCTGACAGATGGCTAGCCAACATATATTGAAGTCATTCCAAAGCTTGAGACGGTCGGAGTAATGGACGCTGTCGTCGTGGAGGAGGCCTGCATATCAAATAGAAAGGATTAGCCTCGCACTGTAGACCCAAGCAAGGGTGTCATATGATGCTTGCATGACGCGTGCCTGCAGGCTCAGAGGAAACACGAGGGGACCAAAAGAACAAGCAAAAAAGAAAGCAAAAAGAAAGAAAAAGAAAAACACAAAAAGGTCCAGTCGGGAGTGCGACTTCTGTGCTACTACCGAGGACACTCATGGTAAAGCGTGTGTACCTGTTCCTCTGCCTTCCTCGGCGCGGAAAGCCAAAAAAAAATCAAAAGGAACTAATGACCAAAGACTGCATCTTACCTAGATCCCGTGCATTGGTCACGAGCCACTCGGAAATTTCGAGTAGTGACTCTCCAGCCTCTACCAATCTTCCCGCTCGCGTTTGATCGAATGTGCGGCGCAGGATGCCTTGATATCTGCCAATGGCCTCCTCCAGACTCGGCTGGTCCGAAGGCTGATTCTGCGGTTCGAGCTGGGATTGATCCAATCTGTTCATGGACCCGGACCCGATTACGGTGAAATCAGAGATGGGTGCAGAAAATGACTGGGTGGTGTTCGGACGTGCCATGGGATTCGGTTGGTTATAAGGCTGGAGTTGCGCATTTAGATAAGGCGAGAGCCCTGCGACCCCAGACCCTGCGGATTCCTCTGGCGCAAAATACTGTGGAACGGCAAATTGATTCGGCAGGGCATCAATAGCTGCAGACGGCCGTGTCGGGTACTGTGGAACAACCTCAAAGGGTCCTTGGGTTGGGCCCGGCTGACCGAACCCGTAGAGCATGCTGGACTCATAGAAGGCCGTGGGGTCTTGCGACGGCACGCGCCGTCGCTGTGGTTGAATTGAGGGCGCTTGCTGAGAGCGCCGGATAAAGTCCTGGGGTTGATAGTTCTGCAATTCACTGGACTGCAGGGGACCGCCGTGGAAGGAGCTGCCTGTGTATCCGTAGTCATAGGACAACGGGGCTTGCTCCGGGGGTTGCGACATCCCCGTTGGGTCTCCACGTGGTTGTATGGCCGGGTCAAAACGATCGGTTGCACGACCAGGTGCTCTGCGAGCGGCATTTCCAGATCGAGACATTGACTTTTCATGCTGCTTCATTCGTTGATCGCCATCCATCAGACTGTCCCAGGATCGATGCAGATCAATCTCGGCCCAATGCTTGGGGGACAGCGGTGGGCTTGCGTATGATGCCAGCTTGGATGGTTTAGAAGGGGAATCCAGGAATGAAAATCCTCTCACAGATAGGATGTCGTTCCCCTTATTGGGGAGGGGGGAACGGTAGAGATGGTAGGAAAGAAAGGATGAGACGTGATCCTTGCGGTTCAAGTAGACATTCAAATCCTGTCCTCTGACGCAGCCGCGACGCAGACTTAAGTAACCAAAACCAAATATTAATAACCCAGTAATTGAGGGGGGAAAAATAAATAAATCAATAAATAATCAGGCCGAGGCCAAGGAAGAACTAAAGAGGAAATTAGGCCTCAGAGGATGAGTGATGGATCTGAAAAGACCGAGATGACGGTTGAGCTGAGCCTGGGAGTCATCAGGGTCAATGACAGATCCAGTTCCCGCGAGAGGGGAAAATCGGGAGAAAGGGAGTATTAAACAGTAAATCCAGAGAAGAGAAGAAAGACAAGCCCTAAAGCCATACGATCGAGGATCTACACCTAAACTCCATTCGGTGCATCGGGAACCCGGCGCAGTGGTTCTGGGGTTTGTTTTGTTTGCTGTGTCTCGTTTATTACGACTACGCCTATTACTATTACGGGGACCATTACGCCTATTACACCTATTACGCCTCTTACCAGGTAAATAAGGGGTTCAGCTCGCGAGGTCAGGTGGGAACCCCCATTTCCTTTCTTTTTTCCTTTCTTTTTTTTCGTTTCTTCTTCGGTGTAACGCCCATGTTGCCTGGGGCTGATACTGAACATGAGACACAATCGGCTCCCTTGCGTAGAGAGGAAAGGGGAAAAAAGCAAAAGCGAAAGAGGAATACATGAACAGAGTCAAAAAGGGGCGTTTACATTCCGGGGAGATTAGCCGGGCAGCTGCTGGAACCTCGAGATGCATATGTACGGAGTACCTCTGGACGGCTCGGGACTTCTGTCCTTTTGGACCGAGGTAGAGAGGGACAAGTGAGGCTGATTGACAATGAGATAATACGTCAGATATCATATCAGCAGAATAAGATCCGAGTCAGAGATGCAGAGGATTATCGACTAGTTTAATCTAAACAGTTCCACTGGTGGGGCTGGATCGACCAAGCCCGGCCACATACATTTGGTTTTCTGATGTCTCGAGTCTCAGGGGAGCCATGATCTCAACGAAGTACGGCGGAGTACGGAATACTACGCGATGGATCGTGAATGATGCCACCATAAAGTACGCAATACTCCGTACGGAGTATACATACGGAGTAGACTATCTCCCAGACGGGATCCGACACCCTGGAAATGCGGCTACGACGTCGTAGATCCGGCTAACATTGTTTGTCTTTTATACTCTGGCAAACTCTGACTCGGAAATGATCTGCCTACACATGAACCTTACCAACATTAACCTACTTCCACGGGTTCCGGGGGATCTCAGGTACCCCGAAACAGAGTCCTATGCACATCCCTTCGGATGTACAACGTACAACGAAGAGAAAAAAAAAAAAAAAAAAAGATGTGCAAATCAGAAAGTCTCAAAGAATACATCAATCAGGCCATTGAAAATATCAGGATCCTCGAACGGACTGCACCAAACTCCTAGATCACGGTGCGCCTGGATGGCCCGCAACTAGCAGCCCGACACGTTAGATAGACCTGCCGGTAGTACAAAACACGCGGCGGGAACTGGGTTTGGTTTGCGTTGGGAATAGTGAGAAAAACGGAATAATAATACCAATCTTGTAGGGACAACAGACTACATTGTTAGACAATCGCCTTGACTATCTCCCGACTACTGGAGAACTATACCGTTGTAGATGAAAGCCATCTATCCGTACAGAGTACTCCGTAGAATGATGTCACTCCTTGTTTCAGATGTCCCTTCAGACCTGTCAGACAAAGGATAAATAACTAATCTTAGAAGCATTCTCAAACAAAAGAAAAAGAAACAAAAGCTTGGGCCTAAAATCCCCCAGATTCACAGCCAATCCCACCAAAATACTCCGTAGCCAATCGCAACTTAGGAGGCCTTGACAAATCTTCCTGAAACACATACCCCCCTTCCTAATCTCTGCTATGAAGAGACACTGCTATCCCGAGATCCATGTACGGAGTAGCAGGCAAGTAGTTCGAAGTAACATGACTCCCCCTTCTTCCATTCCTCTCCTTCCTCCATTCCCAACCCTCTCCCGTGAAAACCATAAGAGGACATCTATTCTGTACTCCGTATCTCTTCATCAAATGATAAAGAAAAACGAAACACGAAAAACTTATTTTTGGAAAATCCAGTGCCTCGCCTTGTACGACTTCCATCTCGGACTGCAGACCCAGCGAATCCAGTGCCTCGGAATTCCGAAATTATCGTCTCACGCTCTCCAGCCCAGCTATCCAGTCGGGAAGCACAAACACCGCCGAGGATACTGGATGGACGAATAGCGGAGATATACCGGAGACAAAATGTTGAATTAGTCCGGGGAGACATTGACCATAGACCATTGTCCATATCAGTGGTCCAATTGGATCCACTTGACTCTTACCAATGGGATTGGTAGCGCAGATGTAGAGTACATATGCAGTTCGGAATAGGGGAGAATAGTCAAGGGGGAGTGGACAGAATGTCAGTGCGCTATATCACCGTGGGTTGCTGTTGTGGCTGCTCTTCCGGGCCCGACTCGTTGGTTGGAAGTCATCCGGTCCACGAGTCTGCAGGCCAGAAGGAAAGATCTTGAACTGGTGTTTGTGCCGAGGTCGGGAGATCAGGGTTGGTTGGGATGGGAACGGGGGGTTTGATTCATGCGGCTGAAACTTCAAGGCTTTGTTTTTTTTGGTCTTGGGACTGGGTGTGGTTTTTTGGTATTGGCTCGACGGAGAATGTACGGTAGGGATCGGGGGTTGGGAGGGGTTCGTGGGAAGGGATGGGTTGGGATGTTGGTTTGGGGGTGAGGGATTGTTACTTTGATATACTTCGGGGGTTCATGCGCATACTTTCCAGGGTAGTATTTGATCTCATGTTTGAGAGGAGATTAGACCAATGGAAAAGTGGTTATGGGAAAGATATCAGATGTTCTTCCCATATCGAAATCGAAATAAACTACAAACACGTCGCTGATCATTGAGTCATGTCATGTCGAAATGAAAAAAAGAAACAGAAGTCAGGCGCCAAGAGGAAACAGCTGGATATATTGCCACTCAACCAGTGAGACGGGCAATTAGATTTCGTCTGGTAAATGGTTAACACGGATATCTCCCGGAGAAATGTAAGATCAAAACTCACTCAGCGTCATACTGAGGCTCACATCCGTATTCTCAACCATATCTGTGAACTCCTCAAAGCTGATCTTTCCATCCCCATCCTTATCGGCTTCCATGATCGTCTTGTCGACGATCTGCTGCAACTGCACGTCCTTCAAGTTGTTGCCGACCATCATCTTCAACACGATGAACAGCTCACCGTTGGAGATATATCCGTCGCGGTCGATGTCGTACACCTTGAATGCAAACCGCAGCTTCTCTTGCTTGTTACCCTTCGAGCTGAATGCTGACAGGCCCGTCACGAATTCCTGGAAATCGACGTCACCGCCACCGTCTTCATCGAAAATGGCGATCATTCTATCATGGAAGTACTGCGTTAGAAGCTAGTCTGTTTGTATATGTAGATCGGCAGTGTGGGGGTGGATGTGGATGTGATCCGGGGAGAGCAACGAACCTCGTGGCGAGCGGGTTGGACGACACTTGGGGGAGGGAAAGGAATTCATCGCGGTCGATAGTGCCGGAGGCATCCTGTAGACAGTTGAGTATGTGATAGCACCCGTCGGAATTCCATGCCGCGCAACCAACCTTATCCAGCTTCATGAAGCGTTTGCGCAGACGATCCACCTCATCCCGGTTGACTGTTACCGCTCAGTCAGTCACAAGCCTGATCCATCATCTTGATACCCTTATGCGACCGTGGAAAACGTACAGTTGGAGGTGGACACAATGTTATCGAAGAGCTGGGTGGTGCCCACGGAGCCACGGCGTCTGCGCGCATCGTAAATGGCAGCGGCGTTGGGCTCGTTGGAGGAGGACTGATCCATGTTGGGCGGTTAAAGGAGCAACCGGAGTGAAAGGGCGGGCGATGCGATGAAAGATACCAAAGAAGATGTGGCAAAACTATGAAACCACCAATTACGAAGAGGTAGATCAAGCAAGATAGCAAAAGAGGAGGCGGAAGAGATGTTATTGCCAAGGGCCCTGGGGAATCTGATATCGCCCAGCCCCGCACTAACCGGAAGCGGACAGGCAAGCGAGCCCCTGAGGCCGTGCACTCGGCCAAAACAGGCCACCGCCGGCTGAGATTACAACGTCAACCCAACCGCCAGCCCTGAATCACCCCATTTTCAGTCGTCAATATCTCCCCCCCTCCATCCATTCTCATCTCAAAAATACGTCTACGAGAAAGCGCATAACCAGACCTTTCTACTGATCCCCTTTTACCCCGTTCCCGCCCATGGTCGTTGGCCTATTGCGCGTCCCGACGCTATGACTCGGTACGGGGGCCTGGGGAGGACGCGCCCTAAAAAGCTCACCTCCAAGGCATCCATCCCCGTTGTCCGGGAGTCAGACATCGATCCCATCGAGGATGACACCCAGAGCGCTCTACAACAGATCGAAACCGGCGTCGAAAAGGCCGAGGAGTCGGTGAGTCCCTAATTTTAGCATCATCCCTATCCCAGTCACGTGACAAGATCGCCGAAATGACATGAAAATTTTCACCCCAATATAAAATGGCCCATACTGACCTTGGATCGTGTCTAGGAAATTCACCTGCAACGCGCAATTAATGCCGCTGCCCAGGGCAAAGTAAATGAGGCACATATCCCCACCCCGGAGACCATTCTCAGTAATCTTCAATATGACGAACTCTACCCTCCTGTCTTCTCCCAGCCTGCGACGTACATCCGCTTCTCCTCGACTGTCGAGGATTGTTGCGGATGTCCGTACAACATGACGGATGAGGACGATGTCTTCCTTAAGACGTTGAACCAAAAGCGTGAACCATCTGCGGAACGGTGCTCGGAAGATACCTTCGAGGAAATCATGAATTTCTTTGAGGAAACGGCGCAGTTGAAGCAGCCATACGCATCGATCGACAACCCACCAGTGTTGTCGTTTGCCGAAATGCAAGACATGATGGATACATCTTTAGAAGATCCGATGAAGCCCTTTGCCAAAGAAATTTATGAGCACTGGAAGGCGGGTCGGATGGCGGTGCAGAACAATGCTCTTGTATCGCAACTCAAGGTATGTTGTTTCTCATATCGTTGGCAATGTAATATCACTGACATTGATCGTCGCAGTTCGAAACTGGCCAAGACACCGACGACAGTGATCCATTTGTCTGTTTCCGTAGACGCGAGGTCCGCCAGATCCGCAAGACCCGTGGTAGAGATGCACAGAGTGCAGAAAAGCTCAGACGTCTTCGCAAGGAGTTGGAAGATGCTCGCGAGCTTGTTGCTTTGGTGCGCCAGCGGGAAATTGCTCGGAAGGAAATGCTCTCCATGGAGCGACACCTCTTCAAGCAGCGTTGTGAGGTCAAGGAGATGAAGCGCAAGCTCAACATTAAGGACGATGATGAAGACCTCATCAACCAAAAGGTAAGCATGACTGATCTGACTGCTCGTAATGTGCATGCGCTGACCTTCTTCTCACAGCCAAAGAAGAGGGTGGTCGATATGCCAACCCAACGTTCAAATGCCCCTCAACTGCGTATGCCCCTCAAGGCTGGACAAGGTGCAGAGGATCTGCAACTCTTGGAAGACGTTCAGGCGGAGAAAGAGAACGAGATTCTGCGCGATATCAAACAGAACATCACCAAGCACATCAAGTGGAACGAGGGATACGTGGATCACACCCGTGCCCCACTTTCTCCTTCACCGGAAAGGATATTCGATGTGTCTGCCTTCAGACCCGCATTCACGGCACAGCTGCCAACCCCTCCATCATCAGAATCATCTGGCGAGATGGAGACTTCCTTAGATGTTACCAGCCCGCTCTTCTCCAAAGACAAGCTTGCTTCGCACGCCATAGAACTCCATGACGAGACACACCGGATGCCATCTTTCCGACGAAGAGTTGGACGTGGTGGCCGGTTAATGATCGACCGTCGGAACATGGGGAGTCGTAAAATTGAGATGGACCCTATCAAGGCCGACCGATTCAAGTTCGACCAAGAAGATTCCGACGAAGAGCCCGATTATGATACGGATGCGTATAGCATCCAAATCATGCAGCACCGGGCTATCACCATGGCCAAGGCGCGCGAACAGGCTGCAGTGGCTGCCCAGGCTCATGCGCAGGCGCAAGCACAGGCAGTCCAAGCCCAAGCACAGGCTCAGCGACGACTGCAAGACCAAAGCGGTCAGCACCCAGGTCCCAATCCCGGACCGGTTGCGGTGGCAGTGTCAGAGACCTAACCGACTCCCCCCTCATCATTTTTTGTTTTCCTCGTTCACAGCATTTGGCGGGCGTTCCCCTCGTGATTTTGTTTTCCTCGTCCCTTCGTCTCCTTGTCTTTCCCCCTTTTTACCACACTTGTAGTTTTAGTACTCCCTCATGTTTCGACGATTTCCGCGGGCGGCGAAGGATACTGGCTTCATGTGAAGCCTGATATCTCTTCTTTTCTCTTTTTCTTTCCTCGCGTTTCCGCCCACCTCTTTCTCACACCTCTCTTCCTCGACTTTCCGTTTCGACGCAGGTGCCAGCTACTCGTAGCTTGGACCCGTCTGCATTTGTTAGTGTACATAGTATCTTTTTTTTCTTTCCCGAATTTCGGTGGTGTTGGCTGGTGTCGGGCAGCCTTTGTATGATGGATAACCGAAGTTATGATGCAAGCGACGAATGGGAGGGCAAAGAAAAAGGCTCAAAAACATTCAGAAAATCTAAAACAATTTAATCACTCGCAAAAATCACTTTTCTTTTGGGTTCTGTTGGGTTCAGTAGAACAGACTGATCTCAGTCGTGGTAGTTGGTCACACAAAGACGTAGAGTCTTTCAGACTTCATACCCTCTGGCTCTTAAATTGTCTCGACTCACCATCATCATTGGCAGAACGTTTCAATGACCCCGTGGTAGCGGGTTGCAGCATGCCCAAGACAGTGTGCAGAACCTCCTTCTCGCCAATGCGAACTTGGAGGGCCATCCGTACTCGACGGGCAGTCTCATCCCCAGCACCTGATGAAGACAACGGAGAAAGCGAACCTCTGAGCTGGAGATCTGAGGCCAAAGAGGTAGCGTATTGCGCCTGTCGCTGCTGCAGGGCCTTGATCAAGATAGCAGCTGCGTTGGCATCCAACGCTGGCTTAGGAGCCTTCTTCTTGGACAAGCGCTGCTCGAACTCCGCAGCGGGGAGAGCGAGTGTGGTCAAAAGAACGACCAACTCGGCTGGCAGAATATCTTCCAAAGATGGGTTGGCGTTCACAGGTCTGGGAATCACATAGCCGTCTTCGAGAAGGTCCAGGTTCTCGAGGAACTCAAGTCGGGGTTGAGACTCTGCGTTGGCATCAGAAAGTCCCGCAGCTTGGCAGATGGTTTCCAAAGACAGCTCGAGCACGTCGTATACAGCGTAGTTGTCGGTGACATAGCCATATCGGCGGAGGAGATCTGCGCGGGGAATTTCTCCATAGTCGTTGAAAATCTCCTCGCCTGGCTGAATTGGCTTGATTGCCTTCATGACCAGCGCCCCTTCTTCTTGGTAAAGACGAGCCTATATTAGGTGAGTTAGAATTGGAGTAGGAAGAAAAGGGCGTGCGTGATCTTACGTTGTTTCGGTCCGCATCGGCGTTGAGGAGGTCAGCAAGTGGGACCATACCCTTAGGCAGCTGCTCATCCTCGTCATCTGTCATGTAGCTCTCATCATTAGCTTCACCCTCATCATCATCGTCCTCAGCCTTTTCAATGTCAAAGGCATAAGCCATAATGAGCGACCCCATGATATGGCACAACTCAATTAGGGCGGCGTGACCAGCATCACCCTCCCAAGACGCGAGACCATGAGGAGGCGGGAATAGAGCCGACTTCTTTGCGATGACGGGAGCGATCCACTCCATGATTGACTCCTCGGCGCTTGACCGACCAATCTTTTCCACAATAGTGGAGCCTTGCAGCTCTTGCAGTTCAGCAGGCGACCAAAACATCAGGGTATCGAAACGAGAAGGCAAGACTCGGAAGTATGGAGCCCATCTTGATTTCTCTCCTTGGAGATATTCATATACCATGACCAGCATCAAAGAAAGCCACGGACCCATCTGTTCCTCGAGATTCTCCCCGAGCAGAGTACCCAGCTCCGAATTCTGCACAGCAAGAATCATCGCGCGTGGAATAGAGAAGAGTTCTTCGCCTTCGGGGATGTTGCTTTGTGCCACTAGAGCCCAGGAAATATGTTAGAAAATTGACTGCAACATTTATGGGCCCCTCATTTTTTGGGGGGACACTCCGTGGCGCACTTTTGTGTGTTTGGAGAATTGATTTTTTGCGAACTTACCGACACCACGTCCAGCACCATTTGCTCGAAGATCTGCAAGTCTGATCTTAGAGTTGAGTTGCACTCCTGGTGTGGCTTGCAGCCATGACATGAAGTTGTCAGACTGTTGTTGAAAGCCCTCGGCGTCGGGGAAGTGAGTAGTCGAGGACATGGTGAAAAGGATCCCAGTTGGGAGAGAGAGGAGAAAGACAAAAAGAGATCACGATGATAGACCCAATGGAAAGGAGACTGTATGGGAAAGGAAATAATGGAGAAGAGGGGAAAGAAGACAGTTGGGAGTATGCAAACTAGAGTCGAGAGAGAGAGAGTAGCTCCCGTGGCCGGGTTTAGTTCGGCCAAGCGACGGGTGCCGCTTTTAACGCCCCCTGATAACGATAACGAAAATCATCAAGACTCATATACCAATTGCATAGCATTTCATTGGCTTCCTTTCTTCATCTGAATTAATACTCTGGAATACCGCCCATCATGATCGCAATTGGTATGGAAGGCTCTGCCAACAAATTGGGCATCGGCATTATGCTGCATCCCAAGGACGGTAGTCCCCCCCAGGTCCTCGCCAATATCAGACACACCTACGTCTCCCCGCCAGGCGAGGGCTTCTTGCCCAAGGATACCGCGCGCCACCACCGATCATGGGTTGTGAAGCTGGTCAAGCAGGCTCTCAAAGAAGCCAAGGTCTCTGTCGACGATGTGGACTGCATTTGCTTCACCAAGGGCCCCGGCATGGGTGCCCCACTACAGAGCGTGGTGGTCGCCGCACGGATGTTGAGTCTGCTATGGGGCAAAGAGCTAGTTGGAGTGAACCACTGTGTTGGACGTATGTATTTCTATAAAATAGTGCCATATGTGCTGTCTTCTCTAGCTGAAAAGCGCAACTGGAACAAAAAAAAGGCTGACATCTCGTACCTCCTAGACATTGAAATGGGACGCCTCATCACTGGCGCAACAAACCCCGTCGTACTATATGTATCGGGCGGTAACACACAAGTCATCGCGTACAGCTCCCAGCGATACCGCATCTTTGGCGAGACGCTCGATATGGCAGTAGGAAACTGTCTAGATCGGTTTGCGCGCACACTGCACATCTCCAACGACCCAGCACCGGGATATAACATTGAACAGCTAGCAAAGCAAGGAAAGCAGCTAGTCGATCTGCCTTACGTCGTAAAGGGTATGGATTGTTCATTCTCTGGAATTCTGGCTGCCATTGATGGCCTCGCTAAGGAGTGGGGGTTGGGCGGGGAGGCGAAGGCGAAGGAGGATGAACAGAGAGCTGGGGAGTCTACAGCTGCAGATGGTTCATTGGAAAGCAAGCCCACGCGCGCAGACTTGTGCTTCTCCCTCCAGGAGACAGTCTTCTCCATGCTTGTTGAGATCACCGAGCGCGCAATGGCGCATGTTGGGTCAAAACAGGTTCTGATTGTTGGCGGTGTTGGCTCGAACGAGCGCTTGCAGGAGATGATGGGTATTATGGCAAGGGATCGTGGTGGAAGTGTTTATGCCACGGATGAGCGCTTCTGCATCGATAACGGAATCATGATTGCACAGGCTGGTATGCTGGCATATGGAACCGGATTCCGGACTCCATTGAGCGAGAGTACTTGTACGCAGCGATTCCGCACGGATGAAGTGTTTGTGAAGTGGCGGGATTGATATCGGTGCTTTGACCTAATTTAAAAAAAGATATATCATGTGTTATGAATTGAGCGAATCGGAACCAATATCCTTTTGAATTTGGGATTTGGAGAGGAAGAAGAAGTGATTCGACGTTCAGTGTTCATTTCATCTTGCCTTTCCAGACATCTGTAATATTCTTGCATAGATTCAAGCGCCTGTGCAGCCGTATGATTTGCCCATGATTAACCCTAAATCCTTTCCCTGACCCAACACAGAAGTAACGCCTGAGAAAAAGATGCAATATGGTGTGATTTCCTTGAAGGACTTTTCAACGCATTCAAATTCTTTGGCTGCAATCAATGCCCGGGTAAGCTGGAATTAGTATTTGGTTGCCATTATCGACGAAGCAACCCGAGCGCACCTGAGCAGATAGCGGACAGGCGAGGACCGGGAAGGGCAAATGGCTCGGACAAGGGATGAAATTGTCGATAGATCCTTTCATCTCTGCGGCTTGGATTGACTAGAACATGCGCAAGCCAATATTTGGTGAAAACGCAAAAAAGCATATGCATACAATAGAAAACCACCTATATGTTTGAACATAGCTCATTCGGTAATATCGCCAGTTGGTTTGTACAAAATGGTGGTGACATACTGTACAGCCGATTAGTCAAATTCCCTCGAGAAATTCATGAAGTAATGACTTACTTTTCTTTTATACCGGGTTGTCACACTTGTAGCCAGGACACCATTTTTGATACTGCTCGTGGCCAGATGGTTCAGAACCGTGTGGTTTGGGTAGTTGAGAACGCTGCTATCATCCTTCATGGGGGTTGTGCCGTTGAGAATTGACTTGCCCAAGAAGAGAGGCAGACTGGGCGGGGTAGCCGTATCTCCAATGACATTGGCTGCCTGAATATACTCAGGGCTATCCTCTTCCTTATCCAGATCGGCGAGGAACTGAGGGACGGCATCACCGAAATCACCGGGCGGAACCTCTTCCTCGAGTTCCTCCTGTTCTGGAGTACGGTCCTCTGAATCTCTTGGGTGGACCTGCTTAGATGAATCCGGCACGGTTTGCGGAGGATGCGCCCCCGGTTGAACGGCGGAATCCTTGTCATGAGCATCGTCTGCGCTGATCTCAATATAGTTCACTAGGTGATTAGTGAAGTCCACTGCAGTTGGCAGACTATCAGAAGCGCGCATTTCTCCATCAACAATGAACTTCAAGTGGTGCGTGCCAGGTCGAAGGTTCAGAGTAGTCGACATAACGGACGGGTTATTTTCACTATCGAGCGTTAATCGAGGCTTCAGAATCGCAGGCTACTTGCGTGACTCACCTTCTATGCAGGCGAAATTTCTTCTCCCAGTTAACAAAGGTTCCCGTAACGTAAACCTTCGTAGCAGGTGCTGTCCATTCAATGACTACTGGGACTGCCTTGCCGGCTCCGCTAATGGTATACGGCTGAAGCTCATCAAGCAGCTCCTCATCTTCAATGGTCGTATGACCCAAAGCTGCAGTATTCATATCCATCTGTTCATTCAAAAGGCGATCCGCAGGGAGCGATTGAATATGCGAGTCCTCGGGGCCGGCGATGGGTGATCCGGGTGTGGTGTTGGCATCACCGATTGGCAATGGCAGCCGCGGTGGACGTTGCAGGTGTGCCGATGCGCTATAGTACGAGTTGAGGGGCGGGGCCGATGGTGCCACAGGATCGCGCCCCGGAGCATGGCGCGAGATCGGGACCTGGACCGGGGTGGAGTGGTCGCGAGATGGGATGTCCTTGCTCGGGGAGGGCTCGACTGTCCGTGGATCATGTTTTCGGGGCTTCTCTATGTTCTTAGGTGAAGGTTCGGGGGCATTTCGGGGTGGAATGCGCTCTTGCAAGGATCTTTGATATCCTGCCGAGTGCCCAGCGACTGTCTCCTTAGTGGCGGATGGGTCAACCGCGACGGCCTTGGGATTTGAGATCGTATTGTGGGAGGATCGGCGGGAAACCTTGCGCTCGCTCACAGAGCTGTGGTGAGAATGGGCTGATGGCGCATCGCTCACCGGGCCCTTGGAAGGGTTGTTGCCCATCGAAGGCGGGGAAAGGTGCGAGGGACTTTGGGGCGAGGTTTTGCTGCAAGTGGAGAAGAGGAGAGGTTTGAACTAAATCACAATTGCAGGCTGAAGGAAGACACTTCCGATGCCAGCTCAGAGTCAGGATTGGCGGTGGGGCAGTAATCAAAGTCGATTGATGTACTCACATTGTCAAAGTACAGTAGAGGACGATGACGCCGGAAGCCTAATACGGCAACATAGGGCTTAGGGCTTGGCAGTTGGACCGCGGCGCGTGTTACTTCGATATCAGGACAGATGTCGAGATGTGTGGTCTGGTTTTCTGGGCGCGTTGATAATAATAATGATGATGGGCTGGTTTTCGCCCTTGACATACCCTCTGTCGCTCGTTTTCGGCGTTCTACTCCAATTATTGTCCTACTTGCTATCATTCCTACTCTTCCTCGCATCACCAGTGATCTACCTTGGACATGTTGTTTTATACCTGACTCTGCTTCCCTTGCGAATTCTCATCAGATTGGAGGTACGTAGTGTGATGGCTATGTCTCATTGCTCGTTTCTCACGTACCATAGCTCCTCGAGGGTAGCAATTACTAAGTTCTAACAGGCATTCATCTATTTCATGACCATGGCCGTTCTCATTGGAGCTACTGCAGGCATGCTTCTATACTTCACCGGAACCACCATAACGCAAGCCTTGCACATTGAAGGATCAAATGAAATACGAAGACCTCGTAGGAAGCAGGAGCTTCTAAATTCTGCATCTTTGAATCCATCCTTCGACTACTTTGAGGCGCAGGTGGAGGAGCGCAAGTTCCTACCTTACTCGACGATTTTAGAGGAAGAGGAGACTAGCTATGGGTCAAATTAATGTACAAATACCCACCGATCGAGCCTAGTACATGATGTTCCATAATACAAAGCAATCGATACCACTCAGGCTGGACCAGACACAAGCCTCAGTTTAGACCGTTAATTACTGTCTTAAGCAATCGATGCGCCATGTCCAATCATTGGAAGAAAGGAAATATCCCACCTGAGACTGAATATGTAACAACTCGTGGTCTGGCGGGCCAAGGTCCCAATATTTCCTAATTGGGCCATATATGCGATCCAGCCAATCATATTATCTTCAACTATTCTCCAGCGATATGTATAAAATCACTTCCAAAACCCGCCGTTCCTTTTTGAAGATTATTTTTTCTTCTTTGAACACCAAGCAGCTACCCCTCTCATTCTATTTCCAGGGCATAATGGTTCGAATCAGCCCGTTTGCCGTCGAGCAAGTAAGCAACCCTCAAATTCATATCTGTTTCACTTCCAATCCTAGAACCATCCACTTCAGTATACAGATACTAACATCTAAAAGTGGATGGACCTTTACGAAACCAGTGCAAAACATAACCTGGCTGAAACATGCTGCGCCTCCATCTCCCTCAACGACCTGATAGCCTTGTCCTCGAAAAAGGATCTAGTAGACTACACGCAGAAGCAGGTCTACGGTGCGATCCGGGGATCAGAAGCACTGAGGGCCAATATTGCGAACCTGTATTCGCAGTCTGAATCAAGCCCGATCTCCGCTAATGGCATCCTCGTCACAAACGGTGCTATCCAGGCAAATTTCTTGGCACTCTATACTCACATCGGGCCCGGTGATCATGTCATTTGTCAATACCCGACGTATCAGCAGTTATACTCCGTGCCTGAGTCATTTGGCGCGGAGGTTAGTCTGTGGCGGTCGGATGACGCGCATGGATGGGAAATGGATCTGGAGATGTTGAGGTCTTTGGTCAAGCCAAATACGAGGATGATCATTTTGAAGTATGTATTGCCGTTGGTGATATATTGGGTGGATCATTTCTGACTGAAGTCTATAGTAATCCTCAGAACCCCACTGGGGCGATTCTTCGTCGTGAAGAATTACGAAAGATTGTTGATATCGCCCGTGAACATGATATCCTGATCCATTCAGATGAGGTTTATCGGCCTCTGTTCCATTCTCTCGGCACTGATCAGGCTCCTCCATCCATTCTTGAATTTGGATATGAAAATGTCATCGCGACGGGGTCCATGTCCAAGGCCTTCAGCTTGGCCGGGATCCGCTTGGGCTGGATTGCTTCGCCGAATCCTGAGATTATTGAAGCTTGTGCCTCTGCCCGCGATTACACACTCATCTCGGTTGGTCAGATTGATGATAGTGTAGCGACCCACGCTTTGTCTACCCCGTGTGTGGAGAATCTGTTGCACCACAATCTTCGCCTGTCTCGGCAGAATCTCGAAGTCCTCGAGAGATTCATCGAAGAATTCAAATGGGCTATGGGGTGGACAAAGCCCAAGGCTGGCACGACTGCGTTCATAAAATTTATTGATAAGAAAGGGAGAGCAATCGACGACGTTGTGTTCTGCCAGCGCCTCCAGGAAACGACCGGAGTGATGCTGGTCCCTGGAAGTCGGTGTTTTGGTGGTGGCGTGGACTTCCATGGATATGTGAGGTTGGGCTATGTTCAGGACAGCCAGGTGCTAGTTGATGGCTTGAGCTCCCTGAGACGGTTTATGCATGATGAGTATGACAAGCTGCCGCTTGCCGAGGGAATGCGAGGCCCCCTAGAATAGAACCAATTCTAATCCCAGAGACGCAAAATACGTATCCCAGGGCAATGAAGTCTCAGATTCCCAGAATTTACTCAGAAGCGCCCTTGCTCTTGTAAAGTTTCCCAGTCCAAGGCTCTGCATGTAGCCCATTCGGCTGTGTATAAACTCGCGTTCCTTGACATCATCAGTCTCACATCCGGCGCTGAACATGGGCCAAAGAATCAATATGTTTGCAGGAGAGAGGGGTGGAATATGTTCAACTGCGGCTATAATTTTTTTGATGTCCCTCTTCACGGTATCATGATCTTTTGGGAGTTTTTGAACTCGCCAGTGGAGATGTAATAAAGCAGCGTGTACAAAGGCCAGATGGGTACTCCGTAGCTCAACGTGATCTCCATCAAAAACTTTGCATTCAACAAGGGAGAGGATCTCAGTCTGGAGACTATGAGCGTCTTCTATGAATTCGTGTCGAATTGGGGATTTATCTTGGCTTGTTTGTTGTACCAATTGCGATAGCCGGCCAAGCAGTGGAGCCAATTCCATGGAATATCCACAGATATTGTCGACATGTCGACCCAAATGGTCAAAAGGCTCCCCGAGTAGCCAAGTATCAGAGCTAAAGACAGAACCAGTTGTCAGTCCTGATAACCCCGCGATGACGTCCATTGTCGTGAACCACTTGACCAGACACTGAATGTAAGGATCAGCAATGTGCAATTTTCCTTGACTTTCTAAAAAAGCAGCCAAAAGGCGCCTGACCCCACCAAGATGGGTCCGCCATGTCTGCATGTTCCCGTTGCACACATCATTGGTGCACAGGGCCATTGCCGTAGTCACAGTCTCGGCTGTCAGCTTTGCATTTCCTTCACTAAGAGTCGATCGCAGGCTAGAAATTGACAAATTTGTAAACCTTAGACAGGAAAATCGTGACTTTGGACTTGTATCTTTCACAAGTCGGCTATGGTGACTACATGCAGATGCGAGTAGGGCATAGAGAAGATGAGGCGTCTCCAGGGAACTGGCGACCATTCTCTGTAGAAAAAGCGCCGGGGCGGCAGGAAACAGCCGAGGGGCAGTCTCCGTGCTGAAAATATGCATGAAAAACCGGGTCTCCTTGGATGATAGAAACGGTGATAGGTTTAAGATAGGCTGTCGAGCAATAGGAATTGAGCCGTGGCTAACGTTCTCATTGGCGCCATGATTCGCTTCACTCCGCCTGGCCTCATGATTGATGATTTTGATATCATATCTGCACTCTTTAGGAAACCGACTGCAGCGTAAGCAAGTGGGCTTTCTCAAATCACACTGGGCGGAGATATTAGCGATGTTTGAGTGGCCAAGAATATAGTTCCTACCTTGACTTTCTTCCGTCGGCATTCCGTACAGCCATCTCGTCTTCTTTGGGAGACCAATACTCCGTACATCGCTACCGAATCGACGGTGCAGCATTGCCAATCGAATTGGTCAAAAAAGTACTTAGGTGCTGCAGGTAAAAGTATTCAAGAAGAGGTCTGAGGGAGAAACAGAAGAGAGTCCCACTCTTTCCCAGTCGAGCCAAGTACCCGATCCAGCCAATCAGGTCGCCGGATATATTCCCTTGAATCGCTAAAAACACATAGTCCAATTCGATCTGTTCTATACTACATATTATATTTAGCTATCCAAGATGTATGTAGAAAGTGATATAGCTACATTAACCGAACTAGGTGGGACGGACTGCCAAGGACTGTGGCGTATCTTCTACATTGTCGGTCTTGCTGTTATTGTCGCCCGTAAGGAATGTCACAGCCTAATTGTCGTATGACGGGTCAGAACCTCGCCCTGCTTTGAGTTGAAGTAAATGATTGGGTCTTAGTGCATGTCAAAAGCACCTCTCTGCCAGCCAAGAGGTAGTACCTAGGTATCCCTCTTGGCTCGTTTTGTCACGGGGACTGACTGGTTGCTTTTGGGATGCAGCGGATTTCTTATTTAACCATCGCACTATCGTTTCATATTGATCTTCGTAACTTGTTCGCATGGAATATTCAGTTTGCCTTGTTTGATAATATACACATATATCTCCCTGTGCTATCACCATGTCGTCCGAACCCAGGACGCTCAAGTATATATCGCCACGGAGTCCCACAAGTTACACGCCACGTCGCTAACTCTCCCACAGGTCGATCTTTGCAAAGCCACCAGTCAAGATCATTGTGGGCTCCGATGATTCTGTTTACTATGTCCACCATGGTGTCCTTGAGACCCACCCCGCATTTGATGCTCGGCTGAAGGAGTCGACTGATCAATACGAGAATGTGATCGATTGGTCCGGTTTTGACGAGCAGACCGTGGAGTGCGTACTGAGCTTTCTTTACTCTGGGAGTTATCAAACGCCGCTCGGAAGCTCAGAGGCAGTTGATGAGGATGACGCAGCAGATGCGGGGGAGGAGGTGCTCACAGAAGAGGAAGACGAGGATGGTGAGGCGACAGAAGTCACAGAGGATGACATCGAGGAAGCTCCTGAAGGTAGTAAATCACATTATCATATAAGAGCGACATAGAAAAGAATAAACCACTAAAACCACACCAGCAGATGCAGAGCCTCTGTCGCCGGTCCCAGAGTCACCACCATCGCAGGCCATTTCAGAGTGTGATTTGAATGATCGACCCTTGACTCCTTTGGACCAATGTTGTGGAGTCAATCTGGCCACCGAACAGGTCTCGGAATCAAAGATCATCGACCAAGACCAAGACCAAGATGAAGATCAAGACGCAGACCAAGAAGCCAAGGGAAACACTGCCGCTGAGATCTATTTTCACGCCAAAGTATACTCCTTTGCCCGTCAGCTCGACTTTTCCAAGTTGGAGCAATTCTCCCTGAATAGTCTCGCAGAAGTGCTTGTTGCCCTGGAAAAGTCCGATCAAGGCCCTTTTCCATACTTGGCCGACGCAATCCGGCTTATCTATCAAACGACCACGACTGGTGACGACGGGAGGAATCTGCTATCGCAATTTGTGGCACTGAGATATACCGCACTCGGTGGGGAGGATTTGGATACGCTTATCACAGAGGGAGGAGAGTTCATGGTCGATCTGTCGCATAAACTTGCCCGGAAGCTGACAACCATCTCAACTGCGTTGGAAGAAAGGCTTGGGGATCTTATCAGCAGGAATGAGGAGTTGGAGGAGGAGAATGCAGAGAAAGATAAGGAGCTGAAGGCTCTGAGAGAGGGCATTCACCAGTGGAAGAATGGAGCGGTACCCAGCTTCCCGAGTTTTACGTACCAAATCTGAAGAGGGTATGTGTGCCATTTGAATAGAATTCACAGCCACTGAGGGGTTTATTGATCGAGTATTTCTGTTTTTTCCAACATTTTTGGTACCTAGCTTAATATCAAGCCAGATCACTATCTACATATAACACCAATGCATCAGTGAGCATCCATGCTTATATTCCTTTGACCTTTAATCTACTACATGTACCTTGGTAGATCCATGTAGACTGAAATTAGGGTAACCAATAATAAAGACAAATCAGATAAAAGTTACAGGCGATGCTTGAGTCGAGATCAGGGATAAATAGAGAATGAGACTAGACATAAATGGATATACGAATCTTACGTTACTCCAGAATCTTTAACAGAGGCTCTAGTAAAGCTCAAGTACATTTGGAAGTCTATAGATCATAAAACTGAGAGAAGGAATGAGAAATAGTGCCAATGAAGGTATGGTATTAATTTGCCTACAATGTATAGACACCACGAAGCTCGAGATGGAACCATTTGAGTGAACTAGCATCAGTTTATTTCCAAACCAACACTGTGTCTGTATAGAGTGTACAAAGAATAGTCCCATTATATTCTTACACAGAATATCTCGCAAGCTAAATGAAACTCAACCTACCTCTACAGCCTGGTCTTCTGCTGGTATTTTACTGCAGCAAACCAAGTATGCATGGGTATATCAAAGTTGTGTGGGCTATTCCGTGTCTAGAAAGATGTTAAATGTGGCAATATTCCGTGGAAAAGGATACTTCATTTGAATGTCCTACTATTTGATTACTTACAGCCGGAGATGAACGGGAAAGCCGGGATTTCGAAGGACGAACAACTCTATCGATAGCAGCAGTGAGGAGACATGTAGATGTAGGTACCTATGGAGTACATATAGCTACATCTATATACAGTCAGGTTATTGCTTGCAATGGAAGGTTTAGATTTGAATCCAGAGGATCGCCTGGGAGACACATCGCTATCATTGGCAGTGACATACGGTCCAAAGGCGGTTATTGATAACCTTCATCTCTTCCAAGTAAGACCCATCAGAACTTGTTCGTACATTGCTCTTCATATTTTGCCTGTAAGCTGAATCAACGTGTAATACTCCGTACGGAGTAGATAGTCAAGACCCGTGGACATCCCTACATGCTTACACCTCACATGGAATGGATGTGGAGAGGGGTCTTCCCGACATGCCTGGACCTCCACATTTTCGCGAGCATCTCAAACGTCATTGGTGGGATACATGCGCTAGTAGGGCGGATCAGATGCCCCACTATCCTTATACGATCTCATACTTCATTTGCCCCAGCCTTTAGGTATATTTCTGTGCCGACAAGATAGCACCCTCGTTGCGATTTAGTGAAAAAGCGTACTATTTATCAATCAGCATGTTATTATAGCCGGAAGAACGCCGGGTCCATATCCCGGAGACCCTGGTTTGATTGAGTGAAGAAATAGACACGGAATCAATCAGCATGGTAGTGTAGTGGAAGTATGTCAGACTCATATTCTGGAGGTGAGTCACACTAGTTCCTGCCCGGTACTCTAAGCATGAGGTTGCTTCAATGTACAGCAGAGTGCGAAATCAGCTTACGCTCAAGTACACTTCCAAGGTTGACTCACTGCGTTTGTCGGCCCGTACCCGAAACAAGTAGATACTGTGGTACCTAGCTTACTGGCCACTCCAGTGCTCGTAAACAGAGTATATTCACCACCTAACCAAATTAGGCTTCACCCCTTTTTAATAACGGACTGGTAAATAGAGAGTGTGTGCTTTAGGAGTAAACTGTAAAGAACTTCGCATATCGACTGCCTTCTGTCCATAATGTCTCGGGGACGGGAAAAAGGAGAAAAGGCGAGGTGGAACTTCCCGTCTTGTTTAGAGCACTCTCAGACTCCCTAGATTATCAGAGCCCAGGCTTCAGTTTTCCATACGGGACGACAAATTTTCTCCTCTTACCTCGCCTAGAGTCATTCTGTTACTTACCCATAAAGCGAAATATATTCACTGATCGATATTTGATGTCAAAATCTGTCCTAAAGCGTCTAAGAATTTCTGTCGTAACTGTTTTCTTATTTCACAGTTAGGAGTTTATCTCGTCATACCTCTAAACCGAAGCCGGTTTCCCCCGTACATAGCGATAACGTGGACTATTGGGGTTGAAGATGAAATACCTAGTTTGGAGTGCTGGCCGCTGCGATCCCAAGATCTGCTTCTAGTGAGTCACTCTATGCGAGATTGAGGTTTGAGTATGCGTATGTGTCGGGCTTTACATGGGGGCTCTTGCAATCAAGGAACTTAATTCTTCGCATCGCGCAAAGGGTTCAATGCCGACTTGGGCACTTCTAGAGAGCGTTGATTCAATTCAGGCTCCATGTTAGCCTCTGTTGCTGTCTTTGGTGTAAAAAGGACAATGGTGTTACGTCTGACTATGTTTATACTGCAAGCAGGAGGGTATCCGATCGTGATCCGATCAATATAGTAGGGTGGCATCGGCTGGCCAAGATACAGGTGGCGCTGTCTGTTCCTTGGCACGGGCCAAGGTAGAGCCAATATACTCTCTATTTGCCAACATTTGTTACATGATGCGCTTTTGAAATATAGACTTTAGATGCAGGGATAAGTCCATGAGCCATGCCGCAAAGACTAGTATAGTCATGACTGTTGCCACCCAGGCTATGGCGTTGGATTCCAGCTCCTCGCCAATGCGAATCGTGGCAATTGTGAAGCCAACATTGGGGAAGACAATGGCCCACCAAGGCAGTATGAACATCATCTGTGGCTGCGACATACTATTGTCGCATTTGGAAATCAGAATGGGCAAATGAGCGACCAGCGCAATTGCGAATAGCCAGAATGTGAAGAGCCAAAGGAATATGCCTATCCACAATGCCATGACGTTCAAGGTTTCTGAAGCAGTAGGGTGCTTCGCAAAGTATCCGTACTCGTCGGGGATTGCCTTGGCGCACCCAATGAGAGCTACAATGGTGTATCCTGAGGAACCTACGGATATGAAGAGTCCGGGTCTCTGGTTCGCCGGGCCGAGACCATTGATAAGCATATTGCCCACGAAGAGCGGAAGAAACAAAGTGCACAACATCCATCCAAGACCCTGAAAAGCTATGCCGGCAACGATGATGGCCATTCGTTGTGAGAGAGGCTGATATGCTGCAATAGACGACGCGACAGTGCCGGTCAGCATGGCGTTGAAAATCATCAGAAACATTGGTGGGCTCATGGTGCCAGGCTCGAGGGGGCAAACGACAAACATGACGACGAAGATGACGATGTTATACGCCAGGGTAATGGCAGCATAGATCCAAAAGAGAACTCGGACGGCGACAATGACCCAAGGACCGGCGTGAGGAGCACCGAAACGCTGCATACATATGATGATGGTCGCCATCGAGAGCCATAGGGAGCCGGTGAAGTAGGCTTCCGGGGGGGTTCGTCACGGATTTGCGTAAGCTGGAAGGTCTCTGTACGAATCGACAGATAATGGCTGTAGTAAAAAGGACGAACAGCACTAGGTTGAGGATGAAGACTACGATACCGGCGGTCTGCAGCCCGCGAAATTGATGGGGGGTCTCGGACAGGAGAATGGCCACGCCGCCGGTAGACTGAGTGCAGGTGAAGTTAGCCCATGTGAAGCGATCGAGCAGTCGGACCTCTTTGGCGGCGCTTTCGTCTTTGGGTTCCGCATTGTCGCGTCGAGCGGCGTTCCTCGTTGAGGCTTCATGCTGCTCTTCACCTAGCATAGCGACTCTGTAGGGACTATAGGCAGGGTCTCAACTGAGCGAAAATGGCTGATTCCCGAAGAATGGACAGAAACGAAGAGGGGCGAGGTTGCAGATGGCCTGGGGTAGAGAAAGTTCGCGAGGGGTAGCTACATAGGGGAGCGTACTCCGTGCCTAAGCGAGAATTCAATGACGCGTGACACCACGACACTACAGAGACGCCCTGGATTCCTGTGCGGACGTCAGAATAGGATAAATACCAAAAATGCTAAGCATTTGGACTTATTTTAGCCCCATCTTCTTTATGATTTTAGTTCCCTATACTCTAACATAGTAACTTCTCTTATATTTCAAGATACATAAGGCTTTCGACCATGCAGTCACTTCAATTCAAGAGTACAATCAATTCCCTATTGTCGGTGATCTTTCTAGCTAGCTTCATTAAGTAGTTTTGGTTGCCCTCGGCTAGGTTTATAGAGTTGCAGTCAGGAAACTAACATGGCATTTCTTTATAATCTTTCCGCCTTATTTTGTAAATACACCCATAGGTAAAGCCCCCCTACCTATCTCGAAATAAATGCCCTTGATACCAGGATGCGTACACAGCTGGATAGAGAAAGATATGAGTGAATTATATACAGATAAAACAACGTTTACATCATGTCCTTATGCCATCTAACCAGTATACCTAAGATACCATTACAAAGCACGCAAGGTCCAGCCAGCTTGCATTTACACCAGCAGTTTCAATTAAGATTTAGGGTATTATTAGTCAGGCTGAGGGAATTAAAGAAGTGCTAGGAGGTTATTCGTCTCCAAGTATTCCTAACTAAGATTTGAAGATGCAGCCTAGTGATACTAATACTAGAGATCACGTATAGAACCTCGAGGGCATCAAGGCGGTATATATTCATCATCTTGCGAAACAATCTCGCGCGATAGAGAGGTTTTATGCCAATAAGCTTATCCCATAATCGGTTACGATACCCGTGAACCCGTCCCTTTACCCTCTCCAGCAGAACTATTCAACCAACTTAAGTATGATTGCCAAAATACAGAGAATATCGATGTCACAATCGATCGAGACTGGGGTTTGATATATGAAAAGTTGAATGCCGTCACCACCGGCCAATATAGAAAGCTTCGGGGAATACTTATAGATGCTGTATTTTTCACTCTTTCAATTGCACCCCACAGTCCCTCCCCGGCGAGGAGTCCATGAAACGCAAAGAAATAGACATTGAACATCGGAGTGTAAAAGGTTTGGTTGGCAGCTACCTTCGCTCCCAAAGACAGAGCGGATGAGCTGTAATTGAACCGCCGCCCTAGGAACAGGAACCATTCGTGACTAGGAATCGCGATAACAAGACCGATGATGACACTCCGCAGCGAGCGATGATAGTCGAAATCATCGTCTCCTATCATTTGTGCTGAAAAGTCACCAAGACAGAAGATCAGCGGTGTAAGGCACAGTTGGGTAATATATGGTCGTCGGCTTTGAGAGTGTGAAAACCAATCAAATAGTGATGCCAAGGGTATCTGAGGTTTTTGGGCCATCGGCCTCGGAGTTGTACGAGGAACAGCATCTTGTTTTGTTCGGAAGCTTGTGGCTTGAGTGCGTTGATAGTTCACTGGGATTCGACTCGGTAGCCTGAGACGTAACCGAGTGAGCATGACTTGATGTCGGAGATGAGGATGGGAACAGGCGAGAAGACACCAAGGAATCAGCGCAGTTTGTGTAAATGAACGAATCCGAGGGAACGCGAGCTTGCCAGGGAATTAAATTAGTCGGATGGGATTCATTGCTTTATAGGGACCGCAACTCGAAATCTCGACATACCAAAAGAAGGCGGTACTCTCAATGCGCGACAAGACGTTCAGGGGTGGAGTTGTACAATCCCGGTCTTACGCCTGGATTTTCGACCCCAAAATCCCAGTCACGCTCCAATGCCCGGAGAAATAATTAATGCGTCATATTCAGAATCCGGAGGCCTGTTTATTTAATAGGAATAACCAGGGACGATCACTAGCTGTCTAGCCACTAACCGTGACCAGTTAGCAACGCGTAACATCAGCCCCCAGGATCACCATATCTGTTCCTGGGCACCGCGGGCGCTCTAGGAGCAGAGATGTAGTTCCCAGAAGCAGGCATCCTTATGCCGGGGAGCTCCATCAATTACTGCAGATTCGAAGGACTCCAGTGGCTGGACACAACCAATCCACCCAATTGCCACGACATTTCTTGAGGGGCACCCGTTTGCTCTGCTATGATGAGACCCGAACACGTTGAATCGGCCTCTTAAGGCCATCGGAAATGAGCGGCCTCTCAGTTCTTTCACGCCGCCTCTGGGGGCTAAATGTCCTTCTGGAACTGTATCTGTCACTCCTGGGAGCGAGACAGACCGTTCCTAGGTTCTCTACCTTGGATTCTGGAGCCACACCTGTCCCTGCAGGGGGAGCGCTGATTGCTTCTGGGAGCGAATATTTTGCCGCCTGCAATTATTGCCCGCATTCAGATCCCGCTCATTATCTCGCAAGACCCACGTTCCCAGGATTGTCCGAGATATACGGAGTACGGAGTACATGAAGCATATAGAATGAGTGGAGATACGGACCCACATGGCGCATATGGGTTCCCCTGAACGCGAGGAAGCCTCTAGGACTACCTAGCTACATATGTAGGTAGGAATAATTCATGTCTTTCCAGGAACTTGCAAAGAGAAGGTAACTTAGGCAGAGATACACTGGAGAGTAAGGACTCACTGGAAAACATACGGTATACAAACAAGAATATCATTGAGCGATCAAACACTTATACTACCAAAGATGAAGACCATAGACCTCCCCTACGGTATACAGGCAACATTCTAACATGGAACTAGATCCCTGGATCAAAATAGGACATGCTCTGATGTCCTTTTTTTCTGTGCCTCCTTCTCGGGGGCTTTAAGAAAGATGTCTCCAGTATAGACATGAAACATATGGAAGAAATGGAAGCAGTCTGTGCAACCAAGGGATAATCTCACATTCCAGAAATATCAGCCCTTTATTCTTTTGATTTGTGATTTGTGATTTGTTGATTTTTTGATGTTTGAGAGTGCTATGTTATAGGAACCCGTTCCTGACCATCTCCAGATCTCCGACGTCATCGACGTGATCGCCAACTTTAGCGTCCGATAAAGCTTCATTTTGTGGGGCCTCATCTCCAACCCTTCAGCATAGGCCTCGCGATGATCCCCCGATCCTGTCTGCGTGTTCGAATGCTGTTGGCAGCCTCGATCTTCGCTATACTACTCATCTGGACGCTATCAAGATGGCACTTGAAAGCTTACATCCCCAAATTCGCCAGTTCCTCATCACAGGACGTCACACATTTGACTGCCTCACATCACAGATTCTGGCGGGAATTCCACACTCTCTTAGAGACACATGCGCCAGTCATAGCACCTATAGTGGAAGATGAAAGAGCGACCACAACAGGATTCAATTTCCACGAAGTACCACCGCGCCCAGATGTCCTCTACATTCCAGACGAAGACATAGCCATCATGAAAGAGGCGCATACTGGCTTTGTCGCTGCAATCACCGGGTCCCCACCCGACCTCCCGTACATCCCGGGCACAAGAGGCATAGTCTCAACAGCCGGCGGCTTCTACCTCCCAGTACTAGTAATATCACTCCGCATGCTCCGCCGCACCGGCTCCACCCTCCCGGTGGAAGTCTTCCTTTCGGACGAAGACGAGTACGAGCCCTACATATGCGATGTAGTCCTCCCATCTCTCAACGCTAAATGCGTCGTCCTATCCCGCATTCTCATTGCCGCACCCGCCAAAATCCAAAAATACCAATTCAAGCCCTTCGCAATGCTCTTCTCCTCCTTCGAGGAGATCCTCTTCCTGGACGCAGATGCCTTCCCCCTCGAGAAACCAGAAATCCTCTTCACATCAGAGCCTTTCATCTCAAACGGAATGCTCACTTGGCCAGACTTCTGGGCCTCCTCCGTCTCCCCGATTTTCTACGATATCGCAGGCTACCAAGCTCCACCAATGGACCTCCGCCAGTCAACCGAATCAGGCGAGATTCTTCTCTCCAAGAAATCACATATCCGCTCCCTCCTCCTCTGCACATACTACAACTACCACGGCCCCTCCCACTACTACCCCCTCCTCTCCCAAGGCGCCGCCGGCGAAGGCGACAAGGAAACCTTCATCGCCGCCGCAACCGCCATGCAAGAATCCTTCTACCAAGTCAGCGAGCCCATATCCGCCCTAGGACACAAAACAAAGAACGGCCTAGCCGGCTCCGCAATGGCACAGTCCGACCCCATACAGGACTTCGCCCTGACAAGTCGCGGTGTCTGGCGTGTTAGAGGCGATTCCGCCCTCCCGCCTGCTATCTTCTTCATCCATGCCAATTTCCCCAAATTCAATCCTGCGACTATTTTCGACGATCATGAGGTTATGCCTACGTTCACCGATGAGGGGGAGTATACGCGTGCTTGGACGTTTCCAGAGAATCTTGTGCAGAAGCTTAATAGCAGGGTTGATGTTGAGAGAGGGTTTTGGGAGGAGATTCTTTGGACGGCTTGTGAGCTGGAGGATAAGTTTCAGAGTTGGGCTGAGCATCAGGGGATTTGTGAGGGGGTGAGTGATTACTGGAGTGTTGTTTTTGGTTGATTTGGATCTTGTGTGATACTGGCTTGTATGCTTATATCTCTCGCTCTTTATTAGAGCTGAGACTTGTTCAGTCTTTATGTCGTAATGTGTTGAATATGCTTTTTCCAGCTGGCCTGGATGGAATACTTGTGCTTGTGTATATTATGTATATATATTCCTTTCCCTTAGATCGTATACTTTCTCTTGTTTTTATCAATAAGACAAACCTTGGTATAGCAAGATTGAAGATTTCTATATTGTTTCTTTGATATAGTATATATAGTACACAGTATACATAAGAGTTATCGTACACATCGAGCCTCTACCAGCATAGACAGAATCATACCCTAATCCAGCTGTTCCTCTCTAGTCAACCCGCAATCCATTCGCCTTCGCCTTCTCAATAGCCTCCACAAACAAAGCCTTACAAGGCACCGAACTACCTAGTCTAGCACAGAGCAAGAAAGCCCCACTCAACTTGCGATGCAACGAGTACGTCTCCTCCGGCGGCGGCGCCAACCGCTCCCGAATCATAATCGGAATCAGCGCCCGCACCCGGTCCGTGATCGTCTGGTTACTGAAATCGTACAGATCAGGCGACGACTCCATGAACGGCTCGGCGATCGTCGTGATCGAGTTCACGTGTGCCTCTACCATCGCCTGCGACTCCATGCCTGTCAGGTAGCCCAGCTCGATGGAGAGGTCCTGGCAGGTTTTGCGGTCGTTGCGGGATGCGGCGATTAGGGTGCGCACGTAGGTTGTGATGAATTCTTCTGGGTAGGCGCGTGAGGCGCCGAAGTCGAGGAGTTCGAGTTTGTTGGTGGATGCGTTGTAGAGGAAGTTGGTCCAGTTCGGGTCGGTTTGCATGTAGTGGAATTCGGCGATCTCGCGGAGGCAGAGACGCATGATTTGCGTGCCGATCCAGTCGCGTTGCGCTTGAGTGAAGTCTGTGACTTTGGTTACGGCGACGCCGTTGAGCATTTCCATCGTTAGGACTTGTTTGCCGGAGGCGTGGGCGATTATCTCGGGCACGACGAAGACCGGGTCGTTGGTGAGGAGTTCGCGGAAGCGGTTGGCGCCCTCGGCTTCGCGGATGTAGTCGCATTCCCAGGCCAGTTCGGTGCGTGCGTTCGCGATTGTTTTGTCGAGGTAGAGACCCTTTGGTAGGAGGCGGGAGGCGGTTAGGAGAATGGAGAGGTTGTTGAGGTCGCTGTCGATTGAGTCGGCGACGCCTGGGTATTGCACTTTCACGGCGACGGGCTTGCCGGTGCTTTTGAGGACTGCTGAGTGCACTTGGCCGATTGAGGCTGCTGCCATTGGAACCTCATTGAAGGTGGTGAAGAGGTCGCGCCAGTTTGGTCCAAGGTTGTCGGTTAGGACTTTGTCGCGCTGCCATGCGGGCATGTAGTCTGCGCGATCTTGCACACGTTGAAGAACCTGCTGGATCGGCTCGGGGAGCATGTTGGAGTCTACAGAAGTCAGCATGAGCATGAGAAACAGCAATAAGCTAGATCTTGCAACGCACCTTGGATGCTCAGCATCTGTCCCAGCTTGAGAGCTGCACCACGCATCTTCGATAGCTTGGCTACCATTCGTTCCATGTTACCAGCACTGAACATAATCGAGCCACTGTCTTGGCTGCCCGTGACCCGACGCAAACCCTCCCCAACAGCGCCAAAGGCCATCGAGGTCGCAAGACCACCGTATTGCCACATTCTGCCCAATCGGGAGGACGGCACGCGCGATTCCAGCATCTGATACGCTTGCTCCTTCTTAACCTCGCCGACGGTCTGTGTACTGGGCACCACGTCTTCCGCGACGCTGGCCGCCAGCTCCTCCATCTCTTCGGTCTCAGATTTCGCGGCTTGCGGGGCGATTGGCTTGGAAATATTCACGCTCGGCTGCTGAGGTTTCGCGGCTAGCTTCCAGTCTCGCTTTGGTGGCGGCTTCCCGGAGATCATGCGCGACACGCGTGGGCTGTGGAAGAGTCCCTGGAGCATCTCCTCAGACATCTCTTGCTCGACTGGGGCAGGCTTATCTGCAACTGACGAGCTGAATACATCCGCATTCAAACCATCACCACTGACTTGGGTATCACCCGCAACCTTCGGGACCTTCACTCTGGGCAAGCCCGAGAGGTCGGGCCCCGATTGAAGCGATGGCTCATAGAAGACATCCTGTTGTGGGCTCACATTGAGGGTACTGGGTATTTCATCGCCACTGTACGTCGCTGCTGTAGCCGGAATCTGCAATTCGGCCTGTCGTTGCAGCTTGCGAGCTTGCTCGGGAGGAGGTGACGCTGCAGTACTGGCGGTCGGCTTATCGGCGAACGCCGACTTGTCGGGGGAGTCTGCCGGGCTCGGCGAAGGTGGCGAGGGCTCGTCGAATCGGCGTGCCAATGCAGCTGCAGCTTGAGCGGTCAGGATCAGGCCCTCTGTCTGGGCCTTGATGCCCTTAGTCAGGGAGGATGTGCGCGTGTAGACATCTAGCTGGTGTTGCCGGATAGCTAGGTGTTTGGCTGCGACCGTCTTGGAGACATTGAGGAATTGGATGGCGTCGAGCAGACGCTTGCCTGACATGGTGTGTAGATAGCAGCCTTAGTTCATGACGGGGGAAACAGAAAGATAACAATGTCGGCGTTAATAATTGGCCGCAGTCAAGGGCCGACTGATAGGAAGTCGGAGTTGTGCGGCCTCCGATCTGCCCACTTTTTTTTTTGCCGGCGACTATAAGACACCGTCTGGTCCCTATATCTCGGGGTCAGTCTGGCTTTGGGTTGTTAATACCGTACTATATACCATTCACTACATTATACTCTGTCTATACATCTACATATACATATTTCTTTATATTACACTATGCTCCTCCAAGACACTCAAGACCTCGAAGCCGAAGTCACTCTCCTCGAGGCACGCCTCCAAGATGCCCGCGCCCAACTAGCAGCTTCCCAATACCCCAGCCCACCCTCTTCATGGGCGATTAAAGGTGGGTGAATGTGAATGTGAATGTAAAGCTCAATCCCACGTACCGCCAGCTAACAGTGCCCAGAAACATATAATAAACCCAATAATAAGAACCAACCCACCACCTCAGACCATACATCCCTCCACGCCCTTCTTCTCCTCTCAGATTCAGCCCTTCCCCTAGGCTCCTTCGCCTACTCCAGCGGACTAGAGTCCTATCTAGCCCACAACAAGCCCTCTCGCACATCCCCAATAACCTCCTTCCACCGCTTCCTCAAACTCTCCATCGCTTCAATCGCAAGCACTTCCCTCCCCTACGTCCTGGCCGGCTATCGCGAGCCCGAAACCCTAGATACCCTAGATAACGACCTCGACGCATCAACCCCCTGCATCGTCGCCCAGCGCGCAAGCATCGCCCAAGGCCGTGCCCTCATCGGTGTCTGGGAGCGCGCCTTCCGCGTCAGCTTTGCCGGTCCAGATAGCCCCATCTGTGCAGACGCGGAGGATGCAGTCACGGCTATCGCGGATCTATCCGATGCGCTGAAGTCGTGTCTGGAAGAGGACGACGGTCTCGGCCCCAAGGGCCACTTTGCGCCGCTCTGGGGGGTCGTCTGTCGGGCTATGGGTCTGGATTTGCAGCAGACGGCATATATCTTCGTGATGAATCATGCGAAGGCGGTGCTGAGTGCGGCTGTCCGCGCGAGCGTAATGGGTCCTTATCAGGCGCAGAACGTGCTTGCCAGTCAGAGTCTGCAGGATACCATCATGAAGCGCATTGCGCGGGAGTGGAATACGCCTGTTGAGGAGGCTGGGCAGGTTGTGCCGGCGCTGGATCTTTGGGTTGGGAGACATGAATTGTTGTATAGTCGGATCTTCAACTCGTAAGCATATTAAGAATAGCAAGCATAGTTTGTGATATATGATCTTCCAATTATTGGGGATTATGGTAGCTAGGTAATTCCTCACATTGCATTCATCATGTCGGTTTTCTTTTGCTCCGTGCGTGATAGTCCTACATGACACAAGAAATCTAACATAGTTCAACCTCTGAAAATCAGTGTGCGCCGGTTTCTCATACAGAGATGGCCAAGGGCAATCTCTGCGCCTTGAGAACCTTGGAAACTCACCATTAGGTTGGTTTGTAATGGAAAGAGAAAAAAAAGTGAAGAAAGAAAAATAACCAACCCTGGTTAAGGGCTCACATACATAACTCGTCAAACGCCGGCCCAAAGCAGACCTGCTAAATCACGCAAAAGAAACACCACACCATGAACCTGTCCGAATGAGACATACTAAAAAGGGATAGACGTAAAAGAGGAAGGCATCGAAAGGAAGATATAGTACAGGAGAGTTAAAGGTCAATCAGAGGGTAATGTGCATATAGTCGTTACTTCCGAAGGATTTGTTGCAGTTAGGACACTTCCGGGAGCGAGACGAGACACGCTCGTCGACACACTCTCTGCAGAAAACATGACCACACGTTTTGATCACCGTGTCTTTGAAAGTTCGACGGCATACTGTGCACAGCGCAAGGGTCTATTTCAGGGTTAGCTTTTGGTTCACTCACAAACGTGGGGAATCTGGAACATACCCGCAACATTTCATATTCCGAGGACGAATTGCCAAGACTCTTGTTTTTCCAATTGTCCAAACTCTTCTTAGTATCAGCAAGCGATTGTTTCAGACCGGCCACCTCTGTCTCGGCTTGTCGCAAAGCAGAGCTGGTGCTTGCCAGTGTCGAGTCCTTGGAAACCGAAAGATTCTTGAGCTCGACTACCTGCTTTTTCAGGCCCTCGGTGAGTATGTTGCTCTCGGTCAACTGTTGTTGAATGGTGTGATGCTTGATCATCGCTGCATTGAGTGCTTCCTTGGTCTCGCTGGCTTGCTTGTCCATGTTGGATACCAATGACCGGGCGGCTTTCTCGGCTTCCTTCAACTGGGACACAATTCCGGATGTTGTCGAGTTTTGCATCCTGAGACTGCGAACTTCTGCATCCCGGGCATCCTTGCTTTTCATTGCAGAGAAGAACTTTTGATCTGCTTTGGACTTCTCCGCTGTTAGTCGTGCAACCTTCTCCTCCATAGCCGCGAAGTCGGTGACTTTCTGGGATGCGAGAGTGGCGAATTTCGTGTAGGCCGTTTGCATCGATGTCAGCTCAGTGTTGAGCATAGAGTACTGGCGTTCTAAGCTAGTGTACTTGGCGCGAAGTTCTTCCAGCGGCATATCGTTAGTGTTGTCGTTTGCCTTTGAGCCTTCCATCTGTAGCCGCAAACGTTGACTTTCCGACTCTAAGGCTGTGATCCGGGCCTCTCTAGCATCTGCCAGTTCTTGCAGTTTCAGACTAGATGTCTTCTTCTGATCCTGTGCTGCCTTTCTCATCTGTTGGTCGGCTAGAAGCTCGTCGCGAGCATTACGTATCCGTGCAAGATCCGCTTCCGCCCTCATCAACTGCGCTTCTTTCTCTGCAATTTCACTGTGGGTTTCATCCTCCACCTGGATCTTGTATGCGGTTCTCTCCGAGCGGTATTTCTCTGCTTCCTCGCGAAGTTGAACATTTGTCGCTTCCAAGTGGTTGATGCGCTTGACTACATCGTCATATTGAGACCGAAGCTGTTTGAACAAATCCGTATGCGCGTAATCGTCATCGGTGAACTTTGAAGACTAGGATTCCAGTGTGAGCGATAGAACGGGTATGAATCGACCGGGTGAATCCAACCTTGACTTTGACTTCGGTAATTTGGCCGAGCAGGGCGGCGTTTTCGGTCTCCAGTTTTTGGATTTGCTCCTTTTGTGTGTTCGAAATCGCTGAGAGTTTGTTGTTTGCTTCTTCCAACTCGGGATTGCGGTCTGCGGTAGGTGTTCCACCATTTGCGGGTGACGAGTCTTCGCGCTTAGATTGTGCTGCTTCTCCAGGTCGTTGGATGCCCATAGACTGCTGTTTTTCTAACTTCGCAACAGTAAGACTCTTTGCACGGTCGAGTTTCTTTTCCGCCACTAGATACCGCAATGATGCAGCCTCGAGGCTTTCTTCTAACTGTTGCTTTTCGGCTAGTGTTTTTTCGAGTTCGGCAATCGTGACTTTTTCCTCTGCCAGTTTCTTTGCAAGGCGGGTCTGAACCTCTGAAACCTCGGGGGGCGCATCCTTCGACTTGGACTGGAATTGAGAAATTATTGCACGAATATCCTCCGACCGTGATTTCAAATGCGTCTCGAATTCTTCAACATCTTCAAACTGTAATGAACTTTTGAAGGATTTTTCTGTTCATCTTGTCAATATTGGGAAGGAGACATGATGTGGGGTGCAGGGGTTTTACTGACCTTGACCTTCTGCTTGAGATGGTCCGAGAAGTAATTTCACTTCATCAATCAGCTGTTATGGAGTTAGTTTGCTTTGTGATCTCAAGCCCCTGCCAAGTCGACCGGAATAAAGAAATGATCGACCCACCTGTTTAAACCACGCATCGATAACACGGAGATGGTCATTGTGAAACGTGGCAGCTTTTGACATCTGGCTTAAACGGGTTTCCAACGATGATTTCTCTCGCTTGTACTCTTGCATCTGACGCAAGATCGCTTCTTTTTTGGAATCGCTGTCGCAAAAATCCAATCAACACATGTCCAACAAGATACCACAGACAAAGTATCTGGGCAGCAGAACAGACTTTAAACAAAAGCTTACCTCCAAATCATCTTTCCAGGGCATATCAGCATCCGGGTGGGACTTGCTACCACCGTTGACACTGGTAGCCTGTTTCTTTAATGGTGGGGCCGAGTCATTGTTGTCCGCGGCAGGCCTCTTCCGGTCTTCCATATTGACAAGACCGGGTTCTGAAGACGGGACGGGGGGTTCGACGGCCGGCATCAGTGGCTAGACTGGCATAGGAGGGTTACTGTCACCACCGGACCGTCCGTCAGTCAGCCAGACGCAGATCTCGCGACTGTGTCCAATTCTGTCGAGGGAGAGTCCGGTAGAATAGAAGAAAGCCGGAGAAAGAAGGCGAAGGAATTCAAAGTGAATACGAGGCGGGCGTACTAACGAGAGAAGGGGTGGGATGGCAGAGATCGAGGAGTTGAAGACAGGAGGATTTTCAACGAGGTTTAGCGTCCGCTAGTGTCATCACGTGGTCACCACCCACTTCCCCAGCTTGGAACTTTTTATGATCTTCATCAATCCACATCTTACAGCAATGGGCAGCCATGAAGTCCTTTTCCAGTTCTGCGATTAGTAGGTGCTATCAGGTCTCCATATGAAGCAAGGAATTTCTAACAGTGTCATTTTGTAGACAAAACCGGCAAGAAGTTCGCCCCAAAGGCGCCCGTCCGTCGTGCGCCAGCTGCCCCCCCGCCAGACGCCCCAGTGTCGCTCAACAATCGTCGGCCGAACCTCCTCAAGCAGAAAAGTCCAAAGATGTAGCTGCTTCTGATGTGACGCCTTCTGTGGCAGGAGATCCAGGAGTGTCTACAATCACAAAGGAGTCACCGGTGACAGTCGCTGCGCCAACCGCGGAACAAACCCCCACTGCTGTGAACACTGCCACCATTCCCCCGATTGCTACTGCTGTCACTGCTCCCATCTCTACGCCCATTTCCACACCTATCGCTACGCCCGTCGCCACACCTATCGCTCCACCTACTGACAAGCCAACTCCGATCTCAAAGCCGACTGCCATCTCGAAACCAACTCCTATCCCAAGGCCAGCTGCCATTTCAAAGCCAACACCCATTCCAAAACCCACTGCAGTTCCTCGTCCTCAGAAACGCAGAGATTCTCTTTCGCAACCCGCGCCTGTCTCGTCCGCTCCGCCTACCCCGCCTCTCACCCAACCAACCCCATCTCCCATCGACACTCTCACAACTGACGCCAAACCTGCATCTTCGGTGGATCATGGAACAGAGAAAGCTCTTTTAGAATATGCTAGGGTCGAAACAGCGCGGGCCGCCGGAACCCTCGTCGATTCGAATGAGCCTCTCCCACAACCTGAAACCGAACAAACTGCACCAGCTGAGGGCCCCCCGGCAAAACGCGCTCGAAAGTCATCGGCTACGGCTATTGCGGCCCCGGCTCGAAAGAAGTCCGTGTCTGTTGCAGCAAGCCGCCGAGGTTCTCAGTCAGTTGTAGCTACCATTGAAAGTTCGAGCGCAACACCGAGTGGATCCAACGTCTCGACCCCGGATCCAACAAAGCCGAAGAAACGGAAATACTCCAAGGCTGGGACTTCAGACATTGATGAGAAGCCGAAGCGAACCCGCAAGAAGCGCGAGCCCACTCCGGAAGGTGCAGAGACGGTGGAAATCTTGCCGAACGTCGTCAAGATGTCAGAGCTTTGCAAAGATCTCAGAACCGGAAAGAAGTCCAAGCGCGAGGAAGAGCTGCGGAAGATTGATCAGGCTGAAGAAGAACGGAAAAAGCAAGGCGGAACTCCTGCACCAGGAACATCCATCAAGGAAAACGAACCAGAACAAGAGAAAGCCGAACAACCGGTCGACTGGAAACCGCAGTCAGGTCCTATCATGCGAATTGTTAACGGCGAGATCGTGCTGGATAATACGTCCTTGCAGGTCGATCGTCATGCGGATGCCGCCCGAGCTGCCGGCGATCTTGAAGATGTAGTGGAAACTTCGTTCACCCGGAAGATTAACCAAGCGACATACGGCAAGCGTTCAAAGACCGAAGCATGGGATGAAGAGATGACAGACTTGTTCTACCGGGGTCTTCGCATGTTCGGTACCGATTTCATGGTTATCAGCAAAATGTTCCCGGGACGATCTCGTCGACAGATCAAGCTGAAGTTCAACAATGAAGAGCGCCGCGATCCGCAACGAATCAAGGATACCCTACTTGGTCCGCGTGAGACTATCGACATCGCTACATATTCGGAAATGACAAACACTGTCTACGATGATCCTAAGATTGTTCAACAAGAACTTGATGATGAAAAGAAGCGAATTGAGGCCCAGCACGCCAAGGAGAAGGAATTGCAGGAGGAAATTCTGCGCAATCCGACTGGTGGCGACGCCACAGACGCCAAGAACGACAATACTATTGTGAAGAAGTCGCGCAAGAGGGCGAATGCAAAGATTTCAGGCGGAACGGAGGAGGTTCTGGGGTCCATTGATGATTTCCCAATGGCATAATTTGGTGAATCTAATAGAAATTTCATGAGGCGATGGGTAACGGTATTTTGCGTTTGATTATCCGGGATACACTTCGATCAAGCCAGGAGTTTCGGCTGTTTTGTTTGCTAATTCATTTCAATATCCCGAAGTCGCTTTTTTCTTCTTCGTTGTATCAATATTGATTTCATAATTGACCTTGAGAAGTTCTGGCCACCACTTCGGGGCCTATCACTTCCCTTGTCCTTTCTCAAGGATTTTTTTTTTGATGTCTTTTGGTATCGTTTTCTCTCGTATCATATCAAACAATAACAAAAGACCCCGATGTAAATGATATTATCGGGGAATCACCTGCGCCTCGTCGACCCAAACCCAGTACTGGAACTTGTAGACGAGAACTGCGGCGAGCGCGAGCTGCCCTCACCCGGGTCATAGCCATCAGACCTGCCCGTTCTCCGCCTGGATCCATTATCAGCACGCCTACCCATCTGATAACCCGCCGCGCCACCGCCTAGCGCTCCAGTCCAGAAACCCGGCGTCCATCCCTGCTGCCGTCCAGCAGATTTATAGGGATCGAAACTGCTGTACGGAGGAGGGGGATCTCCACCCCCACCTCCGCCGCCGCCTCCCCAGAACCCACCCCCCAGCTTGGCCAGCAGCCCTCCCTCGCCTATTTCCCCAACCCAAGAGCTGTGCTAGCAGAGGCCAGAAGATCATAACGATGACAGCAGCGATAAACCCAAAGAAAATCAAATTCCCAAGGATACTCATGACCTTCTGAGACCCGCCCACACGACCATCCCAATCCTCACGTTGCTTCCCAAATCTCCTCTCCCCGGCTTCAGTCAACAGCAGTCGATATTCAACCCCACAACTCCCCTTCAGAACCCATTTGTCGTCTGCATTCCGGTATCCCTCGCAGATGACATCTGTTGCGCCGAGCTTGAATTCAGCTGGTAGATCGGCTGTGCAGGTCCACTGCACGTCTTCCTCATCGTAGTCGTATCCTTGGTTCGTGCACCGCATGATCTCAGGTTGATATAGTTTGCATGTTTGTTTCGGACCGATGCAGCTGAGTTGAGGGACTGGGGAGATGCGTCGGGAGCTGGTCATGCGGTGGGCGCGTAATGTGAGGGATTGGACATTTGATAGTAGGATTGCATCTTTGCCTGGTGGTTTGGGGTTTGTGGCGCATGTTGCGGGGGGAATGAGGAGGGCTGAGAGTGCCAGTGGGAGAATGTGCATGGTTGGGTATGAGCTGGATAGCTCTGTGGTCTGTTGTGGCTTGTGGATTTTTTTGTCTGGGAGTTGTTCAAAAAAGAATGGTCTGAGGTCAGGGTTAGTTGGAAGGTTGAAATGACTAGTTGTCGTGTTTTAGATAATTAGGCTCCAATGATATGAGTCAATCTATGGAGCAGGTGGCGTTGACATTAATCGTGTCCTTTGAGCCTCCGAGTGGAGAACTGGTGATCTGCACGGTTTGTTCTGTTTGCACGATCTATACATGTGTACGGTGTAGGGCATTTACGTACTCCTGCCTGATGTAGGATATGGTCTGATAGGTATAAAAAACGTCAAAAATAGAACTAAAATTACATGAAACTATAGGGCAAGCAAAAGCCCTGCTCCAATGAGGCCCGCCATGACGTTGTGAGGACTACCGGTCGGACCAACCCCACCTCCCGTGCTGGTGGAAGTGGCATCCGGTGCACTAGATGCACTGGAAGTGGAGGGGGAATCAGAAGGGGAATCGGTCAGAGGGAAATCCGTAACGTAAGGCTTGAACATAGTGGTTGGAACTGGGGCCGATGCAGTGACAGACACGGAGATGACATCAGGGATGGCATCAGAAAGCCCACCGGCCTGAATTTCTGTCAAGGTGTCTGGATCCGAGTTGAAATCGGTCTGCGCCATGGAGATTTCGTTGTGGGAAAAGTCATAGAACGTATAGGCCCTATGCATGAATGTATCGCCTAGCATGGCTGTCTCTTTGCCACTCGGGAGTAGGGCAAATTCACACTTCGAAGGATCCCGGGGCATTGTAATGAAATCGGCGAGTGGAACACTGATATTGAAGTCGGTGAAGCCGAACGTCAGGTTGTAGCCTCGATACCTCTCGGTGCAGTTGATCATGCCCATTTGGGCTACCGGGTCAAACCAAGCCCCGAAGTCATTGTAGATATCTTCGACAATCGAGTCTGGAAGATATGTCGCAGACATCCCGGGATTCAGAACCGCATAGACGGGCAGCCCCGAGGAATGGGTTTTGTTGATACCTGTGATTCCGATTCCTGTCACCAAGACAGAGGGGAGATAGCGCGTCCCGTTGACGGCGGGCAAGGGCATCGTGTACAGGTTCCCGGTGTACTTGGCAGTGTTCACACCACCCAAGACAATAGTGCCTCTTTCGCCAGGATTATCTTTCATATACAGACTGTACGCAGATAACTTGAGTTTACCGATGTCGACCAGTGACTGAAGAAACCCGGTATACGAGTCCGAGTCATCTGCAACATATCCCATGCCAACGATATTCCCCAAATTCGAGCCGAAGTTGACTACTATATCCGCCTTAGGTGAAACCAATTCCCCGTTAACAGTCAATGTTTCAGTGGCAAAGGTTCCCTGGAAATTATAGTGACTGGGAGTCGTTATGTTGAACTTGCGGCCAAGGTCTTTGTACGTTGAGGAGGAGCTGATATCCAAAAACGATTTGGTTAAGCAGTGGATCTCATTGCAATACGATGAGTTGTATGCAGTAACCATGAGATATCCGATAGTTGTATCCATCTGGACTGTGATCTGCTGGGGTGGGTTGCCTAAGGCTAGGACGGCAGTATAACTGATGTCTGGTCGGTACTACAGATTTCATAATTAGTATGTCGTGTCGAATAACCATATAGCTACATAGATATATATATATGTAGCTGGATTGTCTGTACCACGTCTGTCCGCTTCCGGAGCTGACTGGGTCCGTTTTCCACGCGTTGGATTGGGATCGTCACGATTGCCGCATCCTGGTGGGGTGACAGGGCTTCAATACAACTGGCCAGCCAGGCTAGCCAGAGAAAGGAAGCATAGACCATGGCTGCTTAAAAGTAAGAAACCATAATTTATTCGACATAGAGAAGGGCGAGGGCGTGTGGATATTAATATTATCAAGTTCTCTCTCTCAACTAGAGAAGTGAGACAAAAATGATGAGCCAAGGCCCAACTCAGGGGGCACTATGGTTTGCCCCCCAATAAGATCACTTATAAAAGCCTTGGAGGCTCTACGGGGCGTGGAGTACGCCGTGACACAGGCTACACGTACGGAGTACTCCGTACAACATATGGTGACATCGGTTCGCGCACTAGTAATACTAGCCTATACCTCCCGAGGTCGGTTCCTGGTCATCGGAAGGCAGTACCTGCATCTACACATGATCCATGGTACACCCGTGGACGTATTTAACCTTCTCTCCAACCTTAGATAACCTAACCTTAGAACCTTGCGATGACTCGATAGTGTAGATAGGCCGATCTCTTTTAAGACGAGGGTGAAGTCTCTTTTGTCTTGGCTTTATGCCCGGAATACTCAGGGCCTCCTTTGAGCAACTTTTGCCCCGGGCGCTGGGCGTTTGAGCACTAGGGTAAATTGATCACTTTGGCCCCCAAGGTATTGGTGAGACTCCTAAGTACTCAGCCATAAATACGCTGGACTCTACGGAGTAGAGACATAACATCTTAGCCAAGTCCCCTCATTGCTCGTTAGGGCCCACTAATGCTTAATACAATCCGGAATACTCCGTACTCTGCATACATCGTAGCAAGTATGTACTCTAGCAAGGCAGAAAACTTGATTCGGCTTGTTGGGACCAGATAACATATCTATGTTACATGTAACTTAGCATGCTTTAGTCGCGTTTTTAGAGTGATACCTATGTACATGAGCAATTCACTTAGTATGTAGCTGATTCTTCAGCCCAGCAATATAGCAAGTATATTTTCAGTCACAACCCATCCATTTACGAGGGTGTGGCTGCTTACCCACAAATAGTGCGTAGAGGCCCGGGGTACTTGTGTATACAGTAATCAGCATGGATTTTCAGCCCCAACACCTGTGGTTGCGGGGTTGATTGAGGCCTTTCAATCGGGCATGAGTTTGGATTAACCCTGATCAATTCGTTGTCCAAATCTTATTCTCAATCTTTATCCCTCTCTCTTCATTTTGATACGGGCCTTTGGTCTGGTATCGAAGAGAAAAGAGCGGCGACATCAGGTCGGTGCACGCGCATTCTCCCGCTCTTTTCATTGGGTTGCAACAATCGGCCCAAGATGGAGAATATCATGGACGGTATGGAGTACTGGTTCCTACCTGATGAGCTAGTACATTTAGTCTGACTAAATCAGTACTCCGAGATGAAAATGATTCTGGAAATGCAGCCGGCCCAGATGGTTCTCTGGCCCAAGCCAGTTTTCCTAGTCGCAATGTTTTGCAAAGCGACGCCTTGCAAGATAGCTCTACTGTCAGCGCACAGGGCCTCAAAGATGAGGATCAAGAGGCCCATCAACCAGAGCACCAACCAGAGCACCAACCAGAGCACCAACCAGAGCACCAACCAGAGCACCAAGAGCAAGAGCTGGAGCTGGAGCAAGAGCAGCCCCTTGAGCCTTGGATACTTGAGCTACGGACTGCAATTGATTCCAACAGCCCCGATGCCAGGCGAATCCTTCGCGATAATGATGCAGCTCGCGACGCTCGATTTCCTTACCAATTTCAATTAGATGACGTTCAAAAAGATGTGACTCCCTTAATTCTCGCGGCAAAACTAGGCAATGAGGAACTTGTTGGTACGCTCCTGGAACGAGGAGCAAATGTCTTTGCAATAACAGATGCCAGCTCCGCTGCTCTCCATTTTGCTGCCCAGGAAGGTCACCGGAGAATAGTTGAAATGCTCTTGGATAAAGGTGGGACAGAACTTTTGGAAATGAAAACCTGGCAAGATATGACGCCTCTTCTTTTTGCACTCTCCGAGGATCATGCTTCTGTGGTTACATTATTGCTTGATAAAGGGGCTGATATAAATGCCGTGCGGAACGACGGCTATACAGCACTCCATTTTGCTGCCGAAGTTGGAAATCTTGATCTCGTCGGGGTCATTCTTGATGCAAACACTAAACTACTAGAGAAACGAACCTCCATCAAAGATACAGCTTTGATCCTCGCAGCCCAAGCTGGTCATGGGGCTGTTGTGAATTTTCTACTCTCTCAGGGCGCAAATATAAATGCCAAAGACAATGACGGCAGCACATCATTTCACCTTGCAGCCCAGAATGGACGCCTTGGCGTTGTCGAGCAACTTTTACAACAAAGTCCCGAGCTCAAGGAGATGGGCAATAACCTCCGACAAACAGCCCTCATGCGTGCCGCTCGAGAGGGACATCTTGCTGTTGTCGAATATCTACTCTCTCAAGGAGCAAATGTCAATGCCGTGGAGGAGACGGGTTATACACCAATGCATTTCGCGGCCCAAGATGGACACCTTGCTGTCATCGAATGTTTACTTTCTCATGGTGCAAATATCATTACCCAGGATGCTGATGGTTATACGGCTTTGCACCTCGCAACATTTTTCGGTCATCTTGATCTTGTGAATCGACTAGCCAAAGCAACTCCTGAACTCCTAGAGATGCGAACTACCTATGATGACACAGCCTTCACAATTGCCGCCCAGTATAATCATCTAGCGATTGTTGTTTCTTTGCTCAATCACGGGGCAAATGTCAATGTCAAGGACAAGTTTGACGACACAGCACTACATCTTGCGGCCCAAGCTAGAAATTTTGATATTGTTCGGTATCTTTTCGAAAATACTGATCTGGGGGATCCAAAAGATGGGCATGGCCGAGCAGTTATCTCTGCTGCTTTATCCTCTAGTTCTTTGCCGATCTCTCATTATTTGCTCAACAAGGGAGCAAATCTAAGAGCTGAGGCCAGCGATGGCAGTACGCCTTTTCACGTTGCGGCTGAATGTGGCCATCTCTCGGTCATTAGGCGAATTCTACCGAGAGTTCCTGACCTCCTAGATTCAAAGGCTAGGGCTGGCTTGACTGCCATCTCTCTCGCTTTGTCATACGGGAATCTGAGGGTTTTTGACTATCTATTTAAGAAGAAAGCATCTGTAGTAGAGAAAGATGAAGATGGCAATACACCTTTCCATTGGGCCGCCGAAAGAGGCCATCTCAAGGCTGTTAGGCGGATTTTGACAAGAGAACCTAGTCTCCTGAATGCAAAGGGCACGACCGGTCTAACAGCTACCTCCTACGCTTTGATGGGTGATCATCGGCCTGTTTTCGACTATTTGTTCGATCAAGGGGCAGATATAACAATACAGGATAGCGCAGGCAATACCGCTTTACACTTTGCTGCACAATATGGCTATCTCCAGGCCGTCAAGCAAATTCTGGAAAAGGAACCCGGTCTCCTAAACTCAAGAAACAACGCTGGTCGAGCCGCCATCTCTGATGCTCTAATTCGTGATCATAGAGATGTCTTTGACTATTTGTTCGACAAAGGAGCGATCGTCACAGGCAAGGATGAAGGGGACAATACACCCTTCTATTACGCGGCCCAGAGCGGTTATCTACAGGCCGTCCAGCGAATCTTGGAGAAAGAAGCTGGCCTCTTGAATTCTAGGAATCTGGACGGTCGGTCAGCGATCGCTGCTGCTTTGAACCGTGATCAACTGGAAGTGTTTGACTTTTTATTTGATCGGGGTGCTGATATAACAGCGAAAGATGAATCTGGCAGCACACCCTTCCACTGTGGTGCCAAGAGGGGCCATCGTGGTGCCATTGCAAAGCTTTTGGAGAAAGATCCTAGCCTCCTAGATTCTAAGGATATGAATGGCCAAACGGGCTTGATCTTCGCCACAAAAAGGAATAATGTGGACGTTGTCGAATATTTAGTCGACAAAGGTGCGAATGTTCTTTGCCAATCCGACGATGGACAGAATGCATTGCATGTGGCTTGCTTCAGAGGATATGACAGCATCACCCAGCTCCTTCTCAACAGACCAGCAATTGACTCCAAAGATGTCTCTCGAAACAATCAAAGGATGATGATCACTGCAACAGATCAATGGGGAGACTCTGCATTGACCAATGCCGTGGCAAGTGGCCATGAGCGAGTTGTGTTTCAATTACTGGAAACGGAGGCCTTCTACCCCCAGTATCCTGCCAAAGCCAACCCCTATCGCCTGAGTGATGACAAAATTGACACAGTGAGGAAGTTTCTCTCAGATCTGATCGATGATGCAGACGCTGAACAGAACTATACCCAGATCGGCCAGCATCGGGAGGCAATCCTCTACTGGGCTTTATTGAATGGACAAGAAGAGCTGATCACCAAATGCATAAGCATACCGAGCCCTCAATCTCTCCCCGCTTGGCAAAGAGGCGTTTCCTGGGTGCATGTGGCTGCTCTCGGTGGACATACCGCGGTGGTAAAACACCTTCTATTGAAGAGACTGTGCACACTGGCCCCAACCCGAGAAAATATCTCACCATTGCACCTGGCAATCAAACATAAACACATTGACTTGGTGAGAAATATTATATCTTGGCTCGGCGGGCCCCCTGCGGTTGAAGGTGGTTTAGCAACGGAGCTTCAGGAGATACGCGATATGATTCGCACAGAAGAAGCAGACAGACTGTTAGGTGCTATCATTCGAAAGCAAGAGGATGGCCACTCTTCAATCTCACTCGCAGCATCAGGAACCACCGAGACCCATCGGAAGCTTGAGCGCTTATTGTGGGAGACATTGAACAATAGCATTGTCGATAAGGCTAAATTCTTCGCTTCCCCATTGAATGAAGATGCAAAGCTCGTGCTGGAACTGGCTGCAGAATTTGAACCTCCAGGCGAGGAAGTTTGGCTCGAAAGTTTTCTTCAAGTGATGCCGCATTCATCTGTCGCTGGAATAAGTGAGTACAATGCATTCCACCTGGCTGTATATCATAAGTTGCCGTTTGTTGTCTGGTGGCTTCTATCCAAAGGAGGCTATCTCAAGGGAAACCACATCGAAAAGGGATTGGAAGCTATCTCCAAGTGGGAGCCCCAAGATTCAGATCCAGTCGGCGACATCATCAAGGATCTCCTGGATGACCCCCTCCTGTCCTCAAGCAGCAAGCTTCGAGTCATGAGAAAAGTTTACCTTCATTCAATTTTTCACAGGGGGATCATGACGCGTTAGAGGGAACAGTACTGGACTTTTATCGCGAGGAGCATCGTGCTTCCATCCAGCTCAAGCGTCGTACAATGATCTCTCTCATCTATGGAGAAGGGCCTCATCAAATTTCAAAGCCCGGCCAGTATCGCGATCTCGCACGTCTCAAGGCAAAGCTCTCTAGCCCAGAGCGAGATTTTCGGACAAAGAAAGACTTGGATCCAAAATCTAGAAAGCGAGATGATAAACTGCCCAAGTCACATCCAAAGCATGATACAAAGACTCCTGAAGCCCCCAGTGACCGAGTCAAAGATCCCGCTGCATTAGATGATAAGAACAAATCTGGCTCAGAGAAGCAGAAGACTCTGGATCTGAGATGGATTCATGTCCCCGCAAACAATGTGAGTGACTTGAATAGATCAAATCTCATGTTAGTACTAACCGCATCCCTACTAGATGCGATCTGTCGAGGTACTGTTGCTCCACTAGTGCTGGGGCATGTTGCTAACCCAAACTAGGAACTCATGGTTCGACTGTCCAGAGACCAACAGATCACAGACAGTGATTACCGTCCCTGGGCTCAGTTCGTACGCAGAAGCTGGGTTGAGCTATCTGCCGGTGGCGACCGATTCTACATGAAGCCCCAGTGTGTTGTAAGTGAGAACCGGAAAATCATCATGCTAGTTTTGAATCGATCGTAGTATTGACCTGATTCAGTACCATCAACACACCACTCACAATGAACATGCAAGTTGCCATACCCTTGACATGGGGACAAAAGCCGATCCGACAACCAGGGCCGACGACCAGTCTAAGCAGATGAAGGTTTTCGGTAGAAGTGCTTTGAATGTGAGTTGCCTTTTCATCACTCTGTAATCTTTATCTCTCGTGTTAGTACTGTTGTTTGACTGATGCTTTTCAATAGATGCCTTATGTGTTTTGGAAGACATGCCCAGCCGAGCCTTCACCCGATGACAATACAAGCTCAGCTGAACTGCCTAGGAGCGAGAGCGCTCAGACGATTCAACTGCCGAACCAGCCTGTTCAAATTTCCCAGGAACGAATTGTTCACGACTCTATGACTCTCGATCAGTATTACTATGTTTCTCTCCCAGATACTAGCTCAAGAGACCAGGATCAAGTACTGTGGCGTAGCACCAATCCAAAGCTCAAACCAGCAAACAGTGGCAATGGGGCAAAGGATCACTCAACGAATAAGTCCGAAACAGATAGTGATGCCCGCAAAATCCTCATTGTAAATCAGCTATGGCTTTGGATAATTGACGAGAGTAAGTCAAATTATCGCCTCCTCACTCTCAACCAGCTGACTGATATCCCGAATTTGTTAGAGACCATCATCACGAGCACCACTCATCAAGCCGACGAGACTGAAACCAGCTTCCTTCAACGAGTCTTGAGCGGTCTTAGAACTCAAGCAAAGGACACTCCCATGTCAGTTGAATACATCAGAGAATTGATTCTCAGTACAGCTTCTGGTTTGTTCAACAAGGAAGATCTTGAGGTTTTCGGGAACAAGAAATCCCCTCTGGATGTCTATCGAGCAGCTATTTTGACTGTGGTAAGCACAACCAAGGGTTCCAGAGAAAACAAATCTAGGCTGATCATTGATGAAAACAAAGCGTGACAAGGAGGCGCATCTGTTCGATGTATTTCAAAAGTCGCTTCGCAATACAGGCACAGACAATGATGCTCAAGCGGATAGTAAAAGGAGCTCAAGCGAGCTGCCATCAAAGGACGAGCGGGCTGCAAAGCCTACAGGTTCCAAAAAGAAAGCGCGATCCATTCGTCGGTTTTTCAATCCCGACTTTGGACTACCAGAAAGCACAAACGCATACAACCCCTATGGCGACATTGCTGGCGAGACAGAACTACTTCGAGAGGTCAAAGACATTTGCGACGAGCTTCAAATGCTGAAAACTCTGGCTGAAGACCAAGAGACTGTTTGGAGGCAAATCTGGAAAGATGGATATAATCCAGCCGCTACCTTCACGTACGAAACTCCGTCTGAGATCAAGAAAAACATCAAGGAAATGATCAAAGATGCTGGTTTTGTTCAGGGGGCAATTGATATGCTGCTTAATCTCAAACAGAAGCAGGCCAATATTGTCGAAGCCGAGTTTTCGCGCAAACAGAGCGAAGAAACTGCGAAACAGAGTGACACAATCATGGTCTTCACAGTGGTGACCATCCTCTTTGTATGTTGTTCAAAATCATTGGTATCAACACACGGTTTACATGTTCTAATTGATATATTTGCAGCTCCCCGCCTCTTTCCTTACCAGTTTGCTCGCATTGAACATATCCGACTTCCCCCATTTAGGTGACGAGGTCAGCTTTCAAGGACGTGTGATATTCCCCATCATCTGTAAGTTACTGTCACCCTACTGTATCTATTGCCTTGACCGGCAGTTTTGCTGATCTACCTCTCCACCATTCAAGTTGGTGTCTCAATTCTGGTGTCCGGAATCTTTGCACTACTTGCTTTCAATGCAAGCACGCTCAAGGCATATTTGTTCCCTAAAAAGAAAAACCAAACAAACACCGAAGTACCAGAGCCACTATCTGGGACATCATTCAACGCATATATCCATCCGCCCACCAATTCGGCTCCTACCTCTCCACGCATCTCAAGAACCTTCCAGCAGGCTAGCCGGCAGATTTCTATACAGACTGAACAAATGTGCGAGCAATTGAAACAGAGGAATAGGCTCAAAAGGGACTCTTGGCCGCATTCATCCCATGAGGGAAGCGAACAGATGGTATGATTAACGTCAGTGCTTTGACATGCGAAGTATCTTGGAAGGCCACACACCCTCCGAGGGCTTTGGACTGAGACTTTATTGTGATGATTGATCTTTAATGTTGGCAATATCTTGAATAGTGTATACCTAACATGAATTTGAGTTAAATGATTATCAATTTGTGATCTTAATCAGATTAATGAAGGTCTGTTTTCTTAGTCCAAAATTCAAATTGTGTCTTATAGATGCCAATTGACGCTAGACCCGAATGAGATTAGATGGGTAAGGAAAGAGGCAAGCGGTCTGGAATGACATAATAGCGATAAGATAAAGCCGTTCGGCCAAGCCAGATCAGATCCGAAAGTTGGAACTTCGTCTCCATCTGGGGATGGCACTCTGAACAAGCATTGTCGACAGCCGATGACGATGGCGCTCCCACAGCGTAAGCGATCTCTGCCGCAAGGTCTCTAGATCTACCTACTGACACCATTGCAGATGAGCCCGCGCCATTCGCGCCTCAGTCTTCGTATGCACTCTGCCCGTTGAGTGAGCTATATGATCTCACTAACATCCTCCCAGCTTGAGTTTCACCCAAGGATTTGTTCTCGGACAGCTCTCAATAATACTTTTGATTGGTGCCTTTATCAAGTTCTTCATTTTCGGCGAGGCACCACCCCCTCCGTCCCGGGGTATGTCAAACCGCACAACCCACCGCCGTTATAGCTCCGTCTATAACCCCCCACAAGAAGGCCAGAAATCACTCCGAGAAAAACCATCGACCTCCAATGTTCTTCGTCCAGTACCTGCTACTTCTACGAACACCCGCTCTATCCTCCGCAAGACCTACTATAGTGCCATTCCGACCAATCCCACCAGCAAACATGGTAGACACCGCATGCACCACTCGTCGCATCAGCCCGAGTCACTGGATTGGTTCAATGTGCTCATTGCGCAGACAATCGCGCAGTATAGGCAAACGGCCTATTCTCTCAAGGACTCGCCCACTTCATCGATCCTTAGCTCCCTAACCGCGGCCATGAATAACCCGGAGAAGAAACCATCCTTCATTGACAAGATCAATGTCACCGATATCTCGCTAGGAGAAGAATTCCCCATCTTCAGCAACTGCCGCATCATCGCGGTTGATGATCCTATGTCGGACGGCGGACGGCTACAGGCGTTACTGGATGTCGACCTGAGCGACGACAACCTTTCCATTGCCGTTGAGACATCCATGGTTCTGAACTACCCGAAACCACGCTCTGCCATTCTGCCAGTAGCATTATCAGTATCTGTCGTGAGATTCTCTGGAACGCTTTGCATATCCTTGATCCCGGCATCGACAGAACCACCAGAATCACTTCAAACTCCTGCCGGATCACCGCCACCCCCGACGTCAGATCCTGGTTCCGGAGAGCGCACATCTTCACAAGACAGTCTCCCACCCAAAAGCAGTCCGAAAAGCAACGTGGCATTCTCCTTCCTCCCAGACTACCGCCTAGACCTGTCCGTCCGCTCACTCATTGGATCCCGCAGCCGACTTCAGGATGTACCAAAGATCGCTCAGCTCGTCGAGGCGCGAGTTCACGCGTGGTTTGAAGAGCGTGTGGTCGAGCCCCGAGTCCAAGTCGTTGGACTTCCAGACTTGTGGCCGCGCATGGGCCGGACGGGCGTTCGAACAGGCGAGGACTCGGATGCCGGATCCACAGCCCCACCCCGCAGCGCAGGCTCTACGGAGGCCTCAGGGCCACCTCGATTCTCCGATGACCATAGTCGGGAACCGGAAGGAATACGGTTCCGTGGGCCCCTAGATGCGCGACTAGGGCTTGGTGCTGGCTCGCGCACGAGCAGCTTCAACATCGATATGGGCGGCTTGCGCAGCTCGAGCATGACCCGGCACCACAGTAACGGTGCTACAAGTGACCATTTTGACATGCCTGGCGCTATGCCGGCAAGGAGTCCTGTAGGCACGCCTGTCATCCCAGACCGATGATATAAGGGAAAGTTCAGTCGCCCTTCTCAGCCCATTCAGGTATGTATCATCTCAATTGATTTACTGCGGGGTTATTGTCCCCCGTGTAGATTTCAAAGCACCATGCAACGAAAGTGATATAAGAAAATATCAAAAAAATTCCGATTTCCATCGTTCAAAAGTACTATGTGCAAGAATCTAGTCATGAAGTATCTCAATGTCAAAGTGAATCAAACCTAGACTGCAGCAGTAGAACTAACAACAGTCTCCAAGTAAGTCTTCCGGTGAGGGTTAACATCAACCTCCGCACCCCGGTTCAAGGGCGTCCATTTAGGCTCATCCTGGAAAAGACGCATAGCCTTGACATACTATAACACAAAGTCAGTCTCATAATCCACCACCGAATTGAAAATCACATACATTCTGCGAATTCGTAGTAAACCGGTGATAGATCCCAGCAGGGAGAATAATCATATCCTCCTTAACAAGACAGATGCGAATCCACTCATCCTCCTGTCCGCGCACATCGAAGTATCCCTCTCCATCAAGGATGTACCGGATCTCCTCGTCCTCGTGCAAATGCTCCGAGAAGAACGACTTCACCTTCTCCTCATACACAGCACCCATCGCCTCCGGGGAAATGGTCACCTGGTCACGGTTGCGGTATCCGCGGTTCGAGGCGATTGTGTCCACCGCATCGATCGTCGGGCAGTGCTTGTAGAACACGCCCAGCGAGGCAAGCTTCTCCTCGGACACGGCGCGTCCGGAGTCGTGGGGCTCGCGCTGGTCGCCCTATAAATAGGTGGAATTAGCGTTGGCTCTAGTTGCAGGTGGGCTGATCGTGGAAAAAGCTTGAAAAGCTGGGGGACGGCCAATCGGCGCAGGCTTACCTCGACGTTGTCGTACCAGTATGCCTTCATTATGAATTCTTTGGCAAACAGATCTGATAGTGAGGTCGGATATGTAGAAAGAGGGGGAATCGTAGAACGTCACACTCAGCTTACAATCGAATATCAACAGCCCCGCAATTGGCCGATGGCGCAAGATTATGTCTGGTCACCGCCCTCGGGCTTAGCGGATATAAGGCTGTATCACGTGATGAAACGATAATTTTGCTTATCGATTTGGATTTGATCTCCGAGTCGGTACCTGTTTATTATTTTGTCTATTCGCATTGCATCTCGCCATGGCTTTTCGAGCACGGTCGGGCGCTTTGATGCGTCAGGGCCGCGGACTCCGCTCATTCATCGGTCGGAGTCGTGGTTTCGCGACTGTTACCGATAATACACGGTTCGTGATCTGTCCCCTGGTTGCCATCCTGGAAAGTTATACTGATCTATCTACAGACCATATGATGTTATTGTGATCGGTGGTGGGCATGCTGGAGCCGAGGCATGCGCTGCTGCTGCTCGTTCTGGTGCGCGCACTGCGTTGGTCACGCCCTCGCTGGAGAATATCGGTGTTTGCTCGTGCAATCCCAGTTTCGGTGGAATTGGAAAGGGAACGATGATCCGCGAGGTCGATGCGATGGACGGCGTTGCAGGACGTATTATTGATAAAGCTGGTGTCATGTTCCGGGTGTTGAACCGTTCTAAAGGACCTGCTGTTTGGGGACCGCGTGCGCAGATCGATCGCGATCTCTACAAGCGATATATGTCCGAGGAGCTGGCTGGAACGGAAAACTTGAGCATTGTGGAGGGCAAGGTGGCTGATATTGTGCTCTCCACGGAAGGCATTGAGAACACCCCTGGTGCTCAGGGCAAGATTGTTGGAGTGCGGTTGGAGTCTGGGGAGGTCATTCCTACCGGCCGTGTCGTTATCACAACGGGTACTTTCCTGGGTGGTGAAATTCATATTGGAATGGAGGCGTACCCCTCGGGACGCATGGGCGAGGCTCCCACATACGGTCTTAGCAAGTCGCTCCGAGAAGCTGGATTCCAGCTGGGACGTCTGAAGACAGGCACCCCGCCTCGGTTGGATAGGAAGACCATTGATTTCAGCGCCTTGGAAGTGCAGAAGGGTGATTCGCCGCCCCATCCATTCTCTTATCTTAACAAAACCGTTGAGGTTGGTGATGAAGGCCAGCTCACTTGCTGGATGACCCATACAAACGAAGCTGCCCATGAAATCATCCGCGCTAATCTCGACAAATCGATCCATATTCGCGAAACTGTGCGCGGACCGCGATACTGTCCCTCTTTGGAATCCAAGATCATTCGATTCAAGGACAAGACCCAGCACCAGATCTGGCTCGAGCCCGAAGGCTTTGCGCCGAACGACGTCATCTATCCTAACGGCATCTCCATGACCGTTCCTGCAGACGCACAATATGCCATGTTGCGAGTCATTCGTGGTCTCGAGAACGTAACCATGCTCCAGCCGGGTTATGGTGTGGAATACGACTACATCGACCCGCGCAACCTCCGACCAACCTTGGAGACCAAACTGATTAGTGGTCTCTACCTTGCCGGCCAAATCAACGGCACAACTGGCTACGAAGAAGCAACCGGACAAGGTATCATTGCGGGCATGAACGCTGGTCTCGAGTCGCAGAACCGCAAACCCCTCACCCTCAGTCGGGCCGATGGATTCATCGGAATCATGATCGACGACCTCATCACCAAGGGCGTCTCCGAGCCCTACCGCATGTTCACCACGCGTAGCGAGTACCGTATTTCCACCCGCTCCGACAACGCCGACCTGCGTCTGACGCGCATGGCCCGCGATGCCGGTGTCGTATCCGACAAGCGTTGGCGCCACTTCTCCGACACCGAGGCGCAGATCCTAGAACTGCAAACTCTCCTTGGCAACACGAAACTCTCTTCGTCTGCTTGGTCTCGTAAGGGCTTCAAGGTGCGCTCCGATACCTCGATCCGCTCGGCACTCGACATTCTGTGTCTGGACGGTGTCGATATCAACACCCTGATCCCTAGCATTGAGTCTGCTACGGGGACGGCATATACCTCATCTTCGTTCGAGCCAGAAATCCTCACTCGCGTCGCTATCGAAGGCCGCTACGCGCCGTACCTCAAGCGCCAGGAGAAGATGGCTATGCGATTCCAGCAGGATGAGAACTTGCTGCTGCCGGCTGATCTGGACTACAGTCAGGTTCACGGTATCAGCAATGAAGAGCGACAGTCCCTTGAGCGAGTGCGGCCTGTTAGTGTGGGCATGGCGAAGCGCATTGAAGGTGTCACGCCTGTCGGTGCTTTGCGATTGCTGATGCATGTGCGGAAGGGCACTGGGTTCTCACCGTCAGGCTCCGAAGACTCTGATGTTGATGAAGTGCTCCGCTCATCGCCTTGATTTTTTGGCTGGGTATGACTAGGACTGTTTCTTTGAATATATTGGCATAGCGGGAGCGACTCGGCGCTGGGTGTGGTTTGACTGTACAATATCAACCTGTATACTATTTGATCTGTCTATACTTGCATCTTACAACATCAACGATTTTGAGATCCTGATTCTATTCTTCGACTTCAAGGCACCACACCCAAGCACGGTCTATCCAACCAGGACCAACCGTCTGCCACCACCCCCTAAGCATAAACCAACGACCTAACCCCAAGAAAAGCTAAGCGAGGACATAGGACACGCACTTCCAACGCCTCAAATCCTCAGATTCTCAAATTCTCCAATTCTCACATGACCTACTCCGTACGAACTATTGATCCTCTCGCTCTATACTTCGTATACAGCCGAGGTCCGTACGGAGTACCTATAGACCAGTCACCGGACACATGTACATACTCCTACATACCACACGCACCCCAGAGCCAAACACGCGACAAATAAGAAACCCGCCAAGCGAATTCCCAACCCATCGCAGCCACGTCCCATCTCCGTCCTCGATCATACCGCCAACCTGGACACTACGCAAGGGGGCGCCGATCCCAAGACAGGGATGTGCGAATGAAACATATGGAACCGACACCCAGATATGATACGATGATCTCAGACGAAACCAGTGGAGTGGACAAGACACAGCGCGCATGCCCCCACGTCACATTGAAGGGAATACCACATTGGATCTCGAGTACGAAACCAGTGATGTATAGAACGAAGTGGCGTGCATAAGCCCGCCGTTGGTAGCGATCTGGTCTCACTTTGTGAAACGAAAAAAAAAAGAAAGAAAAAAAAAGAAAGGAGAACGAGAAAAACGGCTTTGGGGGAGGGATTCCATTGGTGCGCTGTTCGCTATCTTTGATGTGATATATACTACCTCACAAATTCGTGGATTTCCGCCATGGGATGAGGGGATGTGGTTAGCTGAAAACGCCATGGCTTTGGATCGGCAGATCTCGATCTATCCAATGTACTATTCCGTACGTACTCTCGGCTCAGAGTGCCTGTACATCATTCCTCCTCGGCACGTATTGAGGGGTGGTGGTGCGTAAGGGGGGTTGGAGGGGGAAGTGTTCCTTGCTTCCTGTGGTTTTGGCACAGGGCTGGGCATAGCGTCTACTAGTCCCATGCAGAGATCTAGATCGGTGCGCTATGGTGTAGATAGATGTGGGCGCCTGTGCAGAGTTAGTGTGGTTTTTTTTGCTGCAGGAATTTACGCGAATGCAGCAGAGTGTTCCCAGCACGATCATGAGATAGGTCCACAGTTGAGACAATGTCCTGCGTGAAGAATGCACATGGTCAATAGAACCAGGATTCGAACTTCTAGAATGTTGGCTGTTTTTTTTTTTTTCAGCTGCAATATTTCATGTCGGCTCGATGCACATGTGGAGAACTACAGATCAAGACATTGGTGCATGCCAACAGACCTATGTAGTCTGAGATACGTGTATGTGGTATACGGAGTACGGAGGATATACAAAGCCGTTGCTCTTGTATACTCCATACATATGATGTGGATATACCGAAGATTAACCACATCCCTGTTTTCCATCAAGGAACAACACCGTATTCGATCTATATCCCTCCGGAGATAACGGCGTGGAATCCCTATTCTCTTGGAGACGGGTGATGCAGAAGGTAGCACCGTGCGTAGTACGTGTCGTACTAAGCCCATAATTCTAGAATACACCACTTGTGCATTTGCTTTGGTGGATCAAAAAAAAAAAAAAGAACGAAAGAGACCAGTTGCACAATCAGACACGAGCAGACCACAGCGTTGGGACTTCGTTGATCCCTACCAATATCGTCCTTCGAGCCACATGGAAAACGCCCTGAGGATTTCGTGTGACACGCCAACAACGACGATTAGTGGAAATGACTCGGACCATTCAGGCCGGATACTTCGTTGTCCTTCGTCCGATCGGCTGGTTTACGAGCTCACGGGGTCTGTTCCGCGGAGTTGATACGAGCGAAAAAAAGGCGGAGGCGAGCAGCGTTCCAGGTGCTTACTCCAGTGGTTGTGACTTGTGGAGTGCACGATTTCCATCGTGGCATTATTATTATTATTTTTTCGCCTGTCTCTCTTGCCTCTCTCTTTCGTGGATAGCTGAAGGGATAGAGCCACACAATGCACAGCCAAGCGCGATCGGACAGAGTACGCCCACTATCGCCGAGAAGGGAATAAATAGACGATCGCGATGATCATGATCTCACCGACCTGGAGGCGGCGACATCGGACTGTTTTGCGCTCTCCGGAGTACGGAGGACGGAGGACGGAGGATGCGAATCCAACTATCGTGGAAGGGATGGTGTTTACTCCGTACCTTGGAACCGTGAAATGATCTTCTGAATCTCCCTGGCATGAGGTCCGGACATATCGCGTCTCACTTTCCCACTGCCAGCACCCGACCAATCAGCAGTTGCGGTTCGATGCCTCTCGATTCCTTGGGGAAATCTGACATGATTCCTCTCGGCCAATAAGCGACCATCCCTCAAATCAGGGGCAGAGAACAGAACGCCAGAGCGACTCCCGTGTACTCCGTATAGTCCCAAAAACAGTCCTTCGGGCATGTGGACGAATTAGGGAGGTAGTACGGAAAGGGATTGCCCTCTCTGTGCGAGGGCTGGATGTAGGGACCTGGTTGTGGCACTGGACGTCCTTTGCATGTGCTGGATGCACATGACATGCACCTCTGGCTTAAGTATTGGACCGAGTACGTTCAACTTTTCAAGTGAGGCTGGTAGATACATACCTCGAGGGCAATATCAAGGACAAAGTACGGAGTACGGAGTACTTCATACCCAGTTGTGCCCGTGTCAACCCCCGTTACTCCGTACTATGTAATTGTTCGGTTTCTCCGAAGTCCAACCCCCGAGACAAAGTACATATATCCTTGTCCTCTGTACTCTGTACTCCGTACATCGTACATCGTACATCGTACATCGTATCGGGGATACCAGTCGGTGATCCAAACCGGATCTTCATCAGTTGCCTAATGATGATCGCCCCCTAGTGCTAGAGACCCAGGAGAGAGTTGCGGGATTTCTTAGTCTCTTCCCAAGCAAGCGTAGTGCCGACGCCACCGGAACTAGTAGGATGTGAGTTATTTCGGGCTTTCTTCTTCAGTGCGCGTGCATGTTGGTTCCCTGTCTTTGGGAGACGATCTTCGTATCGGGCGTTGGATCTAAGCCCAAACGAGACGGGGTTCCTGTGGTTCCTGTGGTTCCTGAGATCAGAGCAATCAAGGTCGAATCTGGAAGGTCATGGCAGGAAGAGGCAGGGAAATCTCCCATAGCAGACATATGTGGTCAGAGGGACTCCAGGTCGGTCTTCACCTGCCCATCCAGGCGTTCTGGAGGCAAGAGAAGAATCACTCATCTCACTGGGCTTGGCCCGAGTGTCTGGTACGGGTGCACTGTCCGTGGATGTGGGATAGAGTGGAACCAATGACAGCGATTAACTCGACGGGACTGTATATCCAGATCCAAACGAAGGAAAAGTAAAAACCAAAAACAAAAACAAAAGATCGTCCGGGCTCGCTGATAGGACCATGTCTCGGCGCTTCCTTAAGATCTGCCTTGTAAACTCATCCCGGCTCATCCTCGTTCGGAGCTTATGCACCACGGTGATTTGCTGAGGCATTTGTGGGGTAATAAGATTGGATTGCAATTTACTTTAGCGTCTCTTTTCTTTTTCTTTTTCTGTTTCTTTTTCTTTTTGCTCTTTCCTTTTCCCACTATTTGGAGGTTTCCGAACCTCCCACCTCGTAATCGGGGGGTCGTGGACTCCGCTCCGCGCTTAGCATTCCTTGGCCTGTGATGGGCTGTGCAGAATATCGATGATCTCACATTCGGTCCAGACCTTGAATCTCCTCTGGTTCTGGTGGGGGTCCGTTGCCCTCCGAGTCTTTATTTCTGTCTTGTTTTAATTTACGGAGTACATTTCACTTGCAAGCTGGGGGGTCTCGGACTTCGGCGATTATAGGTGATTTCGGATACATCACATTTCTGCCGAGGGTGCAGAGAGCAGTGGCTCTGTGCTCCGTTGGAAAAACGAATTATTTTATCGCGAGTGTCTCGTGCCTGTTATAGTTAAATTGTTCGTGACATCTGTCATTCGCGCCAATTGAGTTTCAACAAGCGTGCGCCAATCGTCTCCTGTTCGCCCAGCGCTCTGGGACCTCTTTTAAAACGGAGCACAGTCCTCCGTTTGGAATAACGGCCGTGAGCATATCCAACCACATGTCGATGGACAATATTCCCACGAATAATCAGAACCAACCAAATGCGCTTTAATTTGCTCATTACCGTCTACTTCAAACAAAACCGCCGATCCTGGATCCTTAGCTCTTGACCGGGGTGTATAGGGCACCTGTCAATGGCTGATGGCTGATGGCTGGTGGCTGAGACCAGGGGTTGTATGTCTTAGTCTCTGGTCCTTCCCTCAGAGTCAGCGTGGCAATCCGGTGCCCAGGTGGTCTGGATCTGCTGAGGATCTCCCGCGAAAGTTTTTGTCCATCCAATCGAACCCCAGTCGCCGTTCCTTTGGTCTTACGGGAGATGGTTAGAGTAGGAACGGGACCCTCTTCCCCTCTTAAACCTCCTGAGTGGTTTCGAAACAAAAGAAGTAAAAAAATAAAAGGAAAAAAGAAGTTACCGAAAACTTTCTCTACGGAAGCCTAACCTTCTTTTGTTTTTTTTTTTTTTGTTTACGCGTGGGTTTCGACCGGTTCTGCACATCCGCTCGTGCTGATTGGGATGCTACGAAGATAGGGTTGGGTTTGTTCAGGCACGAGTCTTAGAACGCTAAAGTATCCAGTATACTCCGTACCTCTAGACACGGTATGTTGGATACTGAAAATGGGTCATGGCGGAGATCTACCAGCTGGACGCGCTCAGTCCTCGGGGGATTCGTCTCCAGCCAAATCCTCCGTACTCCGTGGAAAACTGGTGGAAAAGTAGTCGTCACCGGTATCCAGACCCGGAGAAGTAGAGGGGAATAATATAAAAAAAATAAAAAAAACTGCATCGAATATAATCATCATAGCTGTGGACTTTGACCCGCATGTGACTGGCTGCTCCAGACCGTGGAGGATCTTATCCTCGAACTACCTTACCGTTGGATGCCCTTGACCCATCCGGAGGTGGAGGCGATTTTCTTTTTTTTTGTTTCCAATAACTCCGTAGACCATTTTGTACGTGCCCTGTGCCCTTTCTCCGCCTTCTGATGAAGAAGAGAGCTCTCGGAGGATTGCAGTCAAGGTTAAACTGAGACAAAAGGCGATCCTGTTATGTGGGAAAGTGGAGAAGTAGGCGAGACAGCCAATGACCGGTGTACTGGTGACCTTGGAAGCTACTGCAGCCGCCACACCCCGGGGCGTCACAGTACTTTGTCGCCAATTCGCCTAGCACATGCGAGGATCTGCTCAGTTCGTCTGTTCTTTTTTCCCTCGCTTTTATTTCGCTTTTATTTCCGCTTTTTTTTTCTGCCAAATAGGCAGGTGCTTGCTGAATCAGACTGCAAGTGAGGCCCACGGGGCAGGTAGACTTGGGTATATTGTCCGTTATTCTGCGTCTGACTCTACATGGGGGGGCTCCCGACTTCCGTCCTGGCTTCTAACATGACATGCTAGAAGATGGACGGAGTACTCCGTACTCCGTACGTATGTTGCATGTTGAATGTCGAAATGTTGTATAAGCCCGATGTCACCGAGTCTCAGACCCTCCGATCCTCATCCACGGCTCCACTAGGATCACCCATGGCACTGCGATGATTGTATCTTGACCTATTCGATTTGACTCATTTGGCTCTCTCGCCAACTCTCTTTGCAGGACTTGAAGTATATTTAGATCGAGATATACCTTCTATATCTAGTTCAACGGACTAGGATCTGGGGTCCGACACATAGTACTCCGTACTTGAGGTGAAACGGTACCTGCTTTTCGCGGAGGGTTTGGTGAAATCACCACTTCCATGCTTCTCCGTATTTCTCCGCTCCCCCGATTTCCACCGCGTCTCCTTTTTCTTTTTTTTTTTCCTTTTTCTTTTTTCTTTCCTCTTTTTTTCTTTTTCTTTTTCTTTTTTTCGTTTTCTGTTTTCCATTTTCTGGTTCCGCTAAACCAAATCTAGAAAATGGCGAATACGTTACAGAAATCGAACGAAAAAAGAAATTAATCAAATCCATTCCAAGCCCAAAACATAATATCGCATGTCATATCTGTCATTGATACTCCAGGCCTCAGCATTCGGCCTCCCGTCATCCAAGTACCCTCCGGTTCCCCGCAACCCTCCGAGAGATTGGAACAGGACGGAGTAGACGGATCGGATGCATTTCTGAGGTCGAATTCGAATTCCAATCCGATCAAAGGATGAGTAGGTGTAGGGTCGAAATAAGATAATAAGATAAAAATTATATTAAAAAAAAAATAGTCTAATTAATCCGCTTTCGATCCAATAATCCAAACTAGAGGAATAATCTACTAATGATTACCCTCATGAGTTGTGGAGATATCACTCCCCTTCCCTCTCTCTCCTTCTCTCTCTCTCTCTCTTTCCCAGTGGACCCTCCCCCCAAAAGCTTGGGAATTGCCGCAACTCAAACCGTGGAACGGGAGACCAGTAGATCCCCATCTTTTCGGCGATCGAATCGGTGCAACTGTTGACTCGCTGACTTCGAGGCCCGTGCTTTTTCTGGTCGATCCTCGAGAGTTCAACTGAGGGGTCTCTAAGAGTCAAAACCTCCCTCCTTCTCCATACCCTGGTCGATCCCTGAGCTTTAAACCTTTTTTTTTTTTTTTTTTCTTTTTTATTTCCTTGACTGGACTTTTTTGATCGGGGAATATATCACTTGCAAGAACCCGGGGGGTTGCACCTGGGATTGTATCTCTTTCATATTCTACATCATGGTGAACGGCACCGCCGCCGTGTTGGAGCCCACTTTCACCGGCTACGTCGCAACCACTCAAGATGCTCTCCTTCTCTTCGAGGCATGCTTAACCGGTGTGTTACATCATGTTCCGCGTCGGCCTCATGATCGGGAACGGAGTCATCTCGTACGCAGCGGTAGCGTCTTCATTTATGAAGAGAACGCCTCCGGCATTAAACGATGGACCGACGGAGTGACCTGGAGTCCGAGTCGCATTTTGGGCAATTTCCTCGTCTACCGGGAGCTGGATAAGCCTTTCCCGCCCGGTGAGAAGAAGCGCGCCATGAAAAAGGCCACTCGACGACCAGTGCCATCTGGCCGACCCGGGGAACCTTACCCGCGACACGATAGCCAAGGCTATTCTCCGACATCCCCCAACTCGGGACCCTTCTCAGAGCGTTCATCCCATCAATCGGAGCTCGAACGAGCACTGGTCGGGTCTTTGGTCGATTCTTACGGCTTCAAGGACTCCGGGTTGGTCAAGAAAACGATGAGCGTGACGGTTTTGGGTGTGACTCACCATTTGGTCTCTTACTACAGCGTGGAGGATGTGCTGCGCGGTGTCCTCAACTCACCCTCGATGGTGGACTCGCTGCGCTATATTCGACCTCGCAACGAACTCACCCAGAAGCAAAGCTTCCGTTCACCGATCGACGAGCTGGACGGCGCCAACCCCGCGGAAAGCCAAGAGCCTTCTCATGCCGCCATGTACGGATATCGCCCACAGATGATGGCCCCACCAACTTACACCATGCCAACCCCTTCAAACGACTTCTACATGCAACCAAGTCCCTACGCCGCCTCACATCCTCCACAGCAAGGCCCGATCGCGGGATATTCGATGGGGGCCCCGATGGCCGCCCATCCCGCGCCAAACCAATACTTGCCCAGCCCGGGACCAACCGTCATTCCCTCAAAGCAAGAAGAGTACCACAACTTCCGCGCGGGTCCCTATGGCGGCAGCATGGATTCGATCAGTGTACACAGCATGGCTTCCATTCCCGGCGGTTCCATGAACACGGGCCTCTCCAGCTCGCTCAGCGAACGCAACAGATCCACTTCGGACCACAGCCCGTCCGCCTACCGCAACTCTTCCATTTCCTCGCGCAGTCAAGCCACGGATGCCACTTCTCCCATGGATTCCTCGACCCCGGGCACCTACTCTCGCGGTAGTTTCAGTATGGGCCATATGGAAAACTCGCACCCTGGACTCGATCGTAACATTCCCGGTCTCGATCCGAGCATGCCCCGTCGCGAATCAAACCCCATCCATCCGTCCTACTACGCTGCCGACCGCTCCCAGTACTATGCCCCTGCGCCATACGCCGCCACACAACCGATGTCTGCCTGGACGACCACTGCAGGGACGCAGCCACAGATGGCGCAACCTCAAATCTAATCTCTTGATACCATTCCGTGTCTTTAGTGTTGCTTATGGCCATGGAGCGTGGGAGTCGGGATTCTGTTTCTTTTCGTTTTTGACCTCCAAATTGCTTTTTTGCTTTGGAAGATAGACCCCCTACGCTTCTGTTTCTGTTTGGGAGGGAAACGTCTGCTGCAATATGTACTTGAAACTGTGCGGCTGTACTCGTTTTTGTTTTGTTTATATGGTTATGTTTGCTTGTTTATCCGGTGGCTCTTGTTTTTTCTGATCGTGTTACCCCTCTCTGTTTCTCCTTCTCGGTCGGCTCTCTGATATCTTTTTTCGAATCCCGTTCTGGGACGGGTGGTGGCGTTCTTCTATTCTTTACGATGTCATGCAATAACCCCGAAACCCCAAAACGGTTTATTCTTTAACTCTTACTTTTACTTTTAACTACTTCTTTTTGCTATACCGATTCCCGCTTTGCTAAGGCTGTATTGTGCGCTGTATGGTCTTGGTTGATTCCAGCTTGTCTGTTTTCCTGGTTACCACGTAGGTTATACTGAATCTCATAGCTACCTAATGTATGTCCCGAATTCAGTTCAATCCAACTTGATCAACCCCTTTTTATTCTCCGTTCTTGTCCCACGGGGAGAGAAGAGTACCAAGGTATCGATTAAGATTAAGAATAGACGTAGAGATGAAAGTATATTTTTGTCTTTTCGTCGACATATGCGTGGTTCCTATTTTAGTCGAGATTATATTTAGGGTTTAGGCGGGTTTACTTTGTTTTGACTGTCTACTTTGCTTTTTTTTGGTTTTGGATGAATACACTACCTTCTATGTTTTCGGGGTGGTTTGTGTTGAGGTTTGACTGGGTTATATGGGATATTCACTTGCTTTTGCTTTAGGTGTTAGGTGTTTATTGTTTTAGTGGTGATTGGTATCTTTTTGTAGATGGTTGTGTGGATGCATGGTCTGAAATACTTAAAGTATATAGAGCTATAGATATTCAACCAAGTTCGTGAGGAAATACTCTTTAGCACTATCTGGAGACAAGACTTGATTTCATGTATCAATAATCAGTATCTCGAAGCGGTAACAAATGAACTAACGAACATACAAAGAAGCGAATCTATACTCGCTCAGAATAGGAGACAGGATCGGTAAAACTACGAAAGTAAGCATATGAAAATAGATTCACATTCAAAGAGAAGGGTATATATCAGGGACCATACGGAGGATGAAACAAGCAATCAGCGCAATGTCAAAAAAAGTTATACTTCATATACGCATCCATGACCTTTTATCCAAACCAAGAGTAGACCAGACCAGACCAGATGGAAGAACCCTACCTCTCAGCCAACGCTGATATCAACGATGCCGATAGCGGCGAGTTTATCAAACTCATCACTCTTCGTGAACTAGCAGTGGTATAGTGACCGGAGCTGCCAGTCTGTGTCTTCGGAGACGCAGGAGAACCGTCCCGTCCATCCCGCGCAACACGTCGAGTCTCGGATGCGTGTAAAAGCATTTCCGGACTTCGAGGCAGTCCCCTCTTTTCAGGATCATCGTGCTCCGCAACCTCTGGAAGTCCGCCCGCTCTGGTCTGGGGACTCGAGGCGGTTGGACCTGGCTTAGAGCCCGTTGATGCATCGCTTGGCATCCGCGGGCTGGAAAGGTCCTGCGCCCGGCTGCGACGTAGACTTGGAGTGCTACGGGGGCCCGAGTGGATGTTGCCTGGGCTTGCCCGTGCGAGGTTGGTGAATTGCGAGACCATAGTTGGGTCAAGCAGGTGATGGACGTTGACGGTGATGGCGGTGGGGGTTGGTCCGCCATGGCAGTGTTGCTCGGGCCATGGTAGGCTCTGGGCTCGGCTCGGGGTTGAGGGTCGTCCTCTCTGTGACCGGTCCCGAGGCTTTGCAGGGTGGTCTGCAGGAGGTTGTTCTGCAGAGATAGGCCATTGTTTTGTAGGGCCAGATTGTTGGTCTGCAGTTGTTGCTGGTAGGGGTTCGGGTTGAAGGGTCCGAACTGGCCTGGGAAGGGGACCTGGAAATGATTCTCAGTTGTGCCGTTATCCGCCGGGATTTGCATCTGAGAAGTATTGATTAGTTCCGGCTCATTTTGGTTTCATTTATCTCTTAGTTCGTGAGCTTATACCTGACGACTGTACTTCCTTCCCGGCATGGCGATGTACTCATCGAACATGCTCCCTAGATTAGCAAAGTTGAACCCGCGTACCGGGTCTACAGGCTCGAACCGCTGCCCAACTTCCTGCTGAAAATCGACGCCTCGATGCGACAAAGGCAAATACTCCGGCAGTTTCAGCATCAAGGCCGGGTAACTGCCCAGCATCGCGTCGATGACAGGGTCGACGTCGATGGACAGAGTAACCCTGCTTCGGGCGGAGGGCTTTTGGACTAGCATGACAAAGGTAAACTCGCGCGGAAGACCAGATTGCTGAACATTGTTTTCCTCCATAGACCACACAATTTGGCCAGCTTCGACATTGTACTTGGGATCAGTGGCACTCTTCAAAGTACGTGCAGAGCCCTGAACACGCATCATCTCGTACCGTTTGTAGCGACTGTTGACACTCCCCGAGGGGATGACGCTGGCACTAACGGGCATTTCTGAGATACCAAGAGACCCAGCCAGGCTGAATGTCCACTCCATGGTCTCCGGAGAGACGGTGCCATAAAGTAGATGCGGTGCATGCATGAAGAAGTGCGGATTCCCAGGGGGAGTCCCGTAAGGATAGCGCTTCGAACTTGGGAGTTCACGACTTCCATGAACAGAAACCTTGATAGTAGCTGACTTGATGCGATGGGTAATTGTATGCGGCGAATGAAAAGTAAATGCGATGGCAAGAAAGTCAACATGCTTGGCACCCTTGTCGGACACAATTTCGCTAGAGTAATAGCCATGCTGCAGTCGCTGGACATGAGCTGTAATATATGCATCTCCGGGCAGTCGACGTTCATATATAAGAGCCCGGTTGAAAATAAGGCGTGGGTTCGCCATGTTTGGATCGGGTGGATCGGGTGGATTCGTTTCTTGGACTGGTGGAATGACGGGGATAGGAGTCAAGGAAGGCGAGTCCGAAACACGCCGCTCTTGGGCAGAAGGAGGTGACATTGTAATGGTTGCAATCCGACAAGACTGCAGTTTCGTGATAGTGGTCTTTCCTCGATTTCCATCTGGCTCCTTCTCGCGGACGCGGCTGTCTTCGTAAATTAACCTAAGCTGCGCGGCATTTCTGCCATATATAGGCTTCTTAGCTGACTACTCAAAAGATCATGTCTATCTCCCATTTGATGATGCTATTCATCACCTGGAGCTTCGGGTCACAGGTATAGAAGATGTTGTCAGGTGAGCACAGGGTTGATCATCGTGATCACTGTGACACGGCTCCTGGCATCGGAGCCCTAGAGATGATATTGTCATTTTCAAGGATATGCATTTCAACAGAAGCAAACAAGTTATCTCTATTTTGTATTCTATGGAGCAAGGAGGAAGATGTATACGAGGAATGTCGTCGGTGGAGTATATAAGGACGGGCCGGAGAAACCATTTCCCCGACTAGAAACTCATCGCCGAGGTGCTTGGAGTCTCCAATGTTCATCCACCTTCAGGCGACGGTGATCTAGAGCTCTTTAGTTTTAGCTTCTTAAATCTCCTGGACGGATCAATTCTTGTCTTGGGTTGTTTTATATGTATGCCCTATTTGACTGCGTTGCCCCGGTTTCCGACATATCCAGCTAACAGCCCCCAGATTTTCTCTGTACTATACAACATTCTGTCATTTTTTTGGTTGCATTTCCTGCGCAATCAGCTTCGCTCATTTGTTTTATTTTTGATCAGGTTGTTTTTAACTTTGCAAGTGCACTAAGGATTGTGCATTTCAGGAGTGTCTGCTTGTCCCCTGGTCTATCGCCTGGACAGAATCATTATTGCATAGTCTGAAAACGACCGGGTATACGAATTTCAAGATTCTGACTGAAATCTTGTGAATTGTCTGTGTTGCTCGTTGATTTTGCGTTGTCAACGCCTGCCATTGTCACTTTTGTGCTTGTGCCACCATGTTTGGCTCATGCACAGTCCAGTTGTCCCTCCGGGCTGGTCGACAGGGATCCCAGGTGCTTTTAAAGGACGCACGTTTTACTGTTCGATCAACAGTTTTCAAGTCTGAAGCGCTCCAGAGAAATGGACTCCGGTGTATATCTACATCCACTGGGTTGACATTGAACCGACTACCAACCACGTATGGTCGTCTCCCATGTCTTACAGTGTGCAATTCTGACTATTTATCAGAGGATTGAAGCCCCGGTGTCTCCAGACTCAGCTGATCCCGCCATCCTTCTTCAATCAGCAAAGATGGTCTGGCTCAAAAACCCCAGAAGAATCTAAAGCCCAAACTCCGACAGAGTAGGTTGACAGTCTTCAACCCCAGACCCCCATTATTCAAGTGACAGATGGGTCCAAGTAGACCAGAAACTAACTCGGCATAGAACCGAGGATTCCAAGAAGAAGCCTATTCTGTCGCGGATTCCCCTGCCAACTTCTCGTGAAAACATTTACACCGTACCCAACATTCTCACCTTCACCCGACTACTTGCCGCCCCCGTGGTCGGGTATCTCCTAGTCAACAACTACCACACCGCAGCACTATCCCTGTTCGCATATGCAGGAATCACCGATCTCGTCGATGGATATATCGCCCGGCGGTATAACCTCCAGACGGTGGTCGGAACCATCATCGATCCCATGGCTGATAAGCTACTGATGACCGTCGGTGTTGCGTGTCTAGCCGTGAATGGCGCTCTCCCTAGTAAGTTTGTATTGACCGGGATTTGTTGATCACGCTGGTATATGGACATGGATTGACCCATTTAAACAGTTTGGCTCGCCGTGATCATCCTCGGTCGCGACGTTGGTCTGGCAATGTCGGCCATCTATTACCGATGGATTTCGCTGCCTGAGCCCAAGACCATGGCTCGGTACTGGGATTTCTCGCTTCCTTCTGCGGAGGTCAAGCCGACAGAGATCTCGAAGATCAACACCGCTCTGCAGCTGGTGTTGGTGGGAAGTGCCATTGCACTCCCTGTGGTTCCCGAGGCGTTGGTTAGTGCCTGGCATTTGAGTGAAGCCATGACTGGATTCCAGTAAGTTTGATTTCTCCCTTTGTGATATCCCTTTGTGCATTTCTTTTCCTTTTGCATTTTTTCCCTTGCTTTTTTCACTGGAAGATCACTCTTCTCTGGCCCGGCTTAAGGCATTTCCACACTGGTTGCAGTACATACGACCATAGGGTGTGGAAAACAGGGCTTCCCGTCCGCTCAGCCGTACTTAAGCCACACGCCGGTGAGTTAGTAGTTGGGTGGGTGACCACCAGCGAATCCTCACTGTTGTATGTTTTTTGTTTCTATTTTTATTTTGTTTCTTTTTTGTTTTCGCTTTTGATCTATTTTCTTTGTTTTATTGATCCATCATGTCCTTGCTAATCCATTTTAGATACCTCGTTGCCGGCACCACTCTGTGGTCTGGTCTCAGCTATGTCTTCTCCAACAACGCGGTGAAGATTCTTTCCAAGGAAGAGATCCAAAAGCGAATTGCCCAAGCAGCTGCTAAGCGAAAGTGAACTAAGCAGCGGAATTCGGCATTGTATTGTATAGTATTCAAATGTGAGATTACTGCAGGATCGGGCTAGATTCTCTTAACGGGGATTGTGCATATGTAGTATCCCAGCTAGCCCACCACGTATTGGACCGGTGCAACATGAAGCCACGAAAGCACATGTCTGAAGAGGAATTATGGAGTAGGCTGCCTACACCGGTGTAGCTGCATGTCCCTATGTGATATATCCAAAACTAAGAATCCCAATGTGCGGTCTACGAATTTATTGGAGATAACATGATAGCATAGAGTGTGAGATTGGCCGTCGAAATCACAATCACCAAAGGAGTGGTACTGGGGGTGATAGAAATACAATTAGACCAGCAAACCCTGTGAATATACGGAGTACTCCGTAGAGAAGAATGAGATCACGGTGGACATTCGGCATCGGGGCTAGGTGTCGGGGACCTGTTTCGGCTGAACCTCCAAAAATCGACCTGCAGATCTCAAAAGCCAAGAAGCAGGCATTAGGGATTGGTCGCATGAACAGTTAGCAATCATATTTGATTACGGAGTATCTGTGAATAAGAAAGCACCCAGAGACAGCGTCCACGGGCATTCAAACGCATTGCTAAGCAGAGATTGGTAATCTGACAAGAGGCCTAAGCCAATACTTAATATCTGGCGGAATATGAAAGCCGCATATAAGCCCCACAGGGATTCAGAGAGGAATGGATATCCCGACGAAAACGATGGCGTCGTAGCCAATAATCCTGCTGCAAGCCCGGGGCTAACAGGCTATCTCCGTGAGCAGAGGGAAATTCCGTGACGGTCTAACCCGCCATAGTGAATCACCCTGACTCATGTTAACTCCACTGGACTCCACTATAGCTCTTCGTTCATGGTTTTGCTTCGGTGGCTTGCTTCTCATTCGTCGAAGGATTCCATGGGTTTGATAATGCCTTTTGGACGTCTTACAAATGCTCGGAGTTAACATTGGGAGGTGGCGATATTATGTATATAACCTGGTTCCACGAGGCAGCGTCGGTTTGCCGGTTTTTGGGATTATTGTTTTCTCTTTCCTGTATTGAATACCATTTCTATCGCTGGACGGAGTACGTATCGCTATAACCTGTCTACTGCACTGTTATCTGCCATTGAATGCTGCCGGAGAGTAGATCTCCAATCCCCGGGAACATGGAGGACCACTCTGAACAGACCGGTTCGGAGTACCGAGCCCATACCCAATCCTCCATGCAACAATCCAGTTCTAGGGGTGATAGACACCAGGCAGTGATCTCAGAACCATACAATACCCAAGAAGTCCACCAAAACACAGAAGGTCTCAGCAACCTAGTTTCCAGCTCCAGCTCGACTGCTGGCTCTTCTTTGAATAGCGACGATGGCCGCTGGGGGGAGCAGGAAGCTGGCAGGGCGGTCTCCCGTACCGGTGCCATGGAGGATATCGAGGAGATGCGCCGGGAGCTCACTCGCCTCAGTCTGCACCGCACCCGCTCTGCCACCAAGGGCGGCCTGGGTCGCCTTAGGTCCCGTCCCAGTCATCGTGACGAGGAAAAAGCCGAGGAAGAGTCCGAGAGTGAGGCTGATGATAGCTTCGACCTTGGTGAATTCTTGATAGGCGGTCACCTGGAACGCCGTACAACCGCTGGTGAACCTGCCAAGAAGGTCGGCGTTGTCTTCAAGAACCTCACCGTACAAGGCGTGGAGACCGGTGCCACCTTCGTACGCACTCTCCCCCATGCTGTGATTGGCACTTTCGGCCCGGATCTGTATAACCTTGTCTGTCAGTTTGTACCACAGCTGCGGTTCGGCAAGAAGCCTCCCGTTCGCGATTTAATCCATGATTTCAGCGGTGCCGTGCGCGAGGGTGAGATGATGCTGGTGCTGGGTCGACCCGGTGCTGGATGTACCACTTTCCTCAAGGCGATTGCAAACGACCGTGCCGCTTTTGCTGGTGTTCATGGTGAAGTCAGCTATGGTGGTCTCTCGTCCGAGGACCAGAACATGCGCTTCCGTGGAGAAGTTAACTACAACCCCGAAGATGATCAGCACTTCCCTCCCTCACTGTCTGGCAGACTCTCAAGTTCTCATTGATCAATAAGACCCGCAAGCATGATCGCGAAAGCATCCCCGTCATCATCGATGCCTTGCTGAAAATGTTCGGCATCAGCCATACCAAAAACACCTTGGTTGGCAACGAATATGTTCGCGGTGTCTCGGGAGGTGAGCGCAAGCGTGTGAGTATCGCTGAGACTCTGGCCACCAAGTCTTCGGTCGTCTGCTGGGATAACTCGACTCGTGGTCTGGATGCCAGTACCGCACTGGACTATGCAAAGTCCCTCCGTATCATGACCGACATTAGCAAGCGCACCACATTCGTCACATTATACCAAGCTGGCGAGAGTATCTATGAGCTCATGGACAAAGTCATGGTCATTGATGAAGGTCGCATGCTCTACCAAGGCCCGGCAAACGAAGCACGTCAATACTTCATCGACCTAGGCTTCTACTGCCCTCCGCAATCCACCACAGCAGACTTCTTGACTTCGCTCTGTGACCCCAATGCCCGCCAATTCCAGCCCGGCCGTGAAGCATCCACTCCCAAGACGGCCGAGGAATTAGAAACCACTTTCAAGAACCATCAAGCTCACAAGCGCATCTGGGAGGATGTCTATAACTACGAACAGCGCCTCAAGGACACCGAACAGGCAGACACCCGTCGCTTCCAGTCTATGGTCGCGCAGTCCAAGTCCAAGACCGTTTCCAAGAAGTCCCCATACACCGTCTCGCTCGTAAGCCAGGTCATGGCCTGTGTGCAGCGCGAGTTCTGGTTGCTTTGGGGCGACAAGACCTCCCTCTACACGAAGTACTTCATCATTATCTCCAATGCTCTCATTGTCTCGTCTTTGTTCTACGGAGAATCTTTGGATACTAGCGGTGCCTTCTCTCGCGGTGGTGCTCTGTTCTTCTCTATTCTGTTCCTTGGCTGGCTACAATTGACCGAGCTGATGCCCGCTGTCACCGGGCGTGGCATCGTCGCTCGTCATAAGGATTACGCCTTCTACCGTCCCTCTGCTGTTTCGATTGCCCGTGTCGTCGTCGATTTCCCAGCGATTTTCTGCATGGTTGTCCCATTCACGATTATTGTCTATTTTATGAGTGGTTTGGATGTTTCAGCTTCCAAGTTCTTTATCTACTTCCTGTTCGTGTACACTACCACCTTTTGTATTACCTCGCTCTACCGGATGTTCGCTGCGCTGTCGCCAACTATCGATGATGCGGTGCGATTTGCTGGTATTGCGCTCAACCTCCTCGTTTTGTATGTTGGCTATGTCATTCCCAAGCAGACGCTTATCAATGACTCCATCTGGTTCGGATGGTTGTTTTATGTCAATCCGCTCTCGTACAGTTATGAGTCCGTCTTGACCAACGAATTCTCTGATCGTGTGATGCAATGCAACCCATCTCAGCTCATCCCTCAGGGTCCCGGGGTGGATCCGAAGTACCAGGGCTGTGCCTTGACTGGATCGACATTAGGCGAGCCCTCTATCACTGGAGCGCAGTACTTGACTGCCAACTTTCAGTTCACGCGCAGCCACCTCTGGCGTAACTTTGGTGTTGTCATTGCCTTCACCGTGCTGTACATCCTGGTGACGGTCGTCGCTGCTGAGGCCCTGTCATTCGTTGGTGGTGGAGGTGGTGCTTTGGTCTTCAAGAAGTCCAACCGATCTACCCACGTTACATCCAAGGCCAACAACGCCAACGATGAAGAAAAGATTGCCAACAAAAATGACAATGCTGCTCTTGCCCGTGGTCAGGCATCTTCTGGCGATGATGCTGCTTTCAACCGTCTGTCTTCAAGTGAGCGCTGCTTCACTTGGCAGAACGTTGAATACACTGTCCCCTATGGCAACGGAACACGCAGGCTTCTCAACAATGTCAATGGATACGCCAAGCCCGGTGTCATGATTGCCTTGATGGGTGCCTCGGGTGCTGGAAAGACGACCTTGCTCAACACCCTGGCCCAGCGGCAGAAGATGGGTGTGATAGGTGGTGAGATGCTCGTCGATGGCCACAAGCTGGGCCCCGATTTCCAGCGTGGCACAGGCTTCTGTGAGCAGATGGATCTGCACGACAACACTTCGACCATCCGCGAGGCGTTCGAGTTCTCTGCCATCCTCCGACAGCCCCGCGATGTCCCGCACCAGGAGAAGATTGACTATGTCGACCGGATCATCAACCTCCTCGAACTTGAGGATATCCAAGATGCGATCATCGGCTCCCTCAACGTCGAACAAAAGAAGCGCGTTACCATTGGTGTCGAACTCGCAGCCAAGCCCAGTCTTCTGTTGTTCTTGGATGAGCCCACCTCTGGTCTCGACAGCCAGGCCGCATTCTCAATTGTTCGTTTCCTCAAGAAACTCTCTCAAGCCGGCCAGGCCATCGTCTGCACAATCCACCAGCCCTCATCCATGCTCATCCAGCAATTCGACATGATTCTTGCCCTCAACCCCGGTGGTAACACCTTCTACTTCGGCCCCGTCGGCCAAGACGGCGCCTCCGTAATCAAGTACTTCGGTGACCGCGGCTTTGTCTGCCCACCCTCCAAAAACGTCGCCGAATTCATCCTCGAAACAGCGGCAAAAGCAACCCACCGTAACGGCAAACAAGTCGACTGGAACGAAGAATGGCGCAACTCCGACGAGAACCGCGAAATGCTTGCTGAAATCGACCGCATCCGCGCAGAACGAAGCAAAGTCCCCATCGAGGAATCCGGTCCGCAATACGAATTCGCCGCATCGGCCTCAACCCAAACCGTGCAGCTCACCAAACGTCTCTTCAGAAACTACTGGCGTGATCCCTCTTACTACTACAGCAAACTCTTCGTCTCCGTCATCATCGGCATCTTCAACGGCTTCACCTTCTGGATGCTCCCCAACACCGTAGCCTCAATGCAAAACCGCATGTTCTCCGTCTTCCTCGTCATCCTCATCCCCCCAATCGTCCTCAACTCCATCGTGCCCAAATTCTACCTCAACCGCGCCCTCTGGGAAGCCCGCGAATACCCCTCCCGCATCTACGGCTGGGTCGCCTTCTGCACGGCAAACGTCGTCTGCGAAATCCCCGCCGCCATAATCTCCGCCCTAATCTACTGGCTGCTCTGGTACTACCCCGTCGGCTTCCCCACCGACTCCGCAACAGCAGGCTACGTCTTCCTCATGACCATGCTCTTCTTCCTCTTCCAAGCCTCCTGGGGCCAATGGATCTGCGCCTTCGCCCCATCTTTCACCGTCATCTCCAACGTCCTCCCCTTCTTCTTCGTCATGGTCAACCTCTTCAACGGCATCGTCCGTCCCTACGCCGATTACCCCGTCTTCTGGAAATACTGGATGTACTACGTCAACCCAGTGACCTGGTGGTTCCGCGGCGTCCTCTCCTCCGTCCTCCCGAATACCAGGGTCGAATGCACTTCCCTCGAAGCTACGCATTTCAACCCCCCACCTGGCCAGACTTGTACATCGTACGCGGGTGACTTCGTCACTTCCATCGCCAAGGCGGGATACCTCGTTAACCCGGATGCCACGGCTGACTGCCAGTACTGTCCGTATACCGACGGAGAGCAGTATATGGCGAATTTGAATGTCCATGTTGGTGACAAGTGGCGCTGTTTTGGAATCTTCTTGGCTTTTGTTATTATCAACTGGGCTTTGGTTTATTTCTTCATTTACACGGTTCGGGTTAGAGGCTGGAGCTTTGGAATTGGCTCGTTGTTTGGTGTTGCTGGTTTGCTGGTTGATCGTGTTAAGGGATTGTTTAAGGGGAAGAGTGAGAGTGATTAAGAGATGGTGATATGTGTTTTTTTGGTTTTTAACTGTTTTCCTGTGATGTTAATATGCATTTACATGGAGCGTGTCTCTTTTTTTCTGGGTGGTAATTCGATAGATTAGAGCATGCCAGGCTCAAAAGTACTGTCACAGTTGCATTCTGGTTTCTTATACGGAGTACATCTAGTGTTTTGAGGAGGTTTTGTTCTGCTTTCACTTAGATGTAATACAAGACATTCATTGATGAAATTCATTAAACTCCATAACTTCCAGTCATCTCCCTTCCACTGAAACAAGTAGATCAAGACGATGCCAGGCGCCAGACGTGTGGTCCTGCCGCCACACATACTCAAAACAAAGATGGCAGTGAAAATCAGGACTCTCACTGGACATTGTAGACATGGATCATACTAAAGCCTAAATTCAGGACTGGAGCCTGAGCTCAAGTCGCAAGATAGATACTCAACCCAGCTTTAAGCACCATAGAAGAAAGGCTTCCGCTCTTGCGACAGCGGAACAGCAGGCAATCTCATCGGGATGGGAATTGTATCTGCGAAAACCTCGGCGGCGAGAGGTGCAGATTGAGTCGAGCACTCCGTGTCTGATTCCTTCTTCTTCTCCTTCTGTCGGTCGCTGCCTGTGATCTTCTCTCTGATGATAGGCACGATGACACCGCATTCCCAGTTGCGGCAGTTCATCTTCATTTGCTTCGTAGTTGTGTCCTTGACGAGTCGACCCCTGTTTTGTGTTAGATCTGCTCTTGTGGTGATGGGAATACACATACCATGCACTCTCTGATAAATTGGCACTACCCACATAAGCCCATCCTTGGCATTCTTTGTTGTCGGGCATATCGATCGGGGTGGTAGGATGGACGTAGAGGAGCTTTAGATCAGAAGGAATATGTTTTAGCCTAGCATCCATATACATAACCATTCAAAGAATAATCACCTTGTTATGCATCAGGACTCCGCGCTCACTGACGCAGTCTCTCATGACACTCCGTGGGAATTGGGGATTTGCCCACCAGCTTGGGTTAAAACAAATCGTGCCCGCAGTGTTGTCTGGATTGGCATGTGCTTCCCGTACGGTCTGACCCGAAGGAAAGTACACTCTGAAGCGGTCCAGACATTCCTTATTGTATGTATCTGCGGGATGTGACTGGCCTTTGACCTTTTTGCGTGAAGTTCGGAGTTCGTAGTCCAGCAAAGCGTTGTCACCTAGTGTATTAGAATTAGTTAGATGGGTTGATAGAATTGCCATCATTGGGTTATGGTGCATACCTTTGCAAGCGAGGTAGATAGAGCGGAGGAACTGTGTGTTTAGACTCCCCATTGATGAAGCCTAGTTATCATTGTCAGTATAAACACCATTTCGATATTGAATGATTTCGAGAAACTCACAACATAATCAATATTGAGAGGTGAGTTTGTCTCCAAGCCAAGGGTTTTGATAGCCTGGCCCAAACCACTGAACCCAGTCCGGGGCCATTTGTCCCCGACATTAGCACCGCCACTATATAATTAGCAAATGAACATCTCCTAGCCACGACAGGAGACCCTGTACATACACGGTGTGAACAAATGCATAACGTCTTGTCTCGCTGAAGTCGAACTCATCGAGCTTCTTGATGATATTACGATGCAGATCAGAGGCGCGGAGGAAATAGACTAGCTCCTCGTAGAACGGAGTCTTTCCAGCGTCAGGTGAATTTGTTTTAGGAAGGTCGATCAGGAACACGGTCTGCATATTGTCAGAAAACGCCACCAACATTAGCAATTTGCTCTGTCACGTACATTCTCCATAAGCCGATCTTCACCCCAGTCAGTCCTAGTGAGGTTCGCAGTTGGGACTGCAATTCGGAGATACTCGGCGTGGAAGAGTAGTGTCAACTTCGAGTGCATACAAAACACCTGAGGCTCAATGGGTGGGAAACACATCCGCAAGTTTTTCATCGGCGCGGCATCTCGGCGGTACGACTCTTGCTATAAACTGTATTAGCACATGTAAATCAAAGCGAATCCATCATATGGAAATCCATACTGTCTCTTGATCATTTGCTTGCATGATCAATAAAATCCGCGAGGATTGAGTGTTGATCTTAGTAAAGAACCACTCCAGGTCCCAGAGGAACGAGCTGAAGACACCCAACTCCAAGTCATCTCGCTGAATCACTTCTTCAATGGTGATGTCATTGCCTGAACGAGGAAATCCAGCGATAGCAGTCTTCTTCACAGCTCCAAGAGGCCACTGAGGGACGGAGCGGGATGTCGGCCGGATACTGACACTCGAGGCGTTCGAGGAAACCTGGCGACAAACTTCGGAAGGCGGCACAGGCTCTGCCTGGGGGAAAGATGGTCTTTTGTCGAGTGGAGGGACAGGTCGACGAATAAGAACAGGCTCAGTTCTGGGGAGTTTGCGACTGGGCTGGACGGATGGTGTCGCCGCGGTGTCCTCGAGCTTACGCTTGGCGTTTCGCGCAATACGCTCGTCTTCCATTTGCTTCCGATTCATACTCGAAAGCACACCACATGAAACAGGTGCATCAAGAGATGCAGGTGCAGAAATCAGATTCCCTGGTCTAGCATTTTCGCCAGACTCCATGGACATAGCCAGAGCACGTTGCAACTGCTCATCGTCGTTGCCGTCCTCAGTTTCCGAGCTGACTACAGACTTGGACTTGGGGAATACCTGTATAATATCTGAATCATCGTCTGACTCCTTGGTCAAGTCCACAAAATCATTTTGAGCGACGCGGGACGAGGAAGCATTCGCTGGCTGACTGGGCATCTCTCGACGAGAAGCCTCAATGGCGGCGAGAAACTCAGGATCCCAAGGGTCGCTGTCCATTTTGGAAGATTAAAAAAGAACAATACAGTGTGATAAAGTAATAGATGCCGGAAGACACGGATCGGAGAATGGGGAAGTGTGATGAAAGAAGATGAGGTAGGGTTTGATATTTGGAGTATGAGACCTAGACAAGATCCTTGACCGCAACCACCCCAGAGGTTAGGAACAAGAATGTATGCACGAGTTGGGATAATAAGCACCCACAGAGCACTCAGAAGACTGCTTGTGATTGTCTAAAGATTCTTTTTACGTTCTATGTGCCGTCTCCATGTTGAACCCCTGTTTGTCAACACAGCACACGTGACTGGCCATCGCGCAATATAAAACGCATATCCGCCGCTAATTGTCCTCTTTGTGCGCATTCTACGCCCGTTTTTGCTGTTGAAGATACAGAGGTATGATACAGCATGTAGTGCTCAACAATGGATTCAAATGATACTAGAAATAGGATCTCTCATGGAAGGTGTAAAATTGTCTAAAGATCTAAATAATATCTGCTTTTTCCTGCTATTTATGCCCCTTTCTGTGCCGAGGATCGGGGTCCTCTTTTAGCCCACAAAGTGAGCTTTTCGGCAGAAAAGACAAAAGAGGCGTAGCGTTGCTAATCCTGCGGATAAGAGAATCATACCTTAGGCATGGTTCTCAACATTTGCGGCATCTAATGCATTATACATATCAGGTAACGAGTGTTCTGTCCAAAAATGCTTCTAGACAGAGGCTAGAAACCATCTAGATCTTTTGCTTTGCGTTGGTGGTTGGAAAATGTGGCAAAAGCGAACTATATCATACATTGCATGTACAATACTCCGGAGCAGAAAACACCGTTGAGCAGCTTTCAAAGCAGTCGGGTTTGATTTTTTCAAAAGCAGACATATGATTCTGTTGCACCGTAAGGCAAGGAAAGCCATGTTCACCCCAAAAGACACCAAGATAAACCGTATGTCTGCAATTCAACTGACAACGGCTAATAACTCGATAACCAAGGAAATAACATCTAATATAGCTGAAATCTCAGCCCGGTATATGCACAGGTAGCCACAGAAGAAGTAGCTTAATATTTGGTAGAGCTGCAGCCAGAAGCCCCAGCGCTCCGTGAGGTAAAATGTCTGCGAGAAATCGATGCCTGGTGTAAGGCCGACGACGACAACACGTACTTCGCCCCAAAATGAGACTGATCTCATTAATTTTTCATTCACCTTGCACCGTCACTGGCCATCAGCAACGATGGCTAATCAACGTCTGCCCCCTTGGCTGAGAAGGCTTTTTCGATTCTTGCACCCGCGGCTCCGCCACCGCTCAACCAGATCCAGCGAGGCAGAGGCTGTGGTCCCAGCGCCTAGAGAGGCGGCCAACGAAGCGCCCGACGAAGTGCTGCCTATCTGGTAAGTCCAGCCGACTCATGAAAACATTTTCATTAAAAAGCTTTGTGGGCTAATTGATCTGACTGAAACCCAGTTTTGACATCCCAATCCACTATGTCTTCCCCATGCTTGGTGTCCTCTCCAAGGGCATCGTATCGGCGCCGTTTGGCAAACGCTGGGAGTCGTTCGAGGAGAGATTTCAGCAATTCATGGCAGACACCAACAGCCCAATGGAATCGGACCGGACCAACCCATGCCGTCTGATGTGGCTGCCGATCGAGATCCGTGCAAAGATATGGAAGTATGTATTCGATGCAAACGATGACGTGCTGATCTTGGATAAGTCCGGTATCACTCCGAAGGTCAAATATCCCATGCGGCTTGTCTCGTGCTTTTGGGCCGAAGAGACTTGGGCTGCATACATCAATGCACTGGCGACTCGTACGTTGGTGGTGTTAGACTACCCTGAGCATGGATACCTTGAGATGCCTTGCCCCATCTTCGCCGACCTGGAAGAAGTCCGAATCCGAGAAGTCAAGTTCGTGCTAGGCAACAAAAACGTGTCCAAAGCAGAGATCCAAATCCGCGAGTTTATCACCTTCATGTTAGTACACCGCGACTTGGGTCGTTTCACCGTTCGCACGGTTATTCTCGAATTCAAGGAAAACTGGGTCACAACTTTCTTTCATGAGCTTCACATCGCCGACCTGTTGACTTGTGCATTCTATGCAATTGAGAAACTCCAGATCCATGGATTGATCACGGCAACGAGGGTGGGCCGTCTTCTGCACAGAATCAAGAGGGCAGGTTAGGCTAGTTTTCTGTGGCAAATTGCAATCCTTCTCTAGTCAGGTCTTCGGATCTAGCTTTAGAGGCATTGCAAAACAAGATCGACAATAGCAAAGAATGAATCTCTCTCCTCTCCAATTTTCCCGAGTCCAAGGCCAACCAGCAGTAGTCTCCTTTCAGTTGGTGTTTTCATTGCAATGGCTGTAGCAATTTGACGAGCAAGTAGCTGACCAGTTGTGTCTTGCCCAGAGGAATAGCCTCCCAACAGTGTCGTGGTCGTCAATGTTTTAAGGGGCAGCAGAGCATCATCTCCCTCGGAGAGTGTGTGCATCCCTTCAGTTCCTGGATTCTGATTTTCCATCGGTACGTGCAACTATAAACCATTAGCAATGTTTAATTCAGCTACATTTCAAACTTACCCAATGCGCCAGTCGTCCTGCTTGCGATATTGTGACCATGATTTTATCGCTGAAGCTCATTATCACAACATCTGTTTGTACGCCATTGACTAGCCCCGCAACCTGTTTAGTGATGGCAGGAAATGGAAGATTGAGGGAGTCCTGCAGAGAACTGGTATCGAATGGTGCAGCCATGGCAGTTTAGGTTTTGATTTGGGCCTGGGATATCGATGACAGACAGAAGAAGAAGAAGAAGACTACAGTCCAACTACTCAAGAGGCATCGGAGATGTTCTTCTGTTTGGCGGGGAGATAACGCTAACTACACCGCCTCGTGATGATCCAGCAATATCCGTCACCGCCTTTATTTTTTTCGGAGACGAAACAGTCGAATCGCAGAGCTTGCATACTTCGCCAATTATCTTGATCTTTCATAGTTGGAGTGGCTGTGATAATACAAGATGCCGCCCAAATTTACACCACGCCTGCGAAAGCAGAGACACCGGCAAAACCCAGCCGGCGAGTCGGCCGATACCAATGTCGCACAGCTCCAGCCCGTCTCTAAGGATGAGAAAGAGTTACGACGACAGAAGTTGCAGCAAGAGTTACGAGGGCAGAACCCTCAGATGTCTTCTAAGAAGCAAAAGCGCTTAGATAAATACATTGTATGTCATTAGCCCCAATTTACGAAAGTCACGGCTCTGACATTCCCCACAGGAAAACAAACTCAAGAAGGAAGAAAATCTTGAATTGCTGAAGAAGTTAGCTCAATCATCCGTCGACACCTCCTCTTTGCAGAGTTCTAGGGATCTTTTCAAGCGCAAAAGACAGATTGACGAAGTATCTGCACCGGTAGCCGATACCACATCGAAACATAATGCTTCCGCAGACATCTCAGGATACGATACCGACGATTCAGATATTCACCTTAAAGTGTCTGATCCCGCGACAGACCCTAATGCAGAAAAGTTACAAGAGGAGGCAGCTGCTGGAAGTGGATTGAAGCGACCACTGGAGCTAGGAGCGGATGGATTCCCTGTTCTGAAGAAGCGCAAGCGCGCCCCGAAGAAGAAACCCGCGCCCAAACCGAAACCCGTTAAAGCAGAGGTTGCATGGGAGGGCTTTGATTCTGACGAGGAGGATGAGGACGAAGATGAAGACGATGAAAACGAGGACGATGAGTCTATTAAGTCCGGAAGTGATATTGAAGAGGGCTCTGAAGATGAAGATACTTCGTCCGAGGGTAGCTCTGACGACGAGGATGAGGAAGACTCTGAAGAATCGGAAGATAGCGATGCGATGGATGACGATACTCCAAAGCTCACGACTCGCCAGTCAGCCTTCAAATCCTGGGCAGTGCAGCAAATCAACGAAGTCGCAGGCTTCAAACCGACCGAGGTAGCCGTGACCGAGGAAGAGCAAGTGTTCGATCCGTCCAAGTTGCCTGCAAGTCACAACACCATTCAAGAAGAGCCCCTGCCTCGAGAGCTTCAAGTGACCCAGGGTGATCCCAATCGCAAAGCATACAGCGTCGCAGTTCATCGCTCGGAGGAAATCCAAACTGCCCGTCTTGGACTTCCAGTCGTTGGCGAGGAGCAGAAAATTATGGAAGCAATTCACAACAACTCGGTTGTGGTTATTTGGGGTGCTACTGGTAGCGGAAAGACAACCCAGCTTCCCCAATTCCTTTTCGAATCCGGCTTCGGCTCCCCAGGAAGCCCTAACCCGGGTCTAATTGGTGTCACCCAGCCACGTCGAGTTGCCGCCGTGAGTATGGCAAATCGTGTTTCTCAGGAATTGGGTGAACACGCCGACAAGGTTTCGTATCAAATTCGATTCGAATCTACAGCGTCGAAGAAGACGGCCATTAAGTTCATGACTGATGGTATTCTTCTGCGAGAGATTGCAGATGACTTTGCGCTTCGTAAATACTCTATCATTCTTATTGATGAGGCCCACGAACGCAGTGTAAACACTGATATCCTCATCGGAATGGTCAGCCGTATTGTCGGCCTGCGCAAGTCTTTGAGCGAGGAGGACCCATCTGTCAAGCCTTTGAAGGTCGTCATCATGTCAGCCACTCTCCGCATCTCGGATTTCACCGAAAACCCAAGTCTTTTCCGCGATGGCGCACCTCCCTTGGTCCAAGCCGAGGGTCGCCAGTATCCTGTTGCAATCCATTTCTCCCGCCGCACACAGCGTGATTACGTTGAAGATGCCTTCCGCAAGGTTTCGCGCGGACATCGCAAACTGCCTGCTGGTGGAATGCTTGTGTTCCTGACTGGACAAAACGAGATTCGTCAACTTTCTAAGCGATTGAAGCAGGCATTCAAGCCCACCCAGCGGGAAGACACAACACTGGCAAAGGTGCAACTCTCAGCTACCGAAGCACCCCTAGAGGCAGAGGATCTCGAGCTAGGTGGCACCGAAATGGAAAACCCAGGCCATGATGATTACGACAGCGACCTGGAGATTACCGGACTAGATGATGCAGAAGAAGATGAAGGCTTCGAGCTAGCTGAAGGTGAAGAGGCCATGGACTCCTCAACTCGCGTTCATGTCTTGCCTTTGTACTCGCAACTTCCTACGAAAGAACAGATGAAGGTGTTTGAGGCACCACCAGAGAACTCCCGCTTGATCATCCTCGCCACTAACGTCGCCGAAACATCTCTTACTATCCCCGGTATTAAATATGTCTTTGACTGCGGTCGAGCCAAGGAAAAGCAATTCGATCTCTTCACTGGAGTCCAAAGCTTCCAGGTTGGCTGGATCAGCAAGGCCAGTGCAAACCAGAGAGCTGGTCGAGCCGGTCGAACAGGACCAGGTCACTGTTACCGGATGTACTCGTCTGCTGTCTACGAAGGCGAGTTTGCCGAGTACACTGAACCGGAAATCATGCGCACCCCCATCGAAGGCGTTGTCCTCCAGATGAAGAGCATGGGTCTCCACAATGTGATCAATTTCCCATTCCCCACACCTCCAAGCCGCCAAGGTCTCGCAAAGGCAGAGAAGCTCCTCAAGAACCTCGGCGCCCTCTCAGCCGACGGCCAGGTAACGCAGATCGGTCGTCGTCTCTCAACATATCCCCTCTCCCCTCGATTCAGTAAAATGCTTCACATCGGCCACCAGCACGGTTGCATGCCCTACGTGATCGCCCTGGTCGCCGCACTAGCAGTCGGAGACCTCTTCGTCCCAGAGAACCAACTCGACCCGAACAACCCCATGCCATCTGCGTCGAAGAAGCCAGTCGATGACGACAGCGACAGTGACGTTGACACTCGCAAGGTCTACACAAACGCAGACCGCCTCGAGGACACACAGCGTGAGCAACGCGCCAAGGCGCACGCCCGTGCCCACCGTCTCTTCAGCAAGCACGATGATACCTCCGATGCGCTGAAATACCTCTCTGCAATCTGTGCCTACGGCTACGCTGCCGACGGCGATGCTTTCAGTGAACAAATGTTCCTCCGTGCGAAGGCCTTCAAAGAAGCAACGCAGCTTCGCCGTCAATTGACTGACATCGTCCGGTCAAACAACCCGGGTCTGGTCTCTCCCTACGAAGCCCGTCTCCCCGAGCCCACAACTAAGCAAATCAAGGCTCTGAAGCAAATCGTCACTGCTGGCTTCATCGACAACGTCGCTATCCGCGCGGACCTTGCTCCAGTTCCGCCTGAGAACCCGCGCGCTCCTCGTCGCGCCATCGACGTCCCCTATTTGACCCTCTTCCGCTCTCGTGATGGAAAGGGCCAGGATCTGGAGGAGCGCGCTGTCTACGTACACCCGTCTTCGTTGCTCGCCAAGCTCTCACCGAAGGAAATGCCCCAATACATCACATACTCGCATTTGCAGCAGTCTTCTGCTTCGCTGGTCACTGACCAGGTGCCCAAGATCAGAATGTTCCCGCTGGTTGCACCCAGTGGGCTGCAGCTCTCGGCTATTGCACACGATACGCCGCTTATTGAGTATGGCAAGCCCATTGGTAAGGCGGAGGCCATTGATGGTATCCCACCGCGCAGGTCCTGCTGGGTTATTCCTCAGTTGGTCGGTGATGCGGGAAGTACGGGGTGGCCGATGCCTGCTAAGAAGGTCTTGCAGAAGAAGGATCCCAAGGATGGATGGGTTATTGAAAAGTTTGTGGCATAAGCTGCATGGCTGTAGATGTTGGTTTTGGTGTATTATAGATGAGATCATGATATCCAATGTTATTTTGTTAAGCTTGCATTGCCCGATGATTGGACTACATAGCACACAGTAGAGAGAAGAAAGGAAAGAGACATGTGTGTTTGTCCTTACGCATTCATAGTGCCTCACTTGGCAGCTCTATGTTTGGCTCGTCTCGTGTGTCTCTCACTTCCTCCTCTTCCATCCCCTTCGTCAAACAAATATCCCAACCTTCTTTCTGTTTTATTCCTATCGCCAAGATGGCTAAGCGCAAGGCTGTAAGTCCATTATTCTCCCTTCTACCGGATGCATCTCCCTTGAGCTTTGATGTCCCAAGCTTTGCTATCCTACTGGCCATGATGGGAACAATGGGACACACAATGAGACACACACACACACAAGCTAACCATGAACTCACCTAGACCTGGTGCCACTGGTGCCGGATCCCCGGCCACAAGCAAGATGCATGCCGTCATTATCAGGCGTATTGCGTGGGTGTCAGACATGCCATCGAGGCTACCACCCGCCCTGCTCGCCGAGTAAGTGGGCATATCAATCATCCCCACTACTCACTTCTTCATGCTGACCTACTACTTCATCAAGCAGAACAATCGCACCCCACACCCATCTTCAGAGGAAGGTCCAAGCCAGAAGAAGGCTCGCTATGGCAACGACAACAAGCACGGTAAGTCTTCCGATCCCACGATCTACTGACTGATGGATCAGTGGATTATACATAAACATATTGAGCTATACGCTAACACGATACTTAGATGCAGATGCTTCTGCCACCATGCCTGCGGTGGACCGCGAGGCGCGTACAGGTGATTAATGCCTCGAGTTACCTCGATTGCTGGCTAACACTAATATATGTCACCCAGGCCTTGCACCATCCCCTCCAGCCCGTGACGACCCTCTACCTGCCCGTCCTGTCTCTCTGTTGCAATCCTCCCACGCCAAAGTCGACCATGATGTGTCCATGACCCCCTTCGCCGGCTCCCCCGTCGGTAAGCAATGATCTTTCCAATTCCCCCTTCTATGTGAACATCCTAAGTGCTACGATATCATTGTTCACATGGCTCTGTTACCTTGAGAGCAATACATCTGGCATATATCCATGTTGGAACCATGCAGATATAGCTCGAAAGTCCTATCAAACTATCTCAAGGCCTAATTCAGAACACAAGCTAACTCTCAAACAATAATAGACACGGTGCACCGCTCAGGCAATCAGCGCACTCCCACTCCAGATGCCGAGCTATTTGCGAGTCTCGGACCACTGAGCGAGGCCGAACGACAGCTTATGCAGAGAACAATCCTCGAATACAGATGGAGATCGAGACCCATGCAGGCCTCGAGCAATGGAAGCCAGATCAAGAACGAACGAGCTCGGTCTTCCGGCCGGGTTTATTCACTCCTCAATCCCAAGCTGGAGGACAATTGAGGGCCTTTGACCTTTCTATCTTGATCTCTTTCGGATTTGTCTGAGTATTTTTCACTCGGTGCTTTGGCCGGGTTGGTTTTCATCAATATCACTACTTATGGGATTTGCAACTATTACCTTGGTGTGTAGATCATGGATATGTAGCTTGTAGGTTCATTTTAGGTGTATTCTTGCTCTATATTTTTGATATAATAACGAGGATATATTCCTTTGTATTGAAATATCAAAGTAGATGGTGTCTATCAACAACCCTAGACTAACAATTACTATATTCACAGTACGTCCTTCTATACTTGTAGTAGAAGGTACTATGAGCCACCCCTACGCTAGATTATTATGAGATCATTACATCCAATAGTCCATTTAAGCCCGCATTCCCTGAAGATAACTAGATAGCATAGCATGAACAGGACAAAAAGAGAAAAGAAACATGTTAATGCAACCCTAATTCCATAGTCATTCCGCGCCCAAACACCAACCCAAGAACAAAACACTATTCACCAAACCAAAAACAAAATCTAATCCCTCCTTCTCTCCCGATCCCTCGAACTAGAAATCTCCCCCGTCTCCCGATCCTCCCTCAACCCAAAAGCCCTCCTCAACCTCTCCGTCTCCTCAATCTTCGCCTCCGCAAGCTCATGGACCTGATAAGACTTCAAATTCCTTCTATCCCGACCACCAGGAAGAGACTTATTAAACGCCTCTCCACGCTGAACCTCCTCCTCAAGCTCCTTCAGCAACAACTGGCGCAGAACACCACACCGCTCATCAATCTCTTCTTCGCTGAGAACTTTCTCTTCTTCGTCGGTCTTGGCATTCTTCTTCTTTGCTTCTTCCTCGATCCGCTCGTTCTCTTCTTCCAGTCGCTCCCGCTCTTCCATTACTTTCACCTCGATCGCGCGCTTGCGGTCGTGGTCGAGGATCTGCTTGTCCGGGACGCGCTGCTTGAAGGGCCGGTCCATGGGACCGCTGCCGTTTGCGCCGCTGACGGGCGGGTAGGGTGCGCCGTAGCCTGTGTTGCGGACTTTTAGGAGGGCGGAGTTGCGCTGGACGTAGCCTGATGTGCCACTGCCGCGCGGGGTGGTGAGGCCGACGTTGGAGGACATTTTGGTGGGTGGGTTTTAGGTGGGGGATTGATTGGTGGGGAGGAATTTGCGTGGAGTGAAATTTGTGGGAGTAGTCGTAGGGAGTGGTTATGGTGGTGATTATAGGTTGTGTTTGGCGGGATGTGTAGGTCGGAGCTGGTTTGGATGTCGGGCTGGGGTATGTGGGTCCCTTCCAAGCTCGGTTGAAGATTTGAGTGAGAATGAATGCGTGGGCTGTCAGCGTGGGTTGGTATCCGTCCAGGTATAGAGGGAATGCTGATCAGCTTGTCAAGGTGGAAGTGTAGATGGCGTCTGCTCTGTTGGATCAAAATGCGCCGTCTTATCGGCCATCACGGGACCGATGTCACGTGTGATATGAACGACCTCGATGTTTAGTTCTCATCTCTGTCACAAGCTCGCCAGTTGGAGATACAGGAACTACTAGCGTATAAAATAGTTTTTACTTATACGACTGATGGTGGAGTCAAGTCATAATGCATTGATAATACAGCCACTAGCAAGAATAATAAAAGAAATCCCATGAGAGAGAAAGTATCAACACGGCAGCGCAACCCAGAGAACAAGCAACTCAACACTGACTAGCTGACATCTGGAAGAAGTCAGGAGTACCAGTGGAATCGCCCATGTTGGCCGAGAAACAAAGAATTCAATCGGAAACACCTTTGACAGGAACACCTTGATGCGGAAGAAAAATCCGACACGTAGCCCAGAAGATCGGGAATCATAGCCACGGTTTGGGGCATGTCTTTGAACGGTCGGCGAGAGCGAAAAGAGAAGAAAATTTTGTGTGCGCATAAATAGAGAAGGTCGTGGTAAGTGGTTTTAGGTAGATCATGCAGATGCCATGGCACAAGGTGGGTGCTGTGCAAAGTGAGTTGATTCTTTTTCTCGTATTTTCTGCTGGATCCGGATGCGAATGTAGAAGATTCCGAGACTCCATGGTGTAGCATGTGCGCTCAGTTTCATGAAGAGCTATATCAGATCCGTTCTCCACTCCGAGCCGGTCGCAGACTTTTTCCCCCTAAACATCCGCCATTGACCCTCGTTAAAAGTAAAAAAAAGATAAGTGTGAAAGGAAGACAGGAAAGACAAAAACGCCATAGCCGTATCGATTCTCGGACCTGGATCTCATAGCGAGAAGCATTGACAATGATTCACAAAGACAATCGTAAAAATAAATGAACATGTCAAAAAGAAACAAGAACAAATAAAAAGTAAGATAGGAGATAAGTTGGCGGTCCGAGATCGAGATTGAGATCAACACACAAGAAAGAAATAGAAAAAATAAAGACATTCCAGGCCCTCGTTGTTGCGCCAAAGCCATGGTTAAGTTGGGGGGAATCACATAGACGACGGTGTCATATATCCCGCCGGATCCCCTGTATGTATACGCCCCATATTAGATAGAGAACAAGAAGTCACTCAGCTCAGATCAGTTCAGGATTAGAAAGATTATGTTGAGCAAGGTAAAGTGTGCAACGAATTAGTGAGCACTAGTAACATCGACCGGGACGGTAACACCGGTGCTGCCAGTCTCGGGACTTGAAACCGATGTCACTGTGCTCTTGGCGAGACCCTTCGACTCGAGGGTGCTATCAACGGTGGTCTGAGGATCCATTGGGGGAGGGGTGGGGGGAGCGTTGCCCACAAAAGGGGGCCGGGCCTGGTCCATGGGGATAGAGCGCTTGGCGGGCTGCGGGGAAGACTTGTGCGAGTTGGGAGGGGTCGTCGACGAGGTGTGCGACAAAGTGCCAGTGGCGGGAGAGTTGGGGTCGAAGATGAGCTTCTCGATGGCAACAATCTGCTTGCCGTAGCTGAATTTCTTCAGCTGGCTGAGAAGGGGCTTGATCTCATCGATCAGAGCTTCACGCTCTGCGTCCTTCAGTTGGCCGAGCACTTTCTCTGCAGGGGGTTAGTATTGCACGGGGGGCGGGATGACGCGGTTGCACTTACGGATGACATAGTTGCCATACTGGTCGCGCATGAGACCAAGGAGAGGGCTCTCGCCTCTGTCATTCGAGGAGGTAAGGGTGCTGATGATGTGGATGCGCTCATGTTCTGCACCGAACTCAATGCTCTTCTCCACGACATTGCTAGCAAACTTGTGCTTAGAGTATGCAAGGAGCTGGCCCATCACGATGTCGATCATCCGAGTTCGATCCTTCTCATCGCCGTTTTCGATAACGTGCTGGATAACGTAGTTGCCAAACTGATCTGGGATGAGGTTGGAGGTGCAAGCGTGAAGCTCGGCCAGGATGGACTGGCGATCAACCTCCTCGCAGTGCTCCAGCATTCTCTGGATCACGCGGCAACCGTAGGGATGGGCGGCGAGTCTGTTGACCTGACCACGGAAGGCATTGATGATGAACTGCACGTACTGCGAGGGAACACGCTCAATGGCCTTCTGAATGACGTGGTTTCCATTCTGATCACGAACACATTTCAGGACATGGTTTTCCAGTTCCTTCACCATGGCAGCTTGCTGATCGGTGAGAATGTGTTCCAATGCCTTTTGGACAACGCGGCATCCATACATCTGGGTTGATAGAGCCAGGACGTGGCCGCGCATCTGGTTGGCGAGGATCTTCTTCTGAGTTTGGTTGCCATGCTCAAACAACTTTTGCACAACGTAGTTACCGAAGACATCGGTCATCAGCTGAAGGCAGTTGGGCTGGATCTCTCGGAAGACTTGTTCTTTCTCATCACTGTTCGCAGTCTCTAGCTTCTGTTGAATGAAACGAGAGCCGTGCTGATCACCGCTGAACTCGACGACATGGTTGTAGATGTCCTTCAGCTCGTACCGTTTGTTGCCCTTGCTGTTGGCTCTGAATTCCTCGAGAAGCGGGCTGCGAACGACCTGTGTCGGGTCGTGTTCACGCTGAGTACGCGATACCAGTGCAGCAGCACCGAGGCCACTGAGATGGGCAACTGGGTAGAAACCAGAGAGAGCGTTCAAACGCGAAGCCTGGTAAGCTTGGAAGTCGTAAGACGGAGGGTATTGCATTCGCGAGGAACTCTGCGCAAGCTCCTGTTCCTGGAAGGCTCGGAGTCGACGTTCAAACGCCGCTGCCTGGCTCTCATTTCCAGCTGCGTTGCGGAACTGAGCAGAGCCCTCCATGCTTGCATAGATGGGGCTGTCCATGCGGGCATAGTCAGAAGGTGAGATTGACCCAGTGTTGGCGGCTCGGGACCGTGCCTGCTGGTAAGCAATGTGCATTTCCTGGGCTGCCTCAGCAGAGTAACCAAGTGTCTGGTAAGCATCTTCGTTGGTCTGGTACTTCGCCCGGGGGAAGCTGCCATCGAACGAGGCGTGCGGAACAAATGCGGGTCGCTGGACTCCCTGCGACGTGTAGGTGCTTTCATTCAACTGCAGTTTGCTCAATCCAGCGCCCAAGTCCATTGAGCCACCGGCATAGCGCCCGTCGACGCTGGTGTTGTCGGAGTAGAAGGATGGGTGGGAGGAGTGAGCAGGACGTTGGTTCGAGTAAGAAGCTGAGTTGTGAGAGGCGTGTGAAATGGATGTGCGACCCTGGGGAGGCGACATGTGCTCAGAGATACCAGCTGCTAGCGATCCCATGCCCATGGAAGCTCCCATACCATCTGTGCCTGCACCATCGAGAGGGCTTGAGAAGCCAGGCTTCACGGGGAAAGTGCTTCCCACGGGGCTGCCACCGAGGCCAGTAGAGTTCATCTGGCGACGGCTAGCGAAGCCACCAAACGAGATACCCTCAGCGGAAGGTGAGACACCCTCAGACCCAGCATTGAGGTAGGGTCTGTGGCTCGCGGTGGCACCAGCAGTACTGATACTCGTGGTGCGGGGTAGGGCAAAGTAGGAGCTATCATTGGCCTCAGTCAAGGCGGGAGCGCTCCGGTCATTGACACGAGTCTGAATGGGAGATGTAGCCAGACCTCTGTTTTGGAACGAGGGGTTGGTGTTGACGGTGCTCCATGGCAAGTTGGCACGGCCTGACCAGCCGTCGGACTCTGATGTCGACAGCAGGGAACCTGATCCGGACTTTCCTTCGAATCCAGTCTCGCTGATGTGTTGATCTGCACGTTGTGTCAGCGCGGCCCAGGTCACAATTGACGCACAATGACTTACCATCTCCGAATCCTCCCAGGTTAGAGTCCCCCCAGATGTTGTTGTTCCAGCTGGCCTTGCCAGCGCCGAAGCCTTTGCCGACACTGTTACTCTGTGACCCGCGAGTGCGGTCGTTCATCCCGGATGAACTCATGTTGGAAGCCCGATTCGAGCGCACCTAAACGCCTGTTATTATCACCATTCCAGCGAGGTAGATTGTCACGTCCCACTCACGTTGTGTGCGCTGGTTGCATTTGCGGCCATGGTAGAAGCCATTCCAGGTAATATCCGATCGGCGGAACGGTGAATCGATATGTACTCGAACGACGAGCGATTATTTTGTAGGTTCGAAGAGCCGTCTCGTAGTTCTAAATCACAAAGCTGAGACGTTCGCCCGATGCTGTGTCGGCCTGTATTTGCAAACGGGCACCAGGCACCAGGAACGGCGTACACAAAGGAATATAAGACTGCGATGAGATTGCCCCTGGTTAGCGATGTTCAATCCACATTAGGTATCCAATGTTCCATTGGGTGGATGCCAAAGTTCCAGGAAGGAAACTGGAGGTTCCTATGGTCTATCACTATCTCGAGGGAAAGACTCACCAAAGGAGGGGATAGAATGGATGACAGGAAGAAAGAGCGAATGGAAGAGAACGAATGTTGTCTTCAATATTGCTCAGCGGCGAACCCAGGACATGTACAGATTATACAGGAGCCAGAGAGGAAGGGAGACGGAAGGGAGGGAGAGCGACGAGCTCTGAATGGGGCGAGAAATGCTGACTGTGGCAGGAAGGTCGATCGAACCTGACAGCGATAGAAGATGCAAGGTGACAAAGAATTGGAACGATTATTATCACCCTTTCGTTTGCTGCAGGTGTGGGGGGGGGAGGGTTGCAAGTTGGTAGCCGGAGGGTTCAGAATTGAGGAGGCGTCGCGACGTTACTCTGCTCCGTGCATGCTCCAGGAATCTCCCAGTTTGCAGATCGTCCTCATGTGCCTTGTGGAGAGGCGATCCCCGAGAATGGCAATCAGAACGTTGGGGGACCCTAGATTGATTGGCGTAGGCAAGGGGGGATGTCTGAGGGAAGATTTTCGAAGTAACGGGATAAGAGAGGATAGTGGAATGCGACTCGCGCAAAAAAAAAAGAAGAGAATCCGGGATTCAGTGGACCGATGAAAGGGAATGTGGGCGAGAGACAAGGCACGGCATTAATGTAGTCCAGCTGTCACACAGGCGCCAGCATGACAGCCCAAGGGTGGTTTTTTTTTTCTGTGTGGCTGTTCTGGGTGAGGCGGTGATGGAGGGGAAAAAAAGAAGGGGAAAAAAAGAAAAAGAGGAGACGTTCAAATAAAAGGAAACACAATAAGACAGTCACACGAAAGAAAAGAAAAAGAAAAAGAAAAAGAGTCAATTGGATAGATAACAAGAAAGAAAATGATGATTTCTGAGGCAGATCAGCCGCGGTATGGGCGTGTAATACCATGACCCTGTGAACGGGTCGATCCTGGCTGGGACGTGAAGGTACTTAGCTTTGGGTTAGAGTTTGGCCGGGCTGCCAGGTACCTTTTCCGCCAGTTTTTCATGGCGTCGGTAACTGACCGTCACCGCGATCTAACTCCCGGCGCTTCTTTTTTAGCCCCGGCCCCATTCTCGTCTTTATTTTACCTGTCAACACGATGGTCGATTCATTCCATGCTATCATATCCATGATGGCCATGAGATTCATTGCCACTCGATGAATCTGTATTCTTCTACTCTCCCTGATTAGGAAACTACCCAGATCCTCTGCCATGGTCCAGTTCAATACATCAAGTCCATGGGACACCGGAGGGGCCACGCAATAAGGTGAACGAGCAAGCCTGAAGTCACCACAGTATCCAACGCCTCGGCCAAGAGTTCCTATCCACTCCGCTAGAGAACAGCCTGGCATCGGTTGACCATGGAAGACCCCACCGCATACTCCCGACTAGGGCCGGTGCCTGACGAGCAGACGCTTGGAGCTAGAAACAATCAGTAATAAGGGATTCACAGGAAGCTACTAATATGGTGCCAATGGAAGTGCTCGGTGCTTGGCTCATAGCGTGAAGCTTTTTCTGGAGTCCGATCGGGCCCACTACGACCCTCCCACTTGAGCCTTAAACCGCAAGGTACATCCCCTCCTGAGATCCGGTATTACTCCATTGGAATTATCTCGAACTCTCGATCCTCAGACTCATATTCATACTATTCCCTATAATCCTTGTTCCCCTCGCCTACGTCCGGTTAGATCCGAAGCGGAACGTTCTTGAGAGAAAAGAAGCCAAGGACCGCCACCTCTCTAACTGTGGATTACCTGCCATTCCAGGATTGGCAAGGCGTCTCTCGTTGGCTGACTTTCTCCGCCTGGTCAGGAACTCAACGGGGATTTGTTTCGCTCGTGTTTGGGCTTGTCTTTGGAAAAAGAAATGTAGAGTCATATAAGTGTTAATATTATTTCTTTTTGTTGCTGTTCTGTCTGTTCTGTTTTCGCATGGCCGTGCGCTGGAATTGTTATTGCCCAATCCCTTGATGCTCCTAGACCCTTGATGATCCTAAGAGAGTCGGAGACCTGCGAGTCGTGTAATAGTCTCCCATCCAAGTGCGCTTGGCCCTTAAATGACCGAGCGAAAATCAGTCACCAAGACAGACTTGCACCAGGGTACTCCGTAGACTTCCATAGACTCGGCCAGCCCCTTGCTTGGGCACATCGTCATACTGACCCTTGGATCAAGCGAAAGGGAAATTGTGGGATGCACCATCATTTTAGATGACGAGGTCCAGAGACTTTGTACGGTTCAGAAACCCATCGAAACCCAGTCTTAAGCAGAAAAAAAATCGTCATCTGGCAGGTTTCAATGGACATTCCCGTCGCTCTCCACGGGTGTCCGGTCATTGCGGTGTAATCCCTCCCGGGCGAGATTGGAAAAAGTCTGAGACATTGACTGGTCAAGGGAGAGTCATACAGCATGCAGACCGACAAGGATACTCGCCTTGATGTCCTTGCACAGGGGTTGCACAGGTAAAGTGTCAGGTCATTACTCGCAGAAATCTTCCCCAGATCTGACCTTTTGAGGGAGATTGCCTACCTTGCATCCGATTCCCGTAGACTTAGGCACCTTAAGTGGATCCGAGCGTGGTGACCGCTGCTTTGCCAGGCTCTGAGGGGTTCGCGGTGCTTCCAATCCCCGGGCACTGTGTTATTGCTTTTTTCTAAGGCCCTCATTTCTCCGAATTTGTGAGGTGTCGAATTGGTGTGTCGGTGACTCCTGACCGCATTATAAAAGATGCATTACAACAGATGCAGCCTCTGTTCATTCTGGGGACCATCCTCCATACGTTTGAGGCCATGTTGGTCGGTGCAGTCGACAAATTTTGATAGCGACGTGGTGCTGGTTGTGTTCTTGATCTCAAGCGTTATGTCTTGGCAGTGCGAGAGCTGAAGGATCGAGTTCATTTTGGAGGTCGAATTCGTACTGAATCTCTCACACCCAGATTGGGCTATCTAAAGTAGTTGACCGATTTTTGTTATCTGGGAGAATGTCCATGTACTTGTCTCTAGAAGTAGACGTCGCTGTCGATGGAGTATATATATCTACTTAGGCATATAGATCCTGGCATTGACCTCTGTATCAGGATAGGGACAGATAGCCAATGCATCATGAGCCACGGAGCAGAATATTTCTACTTACTCTATGGAACTCCATATATCCTTGTACGGATATCCCGCAAATAAGCACATGCCAAGTAAGCTTCAGGGCATGGAATACCTAGGTGAAGATCCAAACACACAGTACAACGATATACCCTGGTACCTACTTAGGGTAAATGACAAAAGAGTTGTCCTAGCACCACAGAGGAGCTACCTCATAACCAGAGGCCAAAAAAAAAAAAAAAAAAAAAAAAAAAAAAGCATACACCAGGTCAATCTGCGCTAGGAGCGACCATTTTCTTGTGGCACTGGAACCGCGTGCCCTTGTGCTGTGTATTCCCGAGGTGGCGGCCAAAATCGATGCGAAAAAGCATACATGCAGTTAGGCGATACATCCAACATGTGGCAAACAGTGGCTATGAAGGAACTTGCATACCAGTCGTAGGGCTATCCAATGTAGGTACTTTTCTTCCATTGTATATTTACTTGTTGATAGGGCATATTGGCACCGGATCCCGGATTTTTCTGAAGTCAAACTTTATCAGATATTAGCATACGGAGTGCACACCCCATGTATAATGGATACATCATATATTCAAACACTCGAAGTTCAGATATTTTGATCCCAGTCAAATAGTGTATAACGTTGGAACTATCTCGATCAGGTAGGATCTCTGACATCCCCTCTCAAACTGCAATGTCGCATGGTCTGTCTTGCTGTTGACTTGGTTATAACGTACAAACAAGGTAATCTCGGTATGCTGATGACGACCATCAAAATTGACACCGATAAAGGTAGCTAAGATATGATATGACGTAACCCAGCGATTTGAAACCAGAGATCTGCAAATAGCTGAATTCCTTGCTTCTGTTTCCCAACAACAATGGTTGGTGTTTACCTCAGGTGTTAACGTGCACTATGGCTTTGTTTATATAGGGAGTACTAGGTGCATGATATCTATATATGTAATCTCCGCCCCCAGACCGCTAAGACATTCAATTCCCGCTTACTCCGTACATGCAATTTCACCCGCAGATCGACCTCTGGAGAGGGCTAAACCCACATATATATATATAGGTACTATGTACTCCGTACATTCACCTACATATAGAAGTTAGGCTTCGGTTTATGGCACCGTAGATTCAAATTTAAGTGGCTGGCCAGGATCAGCCCCAGCAACAATAGATCATTCCGCCGCCTATTTCCTTGCGATTGCAGGAATTAACCTACATACTACTCCGTACTTGGCTTATGTCTTAGATGTACGGAGTACATCGGTTCACACCTCAGGGGAACCAAAATAAACCGGCATAGTTTGGTGGAGCCACCTGGGCGAGTGAGAGCGCGCCAACGGTCCCCCGAAGGCCCGTTCTCCAGGCACTTCGGGGCTGTGATTGGCCCAGAGTCATGGCCAAGAGGCCCCGGGCAACCCCCAAGGAACAACGCTAAGCTTGGAATGGGTTAGCTCAACACTAACAATAGCAAGCGTTCTAGGCTTGCAGTCCTTCTCCTCTTCCTCCCTTCGTCTCCTTTCTGTTTCCCTTCATTCTCCAAACCCTCTGTCCCCTCCATTCTTTCCCGCAGGTGCCAGCTTCACTCTTTTAGCGGCCTACCTTGCTGTCCATTCTTTCTTTAACCTCCGACCGATCACTCTCATTTTCGACATTTTGACGCCCTTTTCTTCACAACCCCGCCCGTGAGATTTGAACGACAATATACTCTCGCTACTTACTTATCCGGATCGAATCCGCGACACTCTCTGGAATCTAAAATCGCCGATCACATAAACACCGGGTGCATTCCGACCTACAATCGCCAACCTCGGTATCGAATACCCAACTATCGACAACCGCCAACCGCCAACTGCCGAGATGAATAATCTACTTCCCCGCCTTGTTGCTCGCGATGACAATGACAACGAAGGCCTGTCCAATGCAATGATTGACCTGTTGATATCCCTCCTGGTTCTTGTTCTGGTAGCCCTCGCCCTGGTCGGTGGTCTGCTGGTCCTCCGCCGCAAGCGTCAGACCCAGAAAGAAACCTTGCTCCCAGTTTATAATGGAGAATCCCCGTCCAACAGACGTCGCCTTACCATATCCACCAATAAAAAGGACTCCGTGCTTGTCTATGACGAGAAACGCGGTCTTATGGAGCACTCCGATAGCCCTCCACCTAGTCCCGTGCCTGAGATCCGCATCACATTCCCCGAGGAAGAAGATGCGAGTGGAAAACGTACCTCTGGCCGCATGGTCATTGTTCGAATTAGCGACGCCGGCAGCGTCGGCCTCGAACCTTGTCACGAGGAGCTTCCTCCTTACCAAACCACCGACACCGGTCGCTTCCAGTCCTTGGACATTGAGCGGATGGGTGGGCTGAAGGAGAAGGAGGAGCTCAAGACATACTATTAAAGGCGGTGCTCACCAACTCACCCAGTTGATTAAACGCGCATCCCGTCTGCATAGCGGCCCAATCTCGAACTTTCGACGATTTCTCAAAACATGACGAGCACCCTGGCGAATATCTCTTGCTATTCTACCTCTTACATACATACCCTTCTTCCCCCTGATTTGGCCTCCATGGCTTGCACATACGCGCTTCAGTCTTCATTCTGGACTCATCGAAGCACACAATCGGAAAACCTAGTTCCTATACAGGCTCATTGGTATCTCCGCACTGCTCAGATATCTCCGATTGATTCTCGAAGCTAGATCGTTCATAGCGAGGGCCTGCCGATTTTTCTGTATTCGTTTTCTGGCGTTTGATTTCCTTAAGCCTGGTTTCTCATGTCTCTTTCGGCCCTGCCACGTTCCTAGGGCCCGATGTACATGTGATGTTATTCCTGCTTTTGACCTTCTCTTCTTCACACCCCTTTATCGGGGTCCTATTTTATGTTTTATAGGGGCCCCTTTTTATTTTACTTCCCTTCTCATGTGCCTTTCTTCCTGGTACTCGGCAGCTGGATAATGTATGTACTTAGTCCTCCTATGTTTCGCCATTCAAAGGCAAATCTACCATTTATGTTTCTTCACGAATATCTGCTGTGCCCCTTAAATTGCTGTGTGTAGCGCTCCGAACGGAGTAGATTGGGCGTAGGTGTGTACCTGTGGCCGGCCAATGAGAAACGCCGAAGCCGAGTTCCCCAATCCGTAAGTTCCGCGACGTCAGAGAAATTCGCATCTATTTTTTTTTCCATTTAACAGCTTACCCCTGATTGGGCTTTGTATACACCGGCTGCTCCAACAATGTGCATGCTATAGCCTCGTGATTCATAGGGAAGCCGTTCGACAGAGCACAGAAAGGGGTACAGACCCCCCGCAACCTCCGCAGCCTCCGCCGCCCTCCGCAGCGCCTATACTTTTTCTCTCCTGACGTCGATGGGCCTCGTTTGAACCGGCTCAATCGGCTCAACAGCGCTTGCTGCCGGCTTCCCTGCCCCTGAAAATCACGCCACCGTATCGATTGTTCACGGAGCCTCCAGGACCCATTCGGTTTGCAGTAGACAGATTTGCGACCTGTCGCGCCAGCTGTCCTCCGACTCGGCCACGAGACCACACGATACCCCCGCAAAATGGTAGCCACATCATCGACAGGGGCTGTGGGGATTACTCCGAACCCCAATGGGCCCCAGAGCAGTCTTCCAGCTACTACCCCTCGCAGCTCCGCTCAGTCATCTGGCGGACAGTCCAAACAGAAGCAAACTGGTGTGTTGGATGCGAAAAAGGCGCTGGAGCTTGAAGATGAGTTCAAGACCAAGCATCTCGGGGTGATGGGTGTTTTGACATGGATATTGTGAGTGGTTGCTCAAGCCCAGCAGGACTTTGCGGTTTAAGACCCGTCAGATTTAACACGTTAGTGGGGAATTTTCAGCTGACAAGCGATCTATGGCAGCTTATTGCATGTCGCAGGTATATATTTATTTACAAAAGGATTTCTTCTCACGCGCATGGTTCTCGAGAACAAATCATCATGCGACATATTGCCTTTTGAGGACACTTTGGCCCTATCGCACACTACCGCCCTGGGAAGTAAACAGCAGAAGGGTTGCTGGCACGAAAAAACCTTTGATAAGGCCGTTGTTATAATCATTGACGCCCTCCGTTATGACTTTACTGTGCCATTTGCCTCGAAGGGAGAGAGCGACACAGTCCACCTCTTCCACAACAACATCCCGGTCCTCTACGAAACCGCCGTTCAAAACCCCGCCAACGCTTTTCTTCTACCATTCATTGCCGATCCCCCGACAACTACTCTGAATCGCCTGAAAGGTCTAACCACTGGAACCCTGCCTACCTTCCTCGACGCAGGCTCGAACTTCGCCGGAACCGCGATCGACGAGGATAACCTTGTCGCACAGCTGCACAGCGCCGGGAAGAACCTGGTTCACCTCGGCGATGATACATGGCAGGCGCTGTTCCCAGGTTACTTCGATGCCAATCTTACTCATGCATATGATTCATTCAACGTCTGGGACCTGCACACCGTCGACAATGGGGTCACGGAGCATCTCTTCCCGCTCCTCCGACCGGAGAACAGCAAGAAATGGGATGTCATCTTCGGCCACTATCTCGGCGTAGACCATGCGGGCCATCGTTATGGTCCTAACCATGCTGCGATGGCATCTAAACTTCAAGAAATGGACCGCATCATTCGCGATATCATTGCCGCTCTCGATGATAAGACCCTCCTGGTCGTCATGGGCGACCACGGGATGGACGTCAAGGGTGATCACGGCGGTGAGTCAGACGACGAGGTTGAGGCTGCATTGTGGATGTACTCCAAGCGTGGCATCTTCGGACGCACAAGCAAAGATACACTCCTCCCGCCTCAGTTCGCGCGCGAAAGATTCGTGCCTCAGATCGACCTTGTGCCAACGCTGTCTCTACTCCTTGGAATGCCCATTCCATTCAATAACCTCGGCTCCCCTATTGAAGAGGCTTTCTCTGGCCCACGTGGCAACAACTGGGCAAACTTGGCCACCGTCAACCGTCTGACTGCGGCGCAGGTTAAGAGATATCAGCATCAATATGCGCTTGCTCGAGGCGATGGTGATGACGAACAGTCGGCTCTACTTTGGGCCGCTGCAGATGAGGAGTGGAAGGCTGCTTCTAAGGCCTTCTCTTCTAAGTCGACCGCTGCTCATGCCAGTAATGAGCTCTACCGCAAGTATCAGCGTCACACTCTTGATGTCTGCCGTGGATTATGGGCTCGCTTTGATGTGTCCAGCATGATTCAAGGTGTTGTGATCCTTTTTGCTGGTATTGTCGTGTTGATCATCTATGCCCGAGGCTTGAAGACGGATCGGACTCAGCTCACATCTCGTCTGCTTCAATTTGCGGGCACCGGAGCTGCCATTGGTTTTGTGGCCGGCTCTGCACTGGGCTTGACCGGTTTGACTGAGACAGGTGTCTTCGATGGGGCTGTACTTTTGGCTGCTGCTGGAAGCATCATCGGAGCCATGCCGGCAATCGTGAAGAAGCCTGCAGGCCTTACTCTGCCTCTTCCAAATGGTATGTGGGGCTGGCTTGCCTTTTTCTTCACCGTTTCCCAGTCTATTGGATTTGCCTCAAACTCGTACACCATTTGGGAAGATGAGATTCTTCTGTTCTTCCTTACTACATTTGGTGTGTGCGCGGGTGTCTCGTCCATGAGACAGAAGCAGACTACGGACCGCATCTTGGGCGTGTATCACTCTGTTCTCTTTGTGATTCTTGGCCGAGTCGCGTCTTTCTCTCGTCTCTGCCGGGAGGAACAGATGCCCTTCTGCCGCTCTACGTACTACTCTTCTGCGGCTTCTTCCATCTCCGCTCCCTGGCAGCTTGCCATTCCTTTCCTGGTCACGGTGTTCCTGCCCAGCGTCGTGCGTTCCTTCTACGTTGGCTCCAAGTCTTACGAAGGCGCTTCATCGCTATGGATCGGGATTGCTTTCCGCTTCGGTCTCTTTATCTCTTCCGTATTCTGGGTGCTTGAGAGCGCCGATGATGGCGAGTGGCTACCTGTCAGTAAGGAAACACTCAAGACGGTCCGCGTCTTCTTAGCGCAGCTTGTTCTTGCTCTCGCGTTCGTCGCAGGCACTGCAGCATATATCTACTCCAAGCCTTGCGTCAGCATCAGCGTGAGCAAACCTACCGAAGACCCCAACAGCCCGCCAGCCCCCATCATCGCTGGCCAGCAACAAGGTCCTAGAACAACAGTCACTATTCTCGGCTTCGGCAACGTCTACGGAACCCGCTTCTGCTTCCTGGTCATCAACTTCGCCCTCGCCATTATTCTCATGCAGAAGCCAATGGGCCAAGGCACTATCGCGCTCCTCCTTTGGCAGATCCTCTCCCTGCTTGAAATTCTCGACACAAACAGCCTGACAATGTCAAACTCCTGTATCGGCCCTGTTATGCTCGGCGTCTTGGGTTCCTTCTATTACTTCAAGACTGGCCATCAGGCCACCCTCTCCAGCATCCAGTGGGAAACAGTCTTCATCCCCCTCTCAAGTATCCAATATCCCTGGAGCCCGATTTTCATCATCCTCAATACTTTCGGCGCCCAGATTCTGGCCGCCATCGCCGTCCCCCTCACCGTCCTCTGGAAACGGCCTCTGCAGACCCACGACCGTGTCCCTGCTTCGAACCCGAACAAGAACCCTGCCACCCGTATCCTCTCAGATGTGGTCCAGGCTGTTGGAACACATATCCTCTACCTGGCGACTATCAACCTCGCCACGACTATGTGGGCTGGCCATCTCCGCCGCCATCTGATGCTCTACCGTATCTTCAACCCTCGTTTCATGATGGGCTCAGTGGTACTACTGGTCGTCGACGTTGTTCTGATGGTGTTTGCTGTCGGTGGTGTGCGCTGGAGTACTCTCAGTGTCGGTGAGGTCTTCGGATGGTGAGCTCGTTTCCAAGGAAACAACATCTAAAATAATCATCTATTCACCTCGAGACACCGGATGATCTAACCGGCACGCTTAGAGATGTGCATTTACATCCGCAGATCTTCCCTCATCCATCATAATTCCTTCCATTCTCCTTGCTACCACTTTGTACACATTCAAACCCCAACCCATTCCTCCCCATCACCCTATTTTTTGCATCGCATTGTGCTGACACCTGTACATGCGCCTGTCTGTATCACATCCTTTCTCCTCCTTTCTCTTCTCTTTTTGGTTCGACTATATGTGTCGGTAGCTAGACTCTTTATAATCCTGATGGTCTATCCATCTACCAAATAAACAAGCCTTAACCACATTAATATAGACCACTTGTAGAGATCTGTAGTCCACTAGAATCGAAAGATCGATTAGAGTTCTACTACCCTGATGTAGGGTTAAGTATTCACATGAACAGAGCTCGTTATTTATCTCATTGATGACTTACTTGGTGCGCATTGCTTTTCATCCCCCAGCACTGTATAATTCCCAGCACTTTATAATTCCCCAGCACTTTATAATTTTCGAGATCAAGTATCTATTGTATGTTAGACCTATATAAAAGGTACAAAATATCTCGAAAGCCATAACATCCATTTTCTCAACGAACTAGCAACTAAAAATATCAATTATAGATTATGAAAGTGAGTTTAAATTAATTTATATGAAAGGTTAATTCTTAAATAATTAAGGCGTGTAAGGCGAAGTTTAAAACACTCTATAATTAGGTATAGACTATGTGTACTCCGTACTCCGTACAAAGCTGTAAGAGACTCAAAGTTGAACTTCCCTTCTGATGTAGAATATTTCTTATTCAGAGCCCAAGTCAAATTAAGTCGTGTATTATCATATAAATAGATCTAAAATTTCTTTAGCTTAATATGGTGTTTGGAAACATTATATTATGTACCTTTTGTATGGTCATAGCATACAAAAGATACCTGGTCTCAAAAATTATAAAGTGCTGGGGAGTTACAAAGTGCTGGGGAATTATAAAGTGCTGGGGCGCAACCACAGGCACGATTATTGCTCAAGCCAGTCTGACGCGAGACACTGTCAACACTTGCGACATGTACTACGAATATAGAAATAAAAAAAAAATAATGTTCATATAGAAAGCATGAATTACACTATATATCTCTCTATAACAAATCTTCTCTCAACAAAACTCTACATTTCTCACCATAGTAAGAACAGCTTCTCCAACCACCCATTCTCAATTAAGATTGAAACCAAATTGCCGGTTTCAACGAACCTCCTGACCAGTAGTATCACTACTAAAACCCAACTCCGTCTTCTCAGGCGTCGAAGGACCATCAGCACTCAACCCAAGCTCCCTGGATTGCTGTGTAATCTGCTCGAAAGTGAGTTTCGGCATTTCATTCGCAACCTTGTAGGCCCATTTTCCTTCGATGTGGGCCTTGGCGTAGATGATATCGATTTCTTCCAGTTCACGACCTGCAGTCTCGACGTAGAAGAACCATGCAAGGGGGACGCCGAGCATGTTGAAGATTGCGAAGAAGAGGTATACGCCCCAGGGACTTGTGGATGCGAAGATTGGGGTGAACATGACGACGGCGAAGTTGCAGATCCAGTTTGTGCAGGTTGAGGCGGCGGCGCCGGCTGTGCGGGTGCTGGCGGGGTTGATTTCCGGGGGGTAGATCCAGGGGAGAGGGAGGAGGGTGAAGGCGAAGAAGACGATGAAGAGGAAGATGCCGACGATGGCACCCTTGGAGTTCTCTTCGGTGGGTTTGATGAGACAGGCGAATGTGATGAGGAAACTGAGTCCTTGGCCGAGGAATCCAATGATGTATAACTTGCGACGACCGACTCTTTCAATCATGAAGAAGGATGGGATGGTGGCGATGGCGTAGACGGTAGCGAAGACACCACCCATAATTAGAGCTAGGCGGTGCTCGAGGCCGAGGTTATCTTCGAAAAGCAGGGTCGAGTAATAGATAGCGGCGTTGCAGCCGGTGAATTGCTGGAAGAATTGACCGGAGCAACCAATAAGGGCACGTTGGAATTCCTGGGTCTTGCCGCCCCGGAAGATCGTCTTCCAGTTTGCCTGGGAGAGTTTGGCGGCCTCTACATCGGCTTTGAGGAAGTTGAAGTCGGTGAGGACAACGTCGGAGTCGGGTGCAGCGTTCTTCAACTTAGCAAGGACTTGCAAGGCCTCATCATCATAGCCTCTCATCACAAACCAGCGCGGGGAGTCCGGAAGCATGAGAACACCGGCGGCAACGAGCAGAGCGAATAAGACCTGCAGCGCCACGGGGAATCGCCATTGAACCTCTTCGGGGACATAAGAAAGACCGAAGACCACCCAGTATGCGACAAAAGTACCAACAGCGATAACCGCACCCTCGAAGCACACGAGGAATCCACGGTTATGAGCGCTGGAGCATTCGGATTGCCAGACAGGAATCGTGGCAGTGTTCATACCATTTCCTATGCCCGAAATAACACGACCGACGACAAATTGACCAAGACCCCAGCTTGGGCCAACGGAAGCGGCCGAAATCACGGCACCGATAACCAGGATTAGGGCACCGGCGAAGATCAGTCGTGTACGACCGAGCCTCTCGCCATAAAACATGGAGAAGAGCGCGCCAAAGAAGCAGCCAATTTCGTAGCAGGCTGTAACAGCACCGCGGAGGACGTTGATATGTCGGACTTCCGACTCTGGGGCATCTTTGGCCAAGGCGAGGGTGCCGAATGTTTTTGTGAACTCGTCTCCGCCGATGAGGCCAGACATCATACCCTGATTGTAACCGAAGAGGGCGAAACCCATGACGGCCGTGCAGGTGATAGACACCTGCAGGGTCCGTCCCGTCACGCCACTCGTCGTTGTCCACATATTGACGGTATGAAGACAAAGAGAATTAGGGAAGCACCACGGCTAGGAAAGAGAAGTGGGAAATCAATTCCAGAATGGAGTAATCTGCATCTATTTATCCAAATACAGCCCCTGGGCCCCCTCCCAACAATGACGTAAAGCGCATATATTAGCCTACCCCCGATGGGAGTTTCTTATTCGGCCGTTTGGGGCGTAACAGGGCCGAATAAGAAATCCTGCGTTCCTACTTGGTAATAGTGACCTTGGCAGATCTGGGCGGACTTGGCATTTGGGAACCATGGCTAATGCGGGTGAAGCATGGGGACATCTTCCCCATGGGCTCTCAGGGCGCTTGGCGTATGCATGCGGAGTATACATTGGCCCACGCGAGCCTGCATGGCTCTGCAATCGCTCAGCACACCAAGACAAAACAGCCTCAACGGTGAGACTGGATGAGATCGCGGCATGACCTTCCCCAGAGATATGGGGCGTTGGCCCCATAGTCTTAGCTTGCATCGGCGAAATGGCAAAGAAGAGGTGGCCAAGAAAAGCATGTGGACGTGCCAATGTGGGTATGGTCCTTGGCCAAGCAGGCACGAGCGGGCTTAGTTTAAGCCACCAAAATCAAATTTATGGAACCCTGATGCTGAGAGAGGAAGGTTTGCCAGTTATGACCATGTTGTGGGAAATTGGGCTGCATGCGAGAGTGGTCAAAGGTGTTGGTTTTGATATTGGGCGTATTACCAACGATGTTCATTGGCCCCATCTGGCGGTGACGCGTGTTTAAATACAGCCGCACGCCACGTAGATCCTACCTCCATGGAGAGAGATTTCTCACTCCGTACAACGGGTTGGATGATATAGGCTGGGATTAACTTCGAGTGGAACGATGTTTCAAAAGTTAGGTAAAACGCAACTGGAGATTGAATGTGGAGAAGCGCGATTTCTCCAAGCGTCCGACAATTTTCCTGGAAGGTGAAGCGGATGGCTCATGGCTTATTTTTCGGGAGCTCGAGTGCACGTTTTTCCCGCGCTGCCAAGGCCGCCCCCGTCTGCACAGTTTTCATCGCGCCCGTCAGAGGCGTCGCTTGGCCTCAGCTTGGCCCCAATGCCCCGTCGGTACCGTCTTCCTACCCGGTGCGTCACTTTCGGATTGCAACGTTGGGGATTGATGTGGTACTTTGGGAAGGTTTCGGCCTGGGCAGATTGGGGGCGACTGACGCGTTCGACACGGAAAAATACAACCGTCTTTCAAAGAGGCAAGATATCCGGGAGGGCCCCCACGTTCGGCTATCTGAAGGGTTTCCCCATGGTTCGGGCGAAGGCGAAGAGGGATTGTTTTTGTCGCGAGCCGCTATAAACGGTCGGATATTGGACGCATGACATCCCTGAGCGCCATGTACTCCGTACTCATACCGGGAATGGTGGGCCGATCACTACTCTGCATCTCATGCTTCCAAGGTGACCCGGGGGCCACGGGGCCCCGGGTTGTTAAGATGACTAAGATTGGCGTCAAACCTGCCAGAACTGGATAGGCTTAAGCTGGGATCTAACGCAGTGGCTTTGACAACTGATTAGATGTTGATGAGCGAGGTGGCGTAGGGGCGTTGGAATATCAGTGTTGATAGCAGCATGTGAAAGTTCATGGATTCCTTGCTCTTTACTTGCGGCTATTTCCAACGTGATCATCGGATAAATAAAACATTTTAGCCGGTGGGGGCGACTCCTACGATATATATATGACCGACGTGAATTGTACTCCAGGGTAAAGCAACGGTTGCAGGCACTGGTATAGGTATGTTAATAGCATATAAGAAGTGAACGGTTTTATTTGATATTCGGCTACAGTATGGAAGTTATAGCGAAAAAGATGTGAGGTTCATTCTGCAATTATACCTAAAGATCTCTTTGACAGCTAGATATCAGCTGTGATTTATGCTTCCTGATGCCAGTCTGATTTGCCCCAACTCCTCCCTTATAGACTTGGGGACTCGATTGCAGTAGTTCCATTTGCAACATTTGCAACATGGTGCGCTATGCGCTAGGTAGCACACCGCAAATGTAGTTCAGATTGAAATATCATCTCGCTGGCGCTTAGCTGGGCTTGATGAGGTGTACGGAGAATATAGTATCAAACTGCATGTCAGGTGCAGGCTTGGCACCGGCGCCCAGCGAGATTTGGGGATTCCTGCCGAAATAGGCGTAGCGTCGATAGCCCAGAAGGAGGAGAAGCAGGGGCAATTCTCAACAGTATGAAAGGGGGATGAGATACTAGGGAAGTTTGGTAATTCTCCGGTTTAATAGTGGCCTGCTTGGGTTAGCAACCGTCAGAGAACACGATTTGACGAGTCTATATGTATCGATATATGATAGATATGGGGTATATTAATGACCCAATTCGGACTATATAACAATAGATATGCTAAGCTGGGAATTGCTCCCATAGAGGTTGCAAAACATATCCACACACCGACTTCCGAAAAACTGGATCTTTCCAATCAAAGCCTGCAGGAGCCGTTGGACTCGTAGAAAAGTTACATTCAACGCATCTCTTCACTGCATCATAGTAGAAGCGCATTATATCGTCTTCACTCGTGGTCACCCACTGACATGCAACGTCATACCGAGATCCCAGGCTGTTATATATAGGCATTTGAGCCTCGGCAGCAAACGAGGCCAATGTTTGTTCGTGCCAGAGTTCTAGCAGAAGTATTCCCAGCTCCAGCATCGTTCGCCTGACGTTATATTGTTGCTCCATACTGGTCTGGGCAATGAATTTCTGTTTGATGAAAGGACGGACGGTCCGAGGGTCTTCGGAAATAAGGTAAACCGCTCCGCTGGTCAGCGGAATGGAAAGCCATGGGGTGAAGTTCAGTTGCAAAACGGATGACACAGCACTCAAGGCTAGAGACATTCGTTGCTTCAGAGGTAGTCTTTTGGGTTGGAGCAGTTGTTCAAGTGAAGTCAGGTTCGAGAAATCTGGGTTCGGATATCGAGTAGGATCGTTTCTTGGAGAAGTACAGTTAGGGTCGTGGCATAAATGGCCCCCGCTGGAAAGATATAATTCCAAGAGCCTCAAATTGGAGAGCTGTTGGCATAGATCTGAGATCATATTGAGCCTTGGGGGCGACATCTGAGGGACCTCTAGAAGCTCAAAGGCGACGGTCGCTCTCCCACCTCTTGATTGGGTATTGTCACATTCATGGCTGAAAAGAAGTCGGTAAACTTTCGAATCAAAAAGGCCTCATAAAACCGAACTCAAAAATGACGAGTGTTCTTACCTGTCCTCACAGTACGTGGGTTCATCTTGCATAATTTCAACCTCGGCTTTGTGACAACTACCCGGCATAGCTGACCCAAAAGCCACTGTAAACACAAGTGGAGCCTTTTTCAAAGCTCTGGGATTATCCATTAACTCTGTTCTAGGTTGAAGAAACAGTTGTGCTTCGTGTTCAGAATGGCAATGGCCGACGTATCCCATGGCGATTGCAGAGTAAAGACGACGCGCATGCTCGGCAACCCCCTCGAAATAGGATGTTATTTTTGTAACTGCCCTGGAAATCGAAGGTGGAGATATCTCCGACTGCCCCCTCTGATAGTCCCGAATTCTTTGAAGATTCGTCGTTGCGTTATCAAGCCCCGCAATTTGACGCTCCATATCTTCCCTGGCAAGAGCGAACTTGATCCTTCTGGTGAATTCGTACGTCCCATCTTTTGGGGGATTTGCCTGAAGAAGCGAGGAAAGAGCGGACTAAGCGAGAAAGATAAATATTCTGTATTAGTATTCGCGAAGGGATCCCAAACCACAGACCCATCCAATGGCACATACCTGGTTTGAAGCCAAGCCATTGATCTCCTGGGCCAATTTCATTAATATGTACTCGCAACGGGATAGAGCTGCAATATAAGGAGTGAATCCCTCTTTGAGACAATGCTGAACTTCAAGCGCGAGCTCCGTGTCGAGGAACAATCGAGAACTTGGATTGCTGAGCAGGTCTTCGATCTCGCCGTCATTACAATGAATGAGTCGCAGGGTTAATGTGAGGTCTCTCTTGACGAAGTAGTGCTGCTCTTGTAGGCGCTGGATCAAGTCATTCACCAGCGCTTCCTTGTGACGGGCGTACTTCAGTCGCTTACTGGTGGTCTTGTACTTCTCGATGGCCGAGATAATCAAAGGAATAGCGCCCAGAACAACACCTACAACCTCCAAGCCGCTCATAGCGAGAGTTGAGGAGTGAGGAGATAGGACATGGGAGATAACATCTGAAGTCGGCTGTTGTGTATTGTTTACGAAGTACCCCGACCCCCGCCTTAGGCGAACGTGACTTGCCGACTAACCTCAAATCTACCCCTCGCACTTGAAGCAGACACTGGATTGACTCGACAATTGTTGTTCGTGATACGAGCTGTATTTCCCTGTTTCGGAAATGGCAAGACCCAACGAGCGTCTGGCCGATGTGGGCAAAAACATCTACAACCAGTTTGCTCTTCTCGAGAACCTCGCATATTCTACCGAATCAACGAAGATATCGGTCATGAATGAACATTATCGCTTTCGCATGTTTGGCCATAGTCTCGGTCTATGTCATCGCGGACACAGCTCTCTTGACTACCGCTTGCGTGATGCAGATGATTTATGTGAATACACACTAGGGGTGTTGCACTATCTCGTCCAGAATCTCTCCAAATGTACGCATTCTGATTTTGCTGGACCAGAATTGTCACCCATCTGACACTATTCAAGTTCCGGACGCGATAGAAGGAGAAACGAACATAAGAGCCAGCAATGCATCAGAAACCCCTCCTTGGGCTGACGAGGATGGCTCATCGAGTGAAGATTCCGAGGATTTATCTTCATATCTAACGGAGCCTTTTTCTGAAGTTCTTCTCAATATCATTAGCTCCACTATTGATAGATTGTTTCGAATTGCCCGCAGAATTCGAGACCCAGCTATGAGAATCGAGCCTTCAAGAGCCATTGAATATACAGAGAAAGATCCAGAAACGGGGATAGATATCATTGAACAGTTCAGAATCTTGGATTTGGCTCGCATCTCAGATCTTCTTCGCTCATATCGACCGCCAGCCTCGGAGAACTGGACAAATCACTATTTGGTCAAGCGCTTGGCAAAGGCCAATACCCATCGCCGGCAACGCTTTGGATATAACAGACATCGCAGAGATCAATATATTGCCGAGTCAAACCGGGAGCTTGGCGAAGGGCATGCTACAGCCTCACAACCTTCCACTGCTACCTGCCTCAATGTCAAAGATGTCGACTTCAGGGAAAGTGCTTCGACAATATATACATCGTCATCAATGATATCGACTGGCACAGGTATGGATCATCAGGTAATTATTCCAGAACCGCCTACCATAAATCCTGGGGCCAAGGAATTTGAGTGCCCTTATTGTTTCACTCTCCTGTCATCAAAAACACACCAAAGAAAGAACTGGGAGTAAGTAGGACGCATATATATAAATGGCATGGCCTAACAGGAACTCTAGGATGCACATCTACCGGGACTTAAGCCCATATGTCTGTACATTTGAGCACTGTCAAAATGCGGATCAGCAGTATGACAGTCTACATGACTGGATTGAACATGAGGTGGCAAGCCATTCCAATGCAGATGAAAGAACAACATACATTCGAGCATACAATGATACATTGAGCAAAGCGCCAGCCAAAGCTACGGGGAGAATCTGTCCATTTTGCTGCATTGGAAGTGCGTCTCCCACTCACATTGCATGGCATCTACGACGCGTTGCAAGCTTTGCTCTCCCAAGATTAGCGGAATCTGAGTCTCGCGATGAGAGTGATAGTCGGAATTCTGCCGCTGCTGATTTTGACTCTGATGATACTTATTCTGATGGCTCCATAGAGCTATTAGAGGAAGACACCCCTCTAAGAAGGTATTCTAGCAAGACCTCACAGGACTCCGAAGAAGAAAGATACAGGGAGGATTATTCTTCATCTAGCGAGGGCTCGAATCAACCAGATTTACACAAACACAGAGACATGGCCAATGAACAAAGCAAGAAGACTTCCGGGAGCCCAGACAGCAATCAAGCTGTTCATGGGGCCTCACAGACGAGCGGGCGCTCACATCGCGCTAATTCGGGCTTGTCATCACCACGATCTAACTCGCCGCAACCGAGCATCATTCAACGTCGTTTTTCCAATTCCGATGCCGAAGAGGACAACATGACGCTTAAATTGAATGGATTGAGCATTGGATTTACTTCAGAGGCAGTCGAGGGGGAGAGTATTGGAATTGGTCCCGGCGGCGGCGTTCGCCTCAACATCACCAGCGGAAAAAGGCCACGTCCCAATTCGCGCGAGCCACGTGTCTCACGCGAGAATTCTCCCTTTAGCCGTGATAATGAACAGGTTATAGGCCATGATATGCCGGAGGGCAGCGATATCCAATTGGGTATGGGGAGATTGCAAAAGGAAATTGACCCGGCTCGCGAGCAGTTTGAACGTGGGCGGAAAGAATTTGTCGAGGATCGACCTGATTCACGTATCTCGTGGGGAAATAGGGAGGAGGCGGAGCTTGATGAAGAGAAGATTGCTGCGGGACTGCACAAATTGCAGCATTTTGAGCGTAAGGATCAGTCTGAGGAAGAGCAGCGTAACGCCGAGGAGCGGTATCAACGCAAGAAGCTTGCAGATAAAAGAGCTGCTGCTGAAGAAGAGGAAAAAAGAGCTGGGCATAATCCTCGGGAGGAGAGACTGGAGGACACCACACGCAAGCATGATGAAGAGAGCCAGAGAGCGAAGTTCATGCGAGAGGAGAAGTGGAAAGAACTTGCCCGAATTCAAGAGGAAGAGGAGGAGCGAGAGAAGCTTATCCAGGAGATTCGGGATGAAGATATGCGGAAGGCAAGGGAGGCCGAGGAGAAAAGGAGGAAGGAAATGGCTATGAGGGCTGCTGCTGTTGAGGAGTGGAAGCAAGAGCAAGAGCGAATGAAGCAGAGAATGACAGAAGAAGCGATGCGGAAGGCAACGGAGTTCCGCGTACGTCTCCGCAGCATTGGTTATACAGAGGAAGAGATTGATGCTATCATCAACAAAGAAACTGAGGAAAGAACGAGGGAAGAGAAGAAGCAAGCGAAGCACACCCAGGAGACTCTAGACGAGGCTATGCAGAAGGCGTGGGAAATAGGGAAGAAGGAGCAGACCGCCACGGAAGCTGCTTCTGCTGAGAATGGCCAGACATCACCGGAACGAAACACCCTTGGACTGCCACACGGAGGAGATTCCATTCAGAATGTGTGGTGGTGCTGTTGTCAATGCAATTCCCTCGCAAACCCAAAGCTTGCAGAGAAACAATGCCCCATATGCGCCCACCATCATTGTTCGGCCTGTAAAAGCGAGCTTGTACCCCCTTAGAATCAGGAACTATAGATCAAGCGATATGACCGGAAATACTTGCGTGAGCAAATTATTTCTGTGTTGAAGGCAAACAGAAGTCATCTTCAAATGTTATGGGTTTTGGGTCCGTGCTATACTTAAAGTACTGCTCTAAGAATTAGAAAGTCATAGAGCTTCTACTTTGGAATGCGAATGTAGTAACCGAGGAGAGGGTAAGAAAAAGAAAGGCCGAAGGTGTTCGCCTAAACCTTATATAGGTACATAGATACGGTTTTTCCTTTAACTGTTACCTTCTGATCTCGATATTTACATATATACCAAGCATAATAATGAACACCTAGTGTCTACGTGAAATCCCAGTCGAAGTGTTAATTCTTATTCCCCTCGGCTAGATACTAGGTGCCTTCTACCCTATTTATATGCCATTGGAGATACCACTCTATCGTTCGCATTATACACGCCTGCGTAGATACTTATGTATCAAGCTCAGAGGCATCAGGAGTAATCCCCGCAAAATCGTGTCTATTATAAAGAAGATTAGGGACTCCAGATTCAAGGAGACTTTGTTATGCAGGTAATTTTGACACATTTCTTTGTTTTAATCGAACATTGGATATGACGATTGCTCTCACCAAGTCAATTTTTGTTCTTCACCTTGAAGAGAAGAGGTGAGTGGGCTCGTAGGGGATCGATCATGATGATTTCTTCAGACGGATCGGAAATTAAGACTAACTCAAAGAGGCCTTTGTCGATGTCTCTGGCACCAGTTAAAATGTATAAGATATTGGACTATATATCATATCGAAAGATAAGAACTATCTATATGTATCTATGAACCCAGCGGCGTGAACAGTGACCTTCCTAGAGCCATTATGTAGATATAATAGATCGTTTTATATCTGAAGGATAAATACAACCCTCTAAGTAGGCTGAATGATGCCATTTAAGATCTTAGAAGAACCGCGCCAACACTACACTAGCAAAAGGCAAGCTCATCATATACCGCATATACGACCAGATCGAGTTTGCTTCTAAATCGGTGCTTCATATGCGCTTGTAGTGAGTAATCTTATATACTGTGAGCCCAGACTACCTGCCTAGTCGAACAAGTATTTAGGTAAGGTCCTTTAGGCATTGCCGAGGATACAATCTTAATAGACTCCTCAGTCTGCTAAATGCGACAGTCTAGCCACGTTAGAGAACAACATATCTCGCCAGCCTAGATACTTTCCAATCTAGCAAACTAACTTGATGTGTCTGCCCAGGTGGGCAGAATTGTAACTTGAAATGAAATTCTATCCCTCTTGGGACCAATGCCTATTGTCAATCTCCCTTTTAGAAGATAAAAGAGCTTTGTTGTCTATATAAAGCAGATTATTTTCAATGTATTGCTTTGTTTCAAATTGTAAATGGGTTCCCATAATGGCCCTTATTTAAAGTCTTTTTTATCTCTTTCATTTGGCCTCGAATAGAAACCATACATTATAGCTGCTAGGTTTCAAAGCCATGTCGTTCGGTGTGTCCTTCGGTGTCTTGCAATCGATCACAAAGAGTCTTGAGAGTATTTAATAGTTGCCAGCCTCCCAGCTCTCCAGACCCAACAATCCAATCCACCAATCCAATCCACCAATCCACCAATCCACCAATCCACCCATCCAACCATCCAACCATCCAACCATCCAACAATCTAGCATTATTAATCGTCTGCTCTAGGTCTCAAAATGAACACTAATTTCCGCAGAGGTATGGGTATACGCCATAGGGCTCCACTTTGGCGTGCACTTAGTCTCTGGCCGAATGGTGGCTCGGACGCTCCCCAACCGGCAAATATTGTCGCAACCCAAAATATAATTTTGAACCACTTGCACAGGGTTCACAATCAACAGATGGTTGCCTGGATCGCGCAGGGAAATAATTCCGAGTATATGATCAGATCGACCGCCGTAAGAACGGAGCTCAGAGAAGGATTCATCGACCCAACAGTACAGCTACCGGCAGAAGTTCGAAATTTGGACCCGGCTGTGGCTCGTGAGGCTTTATGGGCACTTTACAACTTTTATATTAATTATGAGCCTACTAACTGGGGACTAGCAGCACCCAAGAGACAACGGGGACCAAAGCCAGGAAGGCGAGCTAAAGACGCGGCCGCCAAATCACCAGCACTAGCACCTGCACCTGCACCAATACTAGGACCAGTACCAGGACTAGGACCAGTACCAGGACTAGGAATAGGGCCTGCGCCTGCACCTGCACCTGCACCAGTACTAGGACCAGTACCAGGATTTCCACCTATACCTACATATGCCCCAGTACCATTCCCTCCACCGCCATATCTCACAGCAGGAAACAAGCCACAAGCACCTGCGCCTGCGCCAGTACCAGTACCAGCACCTGCACCCGGACTAGGACCTGCGCCTTTGCCTGCACCAGGACCAGCACCAGCTCCAGTACCAGCTCCAGCACCAGCTCCAGCTCCAGCACCAGCTCCAGCACCAGCTCCAGCAACAGCTCCAGCACCAGCACCAGCTCCAGCACCAGCTCCAGCACCAGCTCCAGCACCAGCTCCAGCAACAGCTCCAGCACCAGCACCAGCTCCAGCACCAGCTCCAGCACCAGCACCAGCTCCAGCACCAGTACCAGTACCAGTACCAGTACCAGGACCAGGACCCGGACCCGGGCCTGCGCCTGCACCTGCACCAGCACCAGTACCAAGACTAAAACTAAAACTAGGACCTGCACCTGCACCAGCACCAGCACCAGCACCAGCACCAGCACCAGCACCAGCACCAACACCAAGACTAAAACTAAAGCTAGGACCTCCGCCTCCACCTGCACCTGCACCTGCACCAAGACTAAAACTAGTACTAGGGCCTGCGCCTGGACCTGCACCAGGGCCCGTACCAGCACCTACACCTGCACCAGCGCTGGAACCAGGACCAGTACCAGGGCTTCCACCTATACCTACACATGCGCCAGTACCATCCCCTCCACCGCCATATTTCACAGCAGGAAACGAGCCACAAGCACCTGCACTACCAGCCTCAGGCAAGCGACTAAGAGAAGAAGAGTACGGGGGAGATGCCCCAGTCCTAAAGAAGATGCGTACTGCTTCTAGTCATCCCGGTCTACGTTATCCCTCCCTAATGGATCCCTTTCTAGGTCATCCCGCTCCAGATGATCCTGCTGCAGGTGATTCCGCTCCAGAAAATCCCGCTCTATACTTTCCCGGTCCGGGATATTTGGCTCCAGAATATGCCGCCCCGGAATTTTATGCTCCGGAATATTATGCTCCAGAATATCGCCCTCTAGCTAATCCCGCTCCAGGAGATCCACCACTAGAAGATGGAACGGAGGATGACGCGGCGGTGGCACAAGCATTTCGCAATTTCATAAATGAAGATGAAGAACTCTAAGATATCTCCGAGGATCAAGGTAAAGTTCGATATGAAGGAAAATAGAAAGGACTTCCGGGATGATTCGATGGGATCACAATATATCAGATGATAGGTGAGTGTATAGAAGATGAGAAGGTAGATACGTGAGATAGTCAAAATTTGATTCTTTGTTCTCTTTAAGTTTACTGTGAGATTGTTGCTCCTAGATCTAGATATAATACATATAGGCTTGTATCCGCAATTTAAGACTTTCGCATAACCCTTCTAGCTTGAGGATCATTATAGCCCCTATCTTGCTCGCAATTGTTTTCAAATTAATAAGTAATATACATTGATCTTCGTTACATTTAAGCCTATTTACCATTAGAATTGTATGATGAAGGCCATACAATCGTTGGATAAAAACGAGAAGACTTCAGACTTGCATTATATCACGGGACTGCTTGTAACCCTTAAGCCTCGTAGATAGGTGTCATCTCATGTTTTTACATCCAGCATTATGACACAATGAACTATCTTCTACTAAATGCAAAGTTATTTGATTTCCAAATTTACCAGAGTTTCATACGGCAGAGCATCAACCAGCTTATCAGGCCCGGCCTCCTCATTCTGTGTCCGCTCTGCGTATATAGCCCTATGTGTATCCATTTTTAGAAATTGCATCCGAACAGACTTCGACTTGCTCTGAAAAACACCGGAGCTGGGGATTTGGAATTTATAGAGACATGATACGTGCAAGTTAAAAACTACGTCAGATGTGGACTGTTGACGAAGTGTACACGTCGGATATCATATAGCTGACACAACAACATCATTCCTAGGAAGAAAAGTGGCCCCATCGTCTATCTATGGGGTAGAGAACCAACGTCATAACTCCTTGAGAGCCCGTACTCTGAACTTTGTACGCTGGACATCCCCTGGAACGAAAAGCCATTCCCGTGTCCAATCCTGTTCGATCGACATCCGGTTTTCTCAGACCCATAGAATATTCCATACAGCTGTCTATAAATATTCGGATGAGCATGTTCTATACCCAACAAAGCAAAGGGACAGAAGATCTTGGGCGTAGATAGTCTCCTGGAAACAGGTATAAGTATAGCCCAATGCCCTCGCCTTGATACATCGCATCAACCAACTCTCTCCTCTCAAACAATCCTCGTTGAACCGAACACCCTCTCTACAATGCGTTTCGATATCTTCACTGTCCTCGCCTTCGCTGGTCTTGCCATGGCCGCCAAGACTGTATGAACATCTCACGATATCTCATCCAACCTATTCTCTAATTCAACCCCAGATCCCCTCCGGAGAGAAGTGCAAGAAGGATGGAAGCATGGGCAACTGCGAGAGCAAAGTCTGCATTGTAAGACCTCAGATCCCATGGATATATCACAAGATGGCTAACCCTACTCTGCAGCAACCCGCCAAGGCCAACATTGGCAAGTGCAAATAAACGCATCGAGTACCCTCCAAGTGGACAAGATCAACTGGGTTGATTACGGATGCGGAGCTACTTTCCTTCATACTTCGCCGCTAGGATGAATATATCAAGTAATAAATGTTGAATGGAAACCGTTGCAAGTATGCTTTGTAGACATGCTCGAATTCTGTATACTCCGTACCTTGTACAGTCCCATCCCCTACACCGTACCTCGGTAGTATTCGATTAACAACCCCAGAACAGGTTTGTGTGATACTGTGATCGTCAGGAGAAGAACCGACGATCTGCGCGTCATCTGTGGACCTCGTGGATTTCATCACGGTGCTTCCAGACCCTAGCGGTTCGGAGCATTTGGTATCGAGATGGCCACTGTACTAGGCCACCTGGGTACCGAGTGAGATAGGTAGATGATAAACACAGGGTAAGAGAAATGGATTATTTTGGGTTAAAACAAACGTCAATACATACAGTATGTAGCAACGCCGGTAATCGTTCTTGAAGTGCTTGATCTGAGATCATCCAGGGGGCGAAAACACACTAAGCCTTAAGCTTCTCCACTTTCCTTTCTTTGCGCGAACATGCTGGCACCAGCCAGTAGCATGGTTCTATATGGTTATATCTTGTGCTTATTTAGACGCAGGGCAGACAGGTATCACGATACCCAAGGGCTGCGGAGAAGCTGGAAATATTATGGGAAATCCGGTATAAAACACTAATTGATTCCACTACGTAACCCGATTCTTAATCGCGACAGTCGCTGGCAGGCAAGACAACATCGAGAAACACAGAATAACTTTTGGGGCGGGGAAAGGGGGTATTCACAAATGCAACAATTGTCTTGCAACACGAGAAAAAAAAAAGCAGATGATGTACATGAAGTCGTTTCGGGCAGTTATGGGTCATTGAGAGGAAAAATTCAATCGTTTCTTTTTTGGAAGAAGGGGTGATGGGAAAATAAGAGAGACGGCGAGGTTAAGAGATAGAGGGGAGGATGGGAATGGCAAAGAAATGAACGGAGAAGACAGAAGCTTCATCACGATTATCATAAACAACCAGGAATCTCGGCATGATGGCCAGATCAGCGGGCCCACCGGGAGAAATCCAGGTTCTGGAGAATATTCGTGTCAGCTGCTGCATTCCATTCGGCAGCGAAATCGGTCTGGACTTGAGGTGCACGAGAGGGCAATTCCTCCGAGAAGATGTTGGCCTTGGTATTCCGCCGGAGACCTGGATATGCCCCTTCAGCGGGCTCGGGGCCGCGGGTCTGGGCCGTGAGAGCCCGCTCGCGAACCTTCTTGATTTCTCGTAGACGAGTGCGCCATGATGAGGTGTGCTCACCACCCTTGTTATTCCAGACAAGCGAGAATACAGACGCATTGAGAGCCAGAATGCGAACAAAGGCCGCCAGATTCTTGCCGGAGATGATCTTTGGTGTCGCCGCGGGTGAAACGTCTGGGAATCCAGCTTTGCTCAAAACCTGCACACTGTAGTAGAGCTTTCGCGGGTCTGTCTCGCCGCAGACATTGCCATTGCCATCGTAGGCGATCCGAGATGACGGGGTGATGACAATGTTAACAGAGTTGAACTCGGATGGGATTGTATCGAAATCAAACGGCAAGTTGGATCGATTGAACACGATAGTCACATGGTTGTTGCCAATGTTTCGTTTCTTGTTGATGCAGGCCGGGTCACGGTCAAAGTCCGTAGGCATCATTGTTGCAACATGATACACAATTTCAGTCACGCGATCCCGCCAAGCGTAAGTGTTCTCTCCGTCGGTGTCAGCATACAGTCCCTGCGGGTTGAATTGGGGATTCCGAAGTGACACTTTGGTTCCGAGCCCCGATAGCAGGTTTTCGTAATCCGCAGAGCCACCGGTGTTGGCTAATATGTCTGCTTCCTTTGTTTGACCATTATCGACATAGACAATTCCAATCCGGTGACCATCGACAATGTCCGTACGATCAAAATTGCTGATCGCGCGTCGAGTGATGTCGTCTTCGGGAACGGGGATGGGCTGCATGACCGTGGGCGTGGGGAAAGCAGTAGCCGTCAACTGTAGCATAATGTGACTTGGAAGGACTGCTGTACGCATGGAGTCGGAGTGTAAATGAGCGTCTGGAGTTGGGGGAGCTTGATGCGGCAGCACTGGGGCTGTCCTCTGCTGGTAAACGGAATATGTGGTCCCCGATGCTTGGCGCTTCGTAATTTGAGATAGTCCAGATAACCCGGCACTCTCCACGGTCACGATACTCATGCCGACAATCCAAGACTTTTTTATGACTGGACCATCCTCCGGGGAAGGAGGAAATGTCTTGAAAGGAATGGTTTCTCCAAGATCTGAATAAGCAACTCGCTGCATCAAATCAATGAAGACTTGGCTTTGTTCTTCTACCACCTCTTTGCCATGTTCATCATGATAGATGAGCCTGCTGGTGATCCAATTCACGTGCTTGGATCGATCCTGGAGCTTCAAAGACAAGAACCAGAAAACCATGACATGGTATGTAAGGTTGGAAATGTACCTGGACATGCCATCTTGGGAACCCTCAAGAGCCTCAGCCGCATGAGAAGCGATTTCTTTTGTTCCAGCGCTGAGCCTAGACTGGGGTGGTTGAGGAGACTGAGAAGCACGTGCAGCAGATTCAGAGGCTTTGTAGCGCTGCTCTCGAGAAGTTTGTAAAAATCGGATGCAGATACCGAATACGGTACGGATCTCCTCTTCTCTCAAGTTGACATAGACATCGGGTAATCGTGCAAGTAGGGCTAAAAATTCCAGAATGTGCACAGCAATGTTTGACATGGTGATCACCTTTGACATCCTATCAAGAATGCTGTTCAGTGATTTCGTGACCGACATTGGGATTTCATAACAGCAGAGTGACAATGCTTGAATGCACCCACGGGATGTGCCACCCCATGACCCGATGATACCCTGCATGAAAGCGCGGACAAGGTCATCCTCTTCACTTTTCGCAAAGTGCTCATGATAGCTGACAAGCATGCATAGTGCGTCAAAAATGCAGGCAGCCACATCGCTCTTTTTCAACCCCGTTGTCTCCGGAGGCTCATGGAAAGTTCCATTCTTTACTTGATCACACAGAATGCTGCGGAGAAGCTTGATCTGAGGGATGGCGTCTCTGAAGAAGTCTTTATTTCCAAGCTGTGGTCCGAGATGAGTTAGGATATAACTGTAAACATCCCAGTCGGCTTCTCGCTGGAGCAGTGTGATCACAACTTCAAGCCACATCTTGACCTTCAAAAGCCCCGTGGGTCTTGTATCTGTGGCGGTTGATTCAGCATCAACAGGTTCCTCAGAATGACCATAAGCAAACACGACCGGACTAGACTCTCCTGGTGGTTGCTCGGGAAGCACTTGTGGTAGAGCATATGTCCACACTGGAGCTGTCAGCTTTGATCCACGGGCAGATATAGAGCCACGTCCTGGCGCCGACTTCGACATTTGTGTCGATGCCGATTCTCTCATTGGAAGTTTGCCAGTTGGTGAGACTGGCGAGTTATCCCGCAGAGGAATTTCACGGGCTGTACTCTCGCCGAGAGCCTGTAGCTTAGAGCCACCATCGAGATTACGGCCAAGCACGTTCATCAAGAAGTCACTCTCCGATGTTGAGATAACTATGACTGATCCGGCCGAGTCACACCGAAGTCGGAAAAGTAGTTTCAAGACTGTCAGTCGAGAGTCTGTTGGCCTGCTTGGAGATTGAGCAATATTCAAAAGTGCTTCAAAGGCCATCACAGCTTTACTCGAAGAGAAGTTCAAAGCACGAAGCATCATCTTCACAAGGCCCACAGCGCAGACATTTGTCAGGCTCAACTCCAAGACACTTGTGGTCGATGTGCGACGTTGAGATCCATGGCTTGGGGGATTTTCGCGTGGTTCGTCTCTATTCAGGTCCGTCTGCATCGGTGCTCCAATAGTGCTGATCAGCAACTTGAAAGTGTCATCATCACTGCATTGTATCGCTGGCTCAGTCAATAAAGAGACGAGTGACTCCAAGAAAAGCAGATCGTGTTCTGCCGAGAAATCTTTGAGAAGAAGTCCGAGAAAGCCATGCTCCTGGGAGAAGAGAAAGGCTTCGTGCCCGGAAAGAGCTTCTTTCAATGTATCCAATGCCAGGATGCGGATGTCCGAGCTCTGTTTCCGAGCCTGAACGAAACACTCGAGGAGCTCGCGGCAATGCTGAGCCCAATCCGGAGTTTCAGAAGGGTGGCAGAGTCTGTCTTCTCTCATCAAGTGAATGATAAGTTCAGCTTGCGAAGGCTCGATGTGCTGGTAAATCTTCATCAAGAACCGGACTGCATGTTGCTTTTGCTCTCGATTGAGTTGTTCCCATTGCGATTCAAGCACGGATGCGATACGAATCAGGTTTGTCAGAATATATGATTTGATTTCGTCATGAGTAGGCTTGAGCTGAGAACTGCTCAAGGAAGTAGGGGATGGGGCTGATTCGTCCACAAGCCTCCGAGAGCAAGTTATGAGAAGATTGGCGAACGCCGCCCAATCCTGTTGTAATGCGGTATGAAGATAGTCGCCTTCTAGGATATTTAGACATAGGTCCAACAGATCCGCATCCACCCTGCTTTCGTCTTTTCGAGCGATGACCTGCAATGATTCCAAAAGTTGGTCAAAGGGAAGTTGCGGCATGCCTTCCTGACCATATGCACGAATGAAATCGGAGAACACGTAAAGTGTTCCACGAAGAACATTTAGGTTTTGGCTGTGTTCAACGGCGCGCGACTCTCTCAAAAAGCCATGGAGGCAGTTTACCATTTCCGCCTGTCTTCGCGATTTAGCCAGACTGCGTACTGCTCGAGATGTAGGCCCAGAAAGAGATTTTACTGATGCATGAATGCTGCAAAGAACTTCCAACAGAGGGAGGAAGCTGGGGTCAGGCACATCAGCATACATGATGACAGCGTCGAACACAGCTAAGGAGTTTTTGATGTCAGCTGCGACACTAGTTCTTCTGCAGGTGCTGAAAGTTTCTGTGAGGAGCAATTCGATTTCGTCTTGCGTTGGCTGCTTTCGCTGCAGGGTGATCAGGTCGACTGCGAATTGGAATAGATCTCCTAACACCGCTTCATCATGGCTGGGCCCCTGTGGTTTGATAGTCTTTCCTTTCTTCGTCTTCGACCGTGCAGAGGCGATTGTTTCATAGAAAGGAACAATCCATGAAGAAATTATATGAAGAAGCGACGAGCCCGCGAAATCCAATTTCCTACCATGGTCCGAGAGGGAGATCAAGGACTGCACGCGTGCTGCAATCGCATCTGGTTCAGTTGGAGAAGCGATTGATTGAAATACCACACGTCTAGCTGATGGGGATAGATCTTGGCGGGCTGCGATTGCTTCTAATAGCCTAGCACCACTTTTTTGGGCATCCAGGGAACTTTCATGATGCAAGAGATACTCAGCCGCCTCCCACAGCACCAGAGACTGCTCGGAGTTGAACCATGAGAGGGTCTTTGATAGAAGCTCTGCTTCCTCGATCGCCTGAGTCAAATTTAGCCTTTGCGATAAGTTGTGGAGGGATGTCTCGAAATCCGGGGCACTTGGAGTGTCCGAGGAACTCGGCACGACACTGCCACGATGCATTGATTCGAGTCCGTATACAAAGCGATTTGTTCCACGACTATCTGTATGCGACAGCGAATCGCTGCTGCTTTCTTGTAGGGAGATTGGAGAATGCGATTTTGGTCGACCGACGCCTAGAGTTTTGAAGACATCTGCAAAGCTTGTTGATGAGGGTTTATGCTGGGAGAATGGTGGCACATCATCAGAAGACATCCGCCTGACGGCAGAAAGTAAGTTGAGTCAAAAAGATGCGGCGTTCAAACTATTTGGCAGCGAAGTTAGTATAGGTATTGCATCATCGATCATCCATATGTAGTGATAGACCAAGTCGAGGGGCGCAGAAGAGATGTTTACCTCTTGGAGTTAATAAATAAGTGGTTATGGCCACATAGAAAGCTGCTATGGTACGAAAATGTACATGCAGGGACAGAACAAATGCCTAGCAAGCTGCGACAAAGTGTAACTGGTGATCAATATGAGCACACCAAACGACACTGGTCGGTAGCGGATAGTGAATTGGCCTGGAATCACCAGGTAGAAGGATGTATATGAATGAAGCCAGTAGCCCGCTGGGTCAATGAGACAACAAGCAAGTGATGTGATGTGGGCTGAGGGGGTTATCAATCATGCACCGGAGATGAAGATATTCCAGCCCAATCACCTGATGTACTTAGTCCTGATGTCACACACCGCCCAGTATGGATCGGCAGATAGGGCGGTGAGGGCGTATCAAAGTTTAGCCATATTACTACTTGCTCCTACGTGTGATGCTAAGTGATTTAAGCTATGGCTACATGCAGAGATGTATAGAAGTAGTTGACACGTGATATTTTTGAGCCAGGTTCTTCCCACATAGTATACACACGTTTCAAGCCTGCCTCTTCTCTCTGCCCTGCTGATATCGTTCAAATCACATGACTGATGAGTTTATCGGGAGGGCAGAAAAGTCAATCAAAGTGGGGGGCGGTGACCACGGAAAGGCGATTTTACAGCTTCAAAAATTATTTCCATTCTTTCTTCCCCCTTGGCAGAAGCCAGGTACGGCACCCTACATTTCTTTCTATTTCAAGGGAATTTGTTTATACTGGTGGCTCTTTTTTTAATTCAATCTCAAATTTCACATATCTTGTCTTGGTTGTCTGTTTCATCCCCATCGTCGCCAGGATGAAGTACGTCGTTGTTTCTGGAGGTATGTATTCTGAACCGCTCTCTGTTGAAAAAATAGTAGTAACTGACTCATCTATGACAGGTGTCATCAGTGGCATCGGGAAGGGCGTAATTGGTACACCTATCTGAACCGAAATAGCGAAGAAAAAGTCCGCTCAGTCTAATGCTTTCTCCAGCCTCGAGTACCGGTTTGCTGCTGAAGACTCAGGGTGCCCGAGTCACCTCGATCAAGATCGACCCTTATATGAATGTCGATGCGGGAACTATGGCTCCCACCGAGTATGTGATATATCAGTCTTCCTTCCTGAGCTGGCCCTGATTATCGTTTCCTAGGCACGGAGAGGTGTTCGTGTTGAACGACGGTGGTGAAGCGGATCTCGATCTCGGTAACTACGAGCGGTACGTTTCCTTTTTCATGGGGTTTGATAAAGCTTGAAAAATCAGAATCTCATGGATCTTGTGCGTTGCAGGTACCTTGGAGTTACCCTGGGAAGAGATAACAACATCACAACCGGAAAGGTCTACAAGCATGTGATCGAGAAGGAGCGCCGCGGTGATTACCTTGGACGTACTGTCCAAATCGTGCCTCACTTGACAGACGCCATCCAGGAATGGATCGAGCGTGTGGCTAGAACCCCCGCCGACGACACGAACGAGGAGCCCGATGTGTGTGTTATCGAGCTGGGTGGCACACTTGGGGACATTGAAAGTGCTCCTTTCGTTGAGGCTCTGCGTCAGCTGCGTCGCCGGGCTGGCAAGGACAACTTTGTCCAGATCGTAAGTTCGTCCTGATGATTATCAGACTCTAGACAATACTAACTCCTTTATAGCACGTTTCTCTGGTTCCTGTCATTCACGACGAATTGAAGACTAAGCCCACTCAGCAGGCTATTCGGGACGCTCGCTCAGCTGGTATGAGCCCGGATCTCATTGCATGCCGTTGCGAGAAGCCCCTTGACAAGGCCACCACCGATAAGATCGCTATGTTCTGCCAGGTTGAGCCAGAGCAGGTGATTGGTGTGCACAATGTTAGCTCCACTTACCACGTTCCTCTGCTTCTCGAGCAGCAGGGTTTCCTTGGAGTTCTGGGCGACCTTCTCAACATGAAGAAGGTATACATCTCCGAGGCCCAATTGACCAAGGGTCAGTCCACTTGGAAACAGTGGAAGACCCTTACAACTGCCCAGGAGCACACCTTCGAGACTGTCAACATTGCTCTCGTTGGCAAGTACGTCAGTCTCCACGACTCGTACCTGTCTGTCATCAAGTCGCTGGAGCACGCGGCTATGGCTTCCCGCCGAAAGCTCAACATTATCTGGGTCGATGCCTCTCACCTTGAACCCGAATGGGAGGAGACCAACTCCAAGGAATACCACAAGGCGTGGTATGATGTTCACACTGCCAATGGAATCTTGGTTCCAGGAGGCTTCGGCACCAGAGGTACCCTCGGAATGATGCGCGCTGCCCACCACGCTCGTACCAAGAACAAGCCTTATCTTGGTATTTGCCTGGGTATGCAAATTGCTGTTATTGAATATGCCCGTAATGTCTGTGGCCTTGAGGGTGCCAACTCGGTCGAACTTGACGAGCGCACCTCTCACCCGATCGTGGTCTACATGCCTGAAATCGATCAGGTGAACCTTGGTGGTACTATGCGTCTTGGCTCTCGCCCTACTCTCTTCCAGGAGAACACTGAATGGTCCAAGCTCCGCTCCCTCTACGGATTGGACCGCACTTCTATCGATGAGCGTCACCGCCACCGCTATGAAGTTAATCCTGAGTACATTGACCAGCTCCAGAGCGCTGGTCTTCACTTCATCGGTAAGGATGATCAGGGTGAGCGCATGGAGATCGTCGAGCTCAAGGACCACCCCTGGTATGTGGGTGTCCAGTTCCACCCTGAGTATATCTCTCGTGTGCTTGCACCCAGCAAGCCATTCCTCGGATTCGTCTCCGCTGCGGCCGGTTGCTTCGACCAGGTTCAGGCCTCAACTCAGGCGAAGGAGATGGAGTTGGCTAACGGGGTCAGCAAGATTGTCGTCTAAGCATTGGTGGTTCCAATCGATGGTTCCATAGGAGTTTGTATTTGTCACGAAAAGCATATGATTATAGAGAATTAAATAAAACAATCCATATTATATTATTGTTTAGTGATAGATCCTCTTTGTACTCCGTATCGAGGTTCTTATTTCGAGTATGAAACTTTCTGCCTGAGGCATAAGGAGGCTCAAGCATGTGACGTGCTAGCCACATTGGGACTAGTGCATTGGCAGTGTTTATGTGGGCTGTTACAATTATCGATCGTTCGCATTATCTTTGAGCATAGGATCTTTGATCTTTTTTCTTCTTTGATTGTCAACCCTCCTACTTTCCTTTGACATTCCACTTATACTTGCCTTTCATTTTTTCCCTTTCAAGTTTCTTTCTCTTGCCATTTTCTCATCTATCCCCCTCACTCGTGTTGATACCCCACGTAACAAGATGGCGGAGGGTCTTGGAGCTCTGCTAGAGGCAAGCTTGGATCCCAGGCAGAATAAGGCCGGTAAGTCTAAGAGACTCTACTCCTGAAAGTCAAAAATAGTTTTGACTGATGCGGGTTTTTCCATTTCAGCCGAGATTACCCTTCGTCAGGAAGAACAGAAGCCCGGTTTCTCACTACAGCTTCTTCATATTACTGCATCGGAGGCTACGCCTTACAACACACGCCTCGCTAGTGCTCTATGCTTTAAGAATTTCATCAAGCGGAACTGGACGGACGAGGATGGAAACTACAAGCTGCAGGAGGAAGAGGTTGTGACTCTGAAGCGCGAACTGATCTCCTTGATGATCTCGGTTCCTCCTGGTATCCAGAGTCAGTTGGGTGAGGCTGTCAGTGTGATCGCCGACAGTGATTTCTGGGAGCGATGGGATACCTTGGTTGATGTAAGTTGCGACCCGGAAACTGTTCTAATGCCTCTACTGACCATTCGTTTGTTTTTTTCTAGGACCTTGTTTCCAAGCTGTCACCGGCCAACCCTACCGTTAATATTGGCGTGTTGCAAGTCGCACACTCCATTTTCAAGAGATGGAAGCCTTTGTTCCAGTCTGATGCACTTTACACCGAGATCAACCATGTCCTTAGCAAATTCGGTACTCCGTTCCTGGCCCTTTTTGAGGTACCTGAAATATTCTGCCCGATTTCCTTGAGCGACTTAGAAGCTAACACTTCCTAGGCACTGGACAACTATCTTGAACAAAACAAGACCAACAAAGAGAACCTAGCGCAGGGTTTCACCCAGCTTAATCTGATGGTCAAGCTGTTTTACGATCTCTCCTGCCACGATCTCCCCCCCATGTTTGAGGACAATATCGCTGCGATCGCCTCAATTTTCCTCAAATATCTGACTTACGATAACCAATTGCTACACACCGATGATGAGACGGAAGCCGGTCTGTTGGAATACGTTCGGGCCGGAATCTTTGAGGCTCTGACTCTCTATGTGCAGAAGTACATGGATGCGTTCCATCCTCATGTCGAGCAGTTCATTCAGAGCTCGTGGAATTTCCTTACCACTATCGGCCAGGAGACCAAGTATGATATTTTGGTCAGCCGAGCACTGCACTTCTTGACGTCTGTCGCAGGCATGCCCGAGCATGCTGCTGCTTTCCAGGCAGAGGAAGTTTTGGGTCAAATTGTTGAAAAGGTCATCCTGCCGAATGTGAGCCTTCGCGAGTCCGATGAGGAACTCTTTGAGGATGAGCCAATTGAATTCATTCGACGGGACTTGGAAGGGTCTGACAGCGAGACCAGGCGCCGAGCTGCCACCGATTTCCTCCGCAAGCTGGCAGAGAAATTCGAGGAGTCTGTTACTGGAGTTGTTCTGAAGTATACCCAGCACTATCTGGCCGAGTATGCTAAGGATTCCTCCAACTGGAGAGCCAAGGACACCGCGACTTATCTTTACTCTGCCATTGCCGCCAAAGGTACTGCTACCTCCTCGCACGGTGTCACTGCTACCAACCAGTTGGTTAGTATCACGGATTACTTCCAGCAGAATCTCGCCGCAGATCTGATCAATGAGGATGGCGTTCACCCTATTCTGAAGGTCGACGCCATCAAGTATCTGTATACTTTCCGCAGTATCATCACCAAGGAACAGTGGCAACAGGTTCTCCCCGTGCTGGTAAAGCACCTGGCATCATCTAACTTTGTTGTCTACACTTACGCTGCAATTGCTTTGGAACGAGTACTTTTCTTGAGTGACAGCCAGGGACAGCCAGTTATTCCCTCCAGCGAAATCACACCGCTTGCTAAGGACCTGTTGGAACATATCTTCCAGTTGATCCAGCGGGATCCAGCCCCTGAAAAGGTGCAAGAGAACGAGTTCTTGATGCGTTGCGTGATGCGTGTTTTGGTTGTGATCAAGGAGGGTGTTGTGCCTTTCACTGATGTCGTGCTCCAGCGTTTCATCACCATCACCCAGATCATCAGCGGGAACCCGAGTAATCCCCGATTCTACTACTTCCACTTCGAAGCCATGGGCGCCTTCATCCGGTATGTTACTCACTCCTGTTTTGATTTCTTTCTTTCCTTGTCTTCCCCCCCCCCCCCTTCTTTCTGGGTGTTAGAAACTAACTTCAATAATAGGTACGCTGCTCCCGCCAACCCAGACAAGCTCGAGCAGGCTCTTTACGCGCCTTTCGCTGGTATCCTCCAGAATGACGTGCAGGGTGAGTGAAATCAAAGGAATCCATTTTCGTGAGTACTGTACCGTACTGACAATGCTCAGAATTCATTCCCTACGTTTTCCAACTCTTCGCGGCGCTGCTTGAGGCAAACCCATCCGCCACCCTCCCAACCTATTACCAGGAGCTTATTGGCCCTATCCTGATGCCTGTCATGTGGGACTCGAAGGGCAATATTCCTGCCTTGGTCCGGCTACTTTCCTCGATCATTCCTCGTGGTTCGCAGTACATTGCAGAGCATAACCAGATCGAGCCCATTCTTGGTATTTTCCAGAAGCTGGTTTCCACCAAGGCCAACGAGAGCTTTGGGTTTGACCTCCTGGAAACCGTTGTTGCTAATTTCCCACCGTACGTTTCCCATCATCAAAGCATACTACCGACGGCTAACTAACTCTTCTCTCGCTAGAACTGCCCTTCAAAACTACTTCAAGATGATCATGCAGATTATCCTTCAGCGGCTGCAAAACTCCAAGACAGAGAACCTGACTCTCCGCTTTGTTCGCTTCTTCCACTTCCTCTCGGCTCAGGACGACAAGGGCTACAGTGCCGACTTCATCGTCCAGGTCACCGACGAGGTCCAGGATGGGTATGTGTCGTCACCTATATCATCTATCTTGCTGATGTGCTAATTAATCATTAGACTTTTTGCCCCCATCTACATCAATGTTATCCTACCTGAAACCCAGAAACTTGCCCGGCCTTTGGATCGCAAGACCGCTATAATTTCCTTCACCAAGACCCTTGCCAATTCGCAGGCGTTTGCCACTCGCTACAGTCAGAAGGGATGGGGATTCACCTGCACAGCCTTGCTTAAGCTCCTCGAGCTCCCCCCGCTGCCTACCACCACAGACGTTATTGTTGAAGCTGATGTCGAGGACATGTCTTTCGGTGTTGGCTTTACTGCTCTGAACACCATCCGTGCTCAGCAGAAGGATCCATGGCCTGAGACTGGTGCCGACCTCAAGGTTTGGGTGAAGACATACCTGAAAGATGCTGATAAGAAGCAGAGTGGCCGTGTGTCACAGTTTGCCCAGGAGCGTCTTGACGCCGAGACGAAGACTGTGTTCGCAAGCTATATCTCTTAATTTTGGGGTTGCCACGACCCAATTTCTTTTCAAGCAACCGAAAACAAAAAGTTCAACCTTCGGGCGTTTGCTATACGTTCCACAGCAGCGCAACTTTTCCCTCATTCCCCTTACTACACACTATGCATGTTGCAATGAGACCCTAGATCTATGAAATAAATGTTTGTTTGATTTTCCATTTAGAGAAGACAGATGGAAATGTAGATTTCCCGAAGCCAACGCTCGAACATCGATCTAGTAGACCTAGTATACAAAATCACAAGGATCAACTTTATATCATACACTCTTTCCACTCTGTTCAGAAGATGTAGACTCATCCGCAACCTCTGATTTAGCTTCCAGGGTTTCATCCGGTTTTACATCTTCGTCCCAGATAATTTCAATCTCATCCTCCTCTTCTTCAACTTGTCCCTCCTTTGCCCCCTCTGCAAGCTCCCGATACTTCCTCCTCGTCTTCTTCAACTTACTAGCCTTCTTCTTGCGCGCCGCCGCGGCTTTGATTGCAACCCGGCTTTGATCCCCCTTTGCCTGCGCTTCAACTCTATCCGCCAACAGCGAGCGCGCGATCTTCGCATTCTGCGATTGGGAGCGCGTCGCTTGACATTTTACTACCACCCCGCTTGGCTTGTGGATAATTTGAACGGCCGAGTTGGTTTTGTTCTGGATTAAGTTAGGTTTAAACTTGGATCTGGAGCTGCGAGCCATGCAGAAGATCGAAGAGAGTGAAAGAGGGACGTACAATCTTCTGTCCGCCAGGCCCGGTGCCTTTTAGGTAGGATATTGATATGTCGGCATCGTTGATTTTGAGACGCGGAGGGAGGGGTTTGGCAGGGACAATGGGGGATTGGCTGAAAAGACGAACGGGTGCCGCTAGTACCCGGGACTTCGTCCACCAGCGAAGGCTAGGAAGCATGATGTTGCTGCTGGCGTTGTGGTTTGCGGACGGTTGAGGTTATTGCGTCGACCGAGGTTTGCTGATAAGATAAGCTGCAGTATGGTCGCTTGATGTTATTCTGCTCCTTTGGCGTGTGAATTCGATGAGACAAAACCTATGAACAGAGCACATTATATACATAGACGTTTCAATCCATTCGATAGGGTAATGACCGGCTGATTCGAAGTGTTGATGGTTACTAGGTACTTTGTCGGCTTGCCGAGCGGCCTCAGATATACAAATAGCTATTGCATAGTACATATATGTACATAATGTATGTGGAATGATTAGGATAGGTAGTTGCTTTGGCGATTATTTGCCCCAACACCACGTTCCAAGTATATTTTTAGGTATCGCCTATGCAGCTTAAATCCGCTTATAGCAGGTAGGTAGCAAAAGGGGCCTCGAGCTGTATCCAGAGCTTGCTGCCTGCAAAACGAGGCATTCAGGTGCATGAAGACCCGACAAGAGGATCAGTTGGCTATGAAAGGAAGATATATCTGTAGGCATTACATGTGTAAGTAGGATGTGTGGGAAGCTATATCGCTGTTATGATTTCCGCACTGCACAAAATCTGCATATCTCAAATTATGAAGTACCGGGTACTTGGGTTTCAAGCGGAGTATAGTGGGAACCTTGTGTACTAGGTACAAACGCCGCGGCAAAAAAGGAAAGGGGAAGGGTTTTGCGGTTCTCCAGCTTCGCTATTCGTGTCCGCCCTCTTCTCTTATTCTTCCAGCCAACCCACCGCAACGCCTCGATTCAAAATCTCGACCATAACGGCAATTCTCTGAATCTCCCACGCCCCCGCGACCTTCGGTGACCTCACTTCCTCACCATTTTCCCAAGAAGAGTCGATCTGGAACATCGCCGCCCATCTCTCCGCAACATCTCTATTCAGCCAGGCATACATAGAGTGCACCGAAGCTGAGCCAATTTCTGCTCCGAATCTTTTCCCTGCATTGGTCCACGGGGCCACTTGGTCAAGAGGAGAAAAAATTGGACAGTGCTGCAGACCGCAAGAGGGAAAGATCAGGACATCCTACAATCTTCCGAATACCCCACCACAATGGAGATCATTATCTGGGCCGTGTCTAGTCTCATCCGCTGGATGCGATTGAAGGTTTATCAATACGAGGTGACCTTCTCCCTCTACATGCTTACTCCCATCGAGAAGCTCATCTTCAGTACGTCGCGCCTCCCACTTCTGAAATACTTTGAGTATGTCATACTGACCATTGTCCCCCTTGATAGATACACTGCTTCTCGGTCTTTTTGCCATGATCGCTATGGGAACCTACATTTACCTCCCTGACCATCTCCGCGCCATCTACGGCCGCCTCTACTACTACTGGGCTGGCGAGCGCCTGTTCAGCTCAGGTCGCTTGTCGATTAGCTCGGTGTTTGGCGAAAATGGCGTGGCCACACAAATCGGAGGTATGGTGTACGAGACGGCAAAGAACGCCGCTGCCACCACCACCGAGCGGATGGCTGAACTGTGAATAAAAGCCCGACGCCGATAATGGTTGCATTTGCATTCTCTATTGCCCAAGAGTGAGATCCTTGTGATGTTTGTATCCTCAAGGACTACTCGTATGTACTCTTCCTGTTGGGCGGCGCTTGTTTGGAGTTCTTGTATTCTGGGAACTTGGGGGCATCCATCCCTATGACTTGCATTGTCGCAGCGCGGCGGATCACATTATTAATAATTCTTGTCTTTTATTTTATTTTTTTGCTTGAGTCTTTTGTGCCACACGCTGTTTATAAATCTGCCTTTTAGTTGGCAGAATTCTGTGGTCGATTGATATCAATCTGTTATTATTGGAACGTGATCACGATTGAACTTAATATTTGCACACTTTTCCCATCTGAATGATATACACAGAATATAGATGGTAGAATCAAAAAGTCATATGATGTTGAATAATGCAGCATCGAAAAGAAAACGCCAAAACGCCCTTGATGCCTAGAGTAGAGTGTTGTACAAGGAAACTCCTCAATCGGCATGTGTAACTCCACAGCGCGATGCCAAATTTATGCTCAGTCATGATGACCGCTGCAAAAGAGAGAAGGAAGGGTATTTCCATGGATAGCCGGCTCCTTTCACAAGATCCTTCCCTTTCCGGGGAGCATTGGCAACAAGCGCATGTCCCACTCCAGGCCAATGTCACGGGCTGTTCTCAATCATAGTCCTAGCCCGAGAATTTCATTGCTGAGTCTGCGTCGCCTGGATCTGTGATTGTGCCAGCGCATCAGCCTGCGCTTGTGCCCGTGCCTCCGCCGCCAATCTCTGTTCCCGTTTTACGACATCCACCATGCGCATCCGCGCCAATTCCTGGTCAATCTCCTCCTTGTCCAGCGGGATCTTATGCGACTGCTCAGCGGTAGGCCAGAAGCCCTTTGTAGAGAAACGGTCGTCGAGGTTTGTACCGAAGTAGTACATCCAGCCGATGGGGAACAGGACGTACATCCCGAACTATATTGGACTCGGGTTAGTCCATGGAACCGGCAACGAAGGGACATGCGTGAATTGTGTCGTCTCAACAGACTCGTCGGTTACGCACCTTGAAGACTTCGAGGTTGCCGCCCTGCAACTTGCGGAATATTTGCGACATGGTGAGAGTTTGATAGGCTGTTGTTTTCTGCGGGGTACTGCGGAATCCGTACGTTGGGATTCGGTGAAGTTGGCGGGATGTGCGGAATTGGGAATATCAACTGGATATCGGTTGAACAAGAGCAGTGATAGTGTGTAAGTTGATCTTCAATCGCCGAGTGGTGCCACAGTCTATCGACCAGTCACGGACTTGATTATTGGATCCATGGATTTGCGCAAACAGGACAAACAGGTACACCATGCCATTATATCATGTGACCTCTCCTTGTGGAAATTGTTGCCTGAGGCATATATCAACGTTTCGTGCCTTATATATAAGGCTTCATTACCTATCGGAGGATAATGATGAGGTGCCTATGTACCTATGGTATATAAAGACAAATATTAGCAATCTTGCGGGAATATAATTGAAGCCATATTTCTATTCCCGGAGAAAGAAACAAGAATAGATATGTGGTTGAATGTCGTAGTTTCCAAAGTTATGATTTGATTGTATTGTACATATCCGTAAAAGTTGCGGCTTTTGTCTATTTAATGGTGATACAGTGGGTGTAAAAGGGGATGTTCGGGAATAGTGACATGAGCCCTGAGACAAAGGAAAATAAAGAATGTGCAGTGAATGTTTATAAGACAGGGGGAATGAAAAGTAGTAGGTGCGTCAAGCACCGAGGACTTATGTTCAAGACCTTAGCCAAGAGACTCGCCGAGGTGTGGCTCAGCGCACGGAGCGTCAATCTGGATGCCATGGTCCTGGGCCACACGAGTCTCTGTAGCAGTCTCTGTGACGGTGGGTTTCTCCGCCTCCACTTTCTTGGGCTCGTGGACCTTGCGAGTGGATGCGTACTTCAAGAAGACAATGATCATGACTATATGTAACAAATTAGTAAGTTAGAGACAGGTAACACGAAGAAGGTACACTTACAAGCACAGATAGCAACCGTCGAAGCAGCGCGTCTGGTCAAGATCCATCGAAGGCCCTCGATCTCGCTCTTTCCATCACTGTTCAACGAAACAGTGATCTTGTAATTCAGCTCCTGTACCGAGGTATCGATGCTGCGCTGCTGCTCTCGCGTAGTCATCTTGTGATCATTGAACATGCCCTTGATGTCGTCTCTCATGCCTGCAAGCTCCTGGCTGAGACGCTGCGAGATGATATCCGTTTCGTGCTGCAGTTGTGTGCGTGACGAGCGCTGATGCTGAACTTCTGAGTTTCGAGCGGTCTGAAGTGATGACTGAAGCTCGGAGCAGGCTGCTTTGAACAGGTATTCCTCGTTCTCGACATCAGATTTAGAAGTGAGGCTCTGCCTGGCCAAATCGAGGTTGTTCTGTAGGATGCCCCGCACAGCCTTCATGATTGTTGTAGAATGTTCATTGCTGAAACCTCCTTTGGAAAGATCCTGGACCAGCGAGTATGTATCGAAATGGTGCACGTACCGCCCTGGCGATAAATGTGGCGGGCGATCGTCGGACGAGGAAGGTCCCCCGGTTGGAGTGAGGTAGACGGACGGTGAGGGCATATGAAGAACGTCATCGAACGGAGTTTGATTTGTGAACGAAGATGTGTCCGTACTTTCTTCCGATGGGCCTGCGGAAGGAGGTGACGGAGAAGCCGAGGCCGGTTCCTGTTCGGCACCGTCCAATTCCGCTGTCTGCTCCTCGTGTGGTTCACGGTCTGTCGGGGGCTTGTGTTCCGGTGTTTCAGCTTCATCCTGTTGATCTAGGGCCGGGGTTGACGACGAGGCGGTCGTTGCGGGTTCTTGCTGGTTTTCCTCAGGTGTCGCTTCCGCCTGTGACTCTTCCGGCGAAGCTTCCTCCTGTTCGGAGGCATTCAAAGCCTTGTTTTCATTTTCTGGAGCCTCTTGAATCTGATCAAGTGAGCCGTCCTTCGGACGCAGCGGAGGAGTATTCGGTTCGACAGCTGGACCATAACGGCGCTGGTAGGCTTCGCGCTCGCGCCGCCGACTGGTATGGAGGCGATGAGTGGGATTGTATGGGAATCGCAGTGAGCGGTATGTACTAGGCTCACATGCCCGCACTGCCCGCATCAAATTTGGATACAGGAAAGGCAGCCTTGGGGTGGCCATGGTGGTAAACAGTGTTTGAAGAAGCTAACTTTGTTTCCCGCGGGGAATCACCCACGTCACTCCGAGCTGGAGACGCGCTGAGTAAGCTCCAACTTGCCCTAGCCCGAGGGATTTCATGGGTAACATCAGTGTACGGAGTAGACAGGAGAGACACACTTTAGAATCTCCTAATGTATAGCATTACCGACACATATGTTTGAACTAACCAGGGTCCATCACATCGTATAAAGAATACGGCCTGCAACTGCTGCTTCTGGGTAGTAAGAGTGATTAGATTATGCTTTGGTTCGGTTAGGGCGTCTCACACTGATGTTCCTGGCCGTTTTTAGCTAGAAGATATCTGATGCACTGCGAAACAGAAAGATTGAAGCAAAAGCTATATGAGTATAGGAACGGAACGGCGATAACCACACCCTAGGGCCTAAAGCTGTTCGTTCAGCCTTAGGCGGGATCTATCTGTCACATTGTACCCCAGTTGTAGACTTCTAGCTTGCCTACGTCGGGTTACAACATCAATGAGAAATTCTCCTGCTAATGTCAGTGGCATGCTAGCCGGGCTCGCAAACTATCCATCGTGGTAAAGAATTGACCCGCGAGGTTGCAATAACTCCTGGCCCAAACGCTGTAGGTTGATGCTGGCTCTGCCCGGAGACGGGAATTCGTCTGGGTATCGATTTTGGTGGGGGCAACGGCCTGGCCACGCAATGGGGGCGTTGCTTGGCGATATCTGCAAGGTGGTGGATCGAAAGAGTAGCAGTAATGTTGATCGAGGATCGTAGTAAGGGGTATCGGATGACTGAGGACCATACCATGCGGTTGCAGCTAGCTAGACATGGTGCTATATGCTGCGGCTCGTTAGAGAAATCCGGCGCGTTTATGACGGTCAAGGAAAACCTAGGGGTCGATCGTGAGCGTAAGACACGTATGATGATTTGGATAGTAGTACACCGTACGGAGTATAGTAGGATATATTCTCAAGTCAAGGACATTCCAAAAGCTACTAGAATGAACATGACCACGGGTTTATATTCGACGCTCTTTTTTATTTCAAAGACGAATGTGAATACACTTTCTGCCTGCAAGCTTCCAAGGCCCCAAGTTGATAAATATGTGGGGATATCCGGTATGTACCTTTTGTATGTAAACACGTACAAAAGGTACCATTGGGGCTGGGATTGGGGTCCGAGCCGGGCACAGTTCCCCCACCGCCGGTGGGGCGCTAAATCACGTGATGTCTAAAGGATATATATACGCGTCCGCGCCCCAGATATTCCTCTCTTTTCTTTCTTCTTTAGCTCTCTTTGCCTATTGGCTTAGATCAAGTGTAGTATCTGTTCTTTTCAGTTTAATCTCTGAAAGTTTCCGTCTTGGAAACACTTGGATTATTCCTATTTTTGGACCTCGCGACTTGGCCCCTGTGCTTGCACATGCCTCGTTGCACAGTGTCATCGGGCTTACACTGCCCCCGATCGACGCGACCCCTTTTTCATCACTTGAACGGCTTGTCCGGGCACTTGGAGAAGAAGTTGACTCCTCGCTAGACCTGGATCTTGTATCGCCACTATCCCATTTCGTTGCCTTCCAAGTCTGTTATGACCATGCGCGTAGTTTGTGCGTCTACGCGTACGTTTGTTGACTACCCCGATTGTTGCCTCCATTCGTATACCACTTTACGATGTGACCCATTTGCTTCTTTCGGAGAACCTTGCAGGCGTATCTTCTGCTCATCTCCTTGGGGTCTGTGTTGTATGTCCCGATGAGGGGCTTTGGACTTGCCTCCATTGCCATACCAACGCCATCCGGTGGCAAAACATCCCACGCCACCATTGTACTACGCCTAGCGAGAGGCTCTCGATTTGCGCTCAAGCTCGGAGACTCCCTAGAGCATCGCACATCCCATCACCACCGTCGATATGTACCAAACGTCCTCCGTACATCATCTTCCTCGACATACAACTTCAACTACATACTGTCACCACTTTCCATTGTCGAGGTATCAACAAAATATCTTTCACCCGCTACAGAGTCAACCCCTCCCGATCTCCTCAGCGAGCCTTGATTCTCAGTCATGTGCACCTGCGTGATATACAGTATCACGAAGTGCTCACCAGTTCGCCGAAGCTAGTGTCTACTCGTCCCATGATGCTTGCATCCAGCACACACCGTCGTCGAGTCGTCGCTCAACGCTGCATATCGCTTACCACCTAGTCCAGTCGCGCATATCTACCATGTGTGCCTCCCTTCAGCATGTCTGCGACTTCTAGTTCCTCCATATTGGCTTGGCCAACCACGCCAAGTACCACACGCCGTATTCCCGTCAAATCCCAAGTCTGTGTCAAGAGCGAAGTATGCCAAGCCCCAAGAGTCACTCATGGTTTTGCTCTCTCTCTCTCATTTTAGCACTGATCCAGTCGAGCTTTCACTGTTTGATGGCCCCCATTTCATGTCAACAGATTCCACCGAGTTGATTACCGAAACAATCTCGCCGAATTCCGTTGTTGAAGACCAGCGCCAGTCTGCCCACACGAGCCTCGATGCTCTCCAGCTACTTAGAGCATCCCCAACAAAGACTGCAAGCCTCTTGATTTCCGGGTAGTCCCACTATCATCCATCGGGATCTTCTTGCGGACAATGCCTTCTATCAGAGCAATGCCGAATGCCTTTCTACCTATAGTATACCAGCACAACCCCTGTCTATTATGACTGCCCAGTGGAATACCCATGTACGCATGCTCTACCATAGTAGCCACCCACAACTACTCCACATCGTATCAGAGGTAGGGGTTCTTTATAGATAAAACCATGTGCTGCTTTTAGCTTCAGCCTCTCTATTCATACCGCATTTTCTGTGTATTTTGGCGTTTCCATCCGTCGAATACTTCCCACTGTCGTGACTCCTCCTAGACACGCCCGCTCATGGACTCGTCAAGATTATGTCTCTTGTGGGCCTACAACTAGAAAATTGCAGCTAATTGGACCATAACTATCAGTTCATTGGAAGGAGATGTGGCTGAAATCAACACTTATATGCCGCGTAGATCGACCCACGATGAACCAACCCTTGATGGTATCACTCGAAAGATTATACCATACTGCACGATATGTACAATTTGCTAGTCTGCTTGCTAAAGATCTGGGTACGAGATAATCTTGTGGGGTATAATGATGGGGACTCATTCGTCTCAAATGACAGCAGTCTTCCCAGGGCCGATAGAGCTAACTTTCTTGTGAGAGCCCGTGAGCTTGGGTTCTAATCTGCCGATGGTCTACTAGTAGGAACTAGACATATTGAGAAGCTGTGTGATTGTTCATTTCTGGTCTTCCGGGATTTAGTCTTGCTGACAACTTCCCGTTGGCTACTGCGAAGTATAGCATCTATGTATGAGCATCTATACCCTATCTACTTATCGTATTCGATCAAAACTCAATCAGAATAAAGAACCCCAGTCCTAAAGGCCAAAGGACCTGGGCAATGGGCATCTGCATATCATTCTGTTTGCCAGATCAAGAGGCGTGGAAGGCGGTGGATGTTTGCTTGAAACAAAGGGAAAGAGCGAAGGATATAACTCTGAGGGAAAGACACCCTTTGGGGAAGGCACGCGCCTATGCAACAGGGTTGGGACCACCGCAATTCAACCCCGTCGTACCTCATGAGGCACTTCCAGTTTCTCGTCTCCCCCATCGACTTGTTTATCCTTCAGACACCTTCAACATCTCTCCCATCCTGCCTGTTTGAGGCTCCAATTGTCTTGTAGTTGATGCAAAATCATCGATCTTCTGACGCTCGCGATCCCACCCATCGAGTTTAACAAGAAAACACGAAATAAAAAAACACGGAAAAAAATAAGTGGGAAAAAAAAGACATTGCCTTCACGCTGCCCGTCTATCGACATTTGTCTCTGTTGACTGAACTTGGTCAATCGACAAAGTTCCGATTTTACTACATCGCAATCGCAATGGTGGCTGCGCAGACCCCATGGACTGCCATCCTGCTGCAGGAGAAGCCCGGGCTGCACGAGTACAACCATGCTCTGGCAGGCATCGAAACATACTACACCCGCTTGCATCGAGCTATGCAAGATGGTGCTATTCACGACCAGCTGGTTCTGAACCCAGACCAGACACACTCCCGCCTAATGAAATCCTTCGACATATTACGAGGGAAACAACTGCCGGGACCTGTAGTTGAGGAAATCTTCAGGACCATGGTCATCCAATTTATTGATGTCAATATTTTCTCTCCACCGCAAGTCATTCAACTTGTGGGATCCGCACTCCCTCTCATTATAAAGCAGCCTTCTCACTTTCTGCGAGACATCGCCGAAACCCTCCTCGGGTCAGCCGATTTATTCAATCATCTGGTGGCCAATGAAAGATACACCGGGGTACTGAAAGAATGGCTGCTGTCGAAAAGAAACTATCTTCCCCTTGCTCTCTCCAAGCAGGTGGGCGACAGACTCATTTCCATGTGCAATGTCTGTTCTGCCGACCATGGCACAAATGCTACTGCGGAGAGCTGGGACATGGCCAATAAACTCATTGAATCAATCAGTTCTTTGATTGAAACATCGACTGAAGAGGAGCTGAAACGAGGAAAGGTCGAAAATTTGCCTCCTTTGGAGTCGATGAAGCTATTGAGCTTGGACGACAAGAAGTCGACCTCAACAAACCATGGCCCTAAGAAGGACTTCAAGATTTCGGACGATATTCTTCAGCAGCTGAGGCATTTCAATATTCAGCTACCAATGTCCGCTCGAGGTTTTACAAACGCAATGGACCAGCTTCAAACCGAAATTATCCCATCACTCATGCGTTCTGCCTTGGAAAGCTTCCCCTGCAGAATCTGTTTGGATCATCTCACCACTGGCAGTCTTACAGGTACCCTGGCCAGCTCGGCAGATCTGCCCTCTGATCGTACTACAGCGCCAGGTAGTGCCCAGGACATTTTTGGAAAGCGAGTCGGCATTTGGAAAGTTCTACTCTCCGACGTTGCTTTCAAAAATGCTAAGAAATTGGTTCAAGAGGGTGAGCTATCTAGTGCCTTATTTTACGTTTTAGCAGTTTCTGACCAAAACTAGCCGAATTCGCTGGCGTGGAGCAAAGACTCAGAGATCTTGCCAGCGGCGAATGGAAGGGCAAAGATCTCTCTCGTCGTGTGGGATCCAAAATGCAGAGAAAGCGCATGCAGATTCCTATTTTGGAAGTGAGTGCTTCTGCAACGGTTTCAATCTTATGGCAGGTTGATGTTGGGTTTTATGAGGAACTTCCCTGGGTCCAACAGCAGATTGTCAAAGGTGAATTTATTCTCGCTGCTCATGAATCTAGATTTGTGCTAACCTTAACAGTCTGGCAAATTGTTGCATCGGAAGAAGAGGTAAGCTTCTACAACAACCAGTTGAAGCAATATGCTAACTTTGCATCATAGATGGAGACTGCAATTGAGCAGATCCTTTTGATTCAGGAATCTTACCCACCTGAGCTAGTTCAATTTTGTTTGCATCGCCCCATACAGCAATCTGATGGAACCTGGATGCCACAGCGGTTTAACAATGTGAAAGAAACTGGTTCCTACCAGATGAGATCCATCGCTTCTTCCAGTGCAACCCCAGCACTTATTGATATGTCAAGTATGAGTCTAGACCTTTTCAAGATAGCTGTGCGCTGCAAGCTAACGATGGCTCTTTAGACAAGTTTTACAATCTCACTGAGCCGTTCCTGAAGTCGATTGTGGATGAGAATGGCACAGAAGAATTCCCGTTTGATCTGTCACCGGAAGAATTGGAGATTGTAAAGCACTTCAGTACATCAAGCTTGATTCTGGGACGGAGTGGCACAGGAAAAACCACATGTTTGTTGTTCAAGATGCTTGCCAAACATAAAGCAAGACAGTCAAATTCGGATGAACAACAGGCTCGACAGGTACGTCGTTTTTCTCTCGCATTGTGACTCAAGAGCTGACATCTATAGCTTCTCTTAACTCGCTCTTCCTATCTGGCTTCTAAGCTCCAGACATATGCCAAAAGTCTCATAGACACCCAGTCTCAATATCCATCGACTGAAGAAGATGTTGACTCTGACTTGAAGCCGACTTCGTTCTTTGCCTTGAAGAATTGTCATTTTCCAGTTGTTTGCACTTATGAAGAATTCCTCGCACTTCTGGAGAATACAATCAGGTTTGAACCGCTTCAACCTCGCGGCTGTCAGAATCTTCTTGCTAACAGTACTTAGGATGGCCGATCGAAAGGACTTCCTGAAAGATATGGTTCCCAATAAGACCAAGATTATCGACCCCAAGGGGAGCGATAGACCACGAGTAATCGATTTCAGCATTTTCAAGACAGAATATTGGGGTTGTCTGAGTGGAATGGCTCCACCATCCTGTTCTCCAGAACTCCTTTTCGCAGAGATTATGGGTGTCATCAAAGGCTCCAGTGTCACTGCCAAGAGTTTGAAACCGCTGTGTCGTGCCGAATACGTCAAAAAGAACGCAAAAGCCTCTCCTGCATTCACTTCCGAGACAGACCGTGAAAAGGTTTTTGCAGCCTTTGAGCGTTATGAAAAGCAAAAGAGGTTTCGCAAGGAAATTGACGAGCTAGATCGAGTCAGTGGCTTACTTAGGTCCCTGAGAGATAATAGAGCTCTAGCTGAGCAAATTCAACGTTGTTTTGAAGAGATCTACGTTGATGGTGAGTCTATCTCCATTATTTAATCCCATAATATCAGTTACTGACCTCATGTTCAGAAATTCAAGACTTGCGTTGTCTTGATATTGTCTTGCTTCTGAGCTGTCTCAGCGATGCCCGAGGCATTCACCTTGGTGAGTTCAACCAACCTGATCCACATATCCATTCAACTGACAAGGTTATAGCTGGTGATACTGCTCAGTGCATCTCGAAGGATTCGGTGTTCCGATTCCCTGAGATCAAGGCTTTGTTCTACGAACACTACGAAGTCATTGCCAACCAACTGAAGCAACCGTCATTTGGAAAGCCTGTTCAGTTTTCCCTGGCTAAGAATTATCGCTCTCATCAGGGGATCCTGAGTTTTGCCTCATGGGTGATGCAGCTACTCTGGCAAGGTATGATATGGTCACCATTATATTCGTCCTTTTCTAACTTCTAGTCCATAGGGTTCCCTGAGACAATTGATAGATTAGACCCTGAAATTGGCCAGATTGGAGGACCGAAACCAATCATCTTTGGTATTTCACCTTTCTGAATTATGATTTAATCACTAACATCTTCACACAGCGGGTTTCGACTCTTCAATTCTTTCTGCCAAAATGATCGGCTTGGTCAAGCTCAATGACAAGGTCGCCGATTTTGGCGCTGAGCAAGTTATCCTTGTCCGTGACGATACATCTAAAGACAAACTTCAAACCCAGATTGGCGAGATCGCGCTTGTTCTTACGATCTTGGAAAGCAAGGGTATGGAGTTTGACGATGTCTTGGTGTATGACTTCTTCGGCAGCAGTGGCCTTGGCAGTAGTTACCGATGCCTTCACATGCTTGTCCAAGGAGTGCGGATGCAATTTGATTCCCAGAAACATGCAGTGAGTCTGGCACGGAGAGTTTCCGTCTGCTGAGGTTGCTAACACGCCTTGAATAGGCTCTCTGTTCTGAACTCAAGGTATACCTAATTCCCCTGACATCGTTTCGTCCTGCTAAAAAGTGCCAATAGTCCCTGTATGTTGCCGTCACTCGAGCCAGAAAGCAGCTTTGGTTTATGGAAACCCAAGCGAATAGCGTTGATCCTGTTCTTCAAGCACTCTCGCAGAGTAATAACGTAGCGCTCGCTGAAGTGGTGAAACAGAAGGACTCCAATGTAAGTGATTTTGGCTTTTGAAAAGATCCTAATGCTAATGATACCTGTCAGGTGGCGGAAAAGGTAAAGGTTCTGCGAGCCGGTGGTTCGGTTGACCCAGAGAGATGGCTCAAGAGAGCAGCACATCTTCTCCACCGGAAGAGCTTTGCAGAGGTAAGAGAATTTCAGCCAACCCAGGGAAGCCGACATGTTAATTACAATAACATAGGCACTGTTTTGCTACAAGAAGGCCAATGACCCTCGGGGTATCACTCATGCGCAGGCCTGCTTATACGAACAAGAAGGGAGATCCTACCGGGCAGCTGGAGACACCGAGGAGTTCACCGCGTGTTACGAGAAGGCAATTGTCCTTTTCCTCGAAATTGGTCTGATTAATGAATCCGCAAGCTGTTATGAGGGCCTCGGACAATTCGGCAAAGTTGCGGGTTTGTTTTCAAACATCACGTCAAGTTCGAAAAATTACTGACCTATTTTATAGAACTCTGGAAGAACCATGAGCAATACCAAAAAGCTGCATCATTCTATGAGAAGGGAAAACTTTTTGCTGACGCTTCAGAGTGTTATCATGCTTGTGGGCAATACGAGTCAGCAATCGAGGTCTTGCGCCGCGGAGACCAGTTTGATGAACTTGTCACCTATGCAGACAGGTATGTTGCAACATATGGTTCTGCTACCTATTATGCACAAGATATTGACACCCTATAGGAATCGCGAGTACCTTAGTGAAGCCACCTTGCTCCGTTACTCGAGACTTTGCAATATTTTGCTGAAGCAGGGACGTGTCTCCGCCAATCTGAGGGCAACAACTATCAACCTGCTTGGATCAGATGTGTCGAAGATTGCTTTCTTCAAAGAATTCGAGATGTGGGATCAGCTACGAGTCCTATATGCGACAAAGTCCAGGTGGTTCGAGTACTATGATCTGTCGCTGCTTTCCGGTGATATCCCTGCGGCGATCAGCACATTGCTGGTTCGCAAGTTATTGCCAGTGGTCGAAAAGCCAGTATTGGAGAAGCTGTTCAGTTACGCTATGGTGGAAATTCTGTATGCCCACATAGGCTTAATTCCAGTCAATCCCGAACGAGAGTCTCTGCTGAGGTCAGTCAAATCGACCTGTCTTGAAAGCCTTGGGGCTCAGTGGAAAGCATTGTTCCTGCTGATTGATGATTTGGACGACATGGATGTCTCTACATCATCCAAAAACTTGGATAAAGGTCTTTTGAAGGATATCTTCTGTCTTTTTGTTCGTTGCCAGCCTTGCAATTACTTACGGGCAGTCGGCTAATATCATCTAGGTGATCTCCTTTGAGCCGTCAGTGTTCATCAAGAATCAAGTCGAATACCTTCCTATGGATATCATGATCCGAGCCGGAAGACTATTCCATGAGTTTGATTCTGGGAACCAGTACTCGCTCAACGCCCTGGCCATGACATGTGGCATTTTCACCAATCCAAAACAAGAGAGTCAGACCCTGTTGCTTCACTGGTCTCCGCTGAGGTCTTACACGGTGACATCTCTGGAGGGTTCTTCATTCGAGAGTCTACTCGGCATTGCGAAAGACTTCATGCAAGATAAATTTGCGGCAGCACTTGCCCAGTTTCATGAGAGTGCATTCAGTCTTATGAAGGATGAATATCCGATGACATGTTTCTATCAGCTCAACAGAGGTAAGCTACAGTCTTATACCAGCTAACTTCAATGATCTAATAATTTCGACTAGGATACTGTGCAAAACACAAAACTAATGAATGCCCGTGGTGGCATGAGAAGCCCACTCTTGAATTTGCCGTCGCGAAGCTGAATGTGAGTAGAGAAAAAGCAGTAGAAGGGATAAGGATATGAACTGACGGTGTTGTCAAAAGTGCCTAATAACCGTGGCTGAGGTCTTTGCGCGCCTCACGCCTCTTTATCACCGACGGCTTCTAGGCGAAGAATGCAGCAAAAGCTTCCTGGGTCGTAGTAAGTCATTGCCTCGGATTTCTTATGTAAATCAAACCTGACATGTGCTATAGGGAGAACTTGGATTCAAAGAATCCAGGATGAGGTCTTGATTGTCACTTCGCTTGAGCAATCTTCGACAGCAATTGCAAACTTACGTTCCAATCTGCAAATCAAACCAGAGTTTGCTTCAACCGCCTACTGTCTAGAAGAGCTGCTCTTCTATCGCATGAGCAGGGAATGGGGTTCAATGATCAGTCTAAGCACTTCTCTAGAGAAGGTCCAGGAAGCCCAATTTCTTGGTATGGTAATGTAATTCTCATTATATCTGGAGATGATATTAATGATTACTGAATTCGCAGGTCCTTACCCAGCGGCACGATTCCAGCGAGCCCTTTTACTAAGTTTGGAGCGCAGTATGCCAAGCTCTCAGCGCTCCGGTCATCCACTCGCGGTGCCTCACAAGGCTCTGAATGCCGTCGAAAGGATTCGCTTCGGGGTCGCAACACGCAGACTTCAACCATTTGTAAGATATGCGGCGGTCCTATATTGTTGAATCAAGCTAATTCTCTATTAAAGTACAATGGTGTCGGAGACTTTATCCTATGCCTTATGGAAACACCTAAGTCCGCGCTTGGGTCTTTGCACGCAGTTCTCTCTGTGCTTGAGTTTGTAACAACCTATATTGTGAGCCATCTAAATCCCGGCGTTGATTCAATAAGCTGATTATGTCTTCCAGCTTTGCGTGGCCAACCCAGGCAAGGGTATTGTTGTTCCCTGGTCTTGGGCCGTACAACATCTTTCAACAATCATGCAGTCGCCCGAAAGAGAACATGTGTTTAAGGACAGAGAGATCAGAATCCACACCACCATCTTGATGAATGTTGTTAAAGACTTTTGTGTCCTCCTCGACGATCTCGAGGATGCGATCGGTCGCGGCCAAGTCAGGTTCCAAGGCATTGGACGGAGCAACTGGCTAGTTCCCATCGTCAAACGGCGCTGCATTGAGCTTCTGACGACTGTGAACCTCAACCTGAATTATTGGCCGAAGCAGCCAATCGGATTCAAGGATGCCGAAAAGTTGGTTATCAAGGTGTGTTCATTCGCTTGTGAATACCTTTGCCTGAAGCAAGAATTGACTGACCCTTAAATTGTATCCAGACGATCCGGTACCATGCTCCCCAAGGGATGGCATTGGAATTTTCTAGTCCTGAAAGGCTCCGACAGAGTTGTATCCGCGAGTATGAGGCCTACAATCAAAAAGATGAGCTTTGCGTTATTACGCTCGATGACAGAAAGTCTGCTCCACTCTTTCTACGATCCTTCACACAGGGCAACGCCAAGTTTGCTCAGCTCAGTGAAGTCTTGCGGTTGTCGCATATTGCCGAGAATCCCCTATCTACAAGCCTGGAAGATGATTGGCAGATTGACGACTATACTGGATACGAGCTAGAGATGATCAAGAATCTCCAGCGACGCTGGCGGGAGGTAATGAAGATCCTCGAGAACAACAGATGCAGGGTACAGACACGCGAGGGCCAGCTTATCCAGCGTTTCCATGACATTTGCACCAGAATCATGAGTTCTCTACCAGCCGCCGCTTGGCCAAGCCGGGAGAAGATACACATGCGCAAAGTGGTCTTCACTGAGGGTGTCAAGATTGCCATGGCTCTGGATCGTGTTGATTTGAGTTTCCGACAACTGAAGGACCGCTGGAGGCAACAGTTCGAAAGCATTTGGTCCACAGAGAAGCTCGAGGAGCTCTCCATCATTCGTGGCCGTATTCTGCCTCTTGATGGACAGCTTGAATACATCATAGAACACTGGTCTCCAAAGGGCATTCAGGACGGTATGATGAACGTTCCGGCTGAGACACTCGGCGTGTCAGCTCGTGAGGCCCAGCGTGCTCTATGGGCTGTTCAGCATGAGATTGATATTATTCGATCTCAGGTTGAGATCATTGCGAAGAGACCTGATCTTTGAGGGTTTCTGTTCTCTCTTTCTTTCTCTGTGATTGATTAGCGAAGTATTTCATATGCCGCATTTGAGGGAGAAGTACACCCTGGAAAAACCAGCAACGACCCAAAAAAAGTTGGAAATCACGAAAGCGATGGGAGAAAGTTATCTGGGGACGATCTGTTTAACGGGAGAATATTTGTTACCATCTACATACGTTCTAGTCTATGATGATAGGATGATTGTATGAGATATGGTTGTACGAGATATGATTATATGAATTGAAGTGTATGACATGTTTACATCCATGTACAATGTAGTCGATGTCGTATCATCGGTTCAAACAAAGTAAAAAAGATACAATATCGATTTTTGAGAGGGATAATGTATGAGGGATGGGTTTAAACAATCACTCAGCGTCGCGCCAAGAGACCAAATAGTAGCTCCGTGCGAGCCCAATACTCAACTGCAAGCTTCTTGATGGACTTGACGGTCTCTGCACTGCAGCCAGCACTCTTTTGAGCGCGCTCAACGACACCAGCGAACTTGTTTCGTTCACCGAGCATCTCGGACAGATACAAAGAGTCGAAATATAGCTGGACCTTCCAGTCATGCAGACCTTCGACTGATTCTGGATCGATACTTGCAGTCTCTGCTTTCTCTGTCTTCTCGTTTTCCTCGGTCTTGTCTCCATTGACAGCAGAATTGTCATATTTGGGTTCAGCCTCGCTTGAGGTCTTCGGATTATCAAGGTCATCCAATGCTGATGAGATAGCAGTCTCGAATTGTGTTTTCAATGATTCCTTCAATACCTGGACCGTAGATGGATCCCACAAGTCTAAGCCGCAGGTATCCATCGCAGAGGTAAGATGGCGCAGGATCTTGAAACTCAAGGCCGAGGGCTGAACTGGTATAGCAGGTTCACCTTCCCAAAGTGACCGCCCTGGTACAGGCTTGATTTTCCCTGTTTGGGGGTGGCTCATCCGGGGTGGGATTAAGCTCAGCGAACCAGCCTTCGCAACGACTTCGGTTGCAAGCAACTTCTGTAGTTCTGGGACGATTCCGCTGGAGAAAACGAAATCTTTGGATACAAAGCCGGCGGGAATATCTCGCCGCACGAGTCGTATAAGCCTCAGCAGGAAAGTGGCCTTTTCACTTGAATGTGAAGAGCCGAATGACTCGAAAGCGCTGTTGAATAAGGTTTGTAGACTACTGAATGCCTCACGGACAGCAGAATGGAGAGACTCGGAAAGGTGGCGAGGATCGTCTTCGTTGAGTTGGGGTGTAATGTCGATGTCTTCATCTTCGACTTCGCCCCCGACGAGAATGTCAGTCCATCGCATCCGACGCAGAGAATCAATTGATTCGTTGACTTCTTGGATTGAATTTAACCATGCTCGATATTTTGCAAGCACGGTAGATACGTCTTTGTCACGACCCAGTAATCTGTCTGCCACGGTCCGTTTGAATGTATGTGCGCCATTCGAGTATTCCGCAGTGATAAGATCGGCGTCCCATAGAGATCCAACAGAGTTGTGATCGGCGTTCTCCCAGTTTGATATTGTAGATGAAACCTGGGTTCCGACTTCTCCCAGGCTTTGTGCTTGCACATTCAGGATTCTTACAAGTTGGTCATTGAAGATATTTCGAAGATTTCCAATGACATCCACAGAGTCATGAATGATAGTTGAGCCCCAAGATGACAGCCACAATTCCACAGTCTCTGTGCGCAGAGAGAGAAGTTCGGAGAAATCGGTGCTGCGGGTCAGGGTATTTTTGCAGCCTTCGGAGAATTTCTCGAAAGCCTGGAGTGACCATTCTTTGATTGATTCGGTGCCTTCTGTTCTACTCAACTCACTCAGCTTGATCCAGGGAGTGAAGTTGGTGACATCTGGAGCTACCCAGCGGCCAAGAACTTCAACCTCTAGTCCATCAAGTGCTTGGATCTCTGGGTCGGCGAGCAGTGGTCGAGCTTTGATTTTCGAGAGCACGTCTGCGAACTGACGGGATCTTAGAACCTTCGAGGCTCGTAGTGTTTGAAGAAATAATTGGAGAGCTCTGGGTATGTTCTCCCGAGACGAATCCAACTGGCTAATAATAACGTCTAGACGCACTTGGTGAAAATGATGAATGGCGTCATCTGAAGAAGAGCTTGTTGCGAGGCAATAAGCGGCCAGGGATTCAATTATAGAATCTTCTGCAGCGCTGGTAGACGCAAGACGTTTATCAATTCGTTTGAGAAGTGTACGTCGGAGGGAGGCTAGCTGATTGCGGAGATCGTCGAGGAATGGAGGGACTGATTCGTGTTGCGATAACGTCTTGTGTAGTAATCGAGAGATGACCAGTATCTTTGCTACCAACAGAAGGGAAGCACGACGTCGCATAAGCCGGCTAATAGATGTTGTACAACGATGAAGGAGAGAAAGTTGCGCGCCAAATGCGTGCTTCTCAGCGTCTGGAATCCCAACGTCAGCTACCAATTCTCTTTTTGCTCTGTCGCTCACACCATACCCTTTTCGGCATCGCCGGTCTTTATTTGCCGGACATGAACGTGCTTCCTTTCTATAAGTCGGGGGTTGCATCGGCGCCCAACATCGGCCAACACGGATTCCACGTCTTGGATGTCGCGATTCATAGCCACAATGGTTTCGGCTGTTCCGACAAGCTCACGATACCTCGTTCTATAATCAAATAGCATTAGTATAAGCAAAACGCCAGTCATCTGGGGAAATCGATCACCTACCCCACGAGAGCTCGGAGCTTCTCCTTATTGCTCGCAATGTCCCGACGCAGTTCCTGTTCCACACGGCGGACCGTGGGAATTGGGTACTGGAATGCATCATGCCATGACTTCAAGCTCTGAGGATCAGGTGCCTCGGGAGCCATGCTGGCGAGATTTGCGATGAGACCGTTGGCTTATAGAGAACAAGTAAGCCATGCGACGCGGATGCCTGGGAGCCTTAGACCGGGTTACTCAGCCTTATCGCTATCGGCACATGACGGCAGAAAAAGTCCCCGCCACCGAGGGGAAATAATCGCCCGACGTGGAACATCTTTGCATTTCACATAGAATATATTCAATATGCCGTTTGTTGAATCGGAACCTGCTGCGGCGGAGTTGTCATCGAACGATCTCCCCGATCGTCTTCCCTTCCCGCCCACCACCTATTCCCATATCCTGCATTGCTCCTACCATGATTGGCACCCGCGGTATGCTTCTAGATATGACTCAATATCGACACTCTCTAACTGACGCTCCAGATACCGCAAACTCGTACCCAGCTCGCGCATTATCCCTTTGACCTCTCCGTTTGTTGAATACCTTCGCGCCGACGGCATCGTTCTTCCACCCGAGGCCGCCGCCCCCACCGACGATGATAACCTAGACACATTCTCCGATTCGGGCGAGGAGGAACCCGACCCATCCACAGAATGGCATGAGATTCACACTAAGATTAAGGAAACTATCTCTGATCTCGGGGGCATCGTCACCCCCAAATTGAACTGGAGTGCTCCCAAAGACGCTACATTCATGGCCGCCACAAATGACACCCAATGCCGTTCACCAAATGACATCTATCTCCTCCTGAAAAGTAGCGACTTCATTACCCACGATCTAGACCATCCATTTGACGACTGTGTGCCGGACACAATCAGTGACGAGACCACGCCATCCAGCGTTGACTCACCACTGCCCGATGTGCCTTATTCCCTAGTTCTCCGCAAATACGTCAACTTCAACCCTTCGCTCGAGTTCCGTTGCTTTGTGCGTAATCGCGTGCTGTTATGTATGACACAGCGCGATCAGAACCACTTCGATTTCCTCTTCCCCCTGCGTGATATGCTCCGGTCCCGGATTCAGTCATTCTTTGACGAGAAGTTGAAGGATACCTTCCCCGAAGACAACTTTGTATTCGACGTTTATATCCCCGCGCCTCACCAGCGTGTGTGGTTGATTGATATCAACCCATGGGCGCAGCGTACGGATCCGTTGCTCTACAGTTGGCTAGAGATTCTCCGGATGAAGGATCCAATCGGTGTGCAGGAGGAAGAAGATGTCGCGGAAGAATTTGTGAGAATTTCTCTCAAAGATGGCAAGATCATGACTTCCGGCACGGCGGAAGAGCTCGAACGAGAAGGCGATATTGGTTCCTCCGACTCGGAGGAAGAACACGAGGACGCGGAAGGAGAGGATGACCAAGCCCCTTTCCTTCCGGAGTTCCGTCTGATCAAAAAGGATGATCCCGAGGCGTACGCATTCAGTTCTACCCAGTATTCGGCCCACAAGGTTCCGAGGGAGCTTGTAGATGCTTCGCTTCAGGGACCTGGTGGTATGAGTGAATTCATGGGCAAGTGGCATGAGATTTTGAAGCAGCAGGAGCAGGAAGATCAGGCTCATGGCAGTGATTCCGATTAAAATAAATTCGGCTCAGGGCGCTAAGTTGGATAAAAGCATGGGTTTTTGGTCTGATGGCGTTTGGCTATAGCAGGAAAATGATTGGGGATTGCATCGTGGATTCTAGAAAAATACACGCATTATCAAGTCAATATGAACATTCATCAGTTTTAGGTGCCTACCTGCAGCAGTCAATATCTAGAAGGACATGGATACGTAGTCACACATTTAGAGAAAAGACATGAAAAGACCCCAGGCCACTGTCACTCCGGGTATCTATATACAGATCTCCCAATTAAAGCTTATGTCTCTTCTCTCCCGATGCCAACTTCCGGAACTCTTCCTGTGGAAAACCCTGCAAAAAGCGCTCAAGGCCCATGAACGCCTCGATTCCATTCTGGCGCTCCAAAAGCTCCCTCTCCGGTCGCCTAATCAACTCCTTGATCTTCAGCAGACTAGTCTGGTTCAAGTGTGTACCCAGACGATCCTCCACCTCCTCCAGGACCTTCTTCAAGAACCCATCCGAGTCCTCTTTATTCCCAGAGTCGGCCGTAATAATCTTATTCACAAAGCCCGCCGCAACAAGCTCGTCACAGGGAATCCGCTTACTCATAATGAGCGCCTCATTGGCCTTGGCAATACCGAGCCGCTCGACGAAGGCCCGACTAGCTCCCCCCTCGGCGACAAGACCGAGCGAGGAGAACGGGGTCAGGATGAAAGTGTGTGGAGCGGCGTAGATGAAATCTGCGTGGGCGACAAGCGCAGCGGAAAGACCAACTGCAGGCCCATTCAGAGCGGCAACGAGGATCTTAGAATGGGAGTAGAAAGTGCGGGTGACGTCGGTGTTGTTTGCGACGAAACCCTTGATTAGATCGCGGCGCACGCCACTGCTGAGATCGCCATTACCAGGACGAGTGATTGTCACATCGGCGCCACTAAGCATTGAATGTTAGATATGTGGTTGGAAATTGTTGAAGGACTTGTATCGGGCGAAGTAACATACGCAGAGAAAAAGCGACCTTTGCCGGTCAGGACGGTGATGAAGATGTCATCTCGCGAGTCGATCTCGCGCAGGCGCTCGGCTAATAGGTAGTACAGATCTCCGCTGAGGGCGTTTAGCTTGTCCGGGCGGTTGAGGGTCACGATCGCTACGCGATCCTGGTAGGTTACGGTGATCTCGTGTTCGTTTGACATTTTCGAATGTTGAATGGCAATGGGTGAAATTGAGAATTCCAGACTTCGAGGGTTTATTAGGGGCCACATCCCCGGACACTTAGCGCCCGAGAGCTGCGTCTTTGCGGGGAACCGAGGCCCACGGCTATGGGGTGCCTTGTTTGTCAGGCTACGACATCCAGCACATGCGAATCAAATGCGCTGGAGAACGTGCAGAGTGGCAAGGAGTTGATACATTGGAGACTGACCACCTGCAAGGCCCTAGAATTTGTCAGCATCGCCGTGATCTTGTATACGCAGGATCTTGTGCGTTCAGCCTTTGTTTCTGATACGTCTCATGCTTGTTCGAACTATATCCCGATTACGCTCGGAAAAGGACCACCTACTATACCACTCAGGATTACGTTTCCTTCCTGTGGAACTAACTCATTGCATGATCTTGTCTCGCCTTGACTCTAGCCTAGGAAACAAGGGGCATGATCTCTCGTTAAATGCCGACCTTGGGGGTGTGGTTCCAAATATCAATTATGATTCATACGGTGAATAAAATTAGAAAGAAAAAAAAAAACGAATGCGATCATTGAAGATATCAAGCTGAGACTCACTCGGTGGGAATGCCAACAATAAGAGTCCACAGGTCTTGGAAAATTGCATCAAAATGACAAATGCACTTGCACTCGGCATCGTTCTCATCTTCAGCGCTAGGAAGTTCTTCCTCGGCTTCAGACAAACACCCCCGGACTGTGGCGGCCCTCCAGTTTTCAAGAGTAGACGTCACCAGGCATTGCTCTACGAGTGTTATATCCCCAAGTCTAGACCAACTACGAGTTCTATCCATACCAAAATGCGCGGCATTGTCTATCATCACTTTGATATGGGGTTTTCTCCCTTGATCTGAGAAATTTCAAGCTATCAACTTCCATTTCTAGAGATATGCTCAATTAGCAGACTAGTATGATAAAATGGTGGCTTCAATTCAGGACTGGAATTGGGATGAACATCGAGTATGTAGTACTTCGCGCACTGGGTTGCAACCATCGGATATAACAAAACAGCAAATTTGACGTATCTATGATATATGCTTTCGAGGACTGTGGAATGATACAGTAACATTTGAAAGTTGTCTTTCGTCGTTGTTTATTGTTCACTGGTAGAGGTCGTAGGGAACTAGGATGTAGCTATATATAACTAGTTGTGCCCACGTCTCTTAGGCTTCAGTCGTAGAGGAATTGGAAGTCTATTATCTTTAATCGTGCAACAGTGTAGCGGATGGAGCAATCATCTGGTTACTTGATCTCTACAGGAACATAGAATGTAAAAAATAGACAAGATGCATATTATCACTGGTGGCTGTTGCATTACTGATTGTTCTGTCAATCACCTGTACAGTACTTCCCATCCAAGTCTTTGGCACTATCCTTCAGGCTCCGTGGGTATGTATAACCTGTGCTCCTGGTGAGTTTTTTAATCGAGAAAATAACCTTCGATTCGGGTCCCTTTGCCAACCAATCCCGTAATCCAGACAAACAGGCTACGATGCATACGACTCGCTCTTCATGATGTTCCCTCAGTCCCCCTTCTCACGTTCCTTTCGCACTCCTTGCAGACGGGGGCCGAGCCAAATCGAACAAAATATTGCGCCGGTGAACGGTGACCTTCAGCGAGGAGAAAACCAACAAGGGAAACTTAAGGCTGGTGGTCGGCAACCGTGACAGCTCTCCATCTACCCCAATACGTATGTTGAAGCTGCTGATCTGATCGACAAGCATTCAGTCAATTGGAGGATGTCAATCGCTAGCTCTAAATACATGTATGAATTCACGAGTCACCCTGGATAGTTGCCACTGCCCTGTTGATATTAGGTAGAGATAGACGGCGATGTTGCTTTCGATCGTCTATGGATGCAAGGAACCGCATCATATAGTTGGCTGTGTGTAGCTAACCCTTGTTGTCGTGAAATATACATGTCTCTGCACATGCACGGAGTCGACGAAGATATACGGTGTGGGCAATCACCTGAAACAGCCAAGCAGATGAAGATCCTTACCCCGGAGAACGTAAGGCCGGGAGCTGCTGCCCGACCAATGGAAATGACAAGTCGAGAGAAATGGAATCCACGGTGTAGATCTATGTAGATCATACATGGATGAAGATCTCAATTATCTCGAACTACAACGCTGTCAGGTTTAGGGTTTCATTGGTAGTTTCTCACCGTGAACAGACAATGGAATTGACCGCATCAAAGAATCTGACGCGTTATTCACTGTCTGATTCGATTTTCATGATTGACATCTTTCTTCCCCTTTTCGACCAGTGCTAGGAAACGCAAGGCAGTCTGCTCCGTACCATGGTCGTTTACGTACTTGGGGCCAAACCTCGGTGTAAGCTCCCCTAGTGCAGGAAAGCGATTTTGCTCGCAATGGAAAGCTGCAGCTACGTGTCGATGAGCATACCAAAAATTGTCAGATTGGTTGTAACATTCTTAGTCGAGAAAAAGGGAAATTGGGATTCTTGATTGGAACGACGACGGCAGTGTTGATAGCTAACGGCAACAGGCAATGATTGAAATTCTCGTTTTCGCACTCACGTTGAGCTTCGGAGATCGGAGATTAAGCTAATCCAGTTGCAATGTTAGCCTTGCATGAATGACGATCGTGGCCCTCCTTGGCGGGCGTTTTGGCGGACCGGAGGCTGGTGGTTGACATTCCACATTCCTTGACGGACATTCCCCAAAGATCCTGGTAAGAGATCTGGGACCATCTCATTGGATTCTTAACTCCCGAAATGGGAAAAAGGGCTGATCCACATCACATTCCTACATTAAAGTACGGAGTACTCCGTACGATGATCTACGTCAGGGTTAACGAAAAAAAGCAAGGGCCATCCAACAAGATATAAAACACTGCTTCCCATCGGCCTCAGTAAGGATCTCATCACTCACATCTCCATTCAATTGAAGCATCTTCATCTTTCAAACAAACCAATTCCCTTCTCCGCCCCAAACAATCAAAATGCAGTTCACTCTCTCCACCGTCCTTGCTCTGGCTCTGTCCGTCTCTGCTGCCAAGATGAGCATGTCTAAGGCCCAGGGAATCTGCACCCAGGGCGATGTTGCATGCTGTGACTCCAACGAAGTTATCTCCGCCGATGGCATCCTCGGCGGCCTCCTCGCCAAGGGTGCTCTCAACGGCCTTCTCGGCAACGAGAACTCTGCCTGCGCCAAGATCGATGTCCTCGGCGACGTCAACGTCCTCGGTAAGGCCTCCCCAATAAACGAGTATTTGGTCGGTATTCAGAGACAGCGCTCTAACATTTCACAGCTTCCTCCGAGCACACTGAGACCGGCCCCGTCTGCAAGAGCATCACTGCCTGCTGCCCTCACGGTGGCGACAAGGTAAGCAATGATTTCCCCATATTTTCTCGGAGACGCTCGATATCTAACTTTGGTTGAAATTGCAGTGCTCTGCCATCGATCCTTCCTCGTAATCGTTGCAATGGCACGGGGAAGATTCCAAAACTGCTTGAACCTAAGAGGGCGCTCTTGAAATCCTTTGGATCGGTCTGCTAGTAACTTAGGAAAACTGTATCCTTAATTAATTAACCACTTTGGATCAGTCTCACATCTTGCTCCCACGTAAATCGTCACCACTTAGTTCAATTCGTCGTTGACTTCAGCATTCACTGCCTTGATCTTTGTCAATGGTCAGACCAGTGAGCTGCTCAGGGCCTCGAACATGGCAAGTATACTCCGCTTGACCCATTGTTCTTAAATATAGGTCATTGGGTTGTAAATATAGAACGGAAGTCAATCAGAATCCACACAGTCTAGACCACCATGTCATGTAGAGGTTCGAAACCACCAGTACGTAATAGCCTTCTTCCAACCTGCTTGCATTGTGTACATCATTGTCGATGAGCAGCTTTTGTATTTCTCCTCGTACCTATATTTGGGTCTGAGGCTGCAAGGACTTGATTTAATGTGACCGTTGCAAATGTGGCTTGCTAGTGAACATTGAGTGTTGCAGTCGCTACCGGAGTCTACCTACGAAGTCCTCGACGTCAAAATGACTAAGCGTGCTGTTTTAGGAAAGATTACGGTCCACCTGGGCAGCTGTCTACGGAATTTGCTTGTGCGGCGTCAAATTACAATCTTAGGGGATCCCCGGTGGAGATACATCTAGCTTTTGGCTGGACTATCCTATAGTTAGAATCGTCTTTATCTGGATCATGGTGCTCGGCGAAGGGGTAGCTCAGGGTCTAGAGGGTGGAGATAATCCACCAGAAACGAACAATAGCATAGCGCTTGTGACTACGTACTTTACATCCAATTACTGCATCGCTCACGTTTGCATTCTCTGGTAGAAGTCTCCACGACTGCAAATCTCCTTCCAATTATATGGCCAGCCGCTCCCACGTTGCCATGGGAGGGTATCACTCAGCGCTCACTGGTGGGAAGATGTAGTATCCCATGTCTGCAAACGGCGAAGACTCTCCTCTAACAGAACCAAAGTCGCATCCACGCCAAGCTCCTCAATATTATAAAATTGGTACTAATTCGCCAGGAATGTCCTCAGTATCGACGAATACTACGCAACTCACAAGCCTTTTATCCAACCCTACACAATGAAGTTCACTGGAGCCGCTGCCTTCGCCCTCACCGTGGCTGTTGCCATGGGCGCCAAGCTGTCCTCCTCCGCTGCTCTTGGAGATGCCAAGAGCCAGTGCAGCACTGGGGACATCTCCTGCTGCAACTCTCACGAGGAGATCAGCGGCGATGGCATTCTGGGCAACCTCTTGGCTGGAGGTCTCTTGAACGGCCTTCTCGGCAATTCCAACTCTGCCTGTGCTAAGACCAGCCTTATCGATGATTTGGGTATTCTCTGTATGTTCCTCGGTCGTTAGAGAAAGAATAAGATACTGATACCTTTCAAAGCCCTGATCAAAAACACCGAGTCCGGGCCCACCTGCAAGGCCATCATTGCCTGCTGCCCCGAGGGAACCACCACCGTGAGTTCTTAGCTTCTCTCTCGAAACATGCCTGCATCTAACAGTTCCATTTCCTAGTGCGTTGCCATCGACAACTCTGGAAAATAGAGGAAAGGAGTCTGGTGGGGGAACCAAATTTTGATTGACGGCGTCTATGGTAATTGCTCATATACGGGAGAACTACTACTCAATTTAATACTACGGCATCCATTTGGTGTCCTAATGTCTTAATGCTTTCCCTCTCATATCGTCATAACTTGTAACGTCTCTACACGCCTGGGCTACATCCGTAGATTATAGCACGTGTCCAGCATGGTATAGCTCATCTAATTCTCGTGCTTTATGCTCCGTGCTTGACGTGATTCACCATTAATGGAGTTGCTACCTAGGTAGAGACATGTTATAGACACACTTCGATATCCATGGGATATTGATTCAATCCTTAAGTCCCAGGTTAAAAGGTGGGACATATGTATAACGTGGAAAGTCCTTAAGCAATCGACGGCATTGCAGGTAAAAGGCAAAGTAGCCTTATGTTGTATGTATGGATATTGTTGTATGAAATATCTATTTCACATAAAGTCGCGTGGATCTAACGATCCAATGTTCGCGCTCTTCGCCTTTCCTTCAAATACAAACTCACTCATGAGCTTCCCCGTACCCGGGGCGTTTTGAATACCCCAGCAGGTATGGCCAGCTGCGAGATACAGCCCCTTCACATCAGTCAGACCAACCAGCGGTCCAGCACCCGAATCACAATTTGGAAGATAGCATGCCTGGCGAACTCGGACCTCCCCGTCACGCAGCTCATCAGAGATACTACCCACCTGGTCGATGATTTCCTGGCAGCGTTCCTGATCAACCTCAACATCTGCAGAAGTCTTCGGTAGTGGAACTGTCCTGTCTCCATCTCCACATGCATAAACGGTTGCATCCGGACGCGCATAGATCTCCGGCGCAGCCACTGTTGGACGTGATTTCTTTTCCGGATTGAAGTTGGCTGGGATCTCAATATTTGTGAACAAGCAGTATGCACTGACTGGTTGTTTTGGCTCAATCACCACGCTGTGCGCCCGCATAGCGGAGATCGGAACCTCTGGGAGGATAGTCTTCGTCCACGGACCAGCAGCAACCAGAACGTCGGTAGCGGCGATGGTTTGCGCTTCGCCTGATGTTTTATTGGTGTATGTCACCGATTCCACAGAGCCATTTGATCGAGCAATATCTGTAACCTGTCCAAGCATGATATTTGCGCCCTTCTCCTCGGCAAGCTTTGCAATGGACGTAGTGAAGAGGTACGGGTGTACCTGGGCAGTTTCGCCCGGTCCGCTCATACTCTCATAAGCCCGTAAAAGCTCTGGCTCGATCCAATCCAGGTCTTGGGGTATTTTGGCAGACTTCAGCTTAGACAGGGCTGCGGCACTCCGTTTCTGGAGTGATTCCGTTTTTCCACCCTCAGTTTTCCCTGCAATGTTCTCAGTGAGGGCACGACCTTTCACGACAAGTTGGCCGCAATTGACCTCTCGGTATCCCCATCGGCTGACGCCATCATGCTCCTTTGCAAGCTCGGCGTGGAGCTTGTAGCTGAGACCGACGATGTTGCTCGGGAATGCCCACTGGGCCAGCATACCACCCGCTTTTCCTGATGCCCCGCCCGCGATTCCGGTGGCCTCGATGAGCGTGATTTTGTGGCGGGCAGGGTCATAGGATGGATGTCTTGTGAGATAGTATGCAGAGCAGCATCCAATAATGCCACCGCCTGTGCGTATTCTGGTCAGCAAGTTGCGACAAGCGCGCGGGGTATTGAAGTTGCAAACAGTCCGTCCTTACCAACAATCACAATTTCACGGCGATCTGCAGTTGCTGACATCTTGAGTTTTGGCGCTATTTTGCGAGTTAAAGATCGTGACAAAGCCACCTTGGACGAAGTTGTAGAGCGCAAGTTTGAATTGCCGGTGGATTCATATACAGAGTGCTACGTCACTGGAGCTGGATGTCCAGTCAGATGTTGTATCTACTATCAAATCCACCATGCCCGGTTTTTTCTACAACTTTGACTAATGTATCATTCAGATATTTTTGATTGTATGATATCTGAACTAATGGGATTGATAGTGACTCCACAAAGGCTTAAGCCATCAAACGGAAACGTAAAAACATCAAGGTAACGAGACCCATGCTCCGCAAATGCAAATCGTGTCGAAAAAAGATTGAAAACAATGTCCAGTGTTTTTGAGTAACAGAATAAAGGAGGCCATGGCGGTAGTCAGCTGGTAGTAAGGATTCATCGCGAGGGACTGAGGGGCCTGTTGAAACCACCCTGGCGGTTCATGTACTGTCGGTACTCGATCTTCTTCTCCTTTCGCACCGCATAAATCTGGTTTCCAGGAATTTTGGTGTTCTTCGTAGTCCGGAATCTGGAAAAGCCCAAGGCCTTCCGAATTTGCGCGTCCATTTCGTCCTCATCCGCATCTTCATTGAAATCAATATCCATCGCATCCTCGTGGCGTTCTGGTTCTGATTCTGCGCCACCCTTCCGTCCATCATCTCGTGATCGGGGATCTCTGCGGTCACCTTGACGGTCGCTCCTCGGGCCTCGGGGAGGTGACCGGGCCTTTGTGCCATTGCGATGCGGAGATCGTGAGCGCGAACGTTCACGGAACTTTACGTTTTTCGGTGCATTCCCTGAAAAATAGGAGTTAGCAAGATACAGATATCTCCAGGCAGTCAGGAATTCACCCACCTCGTCTATCGTAATTGCGCTCCCGACTGGTGCTTCTCTTTCGGTCCGGGGCCCCACGCCCATCTCTATCTCCATCTCTGCGGTCCCGATCGCGGCGATCTCGAGACCAGCTCCGTTCTCGCCTTCCATCCTTGCGTTCTCGTGAGCGAGAGCGATGCCGGCCGTCGCGACGGTCGTCTCGGGGAGCTGGTGAACGTCTACGCTCACGGTCTGACTCTTGCTCTGATGCACGAGGCCGTTTATCATTTGAATCCCACATAGCTGAGCTGTCAACTCGACGAGCACGCTTGGTAGGTGGCTCCGCCATTATAGAAGGTCTGGTCTGGGCTGGGCGTTGCCCCGTGCCTCGTGGGTAGTTGTTGTGGCTGGGTGAAGACGAAGGTAGATTTGCTCAAATTTTCAGAGCTTAGTCAATTAGACAGGAATTAAGGAGTAAAAAAGCGAATGCTTGTATGGATATGAGTGCAGAGGGTATCAAATTGTCGCAATTGGTGAGTCGACCTGAACCTCTCGGGTCCAAAGAGAAGTTTATTCCGGTTGCGGAAAGAGACCAATTATGCAGTTTGTGACATGGCAGGTGATCGATCTATAGTTCGATTCTATTTTTAAACAACGTGGAGTTATAGAGCTTGGGTCAACTTTAGATAAATGCTTTGGCAATAGGCTAGTTTAGTTTCATGCAATTATTTGCAATCGATCGTCAAACCTTTGAATTATTGAAGGAAACCTAGTCCTCATCGGATTGTGTAGTTTAAAATTCCAAGATGAATCCTCAGAATAGGGTTGAAAATAAACACAATTTTTATGATATAGGTACTGCACGTACGGAGCAGAAAGTTAGCGTTTACAATAGTTGCTGTGTCTTCCATACCAAGAGCAGATACGCGTGGTGGGAAAGTTCACTCACGATAGAACTTCCATTCACCAATGGGCGATGATATCATGCATCAGGTCTGGCATTTCCGCATCTTGATACCTAACATCCTGCAACACAATATTGCTCCAAACCTCCCATTATAAACATTGGCTCTTGGCCTCGACATTAAGAATCTGACCAGTTGATATATTTGCAATAGTGACTAATCCGTTATCTTATATTGTCTATATCTACAAGGCACTCGCTTGAGCAACAGAGCTCCACGGGGATCAACCATGACTATTAGCCCCCCAATACTACATATAAAGGTCCAAGAGACTTATAAGCTACCTCAAATATATAATTGCCCTATGTAGAGATTGATCACAAGCCAGGTCTGAGACTCAGTGCAGGTGTCACCAGCACGCTTTATGTGGACAAAACTTTCGAACATAGTGATATTATTCTCGTTTGATACACCTATAGAACCGGAGTCAATACAGATATGTAAGAAGCCCCGTATACTCTGTCTTTCTAGAATGTTATACACACTTAACAAATGTTGTGGCTGACCAAGTCATTCATACTCGTGGTACTATCTAGTTCATACGCGATCTGAAGAGGAAAATGGTAATATAAAAACAGGTCTATATCATTAAATTGCGCATAAGCAAGCTCGACAGTTGCCAAAAACAGCGACTCGGACAACTGCAGCCCGCGGGCCGGCCCGTCGAGCCTCAACTCTAAATCCCACTGCGAAATTTTTGCAGCGCAACCCCACTTCCTGTGTGCTCTTCAACCTGCGTCCCCAGATACAAATTGCCCGAGAAGAGTATCAACTATTAGAGAAATATGGCACCTGTCAACCTTTCACACAGAAGGACGCATAATTTGCTCTTGATTTCGAAACTATTGAGCCTGCGTGACACTGCATCACCCCTCACACTCGTCCTGGACTCTTTGGAGCAACCCGCCACGCCACTCCTAAAAGAATACATCAGACGCGCAAAGGTAAGCCGGCTTCTAAATTGATCACAAGCAACATTTTGATCGCTTGATCTGGTATTGGAAGCCCATACTGACTAGTTCAACAGCTGTCTAAAGTTCATGTCACCCTCATCTCTTTTGAAACTTTGAAACAACCCGATGGGGTCGATGCATTTGTATCAACTCGCCGCAAGAGCCCGGGTGATATTATTAAAGAAGTTAGCGCGGCTTATCAGTCTGTTGCAGCGTCCAACCCCTCACGGAGTAAGCTTAGGGCATTGACCCCACTTCAGGACCTTTACTGACTTTACAGGACGTCTTATCCTCATTGATTCAATTAACCCCCTCTTGAGCTCAAAAAGGATTGATCCTGGGTTTCACCTGCCCTCTTTCCTTGGCTCGTTTATTGCCCCCACGTCACCATCGGCCAAAGTTGATACGTCACTCGTGGTGACATACCATCAGGATGTCCCCGAACTTCCACAGCAAAGCCCATACTCGCCATCCCCTCTTTCGGTGTTAACTTATCTTGCTACAAGCATTATGACCCTCCACTCATTCTCGCACGTTCTTGCACAGAAGGCCGCTCGCGACCGCAGTCTAGCTCCTCCAGTCTTCGGGCTTGAAGAAGAGCAAGAAGGTATTCTGCTTAGCCGATTGGATAGATTGACCGGCACTGGAAAGGCAGAGGGAATTGTCATTGAGCTGGAGCACAGGAGGAAAAGTGGTCGTGGTGTTCTGGAATGGTACCTTCTCCCGCCGGCGTCGCGGTATTCGCCCCAGCATCTGAAAGAGATTGTGACGTTGCTTGACGATAATGTTCTGTACAACCCACCGATGGAGCGAGACCAGGGTGCTGGCGACGAAGAACCGACATCCACATTTGAATTGGGTCTCACCGACAGACAGAGGCGCGAAAGAGAAGGTGTCGTGCTGCCATACTTTGACGCGCAACATGGCGATGGGCCAGGCGAGGGAGGCCGGATTCTCTACGATATGGGCGAAGAAGATGATTTCGATGAAGAAGAGGATGAGATTTAGACTGCATCAAATACGATACATGCTCACGCAAATCTCCGGATTCTAGAATCGGCGGATTGTAACCCGCAATCACCGAGGTATTAACTATGCATACATTCATACAAAGGGAGGCCCAGGAGCACGGCCACGCAGGGCAAAGAATCAGAAGAATCGCCAGAAAAGAAGGATGCAAATGACAAGCCCGACGCCAGCGAAAGGTCCGTACTGTGAGATGATTAGTCAACCGGTCAGGGGGAATCTGTTGCAAAGTATAGACTGACCTGCTTCAGCAACAATTCCCAGTTGATGCGCACAGCTGCCTTTCTGTACTTCTTGCTGTCCTCGCGCAACCGCCCCGATAGTTCGCCCATCCGCTCCAAGCTATCGCCTCGGTACAAGAGGTCCTCGATGTTCTTCGTCATTACCTTGGTGACATCACGGAGCTCATCGTTCAGCTTGTCAAGGTTCTGAGATGCGCGACTATCTTGGTATAGCTTCTTTGTGCGCTGAATGAAAGTATCGAACTCGACGAAAGCATATGGACGGAGACTTGGCGAGAGGTATTGTGAGGGGGTATATGTAGTTGTGAATTCAGAGGCCAGATCAGCAAGATAGGTGAAGGCGAGCTTGCGAGGGTAGGACTTGTCGGCGATGCATAGAAAACAGATATCGTCTTGGATAGTGTAGCTACAATCTACATAGTTAGAACCTGTGACATTGCGATGCTTTGTTGACATTGATGGAAGACTTGCTGTAGATTGTATTGGCCAGATTCAATACTGGCTTGGGGTGCGGAGTTGCGATTCAATCGCCGAAAGATCATTTTAGCTTGACTCTTAATCTCAGAAAGCTCCGACTCAGCCTGAATATATTGTAAGCGCGCCGTCAGCTTAATTCATTGTTAGCACATACCTGCTCATCGTCGACGGAGGCTGCTAGCATAAGGCCTGTTTGACTTCCACATCAGCACTCTTCACCTTTTACCACCTCATGGGATTCCTCACCATCTAGCCTTGCGATTTGTGTTGACCTAACCATCTTCAAGACGTTACTTTCTCGTTAGGAGGGACAGCGCTTTCACATTGGTTTCGTCGTGAGAATGGGCCCAAGGAGGAGGACCAGGAAGGCGGTAGCGAAGGCCGATGTGGCAGAACCGCGACGTTCGGGGTAAGCTCCGCATGTGCATTTTACTTTCAGTTCTTATTGACATTTTGTAATAATGCGCTAGTCGTGCTACTTCCCGTTCTGCCAATGTAGCAGAACAGTCGGGACTCGCCATGTCGACCCAAAATCCCGAAGAAAGCTCACGAACTAGGACTCCAAGACGGTCTGCCGCTAGAGGCAAATGGAGTGAGGAGCAGTTGATGACGAGCGAGAAATCTCTCCTCATTGACCTTGATCTAGTGGTACGAGCCATGAAGCGAACTCAGCTGATGTGACCATGCGATTTATAGCTTCTGACTAACTTTGAAAATGCAGAAACTGCTAGCGCAGCCAGAAGCATGGAATTGTCTGGACGAAAGCGAGAAGCGCGAGATCCTCGCTCTACTCCCTCCAGATGTTCACCCAGAGGCACAAGCGATCTCAAACGATTTGGATGCAAAGATAGATCCCCTGCCCGAATCCTTTATCCGATATTCCAACAACTGGCGCGATGGTGTTCGACAGTTCCAGCTTGACCTCCAGAACGGCCGCTACGATCCCGAATGGCTCCACCAGGCCCAGGTGGCCAGAGAGCAGCGCGAGAATGGAGATTTTGATAACTTTAAGGAGCGTGAATATGAGCAGTTCTGGGGACAAAAGCAGAGAGTTGTCTGGGCCGCACCTGCTGGAGAGAGTGCGCGTGTGAAGATGAAAACCCTTATCGACGAAGGTGTCATCCAGCTAGGCGATATCTGGAAATTCTACTATGTCTATGGAAAGGGCCCAGGTAGAACAGTCATTGAAAAAGAAACTAGAGTATGCATTGATCCTTCAGTTCTGCATTCTGCTTGGGCATTTGCTAACCGAAATAGATCCACGGGATCAATGGGGCGAAATTGGACTTTGCGGTTCCTTCTGGTGAACGAGTCTTTCTACGCAGCAGCTATAACAAGGCCGAGCAATGTTCTCAATTACAGCATGATACGGAGGGTGTGAAAGTCGATATCAATACGGACCAACAACCAGTCAAATTGGCCTCGAATGGCCAAGATGTGAAACTCGACATCGACAAAGAATCCCAGCCAGTCTCAATACCCCCGAATGATAAGGGAACGAAAGATGAGGAGCCAGAATTACAGGCCACGATTGCAGATCCCAACGAAGATCAGATGCAGCTGGATACCAACGCAGATAAAGAGGCAATCGTTGCATCTTCAAACAATCAAAGGAGCCAAGAATCATCCCAGAACTTCAGCGTCGTTATTGTCAGCCCGGGTAGTAGGCAGGATGGAAAATCAAAACGCAATGTTCCTGAGCCCCAACCTCAACCCCCAGTGAAACGCAGGCGAGGAAGACCACCTAAGAATCAATCTAAGCAGCCTGTGCTGGAGCCACCCAAAGAATTCGAGGCATTTAAGAAGCCCGCAGTGTCTGAAGAAGTGGACGTTCCTCGAGAACCGGAAAGAGCACAAAATTACGAGCCTCAGCCTTCTGTCATGAGCATCCTGGAAGCTAAAATTGCAGAAAGCTACAGAGATGGCGCAGAACCATCCCAACCGGAGTCTGATTCCTCGAAGCTTTCTTACCCCCTCGAGTCCCCCCGACCTGAATCATCTATACCATTAGAAGAAGAGGCAGCATCTATTCTCACCGCCAAACCCGAAGGCAATGTAACTCAACCGGTCATGGCAGGGGACTCGTCCATAGCGCACCCCGATACTGCCACGGACAGTGCCGAGGGACCTGTTAAGGCTGGCGAGGACGATATTGACACAACAGCAGCCGATAAACAACACGCAACCCCAATTACCACAAATGGGCCCGATGAAATCATCGTTCCCAATATCGCCTCGCCACAAGCACTCGTCTTGAAAATCCTACAAATTGATGGCCGTATGCCCAACGGCCGTACTGCGAATGCCTGGAAGGAAATCCGCTGCTACCGAAACAACCAGGATATGGGCAGCCTCTTTGATGTGCGAGAGGCGTGGTTCCTTCAGCATGGACAAGATGAATAGGCGTCTTCGACTTCTAGGATTGAAATGCCCCGTACGACATACCCTTTGTGATTTTGATGCATACAGTACCCTCATTTCCTTGTCAAGATTAGGACGGAATTGCTCCACGCGGAGCTTATCAGACAACTGCTTAGCTAGGAATGGACAGCTAATTACTAGTGCTTGACCGTACCTAGGTACCTCAATTTAGATATTTGAGTGTACCGGTGTAACAAAAACGTGCCCAGTGCACAGCACATGCTCCCAGGTACCTTGTGTATGTACTACGTGTAGGTACGTGTACTTTCAGTACGAACGTTGGAAAGGGAAATGCGGGGAATCGCACCCCCGACAGCGAACGCGGCAGACCGACCTTATGATTCTCAACCCGTCATATTCCAAAGAGGCTCTCTCGGCAACGACACATCGCCTGCGAAGCTTAGCGACCCCCCTGGCGTCTGCCACGCTGACCTCAGATCACTTGGCAATGGAAAACAGGATGCTTATCACGACCTTGCGTATGATAGTCTCCTCTTTGTCGATCTGGATGGCAAACCCGTCGACGGACATGCAACATCATCTACGAGGACTACGACTCGCACTCCGAAGTCCGTATCGTACTTGAGGAGAACGGCACGGTCGTGAATATATATATCGGCGACCCAGATGCTGCCCCTAGACCAGGGAGGCGCTTCAAAGTTCCAATTCGGACAAGGTGACTGTTGATCCCACCACCGTTACTATCATAACGGGTGTTCCGGCTGGCAGCGAGTCCCGACCCACGATCCCTGCGAGTACGACTGGGGCCAAGACGAGATCGGGAAGCGTGCTGGCACCTGCACCATTTGTGTATGGTTACTGATAGCATTCAACATATCAACTGGTCAATGGGGCTTTCTTGAATATTGCTTGATGTCCTCCATCTTGACGGCACTTTTCACCTGCGGCCAATTGGCGGCTCAAGTGCATAAACCCAGTTGATGCGCCGTGAAGATTCGCCCTACGTTCCGTCTTTCGAGTCTGAATGAACATGATCAAGTATTTTTGTCTTTCACTCATATCTAGAACAAATCCACATCCAGGTAATGTGGATTCATAAGGATATATGACGGGCTCTGAGCTGGGTTCAAATGTTGAAAAGATATAAATGACAATTGAAGGATTGGGACTAAATTTGTATATAAATCACGAACAATGTGCAAAGAAATGAATATATTATGAGGTGTTAAGTGTAGACTTCCGCAAAGCCCATAAATGGGCCCGGTATAAGGATCCTGCGCAGGTTCCTAGGTTATCTAGTGGATTCGGGAAATAGAGACTATTAAGTAATACTGTGCTTTTTATAGGGTCCGGATCTGCGCACCATCGATTTTCCCATTTGCACCATTTTACGTCAGCATTTTCGGAGGATGTCGGATAAGGTCATGTGATTTTTAACCTCATCTATCAATCTGATATTGATCTCTATAGCAACCCATTATTTACAAGATCTATTTAAACCCTTCCACCCCCCAGATCTCTCTCTCTCTCTCTCTCCCCCGCACCCTAGATCTTGATCTCTCTCTCTGCACCCTACATCTCTGATTTCCATCATTTTACCAATCATTCTTATCAAAATGACTGATATCAACCCCACTGCTAGCTGTTAGGACCGGCGTGCTAGCGGGTCCTGGTAGGTAATATAGAACTAGAGTGAAGGAATAGCAGGGTGCTAGTATATTTATAAACTAATCGCTAAAGAGCTAAGTTCCCCTGGCAGTCTCTGTATGGATGACCTTTGGCGGGTCACGGGACTAGGTCACCTGACCCGGTAGGACTTAGTCTCCCTGGTGCGGTCTCTGGCGGGGGGTCATGCTACCCCTACTAGGTCACGGGTTCTAGGTTATAGGACCCGGCGGGATCTAGCCTATAAGGCACTCTCCTAGTAGAGGGTCGTAACATTTTCCCCCTCCTTAAATAGCTACGTCCTTATAGCTAAGGGTCGGGGGTTAAGGGTCTCTTATAGTCGAGATAGGGAGGGTTCGAAAATAGTATATATGTCTAGCTATCTAAAAGAGGGTAATTTATCTTTATAGTAGAAGGTATAGATAGACTCGGAGCTTTAAGCGTTATCTCTCTTCGTCGCGTATAATCTAAGTTCTTTATATATTTTTCACTTATCTCTCTTCGAGTTATAGCTTTCTTCTTTCTATACTTCCTCGTCCTTTCGCTTTTTCTTCTTATAGCTTTTCGTCGCTTCGCTTTTCTTCTTATAGCTTTTCGTCGTCTCGCTTTTCTTACTATAGGTCATTTCGACTTATTATAGTAGCTCCCTTTCCTCCGGTCGCGAGTACGACGTATACCTCTATTAATAATTACGCCCCTCCGGCCGTCGTCTCCCTTACTAACCCTATAAGTACGTAGTATTAGCGTTATATAGACCGTCTTAGATATAACCTAGGGTATATATATATCCCTCCGCCTAGCGGGATTAACGTTAATACTCCCTAGTATAACTATTATATAAGGAAGCGGTAGTCTTATATAATAGTAAGTATAGACCTCCGCTCGTATTAGCGGTTATTAACGTTCCTTAGGTCGATTCTAGGCTCGACGCTTAAGCTAATACTTATATCTTAGCGCCCTATACTACCCCTATGTAGAATATATCGTTCTTTACGATTATATAAGGGTTTTAAGATACGCGGAATACTTTAACTCGAGATATCTATATAGGTATAGTTACGCCTTTCGGTCCTTCTCGCGCTACGCCCTCTCTACCTCCTCTACCCCCTCCGCCTCCTTTAATATAGATTTTATTAATAAGTCGGGTTATAGGTTAGCTTCGGGCGCCTTCTCGGGCTAGATTATATATATAGCGGTAAGAATATAAGCGTATCTTAGAGATTACTCGTCTAGTATAGGTAGTTATTATATTATACCTTTAGAGAGTATTAGCTATATTACTTTTCGTCCTATTTTTCGGCGATAAACTCTTATATATTCTTATTATATATCTATAGTCTCTTTAGGATATTTTTCGTCCGCTCCTTATCTTTATTAGTATTCTAGATCCTCCCCTAACCTATCTATAGTATATACTAACGTAGTTAGTTATTTTCTAGGGGTCTATTTAATAGTTAGCTATTAGGTTTAGCGTTCTTAAGCCTACTCCGGTCTTTCTAACCTTCCTAAAACGTATTTAATAGTAGATCCTAGATTATATTAACTTCTTCTTTATAGATCTTCCTCGGCGTATTATACGCTTTAGCCGTTCTTTCTTTTTATTATAGTAACTCTCGAATACTAGTATATCTTCTACGTTTTCTCTTAGCTCCTAAGTATTTTCCTTATACCTATATCCTTTCTATTTAATAAGGTATTCGGCGTCTTTATAGTTATCGGTAAGGATCTCTTCGATCTCTTATTTAGGTTAGTTATTTACTAGTATAGGATTAGGCCGCTCTTAAGCTTTTAGCGGATCTCTATAGTATAGCTCTAGTATTAAAATATATTATATAGGGTAGATCTTATAATATCTCGGCGTAAGGATTAGCTAGTATACCTATTATCCTACTATACCTATTATCGCGAAGGGTCCTATATAGCGGTTATCTAGCTTTTTATATAGTCGTCCTAAGTTAATATACTTATTTCTTAGTATAACCTATTATCCGATTATAAAAGACTTCTCTATATATTTCCTATCGTAGGCTCGCTTTATTATAGTTTTCGACTTTTTTAGGCGCTTTCTTAGTATTTCTCGTATTTTTAGTATTTTCTCTATACGGCTTTTAGCGTTATTATAGATTTCTATCTTCCTATTTAGTACTAACGTTCTTAGTTCCGGTTAGAATCCTAGTAATACTTTAGCTAGGGATATTTTTAGTATACTATAAATAGTAGTATTATAGACGATCTATATAAGAGAGATCTATCTTATCTAGTTATCTTAGTACTAGCTTACTATATTATATAGGTAATACTTAATACTTTAGTTTTATCTCTCTATCTACCTATTAGTTTATAGATAATAGGCTATTAATAGTCTACGTCTTATAGCGAGGAGATAGTAGAAATAGCTCTAGAATTTTAATATAAAGATAGTACCTCTATTACTAATAAGGTTTTCTAGTATTCCCTATAGGGGTATAACCTTTTCGTAAAATAAAGTTATAAGTTTTAACGAGTCTACATCTTTAGTATAGGAAATATAGAGGGAATATTTTAAGAATAGATCGACTATAACTATAATTACGTCGTAGGCCTTCCCCTTCTATTTTAAGGGTAGTAGGCCTATAATAAAGTCTACGCTTATCTACTAGCCTAGTCTCTTTAGTACTAATAGTAGTTCGAGTAGTCTATATAGCTTATAGCGTTTAATAGTATTAGATTAGTAAATCTAGTATATAAAGATATAGTCCTATATATCTTTAATAAGGGTTTTTTACTAGTATTTACGTCTAATAGCCTATAGCGTTCTTTTCCTTATATAATAGTCTACCTATAGATCGTTATAGTAGATCCTTATAATTTCCTAGTAGATTATAGGTTCGCCTTCGGGAATATAGATATAGTTATTATATCTTAGTAGTCTATCCTAGCTTCTTATACTCTATTATATCTTTAGGGGTTATTTAAAGTCGCTAGTTTCCCGTATCCTTCTAAACGTATTCCTATAGAACTTATTCTTCGCCTATATCTTAAGTATAAGTTCTACTATAGTTTCTAGCGGCTTATAGGTATATATAGTTTCTTCTTTAGCTACTTTATATACCTCCTTTTAGCTCGGTAGTCTATTCGTCGCGGGCTTAGTAGGGATCTCTATATATACTATAGTTATTATAACGCCTAGATATATCGTATTCTATAGATCTCTTTAGTAACTAGCGCCTTTACCGATAGTCTCCTTAAGTCTTTATATAAAAATATTATAACTTATAGTATTTAGTAGCTCGTCTACTATATAGTTAGATCGTCTACTAGAAGTATCTATAGAGTTTATTTTCCCTAGGCGGAATATAATAACGAAGTTAAAACCT